GAAGTGTGTTGAGATTGACATGCAGCAGCTCAATAGCAGGACGGAACTGAATAATGACCAGTGGAAGGCCCTGATAGCTATCCACAGGACTCTGCTGCATGAACACCACGACTTCTTCCTGGCTTCCCAGCACCCTTCTGCCACAGAGAGACTGCGGAAGCTGGCCACGGAGTATGGGATGCCTGCTCGGATGTGGAGGCATGGGGTGCATTCCTTTTTGGAGCTACTAAGGCACAGACTGCCGGGTTCTCTGGAACATATGATATCCTTTATCTATACTGCCTATTCTATGATGACTCTCTTGCTCGAGAGTGTGCCTACTTTTGCAAATATCTGGATAGAGTGCCTTGGCGATCTGGCTAGGTATCAGATGGCAGTGGAAGAGGTTGATCTACAAAACCGCGAGAACTGGGCTGAGGTAGCTAGGTACTGGTATCGAATGGCAGCAGATAAGGGGCCTAATGTTGGCCGGATTCAGCACCACTCTGCTGTCCTGGCCAGACCCTATATCCTGGCCCAGCTATTCTACTATACCAAGTCCCTGGTCTGTGTTGAGCCCTTTGCCAGCTCGAGGGAAAGTATCTTGCTGCTATTCAACCCGCTGCTGGAAGAAGAACAGCAGCCGCAGCAGCAGCAGCCACAGCAACAGCAACAGCAACAGCAACAGCAGCAGCAACAACAGCCACAGCAGCAGCAGCAGCAGCAGCAGCAGCAAAAGCTACACAAGCATGCCCGCCCCAAGCAGCAAACTCGTCACCCACTAACACTGGCCTCTTTCGTCAAGGCACACGGCATTATATTCAAGAAGGAGTCAGTCCACTCCTACTTCGAGCACACCCTGCAGTTCTTCTCCTGCCTGCCTCAACATATAGGCCGGATGGGAGACAACTTCCGCGGACAAGGAGTCCATATCTCCTGCTCCAACTTTGCTATGCTTTTTATCAATGATAACGCCCTAGTCCCAGAAATGGGTAAGACGTTAACGGGTCTATATACCACAGCTATAGCAACACCAGTTGAATGCAGAGTCCCCTCCGCAAGAGCTTACTGGAGTACCTGTACCCAATCAGAGCCCCTTATCTCTCTGGTTAACACTATTCCTACATCATCCAGCACGAGATTTAGTTCCTCCCTTAGCCCTCTCCACTATACTATCTACCAGTCTATGCATACGTTCTCCCTCCTACTCCGCCAAATAGGTGATAAAAACGTCCTCCCAGCAATTCACGTCTCTCTCGCCTTTCTATTTACCCTTTCTCTTGCCCCAGAGGCAATGCTTGTTTTTGAACCCCTTGTCCCCTTCCGCGATCTAGTTACTTTCCTTAATACCCTTAACCGCCACCGTGTAAGCGAGTCCAAGATCGCTAGTGATGAGTTCCCGCTCCCTGAGTCCAGGGATGTGGGCGTCAAGTACTATCTTCCTGAAGACTTTGACCTGCGCGGCCTGGCCTGGACAAGACTCTACTTCCCTGACGGACACTTTGTTAATACGGAGCTGCCGGAGGACGAAGAGCGGATGCTGGAGCTTGCTCATACTGCATTTGTCAGGGCCGAGAGGTGTCTGTGGCTCGGATGCAGGCTTGCTTCCGTAAGTACATCCTTTCCCTTTCCCGTTTTTCTCTTTTTTGCATCTGTTTGAGTTGGGTCGGTAACACGGTGAGGCAGATGGACCGATGGTTTACATATGACTCCTCCCAGCGACGGTTCAAGATAAAGGATCTTGTTCCGCAGCTTGAACGGTACTCGGAGCGAGTCCCTTTCTTTAGGAAGGCCGCTGAGGTGCTTTCTGAGGCAACCGCATAAGTCTTGTCACAACGTTACAAAAAAGCCGGCAAAAAATGACAATCGAAAAATTGGAATATTCAAAAGCAACCTGGTCGAAACTACAGGTACTAGCTGACCTTCTACTGGGATAGGGGGCCATGAGGTCTCATATCTCATTAATTTCGCTAATCTCCATACCAACATCCGGGATCGGCCCTTGTTCCTTCTCTTTTCCCTTCTCTCTCACCCATGTTTCTATTTATCCTATCTACAACTTCTATAACTCTTTCTATGTCGTCGTTTCTTAGCGTTGGGAGGCTACTCTTGAGTCACTCCGAGTTTGTATGGCCACGTATGTTTGAAAATTGGTCGTGCCGTTTTCTACTTGCTCTATTCAACATTACGTTTTACTTTCATATCTACTACCAACGTCGTCGTCTTGCCTTTTTTTTTTTTTTTTTTTTCTCGGAAATTTGTATATAGGATATGACTCGATATGTACATATAACCACTGCTAGATATATATGAAGTCGTGTTCGGGCCGCTGCATCATACGTTCGTTCATTCATTGGCTAATATCCACCTTGCTCTCTCAAACGATCACCTCATGCATGCATATGCTGGAGTGTGCATCTTCCCGGCGTTTGACCGCTTTCCTCTCTGCATTGTGTGACGTTAGTTTGGACAGTCATTCGACAGGTCGATACGCTTCCTTCACCGACATAACGGTTACCTTCCAAAGAGCAAACGATCTCACGCCCTATGGAGTAACTGCCCACCCCCTTTTCAAACAAGAATGCAAGGTTGCCACTGATAGCCACCACCACGGCTACCAATTAATAGTCAAGGCTGCCATATGTTTCCGTCTCTACACGGCTGAATTAAAGAGCATTGCTTGGTCATCGCCGCGACTGGCCTTGTCCTTTGCCACGATCTAGACGGGGTATCAAATCAATATCTAGGCATTAATAACCTGGATGAAAATAACCTTAATGCACGGATGTCATAGCTCATGCCTATCCCTTAGTTAAGTAAGCCCGGTCCAAGGCTGAGGTTGGACACGGCCGGACACCGATGGGATGCGAGGTATGCGGAGGATCCTATAGGGCAGCGGCGGGTGCATGCATCCGCGACGGTTTGATCATTAACTTGTATTTGCCAGCCGCCAACCAGACGGCAAGCGCTGCTATTCGCCCGGCGCATGCGCGACACGGGGACTGTCTGCCTTTAAGGCATCCATTTTCTGCAACGGCCATGAGACACCGAGGGTCGGCTGATCTGTCAGCGCTGCCGAGTTCAGGGCCATGGCTGATCCTTTGCACCAGGTGAGATTCAAATGCAGTTGAGAATGGAAGAAGATGAAATAACAAAAAAATAAATAAAGACGAAAAAAAAAAAGAACGAAAAAAAGAACTCCCTGACGGGGAATCGAACCCCGGTCTCCCGCGCTTGTTACTCGGCTTACTCAGCGAAGTTGACAAGCGGAAATCATGACCACTAGACCATCAAGGACTTTCTGGTGGAAGGCGGAAGGGCGCCGGTGGCTGATGAGTGGAAGGCGCATGTGTTGGCTCTTTTCTTACAAGAGAGATAGATCTTGACGTCGACATGTTGGCTGCTGGCTGATACAGCGGCATGAACACGGCGCAGGAAGTCATGTCGGGCGCAGAGAGCGAGCTGGGCCACCTGTCAAACGCCCTCGCCTCTCCGGCGCAGCTGGAACACTCCTCCTCGTCGCTGGACGGAGTGCCCGGGGAGCTCGAGAGGTCCGTTCGATATGCGGGCGTCAGGCTCACGCAGGCTGCTGGAGTGCTGCTTCAGCTGCCGCAGGATGTCATTGCCCAGGCGATAGTCGTCTTTACACGGTTCTGGGTCGGTCCTGAGGGAGGCAGTCTGGCAGTCTACTCTGCAAAGGTGCGCCCCATTTCACTTTTCAGCCGTTACGGTGTTTGTTATAACTAACGACCTTGACAGGATGTATCGGCCGCAGCGCTGTACATGACGGCGAAGCTCTCTTTTTACCCCGTATCGCCTCGCTCGGTGCTCAACGTGTACACGTATCTACTCTCCCCTACAGCCTCGCCTCTACCCTTCGTCAACCCAGAGGGAGCTCCCGAACAGCCCGAGCCAGAGAGCTATTACCTGTCCGAAGGCTCATACCAGATTGAACGCCAGAACCTGATGAAGATCGAGTCGGCCGTCCTACGCACCGCTTCCTTTCACACAAGGGTCGTTCTACCGCATACCATCGCCCTGACTTACCTGCAGACTCTCAAGGTGTCCTCTTCCTCCGTGGCTGCGCGTACCTTCGCACATCTCAACGCCGCCTTGTTCTCGCCTCAGATCCTATATCTAACTCACCAGCCGAATGCGCTGGCTGTGGCCGCTATCTACCTCGCTGCGAGGGAGCAAGGGGTCAAGATCGTTGACAGTGAGTGGTGGGAGGTGTTTGACGTTGATCGAGAGGAGCTGGGATTCCTAGTTGTCGCCATGAGGAGCATGGATGGGTTTGCTAGGGCTGAACATGAGTACTGGAAGGGCAAAGTTGTTCCCTTGACCGTTGGCGGCGTTGAGAGAGAGGCATCTAGACGTCAGCAGGCCGCTTCCGCTGAGTCGTGATGCCACCTGCCCATGGTCTACCACCGCTGTCGCCTCGGGAAGAATGCTTTTATTCACCTACGAGAGAGAGAGAGAGAGTCCTGATTTAAACAGTGACATACAGAGCATCTGCAACAGCTCAAAGAAAACACCACCGAGCAGAACTGTCAAACGGATGCTTTCAAGAGGAGCTCCCTAAAGGAGTACTCAGGTCCCGTCTCAAGACCTTGGTAAACTACCTTGATTAAAGCGGGTCTAGCAGCAAACAGGCCGGCCAGCCGACACCCCAAGAGTCACCAGAGGCCCATGTACGATAAAGAAATGACCACAAACTTATCATCGTCTAAGCAGCTGTAGATATATATGCATGTCCTCCTAGCGGATAAATGATATATGACCGTCTAGAGACCTCTTAAGAAAGCCGCCAAGCACGTGAAAAACGTCATAGAGATCATCCCACCCTGTCAAGCGCCTTCGCCAGGCACCACCACCACCATCTAACTGCACGACAGTCAAACGGCACCCTGCAACCGCCAGGCAACTCTGTAACATACACACATCTACAACATCTACAAGCCACATATCTTTTCTGGAAATCTAGAACAAGAAGAGCAAGAAGAGCAAGATAACTCGTCAGGATGAACGTTATCCGTTCCAAACTAAACGATATCCGGGACCGTCTGGCCCCCATCTCAAACGTCTCTACCTTCAGAAATACCGGCCAAGTGACGCCTGAAGAGTTCGTGCGCGCCGGAGATTACCTCGTCTACAAGTTCCCTACCTGGTCGTGGTCCGCCGCGTCGTCGCCGTCAAAACGAGTCTCCTACTTGCCGGAGGAGAAGCAGTTCCTCGTCACCCGCGGGGTACCATGTAACCGCCGACTAGACGAGAACTTCGCTGGCAAGGCTGCGGATATCATAATACAAGGCGAACTGGGAGAGTCTTCTGGCGCAGGCGGAGACGGTGATGACGACGGGTGGTTAAATACAGGTGGCGATGAGGGCGCCGGTGAGACGCATGCAAAGGACGTCAGGACAGTGGATGACTCGGGGAACGTAGCTGAGAAAGAAGAAGAGGATGAAGAGATTCCTGATATGGACGATGAAGAGGACGATGAGGAAGCTATCATTCGAGAACCAGCTCAGAAGGGCGGGAAGAATGCGTGAGTCTTAACCGTTCTTATACTTCGCTCAAGATATATGCTTCTTATTGCTAACCTGTCTATCTAGTCCCCTGCGAACATACTCACTTTACATAACTTATACCCCATACTACAAGACCCCTCGCCTCTATCTATCCGGCTACGCCGCCGTATCAGAACCACTGCCTCCCCACCTGATGATGGAGGATATAGTAGGCGACTATAAGGACAAGACAGTCACGCTAGAAGACTTCCCCTTTTTCGACGGGGGTGTGAAGATGGCTAGCGTCCACCCTTGCAAGCACGCAAGTGTGATGAAAGTCCTGCTCGACCGTGCCGATGCTGCGCTGAAAATCCGTCGTGAGAAACAGTCGAAGCGCTCCAAGGAGGGCAAGGACAAGGTTGAAGCTGGCCTAGAGGGCCTTGTGGATGATACGGAGAAACTGAAGGTCTCTGGCGAAGATAAGTCTAAGGGTGGGAGCAGTAGTGCGGGAGACGAGTGGGAGGTGCTAGAGCATGAAGGGGATGATGAGGCAGACCAAGAGGTTGCGATCCGGGTTGATCAGTACCTGGTTGTTTTCCTCAAGTTCATCGCCAGCGTCACGCCGGGCATCGAACACGATTTCACCATGGGAGTTTAGGCTCGTTTCAACTTTGCTTCTCGTTTTATCTACTTGGCCGGGAGTGAATGGGGTTGGTGCTTTTCTTTTCTTTTTTACATTTTGTCCCTTTTGACTTGGTTTCATTTGATTGAACTTTTTGAGATCTCCTCGTTGTTTGCATTGCATTCCCCTATTTAGGCAGGCAGTGCCTTTAAATATCTGCCTTGATGATGTCTTCAGAACGCAAATACTTGATTTAAACCACTCTCTAGATTAGTTCTCAATTCTAATCAAATCATTAAAAATATCCAGGCAAAAATGTCCATATATATATATCCTGTATGGGTATCCAAAACTATCCGCTCAGCATTCCTCGTTCCTGACTACAGTGGCTATCAAAGCACACGAAGTCGTTTCCGCTCACTCTTCACTTCTCCATGATTAATCTTTTCGGATAAAGCACCCTTTGGCCTAGATGGTTTGCGCTTAAGTTGCTTCGGCTGCTTCTTCGCTAGCCGTGGGTCCATCTGGGACGCATCAAAGTCAATAATAAGCGCCCTATTGAGCTCGGCGTTCCACAGGATATTCTGCCATCGAAGATCCCCGTGCAATAACCCTAGAGAACGAATCTCTTTCTTTGACTTTGAAACTTCTCGTCTAACGGTCCTATCGACATTTTCTTCGTCAATATGTTCACCTGCCCAGCCCATGAGCAGCATGTGTCGGATCCTTCCAGCCCCATGCAGGTAGTATGTCATGGCAAGGTCAATGGTACCAAGAAAGACTGGTATTGCTGAGCCTTGGGCTTGCTTTAGGAAACGGTATATTTCTGCTTCGCGCGAGACCACCCCCCAGAGATGAGTGGTGGTTCCTTTGCCAACGACAGTATACCCGTATTCAGTACAGGTGATTTTAAAGGGCGCCCCTGTGGCTCCGCATTCTCCGCAATTTCCCATGGGAGTGCAGTCAATGTCAAGGTTCTTATCCAGCTGCTCGTTGATTAATTGAACTAGGGTTTTAGCATCGATGAGGTGGTGATCACCGTCCCCATTCTTTCTGTGAAGAGCCACGTTTGGACAGTTCTCATCTAGTTTGTCCCCTTGCTTTAGTCCAAGAAGACATTTCTGGGTACAGAATTGGGCATTGTGCTGATAAGGACTGCCTCCAGTTTGTCGAGAGCCCGTCGTCTGACGCGGCGACTGTGCTGACTGGGATGACGAAGACGTTGTCAATTCACTAAAGCCACGTTTGCGCCCGCTGGGTCCAGCATCAGGGTCTTCATCGGCATCTGGAGGATCACTGCTTCCCTCTGTATTAGGCCTGCACTGAGCTCGAGATCGGGTACTAGCCCGAGTCAATATCTGGCTCTCTCCAGCAACTTCTTCAAAGGAAGATGATGATGGCATATATTCAGAGATAGTAGGGGCACCTACACTCTCCGACGAAGTATATTCTGAGTCAGGTGGATTTTGCCGCAGTTCTTCGTCTGGAATTTGGGAGCGTGTATGGTCAAAACTCGTCGTCCATTCTGGTACCCGTGCCCTTGCAAATTGTCGCCATGTCTGGTCACGGATTGGCGAGCGAAAGCTCATCAGACAGAGACAGAGAACCCGTGCAATGGTGGTCAATGGCTTTTGTAAATGAGCAGTTGCGGGTTTGATGTCTTCGTTTGGTTCACACATATGGTAGTATACGACTTCAGGCGTATCCCGTGGAACCCGCAGCAACACCACGGCTAACCCATTAGTCAAGTAGGAATATTCAAGGCCCTCCTGAAGCATGACATGGTATTCTTGCACAATGGCCGAACCAGTCAGCACATATGCATTATGGACTAACTTGTCCTTACCTTCCTTCGGAACCGAGTCAACGTTGACTATTTCTTCCCAGAAATTAATGGGATTTTTCAGAGCGCAACGGAGATTTTCGACAGAGAGTTTATGAGGTGGTTTGTATTCAACCGTGGTCAGAAGATGGGTCGACTGACCGTTGACTCGATGGATGCAGAACTGGTCCGGTCTCGAAGGGTATCCATCTGAATCCAGATCACGGGTATTATCGCCGGTTGAGTCAAGGTCATTCCCATGATTGTCAAACCAGACTCCATCGCCCAAATCGAATTCCTCCTGAGCACCTGGTATCTTGCAGAGTTCGGATATGATTTTGTGAACATGATCTTCGACCCCAAATCTTTCGTATCCTTCTAGGTCTTTCTCACTGCTTAATGCCCTGGCCCTGAAAACTTCCCCAAAGTGGTCTAAAGCATGACGCGAGGCAAAGAGCCGCGGTGCAGGTTCTCCGAAAGGTTGTAGATAGGTGCAGACAGAATTATAAATCCTCTGCTGTTCAGCATCACAGCTATCCCATTTTAAAAATTGCAAAGGACAAGCCTTCCCTATTGGACGGTTGATAGATCCCTTGGTAGAGAGATGTGGTATCCCAACTCGTAATGGGACGGAGAAGAGATGATGACAGAGACCAAGGAACTCCAAGAAGGTCGTATTACGAGTCCGTTCCCTCTCTCGATCCCGTTCTTCCTCCGCCCGTCTTCTCTCCTCTCTCTCCTGCAGGTAAAGAGCACGGTAGTCTGGAGGACTGGACATCTTGAATGCAATACGACCCGCCGTTAATATCTTTAGTTATATGATATCAGAAATATAAGGGTACTAGCATGTGTTACTAGTGTAAAAGGCCACAACTTGAGCCATGGCATCAACCGCTCCCAGGCAGCGATGGAGGGAGGGGAGATGTTGTAGTTGTTGGTTTCTTGACGCCCAGGCAGCAGCGCGGCTAATCAGATGAGCAGGGGTCCCGGGAAGAGTGTCACGTGAGGCGCTTTTAGCGTCCGGGAGGATAATGGATTGCCTTGGGGATCTTTTTTATATCTCGACATAAGGGAATGGAGATTATCATAAATAAATAGCACGATATCGAATCGTGATTAACAAGGATGTGTGTGATATTTGCAATGTAGAGTATATATCCCGGTTCTGTGTCTACTAAAGCAACGGAAAGTCCCTTCAAAAGGGAAAGGAAGGAAATAACTAGAGGTAGTAATTAGATAAATGCTATTATGATATGTACATTCGCGGGTATCCCTGCCCTTCATGATAATTTGTGCCCGCCAGTCCCTGGTACAAAAACGAACTCCAAATGCTGCATACAAGACGCTGTAAGAACTGGGACTGAATAAATGGATAGGAGAGAAGTGAGTGAAAGATGACAAGGGGTGAGGAGGGGGGATGAGGAGGATAAGAGAATACTATGGAGGAATGCCTGCTTGCTTGTTCGCTCATTCAGCACAGAACATGATCAACATATGCAATTATCCAATCGAGTAGTTAGTTGACTAACTTAATGGAAAGAAAGCGAAAAAGGGAGAAGGTCAGGTAAAATCAAGCATCGTAGCCAAGCAGACGCACGGACAGACTGAGATGACTGCAGCATGGGGCATGGGGTATTTCATGCTATATGTTGCTGCGTCGAGCCAAAGGCTGTGCCGAAGTTGGTACTCTTCTTGAACCGAATCTCCGGCTCAGGTTCCGACTGGGGATTCGCCGCATCAGACAGAGCATCGGAGTCAGATAATGCAGGATTGGTTGAAACAGCCTTCTTGGCCTCCATCAGCAACTTCTTGTCAAGCGCTTCGAGGAAGTCTAAATCGTGCTCCTCATCATTCCGGAGCATAAGCGGGCCGGTAAGTTCCGGGTCCTCGTCGGCTTCGTCCTCTGCATAAGTGTGCTCAGGTGAGTCCGCATCTGGTGTGAATTTAGGTTGCTCGTCTGTCGTATGTGTCGTTAGTCGGGGGCGCTGCACGGGCGCTTGGACAGTGGGCTCGGAAGAAGTAGCAGCAGGGCCGGCGTCCGGAAGAGCGGTCTGAAGGGTCGCAGCATCACAGCCATCATGGGTCCGGTAATGGGCCCGCGATTCACTTTCCACAGCGGCGGTGAAGGCGGTGCCTGGCTGTCGTGGAGAGGAAACGTTTGGGGTTGAGAGAGGAGGGGAGGTTAGCTTGGCGGCAACATTGGGAGGCAGGCCAGTTGATTTGAGTGTGATGCCGTCCAGGCTGCTGTCTACCAACTCCACAGGAATGGCGACATGGTGTGCTCGGTCAACCGGCTGGGTTCTGGGGGAGAGCGCCTCATCTAGAGACGGCGATCTACCAGAAGCGAGGTGATCATCGACCTGGAGAAAAGGGGGATCATGCGCTGCTGGTGCAAGGGGTCCTGCTGTTGCTGTCCCGTCCAGAAACCTCCTTGTCGGTTTTCCTGTCGGCCTTGAGCCCTCCCAGACTCGTAAGCTGGCAGAAGAAGAGTTGCCGGCCTGGCTTACAGGCTCGACGGTAGACATGTCCACATGGGTGCAGTTGATATGTTTCTCGAGACTCGCTATCCTCGACTTGAGTAGTTCCCGCTCCTGACTCCACAATTTACGTTCCTCGCCAAATGCAAAGCGCTCACATTCGAAACTGGCACGCTGGCTCTGTAGGGCCGCTCGCGACTGTTCAATGTAGGCCTGTAGACCGCTGTTGTCGTCTGGTAGCGGTAAAGGCGGGAGTGAGTGGTTGTGATGGTATCGTATAGGAGATTGGTCCGCCGGGGCTAGGTTCATGGGTAGGTGACCTTGACCACCACCTCGAGGCGGAGACTTATATAGACTAGTCGGATGGTGTCGGATATCGTATTTGGAGAGACTATTTTCTTCACCGTCTCTCTCTCGATTCCTCTTTGTTGTGCTTGTGTGTGCGTCTCAACTGGCTAGCGGCTAACGGCTGGTTCTTAACGGTGCAGAGACAACATCTGGTGTTATGTAGGCGTCAGGAGATGTTGGGTAAGATCAAGCATCAACTAGTGAATATAAACTATCAGCCCATCCAGTCCTAATAAGCGCAGTGGCTTTCTGGCGGGCGTCTTTTTCAGGACGTATCGTCGGATATCGAGGACGCAGCAGTCGCTGATGGAGGTGATGATCGAAGGATTAGGCGCGCCGACGGCTGACCACAGCGCCCACTGACCAAACAGACAGCACAATCCCACGTATCCAAAGGCATCGACGGCATGTAGACTCGAATCAATCGCCGTCTCCCCTTCAACAAGGCTCTACCGACTGCATCTTCAATGTAAGCAATTCAGCATCGCCGTCAGCAAGCCAACAAAGACCAGATAACTACGGAGGACTATCAGGCATCGGGCGGGATCTACGACTAAAAAGTCCCGCCATAGAAAAAAATAGCGGGCGGATCGAACCCGATACGATAAGCGGAAGTTTGTTCTTCCGGCCGAGATCACGGGACTCGAACCTCGGCAACTTTTTCCCTTCTGAAAAGGGGCTAACCCTAAAAAAAAAAGGGAGATGCAGACGACGAGACAGCCAGACGCAGGGACGAAGACGAAGACGAAGACGAAGACGAAGATGATGAAGACGACGCGGGCGCAGACGACGGGTGAGAAAGGGGACCAAGAGACACGCAGATAATATAATACGTTCTCACTCTGCCCTGCATCAATAGTGCATCGATCAAGGCGACGGCTCCTTCTCCCCGGATACGCAGCTGGCTGGCCTGACAGGGGTCACTTCTCCTGAGTAACTGCAGCAGCAGGTAACAGCAGCAACAGTAGCAACAGCAGCGTTGTACGGAGTACCTCTGCCGCTGCAGCACAAATACCCCTGCCAGCCGCTACAAGGGAGAGGTCGAAGAGACTGCTCAACCTCCTTCGCTTGGCCCAATAACAGTGATAAGTGACATGCATCGCGATCAACAAGACACGCCACAGCGGATCGCGCTATCTGATACCAACCACCCGACCACATAATATGGGGTCCGATTCTTCTTGGTCACTTTTTTACTTTGCTGCTTTCTTTTTGGTCGATTTCGTTTTCGCTTCGGCCGGCGAAATCTCACATTATATGCAGGTTTGCATTTTGCTGAGGAAGAACAAACTTGATGCCATCCATGGAGTCTGACACGTGACGGAGCATCCGCCCCGGGCACATGGAAAAAGGACGAAGATGAGATGAAACCGAGAGGCAGGCAAAAAGGCGAAGTGATGCAAGCGGCTGGCGGGTGAGATGGCGTCGAGTAACTCACTAGCTGTGTGTATATATATATATATATATACGGAGTACATATATATATATAACTACCTAGGACCGGACGCAGCCAGGCGCAGGATACCCGCACGGCTGAGAGGTTACTCTCCCACCCTCTAAAGACACAGCCAGAGCCTTGCCTGGACGCTGGACACCTCATCTCTGCGTGTCCGACTCTCAGCCCGACAAACGTCAAAATCATCTCCAACGGCTTGACTTGACTGACTAGATGACCATGAGCGAAGACCGATGCCATTCACCGAGCGACAACTGCATGTGCTGCACATCACTGAACGGGTGAGCTCGACGATCTCTCTCGTCGGCTGCCTCTTCGTCATCCTCACCTTCGTCGCCAGCCGCCGCTTCAGAACGCCCGTCAACCGCCTCATCTTCTTCGCAACATGGGGGAATCTACTCGGTATCTGTGCCACGGCCACATCAAGATCTGGCATCGTTGCGGGCGAGGACAGCGCTCTCTGTCAGTGGCAAGCTCTCTTCATTCAATGGTATGACTCCCTCTTCGAACCACTTCCTTCGTGAGGACCATGTTGGATGCTAATTTGTTTCATGGAGTAAAGGTTCCATGTCGCCGATGCTCTTTGGGCGTTCTGTATGGCCTGCAATGTCTACTTGACCCTGTTCCATCGATATAGCACCGCAGAGTTACGGAAGCTGGAGTGGAAGTACATGGTCATATGCTACCTGTTTCCCTTCATACCCGCTTTTGCCTTCCTCTTTATCAAAAATGAGGAGAAAGGGAAGGTTTATGGAGATGCGACTGTAAGCTTGCCTAGAGATAATCGGCGGTATTGGCAAAAAATGCTAATTTTATTCATTTTGCTAGCTTTGGTGTTGGATTAGACCGGAGTGGTCGGTCCTCCGAATCGGAGGCGTCTACGGACCCATCTGGACCACCATCCTGATCACTCTCGGCATCTACCTATACAGTGCCAGGTTCATCCTCGCCAGCCGCAGAGACATTCAACGCCTGCGCAACATCAGTCTTACCTTGTCGGGTGTTGAGTCGACCACTGCTGGGGTGACCGATGCCTCAAGCTACGCCGAACATGATATCAGCCCTGGCCTCCAGCAACACGCTCAGAAAGTCGGTCAACATACAGACCGGCAGCATCAGCAAAAAAAGCAACCAAAACAAGACACATACCACCTGGAAAATTGGCCAGAACCGGCGCTTCGGCAAGATCATCTAGGTGATGACCTTGAACCAGCTTACTTCCCTCCGGCGTCACCCCGACATACCACACACGGCCCTGAACTTGGAGGAACACGGGATGAAATAGACATCGAACATGCACCAGGGAACAGCCAGAGCTTAGCCGGAATACGTGGCACAACTGGTGATAAGTACCGCATCCGCAAGGCCTCATGGGAACGACAGAGCGCTGCATGGGCTTATTCGAAATTCGCTCTTCTCTTCTTCTGCTCTCTGCTCGTCACCTGGGTGAGTACCCCGCCATTCCCCTTGCTTCTCAAACCAACTTTGCCTCTTCTTTATCATTTTTCTAACAATTACCGATAGGTACCTGCATCGCTAAACCGTGTCTACTCATTTGTAGAACCAAACAAACCAAGCAACGTCTTGACATACATCGCCTCCCTTGTGCTCCCCCTACAAGGTTTCTGGAACACCCTTGTCTACACTGCTGTTTCATCGTCAGCCATATCTTCATACATCTCTTTATACCGACATAACCCACACTTACTCTACCAATGGCTCCACCCAAAACGACTGTACAATTATATTTCACGGCCTTTCAGACGGTAGACATGATTCCGAAGATGTTATTTTTTTACGTCACCGTACATATACCCAGAGCAACGCAGTCAGACGCACTTCTGCTCTATTGTTTCTTTTTTATCTGTTGGCTACCCAACGTTGGATCTCTGGCATATTTTCAACTACATTGGGGCTTTTGGGAGGAATGGCTTTTATTGATTAGTCGGTTTGGAAATACATCAGTGGGTGGGATCAGGCGGACACGGGTATCTCTCGGCGGCGGCGGGAACTATGGGTAACTATATAAAGTAGAGCAAATTCTAGCGATCGTCTTCAAAACAGCTCCGCAGTTCCCAACTTAGCTTCCATTGTACTATCAATGGTAGTTAACTCTTCTCCAGCTAGAATAGCAGCTTAAATGCAAATGATGTACAGTCTAAGAAGTATAAATGTATGAATATTCAAAAAGATAAGCTCAGTTTCCAGCCCGTGTATAGACGCCAAAACCCCACGCGGCTCGAAGTATAGCAAGCCCATAAGCCATGCCCAGACTATCCCAGACGACGCTCAACTTACTGCCTGATACCTCTTTCCATCCGATAGGCACTTCAGCGACGGGGATGTTGGCAAATTCAGCTAACATGAGCATTTCAACGTCGAAGATCCAGCCTTCTGAGTGCATATAGGGTATAATGTATGGCAGACTTGCCCGGGAAAAGAGTTTAAAGCCACACTGAGTGTCGTTAATTCTGGCTGTTGCCGGTGGCGTAAGGAGGCGGAGCGCTAAATGGAAAGAGTGCATCAGAAAGTTCCGTAGTTTGGATCGCTTGAGGAACGTTAGCTGATGTTACATTATATCTCATGTTGAATGGAATAAAGCCACAAGTATATTGTCGACACTTACCTTGACGACCACATCACTTCCTACCAAATGCGCTCTCGACCCGACAGCAACTACACGGCGGTTTGGATCCTCCATCTTCTCACATGCTTCCACCAATTTGCCTAAGTCGTTGAAATTGCTGGCCCCGTCAGCGTCCGCGAATATGGCATATTGTCCTCGAACATGTCTCATTCCGTGAATCACTGCGCCACCTTTACCCCTGTTCTGGGTCAACTCAATAACCCGTATACTCCCGGCTGGTATCTTAACACCTTCTTTTATTTTTGGGGTCCATGGCCCTGCATGACCCTTGGGATGAGCGGACAGCTGGTGGTCTTTGGCGAAGGCCAGTGCCGTCTCCACGGTATTGTCGGTCGATCCGTCAGAGACAATCAATATCTCCCAGCCTTTCAAGGGCACGGCAGAGTCCTTGCCAGCGGTTGATCCTGTTTTGCCGTTGGCATTGTGTCGAAGTCTCGTGTCTCCAAGATCGCCGTCCTGCAAGCTGGTAGTTTTTGTTTTCTCTACCTGGTCCGTTCGCTCTGGTGTTCCGTACGCGCGTTGTAAATAGCTAACAGTCTCTTCCAACATCCCAGGGAGTCGCTTTTCCTCATTATACGCTGGTATCACGACAGACATGAACAAGGTGGGTTCCTCGAGGTCCGACTGTTTGTACGTATCCAGGTTGATCTTATCATGCCAGCAAGGTAGTTGCTGGTCCTTAGAAAGACTCCCATCTTCTAAAATCGCTTTGTATTTCTTTTCCTCAGGAAATGGAGCTCGCGGAGCAGGCGCTAGGATCAAAAGGAGGAGGTAGACCTAACGGAACATCTTGGTTAGTTACAACGTGGCTTTAACTGATAACCGGCGGATCAAGCAAGGCTTACCAGGCTGAAAAGTCCCATACAACAAGAGAGTAAAAGACCAAAAAGCAGCGACAGAGGAATATCCTTGATTACGCTTACGCACTCTGCGCAAAGCGATCCTAGGCCCAGCGTTATCATGGTGGTAGAAGATGGGCAACTGCGGTCCCGGCCAATTGACCAGAACTCAGGCGGGAAATTGGAAGCAAAATATAAAATTAGGTCACCATCGAGCGATATAACAGAGGAATCAAACAGCCGTTCGTTAGGCCGTGGGTGCGGTTAGATGTCGGCGGACCTGCCACTTGTCCAGTTGATGGAGTTAACCCTGCGGTGTCGAACTTAAGCTCGCCGGGCTGGTTAAGTAATAAGCGCCCGTTCCCGCCAATTAGCCGCGCTGCTCCACTTCTTTGTTGACGAACATCTGGATCCCCCTTTGTTTACAACATCCATCTCGCATTTCTGCTTATCCGCAACTCCTAGATACTCATAGACGACATAGACGACGAGAAAGAAAGTTGTTAACGTAAGGAGTACTTAGTACCTTTATGGTTATGCTGCATTTCTTAGCTAACCTCGACTAAAATAATGGTCCACGCGATGCTGTGGCAACCGTCATAGTCAAAAGCATGCAACTTACGCCCAACGCACAGCCACTAGTTAAATGTGCATCTTTAGCACGGCAAAGCTCACCATTCAAATGCCTCGGTCGTGAATTCTCATGGCGAGACCTTGTCACAAACAAGCTGGTGCAGGACGCGGTCCTTCATTACCAAGGCAACACGCTTGTTTTATCGATAAAGATCATTCGGCTCCACCAGGGGCCAGCCCAGCAAGTGAAATTCGTCATCGCACGTCTCAGGCAGATTTGCTTTTTGGAAGCCGACTATTTTCCGGGCGTCGGTGTGTCCTCTTTCACCTCTGAGCAACGCTGCGAGCTTTCGCACGAACAATAAACGCCTTGTCCTATATATGGGCCGGTACCCGTTCGAAAACGGTCCGACTTGTGGAAATATCGATGTGAACCGCTATCGGGCAGCTTTGTGAAAGCATGGATACGTGGAAAAAGCAGGTTGGCGAGAAGACGCCCGAGACGTCAAGAAACCCGTCGCCAGACCGGTTGCAGCAACGCTTAAACAGGATTTTTGACGAATCAAGGACGAACAACAGCCAGCCATCGAAAGGTCAACAGGAAACAGCATGGTCTGCTACTGTTCGCGCTGCCACATACTCTGCAGAAGGAGGCCGGTCTCTACCCAGCTCACCAACGAAACCATCGCGGCTACGGCCTCAAGAGGACCGACCTCATAGCTCTTCCCAAAGCATTGCGGCCTCGCATCGTCGTGCCAAAACAGATCTTCCGGGGCTTGTGAATGGGCCGTCATTCCCCATAGATGGAATAAGGACGACCAGCCACTACACTGACACGGACCCGTCCAAGCTCGAGGACGTGGATCTGGGCGCTTCAACGGAGAAAGCCAACGAGCCTAAATCCAACCGCTCCAGCCGGTTGTTCTCTGGGCTTTTCCAGGGAGAATCTACACCTATGCGATTGGGGCTTATTTCCTCCCCACGTTCGGATAGGGGAGCTTCAGATGACATTATGCACGACACCTCACCTTCTCTCGAGCGATCAAGTCGCAACTCCTCCCCATCGTCGCCCACGAAGCTGTCGGGAAATATGAACGTCTCGGCCTCGTTGAGGCAGGTTGCTTCAGGAAATCCCTTTTCATTCTTCACGTCAAAGCCCCAGCAAGCCCGAAGGGAACCGCTGCCAGAACCTGCCAATGACAAGCTTTTAAATCTCGATATCAAATCTATCCTATGCCACCCTTCCTTTGCTGACCTCCCTCCCGAAGAAGCCCTTCAGTCCTTTCGAGCCAACGCAGAAAACCTCCTACACGAATTCCAAGAATCCTACAAACAACGAACTTTTGCATTACATGGGGCGGTAGCGGAGAAAAATGCACAGGAAGACGAGCTGGAGGACGCGCAATCGCGGATCAAAAATATCAAGTCTCAGCTTGACGGAATGGCGGCTAGGGTAGTTGAACAAGACAAAGCATTGAAGGCTCTGACCGAGGAGCTTAAGGCTGAGAGGCAGAAATACCAGGACGAAATAAAGACCAAGCAGCAGCAACAGCAGAAACAACCGGAAGGCACGGCTACACAAACACGAGATTCCAAGGGTACTCACTCAAAAAATTCGAGTGGCGTGACGATTACTAGCGATTCCGGCTTTGACTCAGGAGACGAGAGCATTGCTGAAAGCGTGTTTTCTCGAGAAAATGACGATGGTGCATCAGTCAACACCAGGTTTTCTGCAGTCTCGATGGCAAGCCCGTCTGCGACTACCCCCCAGCAGAGTCCAGCAATGTCTGCGCCTACATCTAGCCCGAGTACTCCGAAAGCCGCCCAGCCAGCACCACAGCGCGAGAGTGCCTACGGCAGAGTTCTCAAAGGCATATCATCGTCGGCTCTCGGCACATCCTTCAATGCCTTGACATCTTCTAGACTTAAATGTCCCGATTGCCGTGCCAATGGCTCATCGGACGCTTCGACCGTCACCAGCATCCTAAGGGAGGAGAACCGATACCTAAAGAACCGCATCATAGATCTTGAAAGCGCAGTTGAAGATTGTATTTCTCTCGTCGGAGGATAATTGTTAGATATCATTTTATTTCACCGAAATGTCTGATCCATATATTTACCCCCCTCTCCCATTTTCATTTGTCTAGTCTTGTTTTGTCTATGAGATTTTTTGTTTGATTTATATGAATTTCATTTGTGAACGATCTAGGATGGAACGAAAGCTGGTTCTTGACTTTGACCTTAAATTTAATAGATATAGATTTAGCTTAAAATAGTATACCTGCCACACGGCGTCATCCTCTGGCGGCTCTAGCAGTCGGGTTAATCTGCGGTAGCTATTCCGAACTCAGTTTGTACTTCAATGTGTCTCACTCCACGGCTTTGAGCAATGAGTCCGATCAACCCTTGCCCAACGTCTTTGATTTCATTATAGTCGTGAAGAAGCCGAATATGCTCTTTGACGATACCGGCAGCGTCCGGAGGCCCCCCATGTTCCTTAACCAACTCACTATAGTGGAATTAAACTCGAGTGTTAGATCTTGCAGGACATTAAAGTTAAAAGAATACAAGGGGAAGAAGTACTTGAGTCGCTCTCTTGCTTTGACAATAGCTAGTTCGTTGTTTTTAATCTGCTCGTGGAGCTTGGGTATCCTGGCCTCTAAAGTTTCCTTTATACCGGAATCGAGAATCAATCAGCACCACATCCTGTCTCCTACTACATCTTGGATACGGCGGCACGCACAATCTTCTTAGCCTGCAGAGGCGTTGGGGGTGTGACTCCGGGAGTATTCTCATCATCAATAGCCACAGTCATTGTCGCTAGGTGTTTCTGAGGTAGCTGAGGTGTCTGGGGTATCTGGGTATCTGGGTATCTGGGGTATGGGGTATCCGGGGTACCCTTTTGGTATGGCTCCCAAGCTTTCGAACTAGAGCAAGAAGCAGTCTTTGTTCGACTCGCCCGGGCTGTTTGCAGAACGTAGGAGTATATTCACACAATAAGGGGGGGGGGGGGGATCACAAGGCCTATGGCTGCTGGGCATGTAGCGAATGTCCTCGTTGAAGGGCTGCTGCCTGCTTTCTCCATTAATTGTCAATGGGCGGACGTTGTTTGGTCGAAAGTTCAGGAGAATTTTTTGCATGGCTGGACCGGCCGGAGATAAGAAGCGGATGACATAAGCAGAAAGGGGATTGCGACAGGGCTTGCATCCTGCTACTAAGGACAGGAGAGCATTGTCACCATCTTATTATCAAACCACTCTGCATTCCATCTGCTAGAGGATGCCCTGGGCTGTCTTTGCTGTCTGCTAGGCCTAGGACGCACTTCTTGAGGACACTGGCTATGGCTTTATAGTCCTAATAGCTCGGCGTCACACTGCTTTTCTCTTTATATATATTCTCCTTCATATATATATAGCAAACCCCGATCTCTGCACATATCTTGTCTTTTACATCTCTACAACAGAGCCAGCCCTGTTTCTGCTTTATTCTGCACCTTTTCCTTTACTTGATAATCAACAGACCCTGCCCCTGACCATATCTTAGCTGGAAAAGACGATCAAGATGCTTGGATCAATCGCCTTGGGCCTAGCCCTCAGCCCTGTGGTGATGGCCCATGGAGATCATCACAAGATTCCGGATGGAAAGGTCATCTCGGGAGATCCCCTGGTACGTTATCTTCTGAAGCTGGAGACTGAAGTGGACGTGTTCGAGGCTACGGTTGCTAATGACTTTTGTCTGGTTGATAGGATACTACGCTATGGATTCACATTCTGCTGATGACTCTCGCGTTCGGCCTCATCTTTCCAACTGGCATGGTTTTGGGCGTAAGTGCTGTCGAAACACCCTATACACGCGTTGTTTTGACATTTCTGACATTTCTTGATACATCCAGATCGTCCGGTCTCGATACCATGTTCCGGTTCAAGTCGTTGGTACCGCTGTGGCCATCCTCGCGTACTTTCTTGGCCACCTTCACAAGGGACGCCAATTCGCCCCGAACATTCATGCCTCATTTGCCAACTCTCTTATGCTCATGCTCGTTGTGCAAGTCGTTTTGGGCGTGTACCTCAAACTTCACATCGAGAGAGGATTCCATGGCCGAATTCGCCGATACGTGGTTGTAACCCACGGAGTAGTCGGAAAGATTATGCCACTTGTGAGCTGGATCCAGATGGTTTTCGGAGGCATCACAGCCCTCGGATTCTGCCGAGCAGACCATCTCGGCCAGTGTCTTGCTCATTTTATCATGGGAAGCGCTTTCATCGCATACGGCATCATCCTTACCATTCTACTCCTCGTTGGACAGTTCTGGTTGCGCAGTACCGGACGAAGCCAGGAATTCTTTGACTCGGCTGTCATTACTGCATGGGGCTTTGTTAATACCTTTACTGAGCACCGCTGGGGATCCGAATGGAGCCATAGTGATATGCAGCACACAACTATGGGCATCATTTGGTGGTGTGCTGGTCTTCTGGGAATGTGGTTGAGCAGAAAGCGAAACGGACGTCCAAAGCGTAACATCTTCCCTGCAGTGGTCATTCTGCTTACTGGATATGCCATGTCCTCGCATGCCCAGCATTTAATGCTCAGCACCATGGTTCACTCTGTGTTCGGATACACTTTGATGGCCGCTGGTGCGGCAAGAATCATTGAGATCTCCTTCGTCCTCAAGGACCGCAGCACCCTTAGCCCAGACGGTTCTGACCCAAACAGCTTCCAGTATCTCACTCCATACGTAAGTTTACCTTTTCAATGAGCATTTTAATTGCAGTCAAATTAGCTAACGAAAACTATTTAGCTCCTCTTTGCCTCTGGCTTCATCTTCATGGGTGCCACAGAAGAACAGATGCAGCTTCTCCACGATGCTGGAGTAGGCCATGTCTCTTATCTCCTTATCCTCTACAGCTTGGCCTGCCTCTTATTTCTCTGTAAGTTTCTGCAATACCCAACCAATCGATAGCTATTTCAAACTAACCATCTGGTACCGAACAGTCGTAAATGTTCTTCTCCACATTTATGCAGTCCATGCTTGGCCCGAGTCCGCTGTGTACACCCGACACCGCCCGAGCCATATGCCTGGGCGATTCCACCATCATGCCAGAGCCCCGACAGCCCCATTTGGCCTTGATGGAGCATCCCCAAATGCAGACATTCACGGTGGAATGAACGGTGGCGCGACTGCTGCTGCCCAGGAACGCAATATCCGTGATGCCCAAGAATTCGAACTCGAAGGCCTTATCGGCGCGGCTGATAAAGACCGTGACGAGGAAGAAGCTCCAGCCAACGGAGCCGTTAAGCTCTGAGCTATTTCTCACATTTCTTCTACCAGAGCTTCACTTTCCGCCCAAGCTCATGAGACCAAAGTGAGGTTTATCCCTCTTGGTTTTTTATTTCGGAAACAGCTCCGTTTCCATGTTCCCCGCAACAAGTGACCTTTCCAGCTACCATGAGCATATTCAGGACGAGCAGATTCTTCTACATTCCTAACTTTCTTGTATTTATTTGTTCATCTCACCTTTCCCCCAGTCTTTTTCGTCTGTCGTTTCACTAGGTCATCAAGTAAAGGATAAGGGTTTGGGAGTTTAGTTAGGAAATCAAATAATGGGAAGGTATTTCTGATTTGACTGCAGTAGTTCCAGCTTTACTTGCTACCGTAGAAGTTCGTCCTTGTTTGGATGGATATATATTTTGCCCGATCGTACTAGGAAGTCGTAAGATTTATTATCTTACATGCCAACCAAATAAGGGGTAAAATTCGAGCATGAATATGAATGGGAGAGATATAAGAAAAAGAAATAAAAAAAGAAAATCCCTTAAGCCGCCTGTAAATAAACCATTGCCCCGGCCCATAGAAACCCCCCCAATCCCAAAATTGAAGTTAAGAAAAGGAACTTAAAGACCATTGGTAGTATCAGGGAAGAACGGGTGAAGCGAATAAACGGGGGCAACGCTTTTCTCAGAGTCAAAAATAAGGAAGTTCTGAAGTGGTTGCTCTCTTTGGCTGAGCACATTGATGGCGTCCTGGGCCAGGCTCCCGCCTAAGAACGCTGCTACGGGGTTAATTTCGCTCCCAACATTTTGTAGGAATGATCGCAGGACCGCGGCTGTAAGTGTTGAAGGATCGAGTTGAAGTTCTAGATGGCGTTCATTCGCTAGACGAGTGTAGTTTTCCAGGTCCTGGCGGGAAAAGGATGGCGGAACACCGTGTTGGCGCTCGAAATCCCACAGAGCCCGGAGACAGGTGAGCAAGGGTGTGACTTGCTTGCGTTTCCGGGGTAGACGGGTAAATTCCTCTGGCAAGGGGGAGGTGTTCGCCAGCAGTAAAGGAGTGTATGTCTCTCGCTTGGTGACCATCTCGATCGTCTTGTTGTTTTCGACCTTAGTAGTGACTTCTAGCACGGTGCGTGTAGGTGTCTCGTTTGTCTGCGGGGCCACGTTTGATTTCTCACGCTCAATCACAAAGGTATGGCTGATCAGGTCAGCAAAGATGAAGCCGTAGAAACCGTGGACGCCAGCCATGTATGAAGGGCGATTGGCGACGCGGCAGGCAGCATTGATGGTAGAAAAAGTTTCGAAGTCAAGATCCGTGGCAATGACAAGATCGAACTGTTCAAAGTACACTGGCGGTTGCAGTTTGATGCTGGAGGGGTCGACGATGAGCTTGACTCTAGGATTCAGTTGGCGGATTTGTGGTGCAGCAGCCTCGACTCTCTATGACAGACAGCGTTAGTGATTGGGGACCTCTGTGTTATAAGTCAGTAAGCAAGTATGCACATACACTTTGGTTGAGGTTTTCCTCTGTAACGAGGAACTGTCCACCGAGATCCTCCTCGCGCACAACCCCATCGTCGGCGATAGTTAGAGTTCCGATTCCTGCGAGCACGAGGTTCTTCGCAATCTCGTTCCCGAGAGCTTTGAGAGTGACCAGGAGGATGTTCGCGTTGCGTATTCTGGTGGATAACACATATCAGCAAAATGCTATTCAGACATGGTCTCGCTGATCCTCTCGCCTCACCGTTCCTGCGCCTTCACGCCCCAGAGCCGGATCTGTCTATCGTAGAGTGCGATTTCGTCTAGTCACACAGTGTTAGGGTCAGGCTGTACGTAGAAGAGGGCATGAGCTGTCAGCTACTCGCAAGCGCAAGACTCACCGGCACTGATCCCACTGTTTCCATTGGTTGCCATTGTCTCATGGGTAGCCATTTTCAAAACTGCTCCAGCACGCCTAAGCAAGCACCGCAACTCCACCAAGCGAGAGAGCTCGTCTAGCAGCTTGTCGAGGGTTGAACCTGTGAGCTGTTGTTGCGAGGCGGGAAAGCATTATTATTATTGAGTTAAATAAATGATATGGATGATTATTATTACTTGAATCCAAAAAAGAAAAAGCAAAGAAGCTCTGATTATGTCATCTCTTGCTTACATCATCCATCACGTGGCAACGGCGGGTCCCCCTTGAACCGTGCGCCCTTTTAACCTTCCTGCGCTAGTCCTGAAACAGCTTAAAGTGTGATGACTAAGGCCCCCACTCCCTCCCGGGTTTCTCCATCGCCGAAACGGGCGAGTTTCAGCGCTTTTCGTCGTCCTTCGTTTTTATTCTCGTGTCTTTTTATATAATTTAAAGTAACTTGCTTGTCGACGTCGAACTTTCAACAACCGCCGGTTTCTCTTTTCTTTTTCCGCTGTTTTGCTTATTTCTTCTCCTGCCTGCGATAATAATCATAATCATAATAACAGTAGTCAAAGAAGAGGCGGCTTGGCCTGCAGCTTTTTCCCTCAGCTTTCCTGGAGCAGCATCCCACGGAACGGCCAGCTCGTCCTTCGGTTCCCGCGTCTACGGAATAGTCAGCAGAGCGTAAGGAAGAAGGAAGAAGAGGACGTTAGTGCGTGTATAACCCGCTCGACACACACACTCGCACTTGCGTCCGCGGCAAGGCAGCGTCCAGGGTTGATTGTCTGGCTGTTAAAAATCCTCCCTACCGATCCCTAGCCATGGTGAGCAACACCCCTCTCTCGCCCCAGAACTGGTCAACCTGTTCTTTTGTTGCGTCGACCGGGCCTGTGTTCAGTTACGCCTGTGCCTGTCCTGTTCACTAAGACAAACTCGCACACACGCACACACGCACACAATACTGACGGGCGTTATCTAGTCGAACAACCCTCCACCGCCATCCTTTGACCGAGACTCTTCTCACGACCTGACGAGCTTCCAGACCATCGCCGCAAGAATCCGGCAGTTGAGAGATATCATCTCCGAAATGGACGAGGACCGGAGTTTCTTCCTGCATGCCCTGGACCGCTCTCTGCAAGAGTACAACACCGCAGACTCGACCGTCGACCCCCAGGCCATCAGTAACCCTTCTTCGGAACCGCTTCCTACCCTGAGCCAGACTCTACAACGACACGTTATCTCGCAGAGAGAGGCTCGGAGACAAGCCAGACAGGCACAGCAACAGCAGCAACAGCAGCAACAGCCTCCTCCACCTCCACCGCCGCCGCCACGCCCTCCACTGCAGAGACAGGAGTCTCTCGCCTCGTTGGCTTCCCTGCAGCGTGCAGAGCGTCAGTTCCGGCAGGCAATCGCCAGTATTGGGGCGGTAGAGTCGACACCACGGCAGCCTGAACGGGCACCTGCTAGATCCCCACCCACGGACTCGATGTCAGACCACCGCCAGTCCAAGCGCCGAAAAATCGACGCTGACGACAGCAGAGATACCACCAAGGGGTTCAGCTACAGCCACTATGGCCAGGTCACCTCGGTGCCGCTGGAAATGGAAGTCCATAGCTGCAAGGGAGGCAGTGCCGAACCCGACAGACGAGGAAACTCCCCGGACCATATTCTGGTCAACGATGGTATCGCCTACAGGGCACAGGGCGGTTTCTGCAACATCGTCCTCAAGCACCGTGGCGAAATACCTTTCTCGCTGAAGAAGCTGATCATCAAGACTCCCAAGAGCGGATGTCACGACGAGACAAAGTACGTCTATCAAGCTCCAGTACTTTTTTTTTACCTTTTTTACTTTACTAACATAGATACAAATATATAGTGTCCGAGAAGGAACAGTGAGCATAGCCATGGACTCTGACTCACGCTTCCTTCGCTCGGTAGCCAGCTGTACCGCCGATTCCATGCCTGGGTTCCCATCCCGCCGGCCTCGCCGTCGGAACGAACAGTTATCCCCCTTCACAGCAGCGGCCATGGGGAACACTAGACGACCAGAGACTTCAGCCTCAATCCTTCGTGCCCGTATGCTTCGAACCCGCGCCAGCCAGCAGCCGTACCAAGCCTTCGACTACCCGTTCGGCGGCATTGACGTTGAAGACAAATCTGACGACGAATCAACCCAGCTGGATGCCGCTCGCGACCAACTGGGCCTTTCTGACCCTGAGCCCTCCAATTCGCGCGACAGTTCCCCGAACCACGATGGCAGCGACAGCGAGAGCAGTGACGGCATATCTGGCGTGGCCGAGGCACTGGCCCAGAACCTAGATAGCCGACAACGCCAGTTACTTGAGGCCCTCGGCGTTCGTGTGCCGTATATGCAGACTAGACCATCGCATCGGCACCGAGCACTCTCACCCACGACCGTCTTTGCTCGGCCAGCTGCTGAAACAGGACAAAACCAGGAGTCCGATACCATGCAGCCTGTCGCTAGATTTGCGATCGAACACGAGAGAGCCGCTGTACAGATCAGATTCAATCCTCCAGTGTATGGTCTCTCTCTTCTTTGAACCTATGACATGTTTCTTTCTAACTCGATATAGGTCTGCACGATACATCCTTATCAAGATGTGGGCTCCTTACAACCCCGGCCGGATGGATATTGAGAGCATCATAGCCCATGGCTTTGCCGGGCCTCGCTTCTTCCCTTCGCAGGAGCCGAGATAGCCCCCTTTACCCGTCCACCTTCTCCACTTAATAATGTGCATCTTTTCTACTTTTCTTCCATCCCTTACCAACATGGCTACCTACCTGTCTCATATCTCATGTCATTGATCATCATCTCTCTACGTCCATTCCCCATTTTTCTGATGTTAATGATGCACATATACATGCACATCTCTATACATATGTCAGGCGCAAGGCGTGTAGAGCGGAATCAATGGAATCAATAAATGGCCCCCCCTTTTTCTCTTCATAAAGACAAGATATAATAAGTCAAATGGAATAAATACAGGGAATAAAGAGGAACGGATTAAATTCTGTAAAACTGCTTGACTCTAGCTAGAATGCAGGCCAAATAAAAAAGAAGCTCATCGCTGGCATTGAAAGGGGGGGAAAAGAAATCCATCCATCCATCCCATAACGTAACAAACATGACATAAACTATCCGCCGTGATCCTTTCTGGTTTTTGTTTGGCGTCTGTTTTAAGTTCCCGATCCATATCCATCTATTAGTTACTAAGTTCTGTTAAAGAATCTCTCTTCAATCGCTTGCGTACGCACAGCACAGTGACATTAGATCTGGTATCTGTAGTTCGGGCTGAGATCGCCCAAGTCGCCATCTTCCTGGTCCAAAGCCTGGGTTGGAGCGCCCTGAGCATCCTTCTTCTTGTTACGGCTTAGGATGAGGAAGAGGTACAGCACCGAGGAGACGACAGCCAGACACAGGAAGCCAATTGATATGCTGTGTCCCGGTTTGAACTGCGGAGCGTCTTTCTCAAGGAAGCTGTATGTAGCTATGATTCCACCGACTAGAATAACAGTTAGTACGTATTTCAAAGTATTTTTGATGAATGGTAATTATGGGTGGTGGCTTACTGTTTCCGAATCCGATCTGCCATCCGGTTCCGATGGCTCGGCGCTTATGACCGGACAGGTTCATGGCGTACCAGCAGATAATGATTGGCATGGCGCTGTAAGTGCCGCATGTGATGAGGAAGAGAGCACCGTACTGGATGTGTCTGTTTTCTTTGCCATGGACGGTGAGAAGCATGGAGAAACCGGCAATAGCAAAGGCTACGGGCAGAGTAGCGAATGAGACGCGGTGGGAGATGCGGTCTGAGACGTAGGCCATTAACATGGCAAAGACGAAGGCTACGGCCCATGGAGGGATAGAGTAGAGCTGGGTCTCAATTGCTGCGGAGAGTTTAGCTGGTTAATGTCTTTTTTCCAGGGGTAATATGTAGGTAGGTCTAGACTCACGTCCATAGCCGTAGTTCTTGATAATGGTGGGAGCAAAATATGCGTAGCCTATGATTGATTGTTAGCCACGGGTATAACGGGGTGGTGGTAGAATAGGGATATCATACTGTATGCTGGAACGATCATGCCGAGATACATGAATCCACCGATCAGGACCTTGGCTGTACCCATTAGTTAGTATAGAAGCAGTTGGATGATGGGTTAACTAGGTCGGTATGACTCACGATCACTAACGATAGAGATGACGTCCTTGAAGGTGACTTTGGCATCGACACCGGCTTTACCGACGTCCTTTGCAAGCTTGGCCTTGATGAACTCACGCTCCTCCTCGGTCAACCACTTGACGTCTTCAGGGAAATCGGGGATGAGGAAGAACCAGATGACAGCAACGACGCAGGTGAAGACACCTTCGAGGATGAACAGCCATCTCCAGCCATTGTAGCCGCGCAGACCGCCCATCTTGCCGATACCACTAGCAAGTAAGCCTCCAAAGGCACCGGCCAGGGTAGTAGAGCTGAAGAAGAAGGAGAATCGCTTCTGGGCTTCAGATCGCTTGTACCACATGCCCATCAAGTAGAAGCCTGTCCAAGGTCAGAACGTGTATGTACTTAATATAATTGAGGCATGGCGATACTTACAGCCGGGGAACATGCCGGTCTCGGCAAGACCGAGGAAGAAGCGAGTCGCGAGGATGCCGGCATAGTTGGTCGTGATGCCCTGGAGACAGGTAATGAGGCCGAATGCAAACATGCAAAAGGAGACTGTAGTGAAATGCTTGTTAGTCAAACCCGTCCCTTGTTCACTCGGGGTAATTGATAAATAGTTTAACGGGTTTCTAGGGGCCGAACTCACGCCAGACATGAGGCTTGAACTTCTTCAGCAGCAGGTTTGACGGAATCTATCCGTCCAGTCAGCTCACTCTTTCGGATTGTTTTAATTTCTCATCTATCACTTTGCTCTCCGTCGTACCTCGAACAGGACGTAAGGGATAAAGAAGATGGTCAGGGCCGTGTTGTACTGCGTGCCCGAGGTGATGCCCAGGTCCTTCTTGAGGCCGAAGATGACGGCGTTACCGATATTCACTCTGCATGCGCGCCCAGCGTTAGTGACCATCACAATGAAGTGAATGAGAACAAAGGAAGAAGAAACAGTGAAGTGAAGTGAGACACAGGCGGGCATGTTACCTGTCTAGAAACGCGAGCAGGTAGAGGATGCTGAGCATGGGCAAGATGTAGAGGTCTATCTTTGCCATGAGCTTGCGCTCGGTGGTGTTCTTGAGCTGCGGGAGCTCGCTGTCCTGCTCGATAGAGAGGTCGGGAGAGACATCTGCTTCTACAGAGAGAGTCAGCAGGCCGGCAAGCAGCAAGGATAGTTAAGAGATAGAGACTCCAATACTGACCTGCCTTGACGCCCATGATGGCGACTTGAAGCCGGAGACGCAGTTAAAGAGAGAGTCGCGTGGAGGGCGAAGTTTGAGTGAGATCTTCAGCCGGCGGGACAGGACAGTCAGTTTAAGTACTTAACTGGTTGCTCTCAGTCGGAAGAGGAGAACCAGGTCGCAAGGGAGACCCCGGCGAGTTCGTTATCTGCGCTGGCCCGTCTCTGTCCTGCTGGCTGTCCTGCTGGTCCTGATGCTGGTCTTTATAATGGAGGTCGAGGGCTGGCGTTGGCCGACGGAGGGGAGAGTCGAGAGTCCACCTGCTGGGCGCGCTTGAGTTGCCGAATAAAAGAGCGAGACAGCTCGTATCGAGAAGATACGTTAATATGGAGAGAGAGAGCACTAAGGAGATGGAGAGAAAAGGAGAAAGACGAGGCCTGGTGGCGGTTATAAAGGCCGTCCGTTGTACTCCGTAGTGAATGATCGATGGTGAGAGAGCCTGGATGTTCCTCCTGTCCCTCCGTCGCATCCCAGTCGCACGGGAAAAGCCTTCACTCTCGACTTTCACTCCAGTCCAGCCTACTTACAACCTTACTTGCAGCCGACAACGAGCTTTCGCTGATTTCAACCCCGACCAGACCAGACCAGGAAGGACATCAAACTTCAGATTCTCCATCTTTTCATCTCCACATGTTCTGGAAGAAAAAGAGAAGAAGCAGCAAAAGGCCCCTTTGGCGGGCCTGCGATTGGCCGTCCCTGCTGGAGACGCTGGGACTGGACAGGCGGACGTGGAGACGGGGCGCGCAGGACCTCCGGCAGCGGGTTCAAGTCCAGGGAGCGTTTACGGAGTACACCTGGAGTGAGTGAGTGACAGGAGTGAGTGAAGTGACACATGGCCGAGCAGCGCAGAGGAAGAGGAGGGAGGGCAGATGGAGACGGCAGGGTGCAGCAGCCAGACGGAGACAGAAAGGGGCCCTTGACGCATGCCGGATGCCTGTCTATTATTACGGAGTATACTTGCTGTAGATGCGGCAAGGATGGCGGCAGCGACACACTGCTGTATAGAGAGGGACAAGAGTATAGACCGGAGTAACTAGCAGAGGGTGACAAGGGGCGGCGGACGGACGGAAGTCGACATGATGGACATGGAGCTCTTAATACGAGAGAGAGCCCAGCGTCGGGGCTGGGATATTCGCCGATGCAACAGGACAGGCCCGTCTGTGTCTAACCTTTTTACTCCGCGTGTTTGTTTCCGTGGATAGGTTACGATCTTGCCGAAGAGTTTAAAAAGAGTGAAATCTCAAATCATAAGAGCGCATGCTATTAATATGCTAGAGTGCCACAGATGGAGAGAGGTAGATGACAGGAAAAGAAGAAGAATGAGACGGTTAGTGACTGGCCTGGACGATGAGGACGCTGGCGTCGATGCCGTAGGCCTTCCCTGCCATCGCCTCGCCCAGGACGCCAATCGCCTTCTTTGCCTCATGGCCAAACTCGGGGGAGGCCGAAGCAGAGGCAGCAGACGAGGAGGACGGCCGGGGTGCCACAGAGGGAGAGCCTGTTGCTGCTGCAGCGGCGGCCGGTGCTGATGCGTTATTCATGGTCATGGCCGGACTGTTGCGACCGACGACGACCAGGTTGCCGTTGCTGTTGCCAGTAGTGCTCCGGGCCAGGTCCTGGGCGGCTGTTTCACGGGTGGTGGCCAGCAGTGCGTTGCACGACGACGATGCCGATGATGCACAATCGACCGTCTGGAACACGACGCGAGGACGAAGCTCGGGAGGCACAGAGTCGCGGATCGACCGATAGAAAGTCTCGTCGGCGTCCTTCTCCTGTTGTTGCTGCTGCTGCTGCTGCTGTTGCTGCGGCGTCGGCGCATCGTTGACGACATTCATATATGCAATAGTTGCAGTGATGGATGAGTTGTTAGCCAATTGAAGAACAAGCCGCAACGCAAACTGATCATCTGGACCGCCAAAATAAGGCATGAAGATGTGATGGCCGCTGTCGGGAGATGGGCTCATGGCAAGATCATTCGTTCGATACGTGTTGTGTCCGCTGAACGTTCGTGATATCTCGCCTGGCTTGGGCCGTGCTAGTCCGGCACCCCCGAACCCCTTATTGATAAAGATACCAACATTACTCCTCGAGTTCTTCAGGATGTTGAAGATGAACGAGCTGTGAGGGCCGGTGGAGAACTTCTCGCTCTTGTCGTCCAGCAGCGGGATCTGTCTCTCGCTCATGCCTCCCGTCTCACTCCACGGCACCAGCACCAGGTCAGAGGCACAGTCGCGAGCCTTGTTGACCAGCGTCTCCGCATAGGCGTGCTCGGGCGCTATCACCACGCCCCCGGAAACTGCCACTTTGTACAGCTGGCCAAAGGTGCGGAAGGCGTTGAGGATCGGGTCACTGAAGCTGTAGTTGGAGTCCTGCACCTCAGATACCTTCATCACACTGGAGTCTCGATCAGTCAGCTCGACCAGGCGCACTGCATGAACCTCGATCGGCCTACTGCTGGCTCTTCTCGCACTCTCGGATCGTCTTCCTCCTTCTTCTGCCTCCTCGCCATCATTATTATTAGTATTGGTATGGGCATGATGGGTTCGAGAGGCGACTGGGTCCCGTCCGTCTCCAGCTCCAAGCAACGATACGAAGGTGAAGAGACTTGGCAGGCTGTCTAGCCTCAGGTATATCATCAGCTTGCGGACAGACGCGCCCTGTGACTTTTGTCGGCTAATGCTGTCTGCGCCGCTGTGCGGGTCATGCTCGGAGTCAAGAACGTTTCCTTCCCAATCGATCTCGCCGCGGCGCCAGCGCTCGACCTTGATCTGGTACGAGGGAGGGTACAGATAGGACACTACTGGAGTAGTCACAAAGGTTGTCACCAGTGCCATGACTACGAAGATCGTGAACGTCCTCGGGCTCAGGATCTTGGCCTGGAGTCCAATGTTCTACCCGTACCAAACAATACAATTAGCATCGTCTCGGCATAACCAGAGTGCTTGAAGTAAAAAAAGAAGAAAAAAAAGGTTACCTACCAGAACGATGAGCTCGACCAGACCCTTACAGCTCATAAGGACACCAATGGTCAAGCTCTCCCTCCACAACAGTCCGTTCAACCTCGACGCAACCATACCACCCGTCACTTTTGCAATAAGAGCAATGAAGATAACGCCAAACACATACCCCCATACTCTTCCAGAATCCAACAGTCCAATATTGGTATTCAGACCCGAAAGAGCAAAATACAACGGCAGGAAAAGAGCACCAATCACATCCTCAATCTTCTCCGTCAGCTTGATAGCAAACCCTCCATCATGAGGACATATCAGACCAATCATGAAACCGCCAAAGATGGCATGGACACCGATGATCTGGGTGAAAAATGCGGCTGAAAGGACTAGCAGCAACGTGAGAGTGACAACCGACTGGTTGGGGCCGTCATGCAGACTGCCGGTGCGTCTCAGGTACCAGAGAAACACGGGGCGGACGGCAAACACAAGCACCAACGTGAAACCGACGCAGGTCAGTAACACCCATAGGGCTGTCAGGCCCGTGCTGGCGTTGACCAGGGCTACACAGAGTGCCAGCAGGATCCAGCCAACGACGTCGTTGCCCACGCCAGCAGACAGCACGATGACTCCGACTCTGGTGCTGAGAAGTTCCAGCTCAGTCAGTATACGGCATAGCACCGGGAATGCCTGTAAATTTTTGTTAGCAATGGCCCATTTATAGCCTCCTTTCTCTCTGTTAGAACCCACCGTAATGGCCATAGCAATGCCGATGAATAGCAAATAAGTTCCAAATCCGATGGGCGCCAGGCCAGGCTCCTGCCGAAACGCATGGTACAAACCGTATGCGATTGCACAACCCAGGCCGAACGGCAGCAACATCCCCGCCGCAGAGACGCTGGCGGCCACTCTCCAGTTGCTTATCAGCGATCTGAGATCCGTCTCAACGCCAATCATGAACAGGTACAGCACCAGTCCTAGATTCGCCACCAGGTTGAGATTGGGGATAGAGGCGTCGGGGAAGATGGTCTCGCGGAACCCGGGTATACGCCCCATAACTGAAGGGCCGAGCAGGATGCCGCCTAGGACTTCTGAGATAACTCGTGGCTGGCGCATCCGCGAGAGAGGGATATGTATCAGTCGACAGAAGATGATGATCAGGCCAGCCTATAGAACATGTCAGTCTACAAACATTAACTCTACGACTTCAACTCTCCCAGTAGAAGTAAAATATCTACCTGAATGATGAAGATAACCAGCGGGTTCTTGGAGTCATAGTGAGTCGGATTCGCCTTGTCGAAGATGCCTCCCTGCGGCGACGCCCGGTGCGTAGAGGTAGGTGAAGCCACCGCTGCAGCGGCCACCAACGAGCCAGTCACCGAAGTCATCTTTACGACGCAGCGCAGCTTCAAACGCTTTTCTCTGGCAGCCAGAAGAGCAAGAAAGACGCAGCAGCTGGACGAGAGCAGCTCTTCTAACAAAGGGGGGGGGGAGCGGTCCAGCAGCTATTTATTTAACCTGAGCAGTCGCTTTCTCAGCTGCCTGAGAGCAAGCAAAAAACGACTTTCACCACCCGGTCGACGTCATGGACCACTGCCCAGGGAGAGCCTTGCATGTCTTTTCTCGTTAGCTCGTTCAATTAGTTAGTTCGGCCAGGGTGGTACGGCTTGTCTTGGGGATTCCTTCAGCGCTTGAGCCGTTGCTTGGTGCTGTTGGTGTTATATTCCGGTCAGTCCCAAGGCCACCCCCGGCCCCCGAAAGGCCCATCCCTTTATCGAACGCTCGCCAGCGGTTCCATGGTTAAAGCCACGACTTAGCTCGAAGTGTGTTTTATGCAGCCTGCAGACGCCATGTGGTTCAGGTCACACTTCGCATGGCAGCGAGAACGAGTCTCGGGTCTCACAGCATACCATGGCAATGGCATGGCATGGACTGGGCTGGTTGATATCAAATTAACTTAGCCCGCTAGGTCGAACTGTCTGGCTTGCGCGGGGGTTTCAGGTCGACGGGGAAGAAAGGCTGCGCTTCCGCTGGACGCCATTATTCTCGTGCTGGACCGTAGTTTAGCTGATATGGAGATGGAGCTGCTGGCTGGCTGGTGTTTCTTTTTGTCTTCTTTCTTTCCTTGCCGCTGGGAGAGATAAGCGTCTTGGTGCTGGCCGGGATACGGGAGGGTCTAACACGAGAGCGGTAGTGCAAGCCGAGCTGGAGGGCTTAAAAGAAGCTGGCGAAGGTAGATAAGAGATCAGATGGACAGACGGTGACGGTGAAAATAGACGTTGGCGATGGTTGTGATGGTGGTGGTGGTGGTGGTGGTTTGATAAAGAGATCAGCGTCGTGCATGGTCAGGCCACTGTGGAGAGCGATGGAGCAGATGGAGCTCTGGAGTACTCCGGATACTTAGCTACATGCCTACACTGCTGTGCTATCTGTGATGGCTGTCTGTCTATGGATGGATGGTTGGAATGTGATTATTCGTGCTATATAGGGTATTCTAACATGGGAGTTACTTCTCATCAGTCGTTGCCTTGCCCCAGGCAGACTCAAAGTTGATCTCCTCGACATCAGCTCCAGCTCCAGCTCCAGCTTCGTCTTCGGCTTCTACATCTCTCATCTCGATCTTCGACACCTTCTCTGCCTTCTCTGACTGCGGTACAACGACAAAGGAACCGCCTACCGAACCCCCCGGTGACGTTGTCCCTTCAAGCCCAAAGTTACTGCTGTACACCACCGCCGCAAAGGCCTCGAGTTCCCGCACCCCTTCCTCCATGGCTGAAAGATATTCGTTGGGCGGATTAGAGCCCTGGCCGATAGTATGTGCCTGGCGGGAAACGACCGCTAGAATCGTAGCCAGCTTCACCCTCGGGTTTGGCGGTGGCTGTTGGCTATCTGACGGCACAACAGTAGCTGAAGACGAGAACAGATTTGCCGGACTTGCTTCCGGTGCCTGTGTTGCAGGGACTGTGGGCGGCTTCTTGAAGGCGTCGATGGCACATTTGTGGTCGATAAGGTAGGAGAAGGCTTCGTTGTTGAGCAAGGAAAGAATATGCGTGAACTGAGGCGACTCGATAAGGTCGGCTGTCTCGTCGAGCAGATGTCGCAGGTTGGATGCTGTCTGCGGCGAGACTTCTTCAGACGATAGCAGCACACCAGACTCTCGTAGCACGTAGTCCTCCTGCTCGACGGCCGGTAGTAGGTATGGCAACCACTGCTTCACCCGTCTTTCTTCGCTCGTGGCCCCCTCGACCTTTTTGCGTACTTCTAGCGTCAGCTCCGAGAGCCTTTCCTGCGTGATGTCCTCTCGCGGGTTAAGCGGTCCAAAGACTTCGACGACGGCTTCTTCGACTTTTTCCATCAAGTCTTTCCATCCGCGGTGTAGCAGCCACCAGCTAAAGGTAAGGTATCGACGGTTGGTCTCGAAGTCGTTTCCAAACGCATTGTCACCGTCGTTCTCTTCCAGGCTTATTATAGCTGGATCGGCTTGTGGGGAGGCAAGTGATATGACACTGGACAGGTAGTTCCGTCGACCCAATAGGTTGAGTTGGATGCGTGTGAGCAAGGTTAGCAGCGAGAGTGTATATAGAAGAGTGAACGATCGCGTTAAAGCTGTGAACACCGGTTAGCAAGTGATATATATATAAATATATGCTTCATTGACCCGGGGATGTGACGTACAGTTGACCTTGAGCTCGTTCCACAGCTGCGTCCTGCTCTTCTTCCGTGGTGTCCCGTCTCCCGAAACAGAATCGCCCATCTGGCTGGTATGCACGTACCCCTGGCTCCTGAGACTTGACAGGCTCTTCCCATCGTCGTCTATTGTACTTAGAGGATCTGAGCTTATCTCTGACCCTGCAGTCTCTCCTCCGTTCAACTGCTTAGCCAGCCTCTCCGCACGCTTCTGCTGCAACTCATTCGTCAGCTCCTCGACCGGAAGAGCTCCGAGTATATTCTCCGTAGCTGTAGGTAGCAAGGCAAGCACGGTAAAAGTACAGTCTGTCTGGTTCTGCTCGAATCGGCGTCGTAAACTAGGAGTATAATCATTAGCTATCTCATCCGGTCTAGAGTGCTGTTCCAAATGACGAAATTCGTGCGTACTTCTCTCGCGCAATCCGCTCACTGCTCATGCGCTCTCTAGCCTCTGATATCTTGCCCAGCACATACTGACCGGCCAGGTAGCCGACTCCGATGACTCCAGCACCAATGGCAATGCCACTGCGGTGCCGGCGCAACCACTGCTTCGTTGAGTTGAACATGCCCCCTACGCTGACCGCGAGCGCATTATCGTGCTATCGAGGTATTTTGCCGCAGCCACAGGGTCAACAGGAGGCGTATACTCGCGTAGTCCTATCCAAAGATAACCGCTGTGCGTCCCTGGATGGTATATAAAGCTGTTTTCTTTGCGTCTCTTCGTCTTCTTCCCCGGATTCCCGTCCGTCTCAGCGCTTTTTTTTGCTTTCGTTTGGACTTTCAGCAGCTTCGAGCCTCGGCTCAAAGGGCAGCAGGTGACCTAGAGTCTCTTTTATCGGGGTCACGAGAAGCTCGCCGTTTCTGGACTAGTTGCCAAGTCATGTCGTGCAGGCTATGGCGTCACTGCGGCCCCGTGACCCCGCTATCGCCTCATCGGCTGCCCCCGTCGCCCTTTTTTCCCTTTAGCAGCCAAAGAAAGCAAAGCAAAATAAAAAAGGCCAGGGATAAACTCTTTGACTTCTTCTTTATATACTTTCTCAAGTATACTTATAACATCCTTGGAGGCTCCAGTCCCTGCGCGCGCTCAGATGATATAGAAAGAGAGGCGATCGCCGGCACCCTCGAGACTCTCCTTGAAAAAAGAACAGGCGGCCGATGGTCTAGCTGAAAAGGCGAAAAAAAAGCTCCCCGCAGCCAGCTCTGAGTCGGGCTCCTTTCTCTCTGTCCCTCGCTTCGATCCCTCGCTTCCTCCGCCGCCGCCGCCGCTGCTACACCGTAATAACATCCGGCGAACCCGATGGATACGCTGCTATGTTAAGAGCGCCCTGTCTGCCGCCAGCGAGATGGTGACCTCGTCCTCCCGCGTGCGATAAGTCAACTACTTAGACGGGATTCGCTGCCGGTGGCGTTCCTCCCCTTACATATACAAGACACATATTACCTGACAGCCCAGCATATACATACATACATACTAAAACCACCGACATAAGAAGTTACTTACTTGCATACACTGCATCCCAGTCCGCTGGGTCCGCGGGGGGGACACACAAGCCAAATCGGACAAAGTACCGCGCTCCCTCAGCAACGCAACCAACACCCGACCCTCCCCCCCCAGCCTGCTCTGGCAGCCAGCCGTCGTTGAACCATGGATCCTCGCAAGCCGCCGGAGCATATCCTCGAGATCTTTGCGGATCGTGCCTCGGTCAAGGAGATCGTGAAGGGTGCGTTGCGCCATGTCTACAACTGTCTACTGTCCCGTGGAGTACTGTAGCTAACTTAAATTACAACTGGTTGAGCAGGAGTCATACACGCGATCTTCTTCCATCGGTACTTCCCCTGCGTCAGACCGGATTCCGTTGACGTTCTTGACTTGACGCTGCCTGTTGTGGACGATCTGGAGGTCGAGACCCTGATCGATGCGCGGGTGAATGCATTGATACAGCAACATCTTTCTACGGCATCGAACTCGGCGACTGGTGGGGTCCGGTCTCGCATTGCCGTGCAGTTCTTTGAGAAAAGGCGAAAGAAGTCTGGTGCGTGGTTCACCGGGTTGACCGGCAGTGGGGAGGAGGAGGTCTGTTGGGAGATATGGACTCTAGATATCACCATTGCGACTCCGCGGACCGAACTAGGTATGTTTACCTGACCTGACTCTCTACTGTGTGTTTATATAAGTGGTAGTTGCAGCTCTAATGGGGAAGTGTGTATAGACCGAGCCAAGGTGCGAAAGGCGATGGAGAAAATGTTGAGGAAAGCCGCGCTCAAGATCGTGGCTATTGCGAATAAGAATAAAGACCACATTCCGCCGATTACGAGCGAGTCGAACCCGTTTCCCTACCAGATTGTTCTGAACCCGAAACTGGACAACTGGGGAAACAGATTGGGTCTCTACTGAATATTTTTAATTACTTTTACCGAACGAAAGTTCTTCTGCCAATTCCATGTCCGAGTTTGCTTCTATCGAGGGGCAGAAGAGGAGAAAAAAGCCAACTTTGGGTATGGGAAGAGCAGACGAAGACGAAGACGAAGACGAAGAAGAAAAAACAAATGACAGGTGGCAATCCGAGTCATTATACATCAAAACAACCAATTAAGCCCAGCCACTGCACCACCACCTACCCTTCTCCCACTACATCCAGAATTACCGCGCGTACCGACGAAGAAAATGGAAAATGAATCAAGATGAGAGAAGAATATAGGACAATGGCGTGGGACCATGCAACAGGGGGTTGTTCCTTTTTTTTTTTTTTCTTATGATAATTATTGCATGGCCAAGCCCCCCTGCGAGCCAACGGAAGGAAACAAATAACAATAAATTCAGAAGAGACAATATAAAAAAGACAAAAGAGTCGATGCAGTTGGATACAAGAGTCGAGTCACCGCGAGGGCAGACAGACAGTAAAATAGAACAAGCAATTGTTTGTTTTCACGTCCTGAAGGACGCCGCGATGACTGCTCTTGTGACCATTAAAAAAGAATCCATCCGTGATACAGAGAGAGGGAGAGAGAGAGAATGTTTTTGTGTCCTTATCCATATACCAAACGCAGCGTCAAGCTTGTCGTTCATAGTTATGCGCGCATCTGGAAGAAGGGGTCCATATCCCGTCAGAACAAGCGGCAGGGGCAAGGAGGGACTTGCCCACCATTCCAGTTGACTATGTCGATATAAGAATTGAGGCGATCAAGAGGAGTGCTCCTTGGCGGCCTGCTCAGCTTGGGCTCTCAGGTTGGAGGAGGTAGAGGGGCCCTGGAAGTAGCGGGCGAAGACAGGCTGAATGAAGGAGTGGAAGACAATCTGAGCTCCGCTGTACACACAATGGCCGTTAGTTATCAAATATATATACATATATATATAAAGGGGGGTTCTCCGTGCAATCAGAGCAGTCGCCTGGGCTTACCTAGTCTGTGGGAGTGCCATCCAGAGGACGAGGAAGAACTTGAAGAGGTAGTAGAATGCTGCAAAAAAAAAGGAGAGGGGCGGGAACACGTCAGCCTAGGCAGCAGCGAAATGGGCAAAGCAAACCAGCATGTACTTACGGAACCAGTATGAAGCACTGATAGCACTCTCAACAACGCTGAAAAGCGCAAAGACAACCCAGTACTATAGACGACGATTTCACGTGGTTAGCTTTCTGAAATCGATCACCTGGAGGTCTCGGTACACATGGTGGGTCATTCGGGGCAAAAAAAACTAACCGTCAGCCACTACAAAAACACAAACAAAACGTTAGCACGAGCACAGATGACGAACGTAAGCGTCGGAAGAGCAAAAGAGAACAGCCGAAGCATTGCACTGCCTACCTGAGTGTCATCTGCCGTCGAGGAGGTAAAGAGGGCATTGAGGGAGTAGTAGCCTGGGATGGCGAAGCCGGCGAGGTTGACGAGGAAAGCTCCGGCGATATTGAAGAAGACAAGGAAGACGTAGATGCCTGCGACGCCGAGGAAGGCGTATACCTTGGGCACTGAGGTCTGTCGCTCGAGGTTGTTGAGCACTGGGTATCTGGAGAGCTGCAGGGAGGCCTTCGTCAGCACTGGTTTCGTGCGAAGTGGGATGCTCGCCTTTGGAGTCGGGCTGCGTAAGATAAGAGGAGGAGAGGAGCGAGGAGCTTGCATACTTCCTTATCGATCTGGGCGATCTGGTGCTGCACACGGTCCTGGAACGACATCTTGCTGGTAGCTAGCTTGTATGTGTGTGCCTGTGTGGGAGAGACGGTGGTGTTGAAGACGAAGACAGTATGGGATGGAGCTGTTGGTGCGAGAAGGAGAGTCGAGAGGCGGCTCGTCGTTGTTGGTTCTTGTTGTTGTGTTGTTCGACCAGGAAGTTCGAAACCTGTGGCTTGTTTTACTTACTTTTGCGTTTTCCCTTTTCCTTTCCTTTTCCCTTCGGGGTTTTCTGCCTTCTCGCTTTGGGGCGTGTGCGCAGGCGAGGGGTCACGTGATGACTTTCACGTGCTTTGCCACTTCCCTGGTTGGGAGTTCTGCCGACCTCCACCGCCTTCACCGATAAGCTTTGTCATGTGATCTTATCTACTACTCACGTGATCATTAGCCTCATAACACGTGACCTTTGTTTATATCACGTGATATAAAACATCATGTGATTTAGGTGGTAATAATGACTAAGCAGAAAAAGCAGCTAGACCAAAACAAGCGAAAAAAGAGCGAAAAAATAAAGGCGCCGAGCGCAGGCGAAGGCGTTTCCCCATCAACAACACCTTGTTTACATGCCGGACGGAAGAAAACGACAACCCAGGCACCTCAGGCCCTTTTTTGCGCGAACGACGTCCCAACACATCCGCAAACGACCACGACGGCCGCAGCCACGCCGGGCTCGACGAGGTAACCTGCACTGCCCATTGTCCTTTGGCTGTCTTTGCATCGCTTTGTCGCCTTGGTATTATCGACGACTGCCTGGCTCGAGCTGGGCCTGTGGCGGTGACAATCTCGAGTCCAGCAGGGGACCGCCCTCGACTGCGGAAAAAACGAAGGAAGCAAAAAAGAGGGATCATATTCTTATCCAGCCATTCGCTGAACACTCACACAAGTCATCATGACCCCAGATATCGGTAAATGGCCTTGTTGACCTCTGTTTTTGCATTTGCTGCTGCTGCTGTTGATGTTGTTGTTGTACTCGGGGTGTTTCCCGCCCACCCCCCCATCATGACCCTGACATCCTGGCTGACTGGCTCCTCGCGATGGCAGATACTTCATGCTTGCCGGCTCAGACAGCTCAGAAGCGACCGAGAAGCCGGCAGAGTACCATTGAACCCATGCGGTCAAGGTCAAACACAGCGTCGACCAAGAGTGCTCGACTCTCGAGGTCTCGGGGGTCGACTGCCAGCATTCACTCAGTCACCACACAGTACCATCCAGATGTCCAGCAACAGCAACAGCCAGCGCCCCAGGATATCTATGCTACGTACATGCGCTCTCAGTACCCTCCTTCACAAGTAACTTATCATCATCCAAACCCAGAAGAGATGATCCTGCGGTACGGTGAGCAGTTCGGGCATGCTGCTCCTCCTCCTGCGCCCAGACTGGACGAGCATACCTTGCAGCAACAGCAAGAGAGTCATAATGTTTCAGCAGTCCGACAGCAGCGTCCAGACCTACAGCTTCAGGAGCATCTTCTTCGCAATAGGAATATTAGTGTACAACCGTCACAGCCGTCTCCGCCGCCAGGTATCATCCCGGCCGAGTTTGCATCCGCTCATTTCCCCCAGATGTTTGATACCACAGAAAACCACCATCATCCCACACCAGACCGCATGCTTGAAGATAATGACGGGTCAGAAGTCGGTCCTCGAAAGAGACGAGGCACCTCATCTTCCATTGCCAATGATAACGAACTACGACGACTTCTTCGTCAATATGATGGTTACTCTCTACAGGATATGGCTTCCGAGGTTAGGAAGAACGAGGGAGCCGGTGGTAAATCAGAAAAAGTCAAACAAGTGTTTGCTATGATATGGTATGCATAGTCTCCCACTTTTATTTCGTCATGTGTGTTATTTACTTAATTCACCCGATACAGGCTTCGTGAGAACTGCCAGAGAGGAGATGGTTCGGTCCGTCGAGACCGTGTTTACTGTTGTTATGCCGAAAAGTGTGGAAATGACCGTGTGTCGGTGCTTAATCCCGCCTCTTTTGGCAAGCTCGTCAGGATCATATTCCCAAACGTGCAGACTCGTCGCCTCGGAGTCCGCGGAGAGTCAAAATATCATTACGTTGATTTGTCCCTTATTGGTCAAGACACCAAGGCTGAGTGCGACGATAAGATGGACAAAGTGCAAGACCATGGTTTGAACCTTGATGGTGCTGGTTCACAGCTCGAGTCCAGCTTTCTCCCTGATTCTCAGCAAACACAAAAATCGCTTGTTGATGCGGGAGACGCTACATCTCCGGGCCTGAATATCCTGCAGCAGCAAAGCCAGCCATCCGGCCCTACACACCGTTGTGCCTGCGCAGACACCAACATCTCCGATATCAACGTGGGAGTTGACCCCATGGCTGTCAAAACCCAATTGAAGATCAACCATCTGCTTCACTTTGAGCCGACAGACAATACCCCATCCACCGACAGCGATACCCTCTCATTGCCAAACATACATCAGTATCTCCCCGACAACTCTGATCCTTCAGCCGCCGACGCACTTGCCGCCTTGTATCGCTCTCATTGCACCTCAGTTATCGACAGCTTCAGATTCTGCAAGGAAAAGAACCTCTTCCGTCACTTTACTGCCTTCCAGGGCACCCTCACTGTGCCGGTCCACAAACTTCTCATTCATCCGAATGTCGCACCATGGGTGGAGGAATGCGACTGGATCATGTACCAGAAGATGCTTGCCTTTGTATCCCCACTAACAACGCAGGTTGTCCCGGACCCTGTCCTCAAGGCTTTCCAATCCATTTCATGCAAGCTTGTTACTCACATCGCCGAAACCCTCAAATCACAACCAGAGCATGTGTCCACCGCGCGACTTGTTCCCTGCCGGCTGTTTTGTCATTTGCTGAAACGTATGCTTGACGTTAACCAGTCTGCCATTGCCGCTGCTGCATGGCTCTGTCACCAACAAAATCGAAATAAGATGTGGGAAGAGTTTAGTACCTTCGTTGATCCGACTGAGACCGTCATCAAGGCCAACATACCTCCATGCTCACTGAAAACCGCAATTACCATCTTAAAAGAACATATGAAATCTCTTTTATACCCATTGGATAACTGCCCACCCCCTCAGACCGACTCTATTGACCACGAGTTAGCTGGGTTCCAAAAGTTCCCCCTTCAGCAAACTAACAATGAAGAATACACAAATTTCCCAGACCGATGGATCACTTTCATTTTACAATTGCCTGCCATGTTCCCCAATCATTCGGCAACTTGCATAATCGAAAAGGCGGATGCTCTATGGACCACTGCCCTTCACCGTCTCACCCTTTCGAATGCAGAGAGCTTCAGTGCCTGGTGGATGACCAAGGTTTTCTTCCTTGAAATGATGCATTGGCAAGCAGAAAGGGGAGGTTTTATGGCTACTTCGCCAAGGTCACTACGCGAACATTCTGCAAACCTCTTGAACAAACCCACAGCAAATGTTGCAGCCCAGCTTGCAAGCTTCGCCTCTACCAACCAGCTCTCCAGTCAGCAAACAGAAACCGAGCAATCAGCTCAGGAGGCGGCCCCAAACGTGAATCAGGTCACGTCGAATACCGCAGCTAAGACCATCAAGGCTGATGTCCCAAATCGGCCTGCTGTTGACACGAGTCTAGAGGGAAACCAAATTAATAATGATGACAGCGCCATTGCTCTGGAAGAGGATTCCGTCCTTCTTGGAACCACTAAATATACAGACATGACATTGTCTGATCCTGCAGATGCAGAAGGAGACGTTATCGTCGTATAACACAAACCGCCTTTTTTTGATGTCCAGTCGTCTCTGCTTTCCAACATGTTTGCGTACCGCTTTTTGGAGTTTAATTTCCTTCTTGTTGGCCATTTCACCATGTTGGAGTTTTCACTGGATCGATTATTCAATTCACACTCACACCTCGATGCACTAATATCTCATTGGGCCATTTGGATCCGGCGTTTCTTTTCTTTTTGGTGGTTACTGGGATAGAACCATTGTTGCCTCTTTGTTCGAGTTTCTAAGCTTCATATCATTCCGCGCAAGCGGTCTCCTACTGCGGTCAATTCCACGCAGACTTTCACATACGAAGGATGCTCGCCCCTATTTCAATCAGGTTTGCTCATTCAGAAGTCATCCTTTAGCATGACGATAAGAGCAACAGATCCATACCAAACCTCACGCCCCTATTTTCCTATCCTATCCCCTGGCTTCAACTGGTGAAAACTCCAGATGGGTGTCCATTCAATATTCATGTCATATTCGATTCTCTTTAACTTTTTTTTTCTTCTCTATTTGCTTCCCTTATTTTGTTCAAACCAATTTCGGAAGCTCAAGTCAACGAAGTGGTATGGAATCTGATGCTATTCCTGAATGTCAGGAAAATAAAAGGAGGGAAATGTTTTTTTCTTTACTCTATTCATGCACAAAGCTAACAACCTACACCTTTCCCCCCCTTGTTTATCGATCTAATGATGACGATGAATGTTTATGATAGGATCGATTGAAGCTCTTTCCTTTTATGTGTATATAGTCCTTTCTTCCCCCTGATACTGGACTTGATTATACATGAGGCATTTGATTTATGACTGGCAAATTCCACTTTCTTCATTCATAAGCTCTTTTTCTTTTTTTTTTTTTTTTTTTTTTTTTTTTTGTGTGTTGTATTATGCGTTTATTGCAAGGGTAATTAAATATGTCTTCATTTGTATCCCGTCATGATCTTCCTTTTCATACGTAGCCTAGTTATTAATTAAAAGTGTGCTTAGAAGTTATGGTATGATGCATCATTGATCCTTCCTACTCTCCTCTGGCTCATCCGTTGCTTGTACGGGAGCCGGTGAGTTCGTTATTAGTCCCAGTTTCCACAATATCCACATGAAACCGCCGATGATAATCATAGCAGTTCCAACCTGTATTTCCATCCGTTGCGTATCACGGCTCATATTCAATACTGGAACGCTAATCGTCTCAACGAGCAGGTTTGACGCTGGCTCCGGCTCAGGCTGGAGATGATAATATGTCGTCCGAGCAGGGAAACTCGACTCCCATCCCAAACTCACACGATCAAACGGGTTAATTTTCTGCTTATCGTCTGCGTTTCCGTCGTCGTTGGCACAGGCCCAGAAAACCACGGGCCAGGGGACGGATATGTCGCGGTACCCTGACGGGGAAGGGTGTAGGTACCGCAGGTGCAGAGGGACGGTTATATTCCATTCATCATTCGTCAGAGGGTATTCTGATGCAGCTTCCAGTGAAGGCGTGGCTAGTTCTAGGAGCAGGTTGGATCCCCATTGTTGCGTTATCCAGTTTGGTGCTTCGAGGTCGGTTTCGCCTTGGATGCTGTGTAGGGAAACAAGGTTGTGGGATTGGAGGAAGAGGGGGTCTTGGGTGGAGAGTTGGTATTTATCGGCGAATATTGTCGATGGGAGGGTGAGGTATGTGTATAAAGAGCAGGTTGTGTCGGGCGGTAGTTTTGTAGGCGGGTACAGGGAGGATTTCTTTAGGGAGAGCTGGAGAGTAGGGTGGAGACCGGTTGGAGATGTGAATTGGGTGCGGTATGTAGTTTGGATAGGATGGTGTCGCGAACCGAAGCTGAATAGAGTGGGAGCTGGGCGGCGAGATGTTAGAAATATTTTAGGTGGGTGATTTGCATGGACAGGGTGCTCATACTTAGCTCTGCTTTTCGGCCTATATCGGCCAACATCCCACCCACTCTCACTTCCTCTGGTTTCAGGGGAGTCTGCTCCGCTAAGATTCCAATTTCAACTCGGTCTCCGTCGTATTTAGGCTCATTGATTACTTCTGACCAGCCAGTCTTTTCGGGAGCGTCTGGCCAGTATGCAGCCACCATAAGATGAGCCGTGGAGTCATTGTAGTCTATATCCAGTGAAGAAGCCGAGGAGATCGAAGCAATGCGGTTGTGGCATTCGGCATTTTCCTGGCAAATGTATCGATCGAGGTAGGTAATAAGTTGGTGTAAGGATGGAAGCAGTGTTTGGAGTTTTAGCCGTGCGTAGGGATCGGTGGTTGGTATGAATGAGGACGGGGAAGATGATAACTAGAGAGCACATTGAGCGTTTAATATATGTTTCTGTTCAAAGCAAGGGAGTGGGAAGGTGCCAGAACTAACCGGTGAAATGGTACAATCAATCTGACTGCTGAAGCTTTTCTGTAGCAGACGGCATAGAGATTCACTATAAACAAAAAGATTGATGTAAGCAGCAGTCCATGTCTAGGGAGAAGTAGACAAAGGATCAGGTAATGAGGCCGCAGGGCGCCACGACGTACCCAGATGAACCGCTGCTGGCGGGCGTAAAGACGACATGCAGTCCTGGAGAGACCCTGCTGCTAAACGGCGCAACGGCGGCATACGGTCGTTCGGAGGCCCAACGAATGCGCAGGTCGCGGCATTTCTTCAGCACTTGTCGGATCTAAACCAGCCATGCTATCAGTACCGCTGATCAAGCTCGTATCGCCCAGCACCCAGCATATCTCACCTCATGAGGGAGCTCGGTGTAGTCGAACAAGATCCTCTCCTGCTTAGCTGCTTTCAAGGCCCGGATGGAGAGCGCCGTCTGGTTCACGGTGGTCTGGCTGGGGTCGAAGTCGCTGTCGCCTTCGTGGATGTACGTCAGGCGAGTCTTCATCGTGACGGACTGCGCTGTCTATGTCTTCGTCTGGCGTCTTCGAGTCCCCTTTTTTTTTTCCGTGCTTGTTTATATCGGTTGTTTGTAGTTTTGAAGCTTGCTGGAACTTGAATGTTCTATTTCTGGGGTGGAGTCCTAGCGCGCCAATAAGCTTTGAGACTAAAAAGCGGGCAGAGCCGAAGTAGATAGTAGTAGATACATGCTGAGCAGCAAGAAGCAAGAGATGAAACTATGTATTTGTTTATAATAGAGCAATAAGGGCGCTGCCGGAGAGGTAGAAGAGTAAAAAGACAGATAAACGCCATCCCAGATGATAACTAGTTAGTAGCTGTTGCATGTGAAATCAACCAATCCCCTGTTGTTCCACTGATGATATTAGAAACCAAAACAAAAAAAAAAAAAACTCCAACAATGCAGCTGCCCTCCATCCCCTTTGTGGTGAATTTATTTCATTAATTCATTGTGTGTTCATGTCGAGCGAGGTCCTGTATATGTATGGAAGCGGGACCGGTTGGGAACGGAATCCCAGATCAGAGAGTTTGTGCGAGTTTTGTCTTCTGGGCCTGTGTCAAGGAGGTCGGGAATTTGACGTCCACTTTGACGATAAAGTCGCCTCGGAGAGTTGGCTGTTTCGGCTTTGGCATGCCCTGTGCTGGGAATTTCTCTTCAAATCCAGGTGGTGTTGGTCCGGCTCCGCTGACACGCAGCTGTCTTCCGTCGATAGTGTTGACTGTGCGAGACCAGCCAGTCAGCGCCTCCTTGAGGCTTATTTCGATGGTCGTTATCAGGTCATCGCCAACACGCTTCAAGTGTGGATGTTCTTTCTGTAGAATAATAGTTAGCAAAGGTGCTCTGCATACGATACTTGTATTTGTTCGGGTGAAGAATGGCTTACCTCGGCGACGATGAAATGTAGATCCTGGGTTCCGCCCTCTTCCTGATCGCCAACACCCTTGAACTTGATCTTGCTGCCGGCCTTGAGGCCTCGCTTGATGTCAAACTCCAGAATCTTATCTTCCATACTTCTCTTTCCTGTCCGTTCATCGAAGGTCTTCCGCTTGATCTTCATCTTCTTGTGCACACCGTGGAACAGCTCCTCCAGCGAGAGGGGAAGCTGTCTTTCAACAGTTGTAACTTCAGGCGTTGGAGGCCGTCGTGCTTCTCGTCTATATCGCGAGCCACCACCACCTCCTCCTCCAAAGCCACGGCCACCACCTCCGCTCAGGAAGGAGAAGAGATCGTCGTCACCAACGCCACCGGACCGGGCGAAGCTAGAGAAGATATCGTCTGGCGAGCTGAACGAGAATCCGCCTGGTCCGCCTCCGGTTGAGAAGTGGAATGTTCGAGTCCCTCCGCCTGGCATGCCTCCGAACCCTTGGAAGCCTCCAGGCATTCCACCAGCACCGAATGGCATGCCCTCAGCTCCTCCTGCACCTGGTGGGGGTTCTGCGTTTCCGCCACGAAGGAGGAATTCCAATCCATATTGATCGTAGACTTTTCGTTTCTCGGGGTCTGAAAGCACTTCGTATGCCTGGGAGACATCTACACACAGGTTGTCAGCCCACTCCGTCTGCCACCCGTAGTCAAGTAAACACATGCAAACCCAGTAAACACTCACCTTTGAACTTTTCAGCTGCCGAGGGGTTGTCTGGGTTCTTGTCTGGATGCCATTTCAATGCTGCTTTCCTATCAATCTGTCAGTCCTGGCGACGCCACGGGGAGCTAGTTAAGCGGGGGGTCCAGGAGGTACACTTACTTGTATGCCTTCTTGATCTCATCCTGCGAGGCAGAAGGAGATATGCCTAGCGAGTCGTAGAGCTTTGTCTCAGCAACCATGACTGCTGGTTCTGAGCGAGAGTGTTCAATGTGTAGGCTGGGTTGTCCGCAGTGTCAAGCTGCTTGCGGTCTCGTGGATTATGCGGTGTGGTAGTCGTGAAGTAACTAACTGGTTGGTTAGAGTTGCTGCAGGGCGAATTAAGCAGCCAGTCAAACAGCGACCAGGCTGGCGAGTCGGTAATAAGTCACTGTCCAGCAGGCAAGGGAGTCTTGGATAAAGATTGGCTGTTTTGTCTCTCGCTTCCAAGCTCCAGCAGCACCAGCAAGTATATATAGAGGCGTCCGTGATGTCTACGCAGGCGGGAGTTGGCGCAGCCTCTGGTGTCCTTTATGAGGCGTTGCTACAAGCCGGCTAAGTGGGTGCCGCCTGTGACGTGATGCCTGGGCCGATCCCGCGGCCGAGCGAAGCTTCGAGAAGGTTCTCCAACGCTGGTTGGCCGGCGGTGCTGATAGGGGGTGTTGATATCGATAACTAGCTGATATAGGCATAGAGGATGATGTTATAGTGATATTATATAGATTGAGGTGTAGACTATTTGGACACGATGTGGACGACGTCTTCGTCTGCTACTAGATGGCCCAGTCCTACTCGCTGCGGTACATGCGTGACGCTGGCGCCCCAGACAAGGGCGTACTTGAAGGACTCCTTGAGCGTGCGGTGGATTTGGTCGCACACGTCCTCGATTGTAGAGTTGCTCCTCACAATCAGAGCCTCGTTGAAGTCGGGGTCCACTCCTTTCCTACGCTCCGGTTAGCAATAATAACAATAACATTAAGCACAAAGGGGTGGGACCAGGGGGTGGCTTGCCGCTTTGTGTAGATGCGGATGAGCTGGAGTTCTTGCCAGCATCGGTCTACCACGTCTTTAATGCCCAGGTCGAGCTCGCAGCTCATCACACAGGTGTGAGGTTCTCTCGCTAGCTGGTCGAGGAAGTCCAGGCTGACGCTGTCGATCTTGTTATACACGTACAAGCTAGGAATTGGCCGGTTAGACAAATCGAAGAGGTTCTAGATTAGTCTTGCTGTTGATGTCCTTACCACTTAATATATTTTCTGTGGTCCTTCATGATAACGTCTATGAAGTCGTCGACGGTAGCTATAGCCTATGGTTAGTCTATGGCGTATAGGCAAGTAAAGAAGGATGAGAGTCATTACCATTTTCATCTCTAACCAGGACCTCGCAGTTGAGCACCTTGTAGTCTCTCAGGATATTGTACAACATCTTCTCGTCGAGGTACTTTGGAGGTGACTGGAATGTGATCTTCATCCCGCCAGCCTTTTTGACTTTCAGATAGATGTTTCTGTCGGCATATATTAAGAATTGCTCTTCTGTGATAGAAACTGCGTATACTTACGGCACTTCTCGATTCAGCCGAATTCCGACAGCTTCTAATTCTGCCTCTAGTAATGCTCTTTGCTCGGCTTTCTTCGTTGCGTCCAAAACCATCAAGATTAAATCACTGGTCTTCATCTCACGTTAGCTATTGTAAAGGGAAACTTAGTCTATCGGTGGGAATAAGTACCTTAGCCGCAGAAATAACCTGCCTCCCTCGTCCCTTGCCTTCTGCTGCTCCTTCAATGATTCCGGGAAGATCCAGAATCTGAATCTCTGAACCGCCATACTCCAACACGCCGGGAATGGCTGTGAGAGTTGTGAAAGAGTACGCAGCAACTTCACTCTTGGTCTTGGTGATTTTTGATAGAAAGGTTGACTTTCCAACGGAAGGGAATCCAACAAGGGAAATTCGAGCATCTCCACTCTTGCTAACGTCAAAACCAGCTCCTCCGCCAGATCCAGATCCTCCAGTTGGCTCAAGAAGCTGGGCTCGTAGTCGTGCAAGTTTTCTGATTGTAGGGTATAAATTAGTTTGATAGCTGAACCCCTGGTTGTACACAGGTATACGTACCCCTTAAGTAGACCCAAATGATATTCTAGAAGACGTCAGTTTTTGTCAATGCAGAAATTGAACTGAACCCGTACGAACATACCAGTGGCCTTGTTTTCTATACGCCCAAGTAGTTAGTTCATATATACCAAATGATGATATCAACAAATCTATATGATAAGAGCCCATACTTTGCGTCCTGCGCATCTCCTCCTCGATCCTGCACATCACCAGACACTTATATTAGCCTATATTCATTCACCGCCTGTAGGGATAAATATATATATGGTAAAGCTCACTCCTTAATCTTTTCCGTGATGTTCACCATGATGGGCAACGTAGCAGGGTATTATCAATCCAGTATCGGTATGTTTTATCCGTGAGGTCTGAAATCTCTGACCTTTCCTCTTCCACCAACGCCCAAAGTAATGAGATCAAGCTAGTGGTATTAATTTTTATATCTTCTTCTTTGTTTCTTCTCTTATTCTCTTCTTCTCATCGTCTTCTCCCCGCCAACTGATTGGCGCAAATGTGGGCTGCAGTGATTACATAAGCAAAACTGCTCGCTTTTTGCAGCTTCGGAAGTTTTGGAGCTTCAACGAGCTGCAATTCATGCTTTTTATCAGAACAACCACAATCTTACACCTACGATAGAAAAAATGGCTTCGGCAGACTCGGTTGAGACTCAGGAGGGTGTAGCGATGGCTGAACAGCCATCGACGGACCTCCAGGTGCAAAAAGCAGATGCGACAGAGGCAACAGAAACTGCCCTTGCAACGACAGACGGAGCAGACAAGGAGAAGAAGACCAAGATAATACGGCGGAAAAGACGACCGGCACGAGTGCAGGTTGATCCATCGACTGTGAAATCGGAACCGCCGCCGCAGACCGGAACCATCTTCAACATCTGGTATAATAAGTGGTCAGGAGGCGATCGAGAAGACAAATACCTCTCCCAACAACCAGCAGAGTCGAGGTGCAATATCGCAAAGGACAGCGGATACACGCGTGCCGATAAAATAACAGGATCCTTCTTTTGCATATTCTTTGCTCGGGGGCTCTGTCCAAAGGGACATGAGTGTGAATACCTTCACCGCTTACCAGGAATACATGACCTTTTCAACCCAAACGTGGACTGTTTTGGCAGAGACAAGTTCAGCGATTACAGAGATGACATGGGAGGCGTGGGTACATTTATGAGACAGAATAGGACTCTATACGTCGGAAGAATACACGTTACAGACGATATCGAAGAAGTGGTAGCCAGGCATTTCGCCGAATGGGGACAAATCGACAGGATCCGCGTTCTCAACCAGAGAGGAGTAGCGTTCGTCACATACACGAATGAAGCAAATTCCCAGTTCGCAAAGGAGGCAATGTCGCATCAGAGCTTGGATAATAATGAAATATTAAACGTTCGCTGGGCGACCGTGGATCCAAACCCGGCCGCGCAGAAAAGGGAGGCAAGACGAATTGAAGAGCAGGCTGCGGAAGCTGTGAGGAGAGCTCTACCAGCTGAATTTGTAGCAGAGCTTGAAGGCAGGGACCCGGATGCCAAGAAAAGGAAGAGGCTAGAAGCTGGGTTTAATTTGGATGGCTATGAGCCGCCAGATGAAGTTTGGTATGCGAGAAGTCGAGAGCTGGAACAGGCCCAAGATGGCGCAAAAGAGCTTGAACCAGCGGCCCAGCCTGGGTTGATTGAAGCACCACCTCCCGCACAGCCGGCTGCGGGTAATGGGATATTATCCGGCTCAACTTTGGCTGCGTTACAGAGCTATGGAGGCTCTGGTATTACTACAAAACCGGCTGAAACCAAGAGTTCAGGCGGTCCTTTGGTTGCTTATGATAGTGATGATGATAGCGAATGATACCACCGGGATAACAATCCCTCCGTTTTTTTTCTCTTTTCCAGGCTCCCTAGGTCTTTTTGTTTTTTCTGGTGTACTTTAGATTTCATCTGGCTGGTCTCTAACAGGGCATACTGTAAAATAACTATATTTACATGAATTCAACCGTCTGCTGATTAATTAATTTAATTTCCTCGTTTCAAGTCATAATAAATGCAGTTTCCGGTTCGATAGTTGTAGATGAAAGCGTTGGTATACTTCACAGTTCCATCCGGTGCAACACTTTCACTCGCTAGATCGATCAATAGCTCATGGATATTCCCTAGATATTTTCTTTCCACCAACGGCGCACTCTGGATGGCATTCCGCCAGCTATCCGGATCTGAAAGACGAGTGTCTCGAATACTCTCCAGAACATCATCTCGGACGTCTATTGCAGCAATGGGCCCATCAAGGCCTTTGTCCAAAACTTCACGAGAGCGACGCAGTGCTGCAACATAATCATTAACAAGGGAGACTCTCGCATGGGGTTATGCAGAAGACTTACCAAATTCAACAATATTTCTCCTATTAGTCTTTTTGCTCTTGTGAAGGGGTGTCAGGATTCTAACATCCGAGTCTCTCTCCCTGCCTGAAAGGCTGGCCTCAACCTGGCTAGGATGTTTGACCAGCTTTGGAGAGTCAGGGGGTCGGTCATGTTTGAATTTCCTGCGAGCGCGCATCTCATTCCGAAGCCAGGGGACTAGATCTGAGCTTCTCACGTCAAAGTCTTCTTTGCGTTGTACACTCTTGACTCTCAAACCCCTCTCAATACTGTCCTGCTTGACAATTACCACCCAGCTGTAGTTATCGTCGACGTATCTGGTGAGAAGGTCTTCTAGTGAAGGCGTTGTGTCCGCTGCAAGCTCAGCGCTGATGTCGTGTGCCCATAGAGTCGAGACAATACCAACTCCAACAGTTCGCAGTACAGAAGGATCAAAACTAGCAACCAATACATCACACTGTAATCATTTGCGTTAGCCATGCACGCCCATTATATCATAGTAATGGGTTCAACCTACCTTATTTTTGCGCCAGGAGTTTCCAACCTCTGCATCTGGCTTGAGAAATGATTTATTAGATCCTTTCAGATAGTTCGTCATCGACCCGTTCAATTTATCTAATCCAAGATTAAAGCCAACCGCATGGGATCTTGGACGGTTCGAGCGCAAGATGGGCTGAAATTCCTGTATTAGACTGTCGTATCTTCCGCCGGCTGCAAAGACATCTCTTCTCTTCTTATCAAAGACACATTGAAAGAGCACGCTGCCGTTGTAGAATTTGTCATTCAAGCTGCTCAATGGGCTGATATAGACTTTTCGCTTCACTTTGAACTTCTCCAGATATGAAACAACTATGTTCAATCGGTTGAAGATAGGTGACAATCTATCGGCGTATTCGGTTCCATCCATGATCGCATGAAGCCTGCTTAATGCTTTCTGGGGGGTATCTAGAGAAAATGTCAATTTGATATCTTAGATAGACAATGACACAATAGAAAGTCCGTTACACATACCTCGGAAATCGAACCGCGACAAATCATCAATTGACGTCGATGGCACACCGATACTCGGTGATCGGAGTTCACTTCTGATCTTCTGCATCGTGTACTGCCCAATATTAAGTTTGCTGATGACCTCTTTCACGATGGGTCGCTGTTCGGGCGTAATACGGCAAAATGCCACAACTGCCTCCAAGAGGTCAGAGTGATTGAGGTGGAAGCACATCTGGGTAGATCTCAGTGGCGGAAATTCGTCAATAATCTCATCCAGTACCTTGATTACCTCTGCTTCCTTCAAAGGTAGATCCAAGGTGTTATAGGAAACAATATCAAAATCAACTTCTTTATGACCCCTGGGTTCGCCCCTATGGACAGATTCCCTGTAGACGGTACCAAATGAAAACGCCTTTTCGATAGATAAATCCTGTTTCGGTAGAGCACGAGCGTTTGGAAGAGTAAGGTCGTAGGGAAGCTGGACGAGATTTCCGCCGGGGTCTAGAAGCCGGACGGCGCCTGGGCCATAATGGGATGATCGTGGGAATAGTGACTGCCTGCAAGTTTCTACAGCTCCATGTTTTCGGAACAATGCAGTAAGCTTGTCTTTTACCACCCCGTGCAGTAGCAATTCTGTAGCCGTAGGACTTGCACGCGAGTCGATATCCCATGCAATGTCTTCAAACTTCTTTTGAGGCTGGGAAAATATCGCGGAGAGTATTTTTTTATAATCCGGAGATTCAGGGTCAGATAGGAGTCCCATGACTGCTTTCCGGAACATCTCTTCCTCAACCTGTAGCGGTATTTTGTCACTCTGAAGCAACTCAGTTGTGGTTGGGCGTTCACTAGGTCGGTGGCTGATGAGAGAAAGGATTATTTCTCCCTGTGCCACTTTTTCTGGGAGATTGAACGCTTCAGGAAGGGTATGCTCCTTTTGCCTGATACCCTGGAGTATCCGATCTCTTTCCATTCCAGTCTCAAGCGGATAGCACATTTCGAAGAAGATAATACCAAGAGAGTACATCTGTGACTTGTTAGCATGAACTTAGTGATAAAAGGAAGAGTAACTTACATCAACTTTCTCATTATACTGCCCCATAGAAGCCTTTTTAACCTCTGGAGCGACATAATACGTGGTACCAACACTCTGAGTAAAACCAGCTCCTATGCTCTCCAGCGCAGGCGATCGGTCGGTTGAGCTAAGTTGTCCACTTGTAGCCAGGCCAAAGTCTCCAATTCGCGGGTTATTTGCCATATCAATGAAAATATTGTCTGGCTTGAGATCCCTGTGTAGAATGCCATGGGAATGGATGTGATTGAGACCGTCAAGGATCTGTCGGAAGAGTCTCCATGAAGAATCGATATTTTCATGCAATCCAAACCTGATAAGGTCTCGTAGAGTCTAGAACGGTGGGTTAATTTCCTAAAACCTCGGTAATTATTGCCGAACAACCACTTACGTGTTTCTCACAATATTCCATCTGGATATATAGGGTTGTAGGAACGACTCGTGACTGCGAACCTGACCTTACCCTGCGAAGGGATACACCCTCCTCCGTAGTACTAGCATTGGTGCCCTTCTTCTGAGCGCCAGTGCCATCTGAAATGGTATCACTTTCCCCTTCTTCATCGGTATCATATCCGAATTCAACCTTTGGGTAACCGCTGGAGCTGATGAAATCCAGTCCACTAGTGCTGTAGCCAAACTCGATATTATCTCCCGAATGGGAACCGGAGCCGTCTGAAGACAGAATGGCATCCGAGCCATCATCATCACTCATTGCAATGTAATTCTCTTCTAGCCATGCCGTAAAATATCGCACAACATAAGGATGATTGAGTCTTGACAGCAGCATGATTTCTGACAAGGTATCCTTTAAAGCAACAGGGGACTTCTGGGATATCTTTTTGACAGCGTAGAACCTGCCATCCAATTTATTTCGAGCTTTGACAACCAGGCCGTAACCGCCTCTTCCCAGGCGACCAACTTCATCGAAATCATGACTGTAACGGGAGACTGCTGCTAAGTGACCCTGGGAATCATGACGTGTGCGATGTGGAAGGGAAGACGAGCCAGGAGATCCAGTGGGGACGATCAACGGTGTGTCAACGCGGAAGAACTCGAATGGTTGGATCTGGAACGGTGTCGGACGTTTTTTAGGGTCAGATCTAAATATTTCAACAAGCATGTCCTCTAATTGAGGGGACAGCTCCATGGAGTTGATGACAGCATCTGCGGATGTATACCGTTGTAGGATATCTTTCCCAAAGCCCATTTGCAAGAACAGAATACCTAGATCCCAAACATCAGTCTTGATGGTTGGTTTCATGCCTTCACCTGCGAGTTCAGGAGGTAACCAGAATGGAGATTTCGGCGTTGTGAGACTTCTTCTTCTAGCTGTAGATGATAACGGGAGTACTTCCTCCACGTTACCGAGTAGTTTTACTGTTGTTGTACTCGATGGGCTTCTGAAGAGCAAAACACGACCACAGTGTATATTTCCATGCACCACACCGTGACGATTATAATACTCCAGAGCTTCGACCAGCTGGATCATCCAGGCTCTGGCATTATCTGCCGGAACGCTGCCAACAATATCCAGTAGTTCGGATAGGGAACCCTTGTTAGCATGCTCAAAGAGGGCATATATGTGCCAGGTGCCGGTTTTACTTGGGGATGAATCAATGGGACGTTGGATTTTGAAGCCAATGAAATCCACAAGGTTGGGATGACGAAGCTTCTTCAAGAATTCAAGTTTGTCCTCACTCACGCTGATCTGGAACCGGAGATCAATATCCTTATGTTCACTTTCCTGAATGAATATCTCCTTCAAAACAAGGAGTGGTACCAACGGTGTGTTTCCTGGGACAATTGGCCTCACTAAGAACGTTTCCTTGTAATGAGATTTGCCAATTATATTCTTCCCACTAACTGATTTAAACCATAGGGGGCGATCATGCAGACCTGTGATGGCCATTGGGGGATCGAACGATATCGCATCTGGGACATCGATAACAGACTCCAAAAGACCAAAGTCTTCTGCATTAGTCCTACTCTTGCGACGAGACAACTGCTCGTTCTCCCTTTGGCGCTGCTTCAGTTTATCTTCAACTAGCAATTGTAGCGATTTCTCCTCCTCAACGGTTGCTTCTTGCTGTCGAGCTAACTCCTCCTGCTTCAGCTTCTCGGCCTGCTGAAGAGCAGCAGCCTCCTGGACTATACGTTCCTCCTCGAGGCTTGGTAAGTCCTTGTCTTGGGCTTGTGCCTGCGCACAATCTTCCAGGACGTCTTCAATGGCAACAGCCAGTTCATATATCATTTCGGACCCCAGGAGTTCTACTGGCTTGGACTTCAGAACGCCCTCAAGCCGCTCTTTGGCACTCTGTCTGACATCTTGAACAGTTTCTAGTTTTAATATCGGAACAGATTTGGGATAAGTCGTCGGCAGTTCAACCAAAAGGCAGACTCGAACGTCAGGATTTGAGGACGCCTTGAGCTGCAGCTTAAAGGATATTGTCGAGGATTGCTGGATAGACAAGATAAGCATAATAGGTTAAATCAAGAGTCTCATATAAAAGAAAATACATTATAAAACTGCGTGCGAATTTACAGGCAGTGCAGAGCACTCGACACGAACTTACATTCCACGCAGAGGGTTTTGTCTCTACGTCCTCGAACTCGTCGCCATATATTGAACGCAGGGCGTCCGCCTCATTCTTGTGTATTTCTTCATAATTAGTGGCCAGGGCCAGGTTAGAGGCAGTCTGCTGTTTGTCTTCCACAGGGGAACCGTTGGTTTTTGTGCTCCCTTTCCTTTGTTTGCGCGGCATGATCGCATACAAATAGAGAGTGTTCTCAACGAGCGAGAGTGTTGCTTCTCAGGAAGCAAGCAACAGAGATTGCAGCCGTAGCTGCAGCCCTCTATTGGAACATTATTAGACGGAAAACAATTGGTGGTTAGGTGAGAAGAAGTGCTGGATTGTCCTGTCTGTCTTTGTGCCCAACAAGTGATTCACATCTTCTATCTTTGTACAGGGATTTTGCTGGCGGTGAGCGGAAGATAGTCGCACCGGATCACGTGCTGATAAGTCTGCATTACCTGAGATGCGGTCTACGATGCCCAGGAGAAAATATATATAAAGGAGGTGTAGTATAACTCGAAAGGCCGGCCGTCTATATCTCGTGTAGTATTGCATGGCTAATATATTGTGTTCGAGAAGCAATGGTGGGTGCTGTCAACCGTTCCGCCGTTGGAATCTGTCACTTTTGGAGGCTGACATGGTTCCTATTTATAGATCACCACCACCAGTTGATCTTGCGCGCGCCCCTGTCTACAGAACTCTGCAAGCCCCGCTACCAGAAACTCCAAGATTATCCCTACGCAGCCCTGATTTGCCTTCCCGCAAGACGCCCTCTGTTTTTTTTTTTAAACAATATGGAGAGCCACCGTCGCCGCCGTCTGTCGACTTCGCTTCCGCCCATGCACCCCGTACCTCGGCACGTTTTAGAGTAAACCGGCTAGTCCAGGTCGGGACTAGTGGCGGGTACCGTCGATGCGGCAACCACGTGACGTCAGGAGAGTAAACAAAGCGCTTTTTCTCCCTTTTGGACGGCGGGTAAAAAGTTCGCGTGAGGAAGACGATAGAAGCGCAACCTGAGAGGCCGGCAAAGGGAGCATCGGACGCGGCTCGCATGCTTCTGAGAGAAAGGTATACTTGGTAATGGACAGCTATTGAGACCAATTCGATACTCGTGAGGTGTCAACGATGCTGAGCTGGTTGGCAGGCTCCAATCAGGGCGTTGCGGGAGGTAAGGCGCCTCACCTCACTTCCCTCTGGGAAATATACCTGTCATTTGAACACCATATATTAACCACGAATCTCTACTCAAAACAGACGAGTCTATGGTACTTGATGCGCCAGAGACACCAGCACCGGTTTTTGCGTATAGAGCTTTTAAAAACGCGATGCTTGGGACTCCTGCCCCCGAGGTGGACGAGGACAAGGACTTAACCGTCCCGATACGCCCACTAGACCCGAGTTCTCACAAGAAGAACGATGACCTGAAAAAGGCAGTTCAGAAACTTTCGTCCGGCGAGGACCGAAAAATGGAAATTCCTAAGCTTGAGCCAAAGACACAGGAGCCTGCACATGCGATAACTTCACCCTCAAAGAGTATCCTGCTTACTCCTGGAACTGCCACAACGCGCCGTAAAACGGTGTCTTTTGGGGCTGGTGTTAAGGATAATGAACGCAAGCCCGTTTTCCTTGATGATGAGCGGGATCTAGAGCTGAGCGGAGGAAATATCAGCAGCCAATGGTCAATGAGCGTGCCCAGTGGTTCTGGACGCAGGAGCAAATTGACACAGTCTCTACTTGAAGCCCGCGAAGAGAAGTTTGGACAAAAAGTAGATGGCTTTGATGACACTCCTGTCAAGAAAGAAGAGCGCAAAGATACCCGCGAAAAGGACGAAGATGAGTACCGTGATTCTGATCAGTCTGAGGAAGAAGAGGAAGACGAGGGAGATGTGACAATTAACCTCGAAGCTCCGCATTCCCAATCCGGAAAATACTGGAAATCCGAATTCGAAAACTACCGGACCAAAACGGAGAAGGAAATACGAAAGCTCATCGAATACCGATCAGTCGCGAAATCTTACGCAAAGAAAAAGGAGACAGAGGCCCTTCGCCTTACTGAGAAACTGAAGCAAGAAGAGCTTAAAGTAGCGGAGATGGAGAGGCGCGTCTCTGAGCTTGCTGCTGGCATGGTTGGCAGTGGCGACGGTGAGAACTCGAACAAGGACCAGATGTTCCGCGAGCTTTCAAGGCAGACTGCTGCCGCACTGCAACATAAACAGAAAACAGCAACTCTCCGAAAAACATTAGAAGATCATGGCATTGTCAATAAGGAGATGTTGGCAGAAGATCTATCAGCAGAGAGAACTGCTGCGAAGCTTCGTGAGGTTGAGGAGGCTCTCTGTGAAGCGAACGCTCGACTTCGCGAGAGCGAAAGAAACCCAAAGTTAAAGGAACTACAAGAGCTGGTCCGGAGCTCGGAGCGGAAGGCTGCTGAACTGAAAAGAGATAATCTGTTACTGCAGCGCAATCTTGACAGGGTAAAGACCGAACTTCTACACGTCGGCGAGCGGCGAAAGGCACAGGAAGAGAGAGCGAAGAAGCGTGAAGAACGACTCGAGTCTCGCGCTCAGGAATATAGTAAGCGCTTGACTGACTCTTTACGAGACCACCAAGCGGCGGAGGAAGCGTTAAGAAAGTCATTTGACGCCGAGAGGAAACAAATGCAAGAGACTATCGACTTATTGAAAGGAACCTTGGCCTTGCGTTCGGACAACTCACAGCCCCAAACATCCACTCGCTCAACACGACGTGAGGAGATTACAGAAGATATACTTGAGCGGCTTAAAAAAGCTACCAGTAACTATCACGCACGGGTGGATTCCTACGACTCAAGCGACGACCAACTAGAAATTACCCTCCCAAGTGATAAGGATGTGCTTAATTCGCCCACAAAGTCACTGACTAAATCTCGTGAGGATACCCAAAGTAAAGCTCCTGAAAGTCCGTTTGATGAAGAAACTATAGGTGCTTTATTAAAAACCCTTCGAGGGGGGGCTGGTTCACCAACAAAGCAATCTATACAGCAAGGCACATCCGAGCATATTCATGAGGACACCGAAGCTTCTAATGGCGTCCCTACGGCCAGCGTCCGTCGCAAACTGCAACTCAAAGCCGATGCAAAAGCTTCCGGTAATACTTCAAAGAACTCCGATGAACCGCTCAATCTCGCCGAAGAACTGTTTATTAGACTCGGCGGTTCCGCCCGGAATCTTGAATCACTCCGCCAGAAGGACAGTGATATGACAAACACGACCCTAGGTTCAGTAGGCGATGTGAAGTCTACGCCTCTCTCCAAGCCAGCCGTCAAACAACGAACGTCGTATCGCCCTGGTCATTCACCTCGTCCTTCCCTTTCGTATCTAAACTCCGGTCGTGTAGACACCTTGCCTAAAAGGCAGAAGTCACGGACATCTTCACACCTTGAACGGCACCGAACTACTAATCATTCGGATATAAACCGCCAATCCACCACAAAATCGGATGGTCCTGCTCAATCCAAATTAGGTTCTATTCCATCAGACCGACTTGCAGCGGCTAAGGCTAGGTTAAGGCAGAGGCAACTTCATGCTAAGGTCGAAGCAGAGGACAAGGAGAATATGCTTTCAGCATAGGGTTCATCCGTAGCATGAATTGATTTGGACTTGGTCTTTGGTTATATATTTTTGTACTAGCTTTTTGTTCAAAAGGCATTGAGCAAGCGAACGTTTTTCACATCCCCTTGAAATCATCGCGAAAATTAATATCTATTAAACACACTCTAGCTCTCCTACTAATAATTTCTCCTATATCCACTTTTCTCTCATGGTTGAGTATGCGTTTATTCCTTTTTCTTCCCGTCACAAAGTGAAACGACAGCCCATTTCCCGCTCCAGGCCCATTTCCGAGAACCAGAGTCACCTCCCCCATTTGGCATGTTACGCAAGCGCTCATCTTCACCTTTCTCGAGACCAACGACAACGTCAGCCTTACAAGTGCGGAGAGCGAGAACCCTAACCCCTGAACCTTGGCCAAGTGGTCCAATTGCCGTGTCAAAGGGAGTAGTTGGGTCCCAGTGAGCCTAAACAATAGAATTAATATCTGTACTCCAATCATACATTTAAGACATGGAAATGTGAAAGTGGTCTTACATCTGCTGTCAATTTTCGATAGTTCAGGTCTCCCTTGAAGATGACCAGTTCACTTTCCTTTAGGTCTTCATAGAGACTAGGAGCCTCATGCGGTAGCCGCCAATAACTTGACGCTGTTGTCCAGAATCGGTTTGGTCTAATAATCAACTGTCCTTCCGCATGGAAGTCACCCCACTGCTGGAACAGATACTTCAACTCATCTACTTCCTTGTCCGTGAGAGGCTGTGGTTTCTTTTCCTCCCCAGTTTCTTCTTCTCCAGTGCTGCTGAAGAAGCTCTGCGGATCCGAAAGAAGGGCAATCAGGTCCCCAAAATCCCGTGGCAGAACATCAGACACAAACCACGGAATAGATTTGGGATGAAGGACAACACATGTTGCCAATCCAGAGGAGAGAAGATAGCCTGCCAGGATGAGGTCAACGAAGAGCTCAAAACCTGCATTGTCCAGAACGATATCTACTCGACGCTCTTCATTTTTTCGTTCCGTTCGGGCCTTGTTTAAAAGTTCAAATGCAGCTGGAAGATCGTTCACCAGAACATTAGCCTCTGCTTTCTTTCGGGCTTCTGCGCCTTGAAGCTTTTGGATGTCCTCATATGTAAGAGACGTCAGGAGTGAGAGATCTGTAGCATTTCCCCATAGACAAATTTCACACATCTCCATAAATAGCATTTTATCAGCCTCCTGCTGTTGTTCAGGGGTCATATCATCCCTCTTTGAATGTATCTGCTTTAGATCCTGGGATAAATCTCTGTATCGAGTAGCTAGTTCAAGCACAGCAGGTCTAGAGGATCTAAATGTTGACATCTTTTGCTGTGCAAAGACATCATATTCTTTCCAATGCTTAGAAAGGGCAAACTGGGTACTCATCCGGCGGTCTTTTCAGTTGTATTTTCCTGTTAGTTGGCGATGCTAACCAATGCAAGGAATTTGGATCTTCCACGAACATAAGTAGCATTCCGCAAATAACCATGGAGCGTCGAACCATGAGAGTTCTCCGCGATCTGCAAGTTCCTTGTTATAGATGGCAATGTCTGACTCTCCGTCATCGGCGAGAGGGCTGTAGATTATATGAAGAGTTAGCATCTCTCATCTATCAAAGTCGCGTTGTAGAAGAAATCAAAGTCAACTAACGTCAATTTCCGGCCGTGCTGAAGTTCGTACTTCAATGCAGCCAGCTCATGAAGTATATCCTTCCCCTCTTTCTGCTTCTCTTCATCTGTTGCCTTGATGACCGAACGGTGAAGGTCGTCGATGGCGCCAGTCTAGGAATAACGCCCAGTTAGCCCACTATTTTAGGCACTTGCAGGGTAGTAGGTCAGGAACATCTCACTAGAATAACAGGCCATCTTTCCAAAGCGGAGATGTATGCGAATGTCTTCTTGTCTGATGTGCAGACGGGTGCTAATATTCGGCGGATTTGTTAGCTTCGGCATGGCTTGACAACCCCGCCAACACAAGCAGAGGGCTTTAATGGTTAGGCCGGGTCGCGCAGGCCTTGAGAGAAGGGCTGAATTGGTGTTAATTGGAGGGCTCTTACGGGTTTTGGTATCGAATTCCATCTTCAAAGTTGGTACACGGTGTTGGGGCCAGAAGCATGCAGTTGAGTGAGCTCGACCAAAGCTACTTGTGATGTTTGATGTCCCACCAAAACTAAACTTAGCAACACCCCACGCGGAATTATCCCGGAGATAAGATGTTATCAAACAGGCCACCTAACTTAAAGGATAGGCAAAATAGCATTAGGATCTAAAGATTAGACACTATCGGCGGTACAAATGAAGACATCCAGGGTGCCAATGTAAGTTTGAATTACAGGAAGATAGCTAACCCAAGGCATTATTTTGTTACAGATTGCATCTCCAATGTACTTCAGATTCTTTTACAAAAACGCCTGTGCTCTACCGCGCGGTGAAATCATAAGGGGTACGAGGTTCGTCAATCGTAGATTCGGGGGAATGAAGTGTGATTTGGGTAAAATGACCCACGGCGATGTGGGCAATGCCTGTTGGTAGGAACAGCGGTGGTAATCCTAAGGTCTATAATTCGACCTTAAAAGGCATGGATACGTGGCCGGTCAAATAGAGCGTAACCGGCTCCTTTACCCAGGCTACCATCATGTTGTATGGGATCTACGTCCCTAATGGATTGTGGTGGCAACTCGGCTTGTAAATTTAACTACATCAGGGACATGATGGAGTTGCTGGCGTAAGCCTGGAAGTGAAGTTAGTAAGAACTAGTAGTCATAAGCAACTGAAAGGTAAACGTACCATTGGTTTGATGTTAGGATGTGGGACAGCGTCGAATTTGTGGAAATCGAGCTTGAGTTCAGGCCCAATGTTGATGTATGCACCCTTATTTTCTGTGCTATCACAGTATTTAGGAGCAGAGAAGACTGTCACAATAATTAGCAAAACCTCTCTAGCGCATACAAAAGAGATTAGACTTACCGGTGATACATCTTCCATCGTGTTCAACTTCATAGCCCTCCATACGCACTTCGTGACTTCGAATAATAGCCTCAAGGCCATTCTTTTCGCAGAACCGCTTGGTGACGTCTGGACCAAACTGCATACCAACACCCCTCTTGCTCGGTCCTCTGCCCGGTAGAGTCTGAGGATCAGTCCAGAGCATTTCCATCATCAGACCGGATTGGCCTGGCTGGCGCTGGTTATGCCTGTTCAGGGCTCTGATATCCGCCAAGGAGATGTTATCATCGGAGAATAAGCCACCGTGAAGTACTAGGTACTTTTGTCCTATCAGTGTTGCAAGGGCAAGTGCACTGAAGGATTCAGAGAAGACCTTGAACAGACGCTCGGAGTATTTGGCTTTGCATTCTCCTTCAAAGCCATAAGCGCGGTTCATATCATCGGTTTCGTGATTTCCACGATTAAGGAAGAAAGAGTTAGGACGCATCCATTTGTAGGCGTAAAGAAGGAGGGCGATTTCGCAAGACCAGCTACCACGATCAACAAAATCACCATTAAAGAGATAGTAGTGGGTATCAGAGGGGAAACCATTAAGGCGGAATATTTCCAGAAGGTCAAAGAATTGGCCTGTAGGCAAATTGTTAACAGAAAAGAGTTGTGAAAGCGTCGTTAAGGGTGGAATTTAAGCTTACCATGGGTGTCTCCACAAACAGTTAATTTGGAGCCTTTTTCAACGCCGATTTCAACCATAGTAGGCTCATTGTATACGATATCCCGCACAGCTTTCACTATCTGGAACGCATACTTTTTATGTATCTGCTTTCCATTCTTGAATCGGTTTATCATATCATCAATGAACTCCTGGGTCATTTTATCCTCCAATCGTACACCGTCATAGCTATCATCCACGACCATTGATTCAATATTGAGCCCCTCAAATGCTGACGGTGGATCGGCAACTTCAATAGCTTTCTCAAATTCAATCCGCCGCACGAGCTTCTCGCACTCTGCTAACTTGAGCTTCGCATCACGGTCGTTGGGCGCTTTTTTCACAACGGTCTTGAAGTCTTTAAGGGCAGCGCGGGAATTGAGAATAGCGGTGTTGGCGACAGCTCTACGCCAGTATGCCTGGTCTCTGGTCAGTGGGCTGAAGGCGTTACGCAGTACTACAGTCCAAACAAGGGTTTCCTTCTGTATACCTTGACATATGAAGGATCTAGTTCAATAGCCTTGGTAGCATCCGCAATTGCAAATCCAAAGGCTTCCAACTTAACATGTACCTAGAGGGGAAAAAATAAGAGTTAACTTGCTGGACCTAAAAACCGTATGAGATCACTGTCTACGTGATTTGCTACTGAATACAACCGGTAAGTGAGGTATATACCTGTGCTCTGTTACAGTAGAACGACGGCTCTTTATCATACAGCTCGATAGCCTGTGTATAGAGATCTAGAGCCGCAGGCCAGTTCTGCTGCGCAAAGCATTTGTTGCCTTGCAGCTTGAGGGCTGTAGCAGCCTCAATATCGGATTGAGACATGGGGCTAAAAGTGATTTGTAGCGGGACGGATGTGGGGTTTCTGTAGATAAATGTGCAGATACGTGGGTGACGGTACTTGAGTGGGTTGAACAACAAAAGGAAAAGGCGGTGTCGCTATCGTCCTGCTCTATATCGCACGGCCGGAATCAAAACTGCACATCCAGAAGGCGAGCGAGTGCGATATCGAAAGGTCGAGAAGTTCACGAAGACAAAAAAAGTCAACCGGCAACCGGGGAAAGATAAGCTTTGGCCCTGTTAATAAGCACGATCACGTAATAAGGAATAAAATTAGTCATCAAATGCTTAAACTTTGATAAAGATGACGGAGATGATGAACATTCGGCAAAGACGAAAGTCAGGACGAGAGGAAGAGGAAGAGGTCAAGAATCGACGCTTATAAGATGGCATCCGGGTCCTTCTACGTCTCGGCGAACCAGCAGCGCTCTCTGCGCGCATGCATGGTTTGCTCTATTGTCCAGCTACACAACGTACCTAGGACCCCCCCAGCTCCCTCATACATCTCCCGGAACACACAGCTAACGAGATATCTAATAGAAATTCATGAACGAAGGCTGCCCAAACTGCGAAGCCGTGCTGAACCTCCGCGGAAACTCGGAAGCGATACAAGATTGTACCTCGCAGGTCTTTGAAGGATTGGTTGCCTTGGCTGACGAGCGCACTTCGTGGGTAGCTCGTTGGCAGAGACTGGACGGGTATGTTCCTGGAACATATGCCGTGAAGGTTGTGGGGTCGGTGAGTGTGAAAATTACTTTCTCGTTGGATTTCTAGCAGATGGGCTAATCGGGATGAATTATAGCTGCCGCCTGAGGTATTGAGTGACTTGGAAGATGCGGGGATAACCTACATTCCGTATGTGATAAGACTGTACTCTTAAAAAAACGATTGAGACTAACTGGTGTTATTAGGAGAGATGGGAGTGCCGCCGATAATGATGGATAAAGTTATGTATACACACTAGCTCATGGGTTTGATTCAAGGGGTTCGGTGCTATTATTTGGTTTACTGGCTGGTAGCAAGGCGAAGGCGTTCATAGTGCCTTTAGTGTTCAGACATATATTTTTCTGGGGACTTCTACATACGTAATAAAATAAATTATAGAGCGGAAGTTCATCGGGAGAACAAATCAAATAAATTTACTGCAGCAAGTAAGAAGCATGCTGGAAGTTCATGTTAGGCTCGTGAAACATCTCTAAAGCTAAGCTAGGGATCATCATATTTCTCCCTGAATTGACCAAAACGTGCAAATTTGCACATAAAAAAAACCAGAAGAAAAAGATGAAACATAACAATCAAAGCAATAATACGGCGCTCTTCATGACTTGACAATCTTCTCGAGGGATTCGAGGAGAATATCAGCATGGTGCTTCTGGAAGACCAGCATGGGTCTCAGCCTGACGGCCGACTCGCCGCATCCACCAATGTTGATGCCGACCTCCTTGCCACGCTTTAGCACTGCATCACGCTGAGGGCTGTCCCATGAGATGAAGGTGCCTTGTCCCTTTCCACGTAGGTTATTGAATTGGCCAGGGTACTTCTCGGCCAGGCGCTCAAGGCCAGCGAAGAGATAGTCACCTGTCTGTGCGGTGTGTCTGACGAGATCCAGACGCTCAATCTCCTCGATTATGGCACGGAAGATGAGAGCACGAGCTGGGTCACCCATCCAAGTATTGAACTGTCTGTATGGCTTGTTAGGTCTCAGAGCTGGGTTGCCGAAATAGTAACCGGCAGCCTGTGCCTTTTTGGAGAAGGTGACAATGTCTGGTGGAGTGGATAGGTTCCAGTGCTCGTGAGCCCAGAATTTACCAGTTGCACCGACACCAGTCTGAACTTCGTCGACAATCAAGAGGACGTTGTTGCGCTTGGTGATTTCACGGAGACCCTGGAAGAAGGCTGTGGAGGCGTGGTTGTCTCCACCCTCAGATTGGACTGGCTCAACAACAACAGCAGTGACAGGGTTGTGGAACTCCTTGATCAGCCTCTCAACTTCCTCAAGGCAGCGTTTCTCCTCTGCGGCATTCTCAGCAGCGAATTGATCGAGTGGGTACTTGAGCTGAGGGAAAGGAGCACGGGGCCAGTCAAAGGCCGGGATATCAAGCTTGTGGATGGCCTTGCTGCGGGTGGTGGAAAGAGAGCCGAAGAGACGGCCGTGGAACGCAGAAGTGAATGACATGATGGAGTAGTTGGGGGAGCCAGGAGCTTGGTTTACCATAGTGGAAGAGATGTCCTCGGAGGAAAACTCTACATCAGGACCACCACGCTGACGCTGAGCATAGTACATGAAAGCTGCCTTGTAGGCAGTCTCATTGGCATCAGAGCCGGTAGTAGAGGTAAACACCTGGTCAAGACCCTTGGGGGCAACTCGCAAGAGACCGGACTTGAGGATGCTTGCCCAGTTGTGAGAGGGGAAGTTGCCGAGTGCTGGGCGATTGATGAGGGCACTGGCCATATCGGTAGTCTTGGTGGCAGCAAGTAATGCTGGGTTGTTATATCCCACTGGGATAGAAGCAATCTGGGCAAACCTGCAGGAGCCGTCAGTTAGCCGGGAAAATAAGGGCATCTCGGCTCAACAAGAGAAACACGTACACATCAAGCAAGACGTTTCCGTCCAAGTCTGCAATGCTACACCAAGCACGTCTGTCAGTGATTCCGTCCAATTGACCCGTAAACAGTGTAATTGAGGGAGCTATATCGTACTAGTTTCCGGTGGACTTTTGGTAGTCAACCAGCATATTCAAGCTCCTAGTATCGAAGACGCGGTCAAGCTGGGAGATGGCCTCCTTGCTCTTTGGTCCCGGAATGGCAGTCTTTACAGTCGGACCAGCCGGCTCGTTGGTGAAGAAAGCAGAGGCGGCGGCATGTCTCGGGGTCGAGCTGAAGCATCTGGCCTGGACAGCAGCCCTGACGCCGGCTCTGGAACGTAGAATGGAAGCCATCGTAGACACACGCTGAAGAAAAAGAAGAGCTCAGAATGCAAAGAATGGAAGAGTGACCCGGCAGCGGGTGAGGGCGGGTTTTAATTAAAATAAGTCTGGGACAAGACTAGAGACTAGCCGCCGGCTATTCAAGCTGGTGGTGCCCTTTTGTTGTTGATGTTGTTCTTGTTGAGCTGTCTAGCTTCCCCCCGCATGACGAGGTGTCCGGCTTTTCTTCGGCCGAGCCGCCCAATCAGGGGTCAGGCGCTAGTCCCGATGTGGTGGAAACTTCCCGCCACGATAAGATAAGAATGATTATGTCATCAGGGGCCGGCCCGGCGTCGGAGTTACCGAAAAGGGAAGGGAGGGGTGGGTGGAAGTCGCGACTTCCGAAAGAAGTTGCGAAAGACAACGACATTCCATCTGAGATGGAATCTGAGATGGTAATCCGAGAAGGGACATGAGGGAGACATGGAGTGGTATCTAGCACATCTGGTTACGCTGGTGGCAACAACTACGTGTTGGAAGCGTCGAAAACAGTGGCCAGACCAAGGCGTTGCAACCGTGGCTGATCTAGCGGGCGGGCTCGACAGTTAGTGTCTCGTCGGCTCTTCGGTGCTTGGGTGCTTGGAGCGGTGCTTGGAGTGATGCTTGACTCCATCAACCTACACGAAGAATGGGGTATGGACACCATACGGATCAGGTTATGTGCATAGGACACGCCCTTTGACACCAGTAAGAAGGCCTAGAGCCGGATCAGAGAGGGGATCTCGTGAGTGGTGATGTTAGTGTTGGGCAGTGATGTGGTTTAGCGGGTATCAGAGGCGCCGGTCCTCTCTTTCTGACTCCCTCTTTCTCGTTCTCTCTCCCTCGGGCTGTTCTGCACTGCAGTCAGGCTTAGCTAGTTAGCTGGCATCCAATACAACAAGCACGAGAATGAATGCTAAGATCGACGTGTTCATGTTTAATTTCTGAGCAGGATGGAGAAAGGTTCGTTCGACTGCCTCAAGCAGCAGGAGACATAAATCTTAGGGGCCATCTTTCACTAATTATATAACATACGGAGTAGATGCAAGATACATCTTCACCAGGTCCACAAAGTCGCTAAATGTCACCACTAGACAGAGCGCTGAGGTGTTGATCGCTGGTCAAATAATATCCTGTTCGAATTTTCTTCTGCCACATGCCCGGCTCCTTTTAACTGGTTAGCTTGTCGCATCTTCAGCCTTGAAGTAGGGGCCGGCCCCCTTGGGCCTGCCAGCGAATCAAGACGTCAGCCTTCCTGGTCAAAACGTCCTTGCCTCTCCCTGGCTCGCTGGCTCTTTTCTTCTTTCTTCAAATCCCTTGCAATCCTTCAGCCTGCATAAGCACCACTCGAACCCCCTCTGACACATCCAAGGCATGGTCGATGAACCTTGTCACTGATGACAAAACGTCAACCCTAGGCTTGGGCTAACGCTCAACTAAACGACTAAACGGCAACTTTTTACATCATTCATACATATGGGAGGCTCCGGATGGCCGAAGATAAGGCGAAGGATTTGAACTTCACTTTTTTCGCTTTCCTTTTTCTTTCCCAACATGCCTTGAGAGTATTAGTGATATCACGGCAGTAGAGGATATGCGTTCTGTCTCCTGCCAAAACATAAGGTTGCCTAAACGGGCCGGCGGAGTAAATTATCCTTAATTTACTCTATCTATTTATAGGTACTTTCGATGGAGTACCAACAGAGACATTTTGCACAGCATCTTCCACCGGAGAACCCACTCGCCATATCCTGATCGCCACGATTTTCAACGATAGCCAGGCAAGGGAAAGATGAAAAATAGTGAATCAGGCTGCTTGAGGGCTAAGTTGCATGTGCGGCAGGGCCCGAGGCATTTTGTGACGCCTGCAACGTGTTGTTTCACCTTCTCCCGCCGTCCTAGCAGGGGACAAGCAACCTTCTGCTTGTTAGCGCCCTTCGGTGGGCCATCACCATTCATTCCAGGCCTTCAGGGGATCCAGAAAAATATTTCTTGAATTGATCCTTCCACTCTCTCCTTTTTTTTTTCCTCTTCGTGTCGTCTTCCCCAATCCCGCTTGGTATCTCCTTTTGTTTGTTGCGATACGGAGTAGATCTTCACTCTTTCGTTCTTTACGAGCATTTGTCCTTCTTTTTTCCTGAACATTATATACCATTGTCTGTCCTTTATCATATCTACCCTGCATCTATATAATCCATCTCGTACTCCATCCGTTAATTGTTGATATGAGCGACGAGATTTCCCACAACCAGGAGCCGGCTCCTCAACCCCAGAATCTTCGAGCTCAGAGCAAGGCATCCAGCATGGAGACCAAATGTGAACCACCAAAGACCGGTCAATCCACTCCTTCAAAGATCACCCCTAGACCTACATATATCAGTGGTGCAGCAGCTGCCTCAGACCTCAAGCTACCCCAGCAGATGCTCTCCAAGAGAAACACAATTGATATAAATGACTATTTCGTCAGTGGCCCTTTTATTCTTCCTCCGTTTTCCCGCCATGGCGGTAAAAATGGACGTTCGGCTAACTGTGTCGAACTTGTAGAAAGGGCCTAGGAATCTCGATAGGCATTCGAAATGGCCCCTATTCCTCCGAGTTCATGGCAGTGTCATGCCACGAATGATTATCCCACTGTTAATGATGGCTTGCTGGTCAACTCTCATTACATGTGTAACTCGCTTGGGTGGCGTTCCTCGTATGTTGAACCTCCATGTATCAGATGAATACATGAAGAGCAACGTGGTCTAACGCTCTCCAGTCGGCATTGATTCAACTCTCCTTACTGTTCTCGGTTTCGTCGTCGGTCTTGCTCTCTCCCTCCGAAGTTCGACTGCCTATGAACGGTATGATGGACCCTGGTGACCTCATGCTAGGCTGTGATCAGGCTAACATTTGTTCACTTTCAGTTATGGTGAAGGTCGCAAGTACTGGGCATCTCTAATGCAGAACTCCCGCACTTTGGCCCGTATCATCTGGATTCATAAGACCGAGCGCGAAGGTGAAGAAGGAAAGGAGGATATAATCTCCAAGCTGTGAGTCCAGTCAACAGTTATGTCATTCTAGCTCTTGTTCATTTACTGACTACTCTTTAGAACGGGAATCAACCTCATCGTGGCTTTCGCTGTTGCCCTCAAGCATAAACTGCGTTTCGAGCCTGGTAGCGGCTATGAGGATATCTCCGGCCTTATTGATCACCTTGATACGTTTGCCAAAGCTGCCAACGACCCAAATGCGGCATCAGGGAAGAAGCCAGGCATGATGAAAGCTCTTGGCCAATACTTGAGTATTCCAATGGCCATGTCCAACCCACGCAAGCAGATCAAGCGCTCCGATAAACCTCTCGGAAACTTGCCAGCCGAGATTCTCAACTACCTGTCCGCTTATATCCACGAGTCGTTGATTAACGGTTCGATTCCCATGCCTGTGCATCAGTCGCAAGCTGGTGCTTGTCTCAACGCCTTGGAAGAAGTTATGACCGGCAACGAGCGTGTGCTTAACACTCCACTTCCATTGGCGTACACCATTTTGATTTCTCAAATCACTTGGCTCTACGTTCTTGCCCTGCCCTTCCAACTCGTCAACAAACTTGAATGGGTTGCCATCCCTGGAACTATCGGTAAGTGTTCTCGACTTCTCTTGATCCTCCATCTCCATACTAATGTGTAATAGCTGCTACCTACATCATCCACGGCATTGCCTCCATCTGTGCTGAAATCGAAAACCCCTTCGGTGATGACGTCAATGATCTTCCCCTTGATATCTTCTGCCAACAACTGGCAGCTGACCTTGATATCATCACCTCCACTCCTCCAGCTAAGGCAGACGACTTCATCAACCGCGAGCACAACTATGTTCTCTACCCACTTAGCAAGAGCAGTGTTAACATGTGGAAGGACCGCAGTGTGGAGGATATCCGCGCTGCTCTCAAGGCCAAAGCCACACTTACCCCTGCCAGACTCAACGAGGCTGGATCAAGAGACATAGCGTTGGCCGTGAAGGGCCAAGATGAATCCATTGCATGAAATAGCATCCCAGACATGACTCAGAATCCACGGTGATAGGAGTGTGGTAGAGTTGCTCCCACTCTCCTTTACATAGACATAATGCCCTTTCGAAAAAAGCCTCCTCCCCTTCCCCCCAGAAAAATCCCACTGCCGTTGGCCCAACGTCTTTTGCTCTCCTAGCCCTTGTTTCCTATTCATATACCGTTATTGCTAATTACCACCACCGTTACTCGGCATCAGCTCTTTGCTTTCATTTTTGGCTTTTATATAGCGTGGGAGTTGTGCATGTTGTTGAATGCTTTTTTTTCAGGTCTGTTTTGATCTATTCGTCACTGTCCTGTCGGATGTTTCAAAATTATATACAGTGAAACAAAATAGTCTGCCAAATTGTCCTTGTGAATGGATATTCAATATGTCTGGAATCTGGGATAGTAATTCGCCATGAGACTTTGTAGACATCCGATGAAAAATCATTCTTCAGCACTCTGTGCTGAAATGATTCACTATGCGCACTGGAAGGTGTTTCTGCATACCCGCTATCGATGGGGAGGGGATCTGCAGAGTGCCTCCCGAGACCCATGGCGAGCTATGTCTCTCCCGCCGAAAGTGTTTGTCAATCGTCCCTCTCAAATTATACTTCCCTTGCTTCATCAGAAGCATCAGTATCAGGTCTCAGGGAATGAAAAGCTCCTTCCCACTTCCTCCAACAAGCGCACCGAGATGAGAACGCCTCGAGACAACTCTCCATGCTACGTTTGATGACCCAGATCCAGAATCAGCGCCAATCCAAGAACTCATCGCCGCAGTGACAGCAGCAGCATCTTCGTACGGTACCCGAATCCAGGCAGATTTGCCGTCTGATCGGCCTAATCTGTTACCTATCTTCAAAATATCAACGGGTATAGCGGTACCGGACAGTCCAAGATACTGAGATAGGGCCGCAGTCAGATAGGTTTTGGCCGTGAGCGGGTCTAGTGCCACTGATGTAGATGACGCCTTAGCAATTGAATCGGAAGCAGAGACTCTAATGGTATAAATGTAAATTAGCTCCAAGTTATATTCCATTGTTTTTCATGTCCTGCTGCGCATTGATCTATTGACATATCTGCCACGGGTGTCACTGTACAATTCAAGGTGGAGATACGCCCATTGAGGCTTCCGCGAAGTAAGCGTTACCAGCGTCTCCGCAGAACCGGATTTGCGTTTTCGTTTATTACTGCTCATGATTCACTGAGCTTATAGACTAGGATATTGCTTGTCTTGTTCCGATGGATGGTTGTTTATGGATGTGCAACACCCAACAAGCTTGCGCATTATCCAAAGCTTTCAATTATTTAAAGTTCTATGATTATATAAGCGGTACTTCTTGGCGTGAAAATACCAAGAAAACCGCCAGAAAACTGCGAATCTTCCGACAAACCAAGCACATACGACCACAGGAAGTGGAAAACAGAGCTTCCCGTCCGCTCAGCTGTACTTAAGCCACTTGCCGGTCGGTTAGTAGTTGGGTGGGTGACCACCAGCGAATCCCGACTTTCGTATGTATATTTTTTTTGGTCTTTTTTTGCTCCATCTAGATACCCTTCTTTTTGGCCTGAGTCCTCTGCGGTTTTGCCGTTGTTTTCTTGCTGTTGTTTTTGCCAGCTGTCCTGTTTGTTTTGTTTGCACTCGCGCTTAACTCGATATTATGTAATACATAGTATCACGTGATATCACAAACGTCGATTGCCAAAAGGGGAGGATATACAACAAAATGAACCACGTTAAGCCAGCATGAATATTCAAGCTGTTCAGGGGCTTCTAAACAAATGTCCAAAGCTATTTATGAAATACTAGGCCATTAGATACCTATAGCTTTATTTTTCCCTTCCTACAGTCCAGAGCAGACTCGATACCAGATCTATAAGCCCCCTTTTATGCCCCATAGAGCTCAAACTCGTCGCACTCTCCGTGGACAACAAAATCTGCGCCTAAAGCGCTCCTATATCGGCGGAGCACTGCCTCTCAGTGGAGAAAGCTCATGTCCAGCAGCTTCTACCCCTCTTTTGCGTCTCCGCTTTCGTTCTTGTGGTTGGGCCAAAGGTGGCTGGTAACTGAAGATATTCGTGCGCGAACGTCGAAACAGTTGTTTAGTAAGCTAACCATGCATACTTCCGGGGAATGCAAAACGCTTGTCCTGTGCGCAACAGACTAGTGGGTCCATTTTGATATCTTCTATATAGATCGCTATATAGATGTCAGCTCAAGTTCCTATTGTTTGTAGGCTGTCAGAGATCAAAAAAGGAGTCTCTGACGGACTCACAATCGGACGATATAGGACCGGTCTATTCGTCTTACTTTCTTTCATGAAAAACTTCTCCAGCCCACCCCCTCTTTTGCGCCCCGTAGACCTCCCAGCCCCCCCTATTCTGTCAGGTTCTGTCAGGATGAAGCCCCCTTTTCTGCACTCATATCTTCTTCTCCTTCTTCTCCTTCTTCCTTCTCTTCTTCTCCTTGACCATTTCTCTTTTCGTCAAGATAGCTACTCTACAAGTTCGTTGAGCTTCGGATACCAATTCGCTTCAAGCACTTCTCTTCGTCAAATTGGCAATTTCAAAGTCCTCGAATTCAGACTCAAAGAGATCTCTACTCTGTTTTTACCTGCTTTACTGCCTCCTTCGATCAATTCCAATTCCCTTACGCAAAGGCTTCAGCTTCTCGAAGCCGATTTCAATTTACCCCTTTTCTACTTTAAATTGACCTCCGAGAGCCGTTTGGCTATTCCGTTCGAACAAAATCCTAGAAAGCCTAAGAAAACTTGACCGAACAAAATGGCCTACTTTCAGGGATCTTCTATGAACGGATTTGAAATGTCCATGGACATGGCAGCCGGTGGCCCATTGGCCCCTAACACCTTTGGTTCTGCCAGTGGCAATGCAATCGATGCTTTGTCCTTCTTCAATTTGGATACCCTTGGTGCTCAGGGTCCGGGAAACAGTAAGCATTCCTTTCTTGGATAGGAAAACATATATTCTTATCTCTTGGGCTTTTACTAATGGCATCACCACAGCCGGCAATCAAGGCACTGCTGCATTCGTGAACGTTCCAGCTGTTCCAGCAACATCGGCTCCCCCAGTCAATCCTTACCCACTCATCCACGATCCAATTGCTGTCAATACTACTCCTATCGCCCCTGTGACAGCACCCAATCCAGCCAGCCAGCAAGTTCCTGTCACTGCCAATATCGGGGAAGCAAAGCAGCCCAGACAGCCGTGTAGAGCCGGCACTGACGACCCTGAGAATTACACCGAAGTCGTCCCATCTCAAAGCTCGTGGAGCTTCCACAATCTTCCTGATATACTCTACGTTTTCAGGGGCCCAGACAGGCCAAGAGGGAACATCAATGTTCCTCTTAAACCATCACCCTGGCCAGAGCATCCACCAATCAGAGCCTTCGACCTCCTACCAAATCGTATCTCCAGCAATGTCGAAGAATTCCGCGTGGAAGCTTGGATGCGTCTGGACAGACGTATTCAACTCCGTGACATCACGGATCGAATGAACCCAAAATACCGAATCTACACAAACACTCTACAACAGCGTGGTGTTCGGTTCCGTCAGGCATTCTCCCTTGCCTCTTGGGGCGTATCTAGTAAACAGACTGATACCGCCATCGAGATCATTCGAAGCAAGTTGATTGAGAGGGGCATTGATCTCAACCTGAACACTACTCGGGGCTTAACTCCAGGGACGTATACGGATCAAAATGGCATTACTCAACGGATCCCAACTCCAAAACAATATTCTAAACGTCCAGACACTACAGTCAGACGAGGCATGGCCGCCCGGGACCTTATCCTTGCGCCAGCATTTGTTCAAGGAACTCAAAATCACACCCCGAATACCACTCCGGAGAGGAAAGCAGCTGCGTCTAAATTCATCCTTGTGACTCCACCCTCCGTCACATCATCTGCAGAAGCCACATCCGTTACTCCTCCTCCGGCTACAATGCCAATTGCAACAGCACCCGGTAGTGGTTTGCCTACCCCTAGTTCCTCTCCAGCTAACACCATGCCGGCTCAGGCAGCTGCCAGCGCTGCGGCCGATGCGATTTCCGACCCTCAGGCTGCTTATATCGTTGCATCAAATCTTTCAGCCTCAGGTGAGATCAGAGGAGCTAGAGCACCCAACATGGAGACTGCCAGTCAGATCTTGGCAGGAACAACAGAAGGTGTCCACCAAGAATGTCAAAAAGATTCAGACTTCGAAGAAGCTATCTTGCGCACTTCGATAATGAAAGACTATCTGAGACGCTGTGAGGAAGAACAGCCACAGAAACCTCATGAAGCAGAATCATACTCTCATGAAGACGATGCATTCTGGCAGCCGCTCACCCCCGTTTCTGATTATTCCTATCTCGATTCTGATACTGCTGATGCCATGGCTTATTTGACCACCTGGGAACCAGTTGTGAATTCAGCCAGGAAATCAACACGCTCTCATGCTTCCACGCAAGATTCCCAGCCCATGACTATCTGGAACCCAGAAAAAACTCTCCGAAAAGTACAGAACAGACATTCCAAGCGCTCCATATCACCAAGAATCCATAAGAACCCTATTTGGAAAGACCGACGCTCTCCCCCTACCTGGAAGCGTCAACAACTTCAGAGACTTCACAACTCTAGATGCAACACCAGCACCAGAGAAACTGCTCAAACCGTCAACAACTGTCTCACAGTTGCCGCAGTTCAACCTGAACAGCAAATATCAGAAACCCAGATTCCCAGTGAAACTTCTGATAACGAGGATATCGAGCTACTTTATACTAGTGACGATGAGGACATTGAACTATTCGATGCTAGTGACGAAGAATACTTTGAGGATCTACATAGACAATCCGGGCTCGGCCAAGACGATCAAGATTACCACACATTGGAAAACCTCAACGGAGACATTGTTCGTAATGTTATCCAAAACAACCCTGATGTCAAGACCAATGACAATTTCTTACATCTTTGCCGGGAATATATTAAAAGTCACATGGACTCTCAGATGCAATACCCACAAAAGAGTGAGCTTACTAGTGCACCAGGTGGCAATGCTTCCACAAGTGATATCTGCAACTCCTCCACAAGCAATGTCAGCAACGCTTCCATCACCGCAGCTAGTCCCATAGAGAATATCAAACACATCCAAACCTTGAAGGATCTCGTCAAAATATGCGAGCATCAGGCGAACCAGCCGGAAAAACAAAGCCCTCAAGCTTCCGACAGCCTAGGCCAAGATAGTGCCAATGAGGATACCCTTCAGCGGCTTTCAGCTGAGGCAGAAGAGATTCTCACCCAGCCATTACATCAATATTTTGGCATGACCGAAGCTGAGCTCATAGAGTACGTGGATAAATACGTATAAATACGTATAAATACGGTGACTTTGGCCCAACTGACTTCGGGTGCTAACCCGAATGAATCCACGGACGATCCTGGCAAATGACATCGACTGATCAAAAGGAATAAAAAAATAGAGTGAAAGGCAAAAAAAAACTAGAAAAAAGAAAAATAACCAAAAAAAAAAAAAGATTGTGCCTTTTTTGTTTTGTTTTGTTTTGTTTTGTTTTGTTTTGTCGATAGAGTCCTTTCGCTTAGTCATGGAAGTTAGTCCCTGTTAGTAATCAAAGATGGACTTCAGTTTCAACCTCATCTTTCTTCAGCCGTCGAGATCAACAGGTCAACTTAACGCCGGTACAGCTTATTTATTATGTAGCGGCTATCATCGAATATAGATATATGTCTGCTACTTATAAACATCTTTTACCGTCCAAGCGGATGGAGTTATTTGATATACTCCTTGATAAAAGCAGACATCATTCTCGGTAACCTCTACTGCTTCAACCACACCTAGATTATAACACCGCATCACTCCAGATAATATTTATCTGCTTGTCTCCTTGTTAATTTGCAAGCTAAACATGCTATTAGTTATCAGATACCCCTTAATACCTGCTCTCTTTTATCCAAATCCTTTGATCTGCTGCGAAGCTGAATTTATATCCTTATATGCAATATTATATTATAACACTTATAATACTGGCTTTCTTGATATTTAATGAGACTGATGCAGCACTCAAATTTTGATTTATTCCTACTCTCCCCTTTTCCATATATACACTCACTGCCTTATCTCTTACCCTTTCTCAATAAGTATTTTTCTAACGATTCATATATATCATGAAATATTGAAGGAAATAAGGGAGAAAAAGGGTTAAGTAGCCACACTTTAGGGGCACAGTAGTGAGGTAATGAGCTGTCTTATTATATTTTGCTATCGTCTCTTCATTATTCTTCTAGGAAACACACTTTGGACGACAATGGAACGGGCAAATTTACGACTAAGCATGTGTTGCTTCTTCCTCCCACACTCAAGAGGCCAAAGAAATTATCCTTCTTCTCTCTTATGAGTGACACTGTCTTTCACCAACTCATCCATTTTTTGAGCACTCCTACATTTACGCAGCTCTTGAACTGCAAAAGCTCCCGATGGCTGAGAATACACTGGAAGATGCAGGATCCTCGATTTCTGCCCCATCTGGTAAGACAGGCTCCCATATCAGTTGATGTTTTCTACGAGGATTTATTGAGCTTGTTGAACCGAGTGTCCTGGAATCATGCAACTAACGATGGCACCCTTCTGCAAGAACATACCCCTGCTAAGAGCCCATGCAAACGTGAGTAAACCCTTACTAAAAATCCTTAAGTATATGCTTCACAACTCTAATGGGCCGAATCCAGATGATGACACCCCGAATATGTTTCACACATGTGAGCATCCGTATCATTCAAAGTACAGCTCGGCTCACTTGCCTCCGCTGCTTTTTCGTTTAGAAGCACCAGAAGAACCCTTTATTAGGCCTGCTGTTCAGCACTTGATGGATGATAATGCAGCTCCGAGTACCAAGGGATCTAACATAATTAGAGATTTTCCATTTCTTCCGCGGTATATATCCATTCGTGTTCCAGGCTGGCTGCTTGAATACTGGATGCGGACCGATTCCCGCCTTACTTATCGTGATATCAAAGCACGGATGACGGCTCCACCAGCCGATATTCCTTCTGACAACGCATTGAATATGCGGCGTGAACGCGAAGCCCGCTCGCCCCTTGGTCTTTCATGCTGGACCACGCGCCGGGGAAGCATCACTAAAGCCGAAGTCGAAAGAGTTGAGCGCCTATCTCAGTCTCAGATATCATTTAACACCACTACAACCATTGAGTATGCATCTGGTGCAAATGGCAAAAAAATTCCTCTGCACCTCCTTATGAAACGCCTTGATGGAGGGCCACCTCATCGATATCCACTGGACACCTTCATGGATGGAAAGCAAGGACCTCATTTGCCAGGACAGCGCCTAGAGTCAACCATTCAGCTCCTCTGCCAACTCCAGGATTACGCCAATGCTCTAGGGGAAGACGACTGGCGATCCCTAGCACCAGAATATCTTCCTGAAACTTGGGCCAGAAGAGCGGCGAATCGATTAAGGCGTCAGGCTGAGAAGGCAACTGACAGTGAGGAGAACCTCACCCATGCTACTTCTAGTGGCGACACCGAAACCAAGGTTGACAAGGCTATGGAAAAGAAAGAGTCAGACACAAACTGCGCAAAGGACGAGGTGAAAGAAACAGGAGCAAATGGCTCTGAAGACAAGCCCCTTCCAAAAGGTGACTCTCCTGGCGGTCGTAATATCAGTCAGAAACCCTCCATTTCTCCAAACAAAAATGGTCCTTTACCGCAAACCCCCTCTCCGTGTAGTGAGAGTGTTGGTTCGTCAGCGCAATCCCAAAAATCGCGGTATACCAATCCATTTGTCAAAAGCCAGCTAGTTCTATCCTGTGACACCCAAGACCTTCTAGAAGACTGCGACGGCATATGCTGTCGGCCACTTGCTTCCCAGGAATCTCAACCTGCATTATCATCTCACTCTGAACTCGAGGATAGCCCACGGGAAACCCCGGGTGTTGCTTCTTTGTCTGATGGCGACTCTGATAACAACCAGAACTCAGACTTGGAACTTCTTTCTGAATTGGGCCTGCACCCGCAGCATAGGGGTCCGTTATCCGCTGCTTTCAACGGCGGTGGTACATATTCAATCCGAAACAACCCCAATCATCGCCCGAATACTCATACCGACGAGAGCATGAGGAGAAACGACCCTTTTGCTAACTACCTCTATCTGCCATCTGGAACTTCTAATTTATTTGGTGCTGAACGTGCATAGGCAAACACTTGGGGTTTTTACCTACCTCCGCTATGTCATTTCAATTTCCCCAGATGAAAAGGTGGAGATAACCTCGTTTCATATCTCGATATCTGTGTTTCTTGACCTTTCTGATAACTACCAGTGATTTACTCATTATCTGTCATTTTAAATGAGAATCTTTTCGCAAGGCTTGTCTATGGAACGGATGGAAACCTGCTTGCCTACCTTGATGTAACTGGCTCTCGTCAGTTGTTCAGGATAGATAGTGAGCATCAAATTTTGATAGATTTCGGGATCGGGATCTTAGTAGCTGTTTTTTCGTGAAATTTCACTCCCCCCTGAACCTGAATTCATTCCACATGGAGGTAGCACAGCTAGGACAACATTACAGAGATAAATCAAGTGTCTTCAATTCTAGCATCATGTATACTCCCACCAGATGCGTTAAACGAGTAAGATACTGTCCAAAGAAGAAAATCCTGCAGCCACTCCGCCTTCATCACTATCCTTGGCCTTAGTTCTCATAAGCCAGCCGCCTTGCGTATTATGCAGTGTCTCCCCATTAGTGTTCCAAAGGATCGTGCCGTACGTGCCCAACTCGCCGATTACATCGCCACTGAGGACTTGACCGTCGCTGCGAAGTGCAACATTCTTAGCCGGGGGAGGTTGTATGAGTTCCATTAGTATCCAGCCTTTCCAGTCCTTTTCAGGTATAGATTTGAGGAACGATGGTATGGAGTCACGATACACGTTATTTCCGCCTCCCTCACGCTGAGGTTTGAGGACATGGAATGCAGCGGTTTCTGGATTCAAGGCGAGTTCCCTACCACGGCCTCCTTCGGCCAGATCATACTGTGGTGCAAAGGTAGAGCGTATTTGCTGTATTCTGCCAGGATTTGTGCAGGGAAGGAACCGGGTTAAATAGTCCATCTCAGGGCCGCTGACTGCTGTGGCTAGGATTTGTTGCACCTTCTTACAGCCTGATAATTGGTTGAGAACCGTTGGGCATTTAATGGCTGCCGAGCGTTCTAGGTGAGTTCGTGCTTTCCAGGCCGATTCATCCGGATAGTCTTGAGGCCCGTATAAAGCTCGAAGGTAAATAGTGGTAGCTTCGAACTGAGTGGACGGAGAATATCTTGGGGTATATATGATGGGTCTAGCCGGGTTAGATTCTTGAATAGAGGTTAACTCTAGAATCTCATCACTTGTAACCCGGAACACGGTGATATTGTGTGACTGGGAGAGGCAGGTTGCAAGCTCCATCTGATCAAAAAGATTCCTTTCTCCAGCCTGTACTATAAAAAGAACACATAAAGGTAGTGGGTTTGGAGAAGACTTGGAGGGACCATATGCCTTATGGGCTGCGGCGAGGCCTCCCGCTAGAGTAGGAACAGCGGTATTTTCGGGTGGTATGTTACCCCTGAAGGCTGGGTGTGACGGGTACACTATGGACTGTCCGGTTGGAGATGATAGGAGAGACGTATGCATCTGAGATACCAAGCCTGATAGTCCTCCAAAGGATGCAGCAATAGTGTTGAATTCTACCTGCTTCAGTACTGGTTCTTTGGATGAACCTGAAGGGTCATGGACCATGTAGTCTGACCGAAACAAGCCAAGTGAAAGAGGCTGTACATATCCTTCATTTTTGACAGCTAGATGAACTTTCCAGAGGCCGGCCACAAAGTCATCTACTTCCACAAGGCTGTCACAGGGGAATGGTAATTAATAACCATCCATACATCATTTGCACAGAAAAAAAAGGAAGGAAGGAAAGAAAGAAAAAAAAAAAAAAGAAAAAAAAAGCAGAATACTTACTCCTCGATTATCTCTCCCAGCCAGTCAGTGTCCGTAGTTATAGAGGCATAAAGCTGGTTGTATGTTTCCTGCACCGACACAGCCGCCTCATAGCAGGACCGGGGAAAGAGACTGGGGAACAGAGTCACCGGAGCATTGGTCGCCAGCACACCCTGTGGATCAGAAGTTCCTTGTACGAATGCCGGAGGAGGCCTGACAGCAAGACCATGATGTATACACCAGTCCCTGATGGTAGCAACTAGATGCTGCTTCTGCTCAGAGGAGAGCTCTGGAGGGTAGCAAGCTGCGAGGTCCATTGGTGTCGTAGCCGAAGACTTCCGGCTGTCGAAAATTTATAACAGAATAAAGGATGCAGGCAGAAATGTCTATTATCTCTTCTAAACGGCCTAGAAGTAGCCTTTATATATAGATTTATAAGATGCAAAAAGTTCCGGGAGTTTCGAGCTGGGCCGAAGATTGACGTTGCGTTGCGCCGCTTATCAATCAACTTGCCGGGCTGAGCCCACCACTTTGCCCCGCCGTTAGTTACAGACAGCCGGCTAGCAGTCGAATAGTGCCATCAGGCTCAGGACAGGATGGATAGAGATGAAGGACAGATTGAAGTTTGAGGTATTTTTGCCGCCATATAGACAGAGTTATCCAGCGTCTGAGAAGCTGTGGGACGGATGGGCTGGATATTTGACTGCCCTTAGGACTCCTCTAGAGAACCCCTCTATAGAGCTTACCGGACTTTATCTTGCCGCAGTCATCCTAATAACTACTGGGATGCGATAGCTGCCCTTACCTACACGGTCATCGGTCCTTCATCGTATCCATACAACGACCAAAGGGTTTGGCCTCGTCGACTCTCACCTTACATAGTTATCAGTTCTTAAGAGGTGATCCTCATAGACAGTTTCCCCGGCTCCACAAATGTTGTCAAGCTTGACTTGCTCATACTGCTATCAAAGTGACATGTCGGTCTTGTAGTAGGATTTTTGGACTTGGTAATCATCACGAGAGTTAATGGAGCTAGAACAGATGTCCAAATGTCGGACTTTAAGTAACCCTCCTCCTAGAGGTGTCAACTCCGCAGTCACCTCGAACAGCTTTCTCTGGGTCAATCTGAGGGGAAAGTGAGGCGAAAGAAAGTGGAAAGATGTAAACCGCGTCAAAGCAGCCCATCGTCCGGTGCTTCTCTATTAGTACCATATGTTAAGTAGTTGCCGGTTGGTCATATTCCTGGAGCGAATAGCCGGGATCCGTGGATGATTCAACTTAAGACGCTTCGACGTGCCATTCCTGCAGGGTTAACTATAGGGATAGGTGAGTTAGCTAAGAATGAACGGCTCGTTTCATAACTCAGTTGGGTTTCATGTATGCGCCTTAGGAGTGAGCTTCGTCATATGGATAAAATGAGCTGAGAGTCGATCATCTCGCAGTTAATGAGTAAAACCTGCCATTCAACAAGCCCAGTCTAACTGATAAATAACTAACAGTAGGCGGCAGATAGCGGATAGAGGCAGTTAGATGAAATAAACCTGCATCCTTTGGAACTGAGGGTTCAATTAACCAGCAAAGTCGTGAGTCAACAGCGAGAATGAACTGTTAGAGAGACGCTTGCAAGTAGAAGCGGGCGGAAATTTGCTTACATAATAGTCACTTAAATAGAATCTTGTAGCACTATACCGACATCAGGTGATCAAAACGCGGGGTTTAGCCAATTAAACTCTCCCAGAGTCTATATAATCCGCTAGTTAACTAAATCTCGCCCTGAGACGTCGCTTATCGCTTCGCAAAACCTTAAAAAAGGGAAAGAAACCAACGTCTTTTTCGACGCGTCCGGCGGGACGGAAGCTGCAGAAGCTGCAAAAAACACGACCAGAGAGACAGAAGAAAAGCCCTCTGTCGCTTGACTGCAAGAGGTCAAGGGCACGATGGAGGCAGACCCGTTCTTCTGGTCTATTGATGAAGTGGTCGCGTACCTTTGCCATGGCTCGTTCAACGACTGGGCTCGCTCCTCTCTACCGCGTCCCGATCCAATCCAATTGGAGGGCCACCTGCGAGAGAACTACGTGACTGGGGAAGTCCTTTTGACTGAAGTCGATAGGGAGGCCTTGCCTCGCTATCTTGGGTTGAAAGCTCTCGGGCACCAAGCAACAATCTTCAAGGCGATTCAGTACTTGAGATCGCGTTCTTCCGAGTTTCGTAACGGTGTTAACAATGACTTCTCAAATACCCAGAATGCCGTAGTCGCCTCCCCTGCCAGAGTTGACACCTTTCCTGGCCCGCCTGTGGCCGAAAACAGATCTATACCGACACCCCTACGATCTTCCCCCCAGTCTCAAGCTCCACTAGCCCAACTGGCTACCCCTCAGCCCGCCGAGTCTACGCTCAAGCTTGTCGATCCCCCGGCACCTCAGCAAAAAGAAAGAGACGCTAGAAAACGTCGACGTCTCAATCCTGACGCGCTATCTACCCAATTGCTAGCTAACATCCCCGAGAATCCCCACAGGAAGAGATACCTGTGTTTCCAGAAGCATCCTGTTAAGGATGTGTTCTATAAAGGGATTGATAGTGACGATGATAATGATACGTTTGGATATGTACGTCCGGCAAATTGCTCAACGGGTGAATCCCGCTTTATTAATAGGCGAATACTACATTTCTTACAACAAGTACCACAACCATTCCCGGAGGATAAAGAAGGATCTCTTGCAATATTTCCATATGACGAAAATGTTGCACCAGATGTACCTCGCTACTTCACGCTCTACAATAAAAATAATGGGAGAGTCAGTGTTCGAATGGAGGAAGTTTCAAAATGGCCGCATCTGAGAGAAAAATCCGCCTTGGACTATCTTGCTGTCAAGTATCCCCCACAGAGCGATGAATTGCCATTATACGGCGAATCTGGGTCCGAAGACTATGACTCCGAGACTTGTAGGGATATGGATGAAGCTAGGGACGACGCGAAAAGCGATAATGAGGATGTTGCGTCTAGTCTCATGTCTGCAGCCGACTTGAACTCGATTATTGATCAGTTTATTACCGATACTATTGAAAAATGGCGGAATACCAAGCTTCCAATCTATGAAAGAACGGCATATGCATTGTGGAATAAATCAAGGAAGAAGGGAACTGTTTCCAGCGATATTCGTCGAGCAAAAGTCCAGATCACTCATTTTGACAAGCGTCTTGCTAGCTGGATAAAAGGCATAAAAAGTAACGAATATGAAACAGGTGACCGTGGTAAAGTTTTACGGCAGTGCGCATCATTGGAAGTGACAGTGACGCAGAGAGAGATTCAGAAATGGCGGGTGTCTGTCTTGGAGTTAGAGACATGCCCTTCCAAGCCGAGTGCTCCTCCAGCTCGCCCGACAGCGTCCCGACCACGCTTCAGGGATGATGACGAGGAATCGATTGGGTCCGATACTGACGAAGCTGTGGAAAGTGACCCGGATTTCGTTGTCTCCGATGATAACCCGATGAATACGCAAGAAACAATATCTCCTGAAAGGAATAGAAATGTTGTCCCTTCACCATCATCCATTCTAGAGAAAGAGAACACAAACCCTCTACCTGACTCGGCTGCTCAGATCCCCATAAGAGGCCCATTTGAAGATGTTGACGTTCTGGACTTGACTGAAGCAGATATAGAAGGTGAACAAGAGATAGAGGATGCTGATGGCTCTGGCAGCCTGGATATCCACACACCGCCATTAAATCCCACGGGAAATTCGAAGGATGGGCTTGCGTTTTCTCCCGCTCCCCCTCCTGCTCTTCCTAACCCGGTGCGCGATAACTCTCCTTCAGATGATGAATCATCTAGGCAACCTGACATAACTGATGTTACTGCATTGAATAAGATGGACTGGGAGACCGTTATAGAACGGGGCGATAGGAGACTACTCCTCGCCAAAATCATCTATACTCTGTCCAAGGATGAGCGAGCGAAGTTAACTGCATTACTTGGCTCTATGGAAAAGAATACATGGCGTCGGCGACTACGGGAGGCCTTAAAGGCGATTCAGAAGAAAGGATACAAAATTACATCAATACCTGGGGAAGATGTCTATCTCTATAAGAGGATGGCTACCTTGTACGTCTCGTGGTTCAAAGTGGTTCTTATTAGGGGGAACGTAGGTATTCCGACAGCCTACTTGAGGGAAGCCCGCCGTAAGGACGAGGTGTTTCCTTATTACAATGATCTTACAGAGATTCTTTGTGTTGAGAATCGAAAGAGTATAAAGCGGGAGACATCCTGCGAAATCATCAACTCATCGCAGAATACCTTGCGCAATGGCTCTTCGGTAGTCACCGATCCAATTATTATTATAGATGACGATGATGAAGAAGAGCCTTCAGGGAGGGAAGCTCAGACACAAGAAATTGTGAGATCCACTCCACGCAAAAAAAGAAAGAGAGCCGTGGCAGAAAGTAGGGAAGCCATGGAGACGCAAAGTCGGGCGCAGCGCCGTGTTGAAGAACAGGCAACACGGCAGCGGATATTACAAGAAGAAGGGGGAATTGAAAATGATGATCCAGAGAAGAAAATCATCAGCTTTGATGATCCTGTTATCTGTCTACACCGCGATCTCGGACGCCGCATCAAAGAGCATCAACTTTCAGGGATTCAATTCATGTGGAGAGAACTGATCAAGGATGAGAAAAATGAAGGCTGTCTTCTAGCTCATACAATGGGACTAGGGAAGACAATGCAAGTGTAAGTTACCTCCCTGGCTCCCTATATTGTGTATAAAATGCCGTGTTAATCTTAAGGAAAGGATCTCTCTTCTGGTAACCATTGCCAATGCATCAAATTCATCAGATCCCAAAATCAAAGAGCAGATCCCAAGGCGGTTTAGAACATCTAGGACTCTGATTACATGCCCTGCATCGTTAATAGATAACTGGGAAGAAGAATTTGCCAAATGGACCCCGCCAGATGCAGTGACTAGGGATAACCTAGGGCGAGTGCGTAAAGCTATATCCCAGGACCCAATACAGCGGCTCCGTACCATTAATGCCTGGTATACTGAAGGTGGTGTCCTACTGATCAGTCATGAGCTCTTGCGACGAATGATTCTTTACAATCCCCAGAAAACTGGCTTGCAAAGACTTTCTACCGAACAGTGTGAGATGCTCAAAGGACAATTACTCGATGGTCCAAATATCGTTGTTGCAGATGAGGCACACAAGATGAAGAATGGCGCGTCTAACCTGTCAAAAGCATGCAGTATGTTCAAGTCGAAAAGTCGCATCGCATTAACCGGATCTCCTCTGTCAAATCAATTGATTGATTACTATCAAATGGTCAATTGGATTTCGCCTAACTATCTTGGGACGCTGAAACAATTTAAAGCTAAATATGAGGAGCCTATAAGAGAAGGCTTATACTACGACAGTACCAATGCGGAATACGTCAAGTCTCGCAAGAAATTGGAAGTCTTGAAAAAGGTTCTTGAGCCAAAGGTAAACCGGGCCGGCATATCAGTCCTCCAAAAAGACCTTCCTTCCAAATTTGAATTTGTCATTTATATCCCACCGACACCCCTGCAAAAGGAAACCTACAATCAGTTCGTGGCTTTGACCATGGAAGGAAAAGGTGAATTTGAATTCACACGGCTGTGGGTTTTGCTTTCTTATCTGACCCTTCTATGCCATCATCCTTCATGTTTCTTGCGAAGGATTCTTGAGAAAAAGAAAGCAAGGAGCCAAGTCATTGAGAGGGAGAAAGCCATAGAAGGAGGCCCGGGAGTAGTAGTTCCTTCTGAGTCCGAGCCCGAAGCGAACGTTGATGACAGCTCAATCTTAATCACTGTGGAGGATGATGTTCTAGAAATTGAGGGCCAAACCGCCATAACGGATGAAGTTGTGTCACAATTTGAGCAAAAGTTCAAAGACATAAAAGATTTGGATTCCCCTGAGAATTCACATCGTACCCAGATGGTTGGACAAATTGTTGACGAATCTATCAAAGCTGGAGACAAAATCCTTATATTTTCGGGATATTTACACACACTTTCTTATCTTGGCTCAATGTTAGAGGCAAGAGGCCACAAGTACTGTCGCTTGGATGGAAAGACGCCGATAGCAACTCGACAGGCAGCAACAAGGGATTTCACAGCCTCAGATGCGCACGTATACCTTATCTCAACGAAAGCGGGTGCCTTAGGCCTCAACATCATTGGCGCAAATCGGGTTATTATCTTTGAGTCCGAGTACAACCCAACCTGGGAGGAGCAGGCCATTGGGCGGGCATACCGTCTTGGGCAGACCAAGGACGTTTTTGTCTATCGCTTCGTCATGGGAGGAACGTTCGAGGAATTGATACATGAGAAGGGTGTTTTCAAGAAAAACATGGCCCTTCGGGCTATTGACAAAAAGAACCCTACACGTTCTACGGGCAAGTCTACCAGCGAATTCAGACGCCCTATCCAAAGTTGCAAGAAGCATGATTTGTCCGAATTCCAGGGCAAAGACCCAAAGGTATTAGACAAAATTCTCGCGCAGACTAACTTCATTCATCGAATTGTCACCTCAGAAAACCTCCATCGTGAGGATGGTGTGCAATTTACTCCGGAAGAGAAAAACGAGATTCAAGCGGAGTTAGATGATGAGAGATTGGAACGCTCCAACCCTGAGTTGTGGGCAAAAAAACAATATGAAAGGAGAATAGCACAAGAAAAACGTTTTCAGGAAGATATGATGAAGGCGCTTCAATCACGATTCCCGGTTAACAATAGCCTTCAATCTCGACCGGGCCACTATTCCCTTCCTATGCAGCAAGCAGCTCCTTCTAATCATAACGGCAACGGTGCCATAAATACACAAAATATGCGGCCTCCTTGGCCTCCAGCTTCACACTCGCCACAACTTCATCTACAGCCCCAGACAGCACCAGTTACTCATAGTAGCAACGGTGTCATGAATACGCAGAATATGGCTCCCTCTGGTCCCGCACTTCCGCGTTCACCACAACTACAGCCACAACCCCAGACAGGTCCTGTGTCTCACAATAGCAATGGTGTCATGAATACGCCGAAGGCTATCCCTCAGCCCCCAGTTCCGCGTTCACCACAGCCACAACCTCAGCTTCAGGTTGCTTCTCAGGCACCAAATCAAATACAGTCCCCGTCACAAATTTCAGCTTCATCACAAGGTCGAAGCGAAACGGTACCACCTCAGGCACCACCTCCAACACAATCACGGCCGGTGCAAGGTCCTGCCTCAGCCCCGGTTTCTTCAGGTCCTCCAACTCTTCCAACACCTCAAGCTCCAGTTCCCGCCCCTCGAGCTCAAGATCCGGCTACTTCCATCTGCCGAGCTCCTTCAGATCCCTCGACCCCGACCCTAGCTCCAGCTGCGGCTTCGGTTTCTCAGGCTTCTCCCGTTTCCCTACAAGCGCAACAACCGATCTCTCCGTCTATTGTGTCTCCAGCAAACCGCAGCAATCTAGGGGAGAAGGCCACTCAGCCTCGAAGTACACAGCCTTCTCCGTTGCCCCCTTTGGTTACCCAGCCGGTACCAGAGCCCAGACCCAGTTCTCCCGAAATGATACACGCAGGGATAAGAGGTAAGTAAATACTACACGGTGGAACAATTTAAGAGCAAAACACTGAGTCAACCCTGACGATAAGATCCACCTTCGAGCGTCGATGATGATCCAACGATGCAGGACTGCAAACAACAGTAGAGACCTTTAGATTCTCCTTCCTTTCCCACGGACGAACCTTGCTAGCCCCGTCTGATATTGAATCAGTTTCTCGTTCCGCTCGCCCTCCGTCGTTCTTGAGTTAAATTTGTTCGTCCTGTCGCCTCCTTAAGGTCACTTGCATCTAAGCTTTCTTTTCCCCTTATCACTTAACAATTTGTGCAGCATTTTTGCATATGGCTATTTATTAGTACGGGCCTTGCGGTTTGTATCAAAAGCAGGTTGATTAGTAGCTTGGGAGTACATGGGAAAATGGGCCAGACAGGTGGTTACCACGGGATATTGTTGCATCATGATACCCTTTTTTTGCTTTAACGTTTCTTGCGATCCCTTGACGTTTTGTTGCCCGGCTAGTACTATTCTACGTATACATTTACTATGCAAAATTCACATTGTCCCTCTGCAATATTTCGGGGGACAGGACTGACAATGTATTAAGGTTCTATAAGGGCCTGGGTGTCTACTCGGAAAAAGACTACAAAACTAAAAGGCCTTGGTTTGAATGTTGAGTTTGTATCCGCACTACGTCTCACCGAAGGAGTTTTTCCAGATCAGCTAATCTAGACCGTCGTGCCTGGTCCTTATGGCCAGCTTTCTCTTGGAAAGCCGTGCTCATAAGTTCCCGCTTTTCCTTCTGAATATCAAGTACTCGGTCCTCAATACTGTTCTCCATGACAAGTCTCCATATAGTTGTAGGACGTGTCTGGCCCAGGCGATATACGCGGTCCACAGCTTGATCTTCAATGGCTGGGGCCCACCAACTATCAGCCAGGACAACCTGGTTGGCAGCCACTAGATTAAGGCCGACACTGCACACATTCAAGCTGGCAAGCATCACGGTACATTCTGAGTCACGGGAGAATTTACTCATGGCAGCATCACGCTTGGCAGAGTTCATCTTGCCGTCAATTCGGGCAAAGTTGATGTTATATAAGACAAGGTGAGGTTCAATCAAGTCAAGGAAGGATGTCCACTGGCTGAAAACCACCGTCTTCGTCCCAGCGGCTTGACCTTTTGCCGTCAAGATTTTGACGAGAGCCTGGATTTTACTGCTCGAAGAATCAGACTCTACGTCAACTTGATTGCAGTCTTCGCCGAGATCCGCAGCAGGGGATACCAATTCCGAGCAATCTTTGATCTCGGCCCGACAGAGAGGGCATTTGTGCTGGAGTTCGATTGTCTGCTCAATGCAGGAGTAGTCGAAAGCGTGTGCACAGGGGGTAATGACAGGGTTGTCTAGGCTTTCGAGACAAATGGAACATTCTTCCTGGCTCTCGATCCTTAATTGCAATACAGCCTGAAGTGCCTTTACGTTTTCCGGGGTGAGCTTAACCACCTTATCCTTCTCCAGTAATTCCATAAGTCCTTTGACACGGTCGTGACAAAGTTTCCAATGGTTGCATACTTGACGAAGTCGTAGGAGAACCTCAAGGACATGAGAATATGTTGTTTTCTTGCCTTTCTTGTTAGACTGGAAGTCCATGAAGACACCCTTAGCCTCGGCCCTAGAGTATTGGTGTTATTTGCTTGTTTAGTGGGGTTAAGCATTGAATGGGTAATTACGTACTCAAACATTTCGTACTTCTCCTTCTCGTAGGGAAGAAATTTAACGTGTAGTATATGAGATTCCATAGGGGGTAGACGAAGGTTTACAAAGCTCATATCCTTCCTGCGTCTTAAGCATATAGTTGCCATCAAGGCCTGGAGTAGAAGGCTAGCATTTTCGTCACCAGCATTCAGAGGCCGAATCAATGCACTGTGAAAGACAGGTAGATCCTCCAAGCCGCCGGATAGCCTGATAAACTTTCCTTGGGAGTACAGGTCTTTCAAGTTATTGACGATGGGGGTACCGGTAAGAGACCAGCGTGAGTCTGCCTCTAGCATACAAGCTGCACAAGCTGCCTTTGTCTTTGGTGTTCGTATTGTATGGCCCTCATCCAAGACCACTCTTCGCCAACGTACAGAGAAAAGTCCTCTTTTCGTCTTTGCAAACTTCCCGGTTGCACTGAGTAATTGTCCGTATTCTGAGGCAAGGGCACCATACGTAGTGATAACCACGTCGTATTGAGAGAGATTAGCAGCCTCTTTTTTACCAGAGCCGTGATATGTTAGAACACGCAAAGCATGCTCCTTGTGGATATGAGCCGCTATTTGATCTCTCCAATTGCTCATCACACCAAGAGGAGAAATAATGAGTGTGGCCTTAGAAGACTTTGGTGTCTTAGGGGTCGCATTAGCTAGTATTAGCGAGATGACCTGTATCGTTTTACCAAGGCCCATGTCATCCGCCAGAATTCCACCACTTGCAAGTGGCGGCGCAGTCGAAGATGAGTAGTTAGTTGCAATGTTCATGTATCTCTTACCAACTCGTTTCCATAGCTGCACGATATCGTCAGAGCCTTCTTTTGGAAGGCTGGGGGATTCGCGGTCAAGCATCCATGCCAGTCCCTGCCGCTGATATGGAAGGAGTTCCGTTGAAAGTTGAGGAGGGCACTCTGCCATTGGCATCTGTGAAAGTTCAGTTTCATCCAAGCCAAACTTTTCCACAATCTTTTCCGTCTCTCGGGGATTAAAGGAAATACTCTGAGAGAGAAGTTCGTCCAAACTCTCTGTTTGCTGAGCCGGTTCTGCCCCTTGGGAAAGATTCGCGAACATTGGATTGCCTTTCTTCTGTTGGGCTAGCGCTCTTGCATTTGCACGCATCTTCGCAGCATCCTCTTTTGCCTTCTTTGCAAGATCTTGTTTGTGTTTCCGAATTGCTGCTTTAACCACGGTCGTTGGTAACCTATCACGTTGCATTTTCTCCATTAATTGTTCCCTTGCCGCAGGCTCACTTGTTCCATACAGGTGAAGTGTAATAGGACAATCGTATGCTCCTATTTCACCGGATAGTGTACCTTCTACCAGCAGTTCATTCGAGTCCTAAGGGCAATTCAGCACCAGTATGTCTAGCAACGGAGACAGCCAATTACCATATAAGGAGCAAGCTTGCTGACTAGTACACGGGGTAGATGACCGATTTGGTGGCCCATGACATTGTCGATTCTAACAGCATTTGAATCATACTTGTTGTTGCTGTCTCTTTTGACAAGGACACACTCGCCCAATGTGGCATGGCCATTGTAGAACCTCACGCCCACGATTTTAGTTTCCAGATGACCTAGGGGAATTTTACTGGTTAGTATTTCCGGTCCATTTCCTGCGATATTATTTTGGCATGTCGAAGAGATAAATACCGTAGAGCTCCGAGGTCAAGTAAGCCGTTTCATCGAATTGAGAATCCTGAACCGTCTGCATTGCATTTAGTTCTTCATCATGCTCCATCTGGGTACTCGGCTCCCCCTGAGTAAGATCCACGACGCTCTGACGCGCCCTTAGCTCCTGGCCATCAGTAGGGGCTGTGTAGCTCTTGCGAGTAGACTCAGAGGTTGGTTCTCCATCTCCGGTGAGATCGACTAGATTAATCCGCCGTTTGGTTGACATTTTGCATGATATCTCGATTCAATGGCTTTTGGGGTTCCTCAGGCCAGAATTATCATTACTTTCAAGCCAGGAGATCAAGCAAAATGTTGTTCTCCATAGCTAAGTTAACTAGTTAAACCTAAACTAACTCTGTCTTGGCGCGATTATTGTATCAGCTCAACGATAAAACGTTGATAGTCGTGTTGATTCCGCGTTTCAACATTCCAGTGGGGGATATTGGCACAACAGAAGAGGATCGTATAGACAAATGTCATGTTTCTTATGCTTCCTCATCCAAGATGCTAAAAATATCGATTTTGTGCAAGTGAAAATCGCACTGATTAGGATTACCTAAGCTGTTCATTGCGCTTGTTTACGCGTTTAAATTAAGGTTCATTTCCTAGAGCGGCCCGTAGGTAAGGTAATAATAACATCACGTGATATAATTCAGGCAATCGTTTAGCGCGCGGTTAATTGCCGCTAAGCTTAAAAACGCTTTGTTGATTTTCTGCTTTTTTTTTTTTTTTTTTCTAGCGTTACTCCGTAAAGAAACTGAAAAAAGGGAACGAAAGGAGAATAAACGAATTGTTGCATATTTTCTATTCAGTCTACGGAGCGCACTCGCAGCGATTTGGAGATCACTACCCAGTTATCCTCAGTCATTACGGTGTATCCAGCCATAGCAGTACAACCATTAGTTGTACGGAGCCGTCACGCCATAGTTAGGGAGCTAACTACGCTGTTTTCACACGGTTATACGAATGACTTCTGTCCTCCACGTCGTTTTCCCCGGGTGCAAAGCTTCCTCGAAATAATGGACTGGTAGGGAGTAATTGCAATTTCCCCCTGTTGCTGTCATGGGCGAACCTTCTATGTAGAAGCATGATCAATGGGTCAATGTTAACATGGGCAGTCCCAGCACTATGATTTTGATCCTTTATTCCGTACGCAAATAGGTAACACTAAAAGAAACCCGGTGTTTCAAGATTAGCGAAGAATCCTCCGCCCAGGTAAGGCTATTTATGCAGCGCTTTCAACCTGGGTTCTCACCAACTTAATCATCTCCTATTATTTATAGCTTCCGTATGACAGCAAAATAGAATAATTTCATGCGAGGATAGATACTGGTCCAAGCCACTGATTCATAGACTAGGGTGAGCCATCAATAAATACACAAGTGTGGCAACCAATGATTGCCCGGTTCCCAAAACTATTTCTAGCTCCACCCCTTAAATTGTTAGATTTCTCCCAGACCAAATCTCGAGCCAGCCTTGTCACTCGCTGGCTCTCCAGGTTGTGATTCCATCTTGATGTGCTGCTCTAAGGATGGATACTTCTTATATAGACACAGTGAAGTCACACCTGCAGCGTCGAAATGAGCTTTTTGACGCCAGAATCAAGTCTGGAGAGTTCCAACCTTTGGTGTTTCCCCGGGACTTTGCATCAATATTCATCGTTATCTTCGCCCTTGTGATCAAGTGGCCTCGCGATGGGCCTGTCAAATATATAAGGCATCTACTTTATTTTTACTCTCTTTACTTAAACATATATGTCATCGTACACTGCAGGTCGCTTCTCGTTTTGGGTGGTTATGGCGTTGGATTGATCTTCTCATGGCTTAGCATATGGAGCGCCTCCTTGCTCATATTCAATGACGTGCAAGGAACTTATAAGCGGATCGAACGGTCCTTTGTACCTTTCGATACTTCGAAGGAGAATTTGCTGCAGGGACGGGGTGGCAAGACTGGTCGCACTCCAGGCATATTGAAGAATCCCGCCAGTGAATACGACTCTTCGAATAGGGATGCGAACAGCAAGGCTACTTGTTCAGATCCAAAGATAGTTCCGCGGTTCAAATGGCAGGGCTTTCCAGAGAAGCTGGGCCACCGGTTCACCTGGGCCTTTGATCTTCTCTTCAGCCATAGGGGGCCGCATTGGAACTGGAGACCAAAGGACTTCGTGCCTCTCCCAAAACAAGTCCAACTCCAGCTGTCTCAGGGTGAGAATGCCGACCTGGGTGCAGACGTGCTTTGGGAAGAGAAAAATACCCAAGGCATCCTGGTGGGTAGCATCTATAAGTCGGTGCTCTATTTCTTCTGTCTCGATTTACTGAAAGTCATCTCAACTGGAGACCGACACTTCCTGGGTCTCATTATCTGTCCGCCTCCTCCATTCCTTGCCTTTTGTGGGCCTCTCGCACCTACAATAGCATACATGTATCGTCTTGCTATGAGCGGCGCGGCTGTGTATTGCGCAGTGTTATTCCCAACCACGATATCTGCTACTATTTTCCTGGCCATATCTCAGACACCGCTTGGATTGAAGACCAGGGTCCCATTTGAAGCCTCGTTCCTCTATCCGCCTTATTTTGGAGATGTTCTTATTCCAATCCTGGATGAAGGCCTGGTAGGATTCTGGGGAAAGTTCTGGCATAAACAGTTCAGAGCTGGATTTCTAGCCCCTGGTAATTGGATCAAATCCAAGCTTATGTCTAGGAACCCGGGGAGAAAGTGGCCACAGTCGATTTTCTGGGGCCTTCAAGTTGTTATCTCGTTTACATTGAGCGGCATCCTGCATTTCTCGGGGAGCTATACGCAGAACTCCTCCACGAACCCGTTCAATCAATTTCTATTTTTCGCACTTCAAATCGTTGGTATATTTTTCCAAATATCGATTGAAAAACTCTTTAGATGCTTGATACCATTCAGAATCCCAGTGTGGCTGAAACGCCTGTCAAAGTGTGTCTTCGTCCTAGTCTGGCTGGCTTGTGTTGGGCCTCTGCTTTGTGATGATTTTACAATTGGCGGCGTTTGGATGGAGGAGCCGGTACCATATAGTCCCATTCGAGCTATGGGGTTTGCAAAGGGGACAGGTGGCGCAGTGCGTTGGCAAGCTGAACCACTGCGATGGTGGAAGGGAACAAGGTGGTGGGAGCGTGGTATCATTTTATAGATTCATGCGTCGCCCGCCTGATTCAAGTATAGATATAGAATGGTAGAATCTTCAATCTGAGCTTCCTGCCATTAATTTCGCAGGGGGTTAATTGGTGGCATTTTTGAGCAACGTTATACAACCATAGAATTATATAATTAAATAGTGCTTTGCCTCAGCTTTTCGCCTTGAGTAAGGATTCGGTCCCGTGGAAGTATTCCAAGTACCGCTAAAAAACACGACTCCTGAATAAATTTACACAATGTTTCTCAATCTTCACCCTCCTCGTCAGTATCGGATTCAATATTCAACTGAGGAATCTCGTCATCGCTCTCCGCATCAGCCGCAGGAACTGTCTCATGACTGTCAGTTATCGTTGGCGGTTGACTAGGCTCTTGGGCTTTGTCTTGGGTAGAATGATTGATTTCGGGCTCCGGAAACACGTTCATTTTCAAAGTATTCTGATCATTTGAACCGCTTAATGAGCTTGACAGAACATCAAGGGCTTGTGCCACTTTCCCACTCGGTAAGGCATCAGAGGATGTTGGTATATCATTTTGAACCCGAGGTCGTTTATCGGGCTGTGGTGAATCAGCCGGAAGTGCATTGTCAACGTCATCCTGGTGTCTTCGTTTATTTCGTCCAGCGTCGCTCAGTAGGGCTGTAGATTCAGTGGTAATGGGGGCTGGACGGGGCCCAAACTTTTCAGCCAGGGACTCCCGCACGTCAGGGTTTTGTTTGCTCAAAGAATCCCCGCCGTGTGTTTCTATCTCGGTGCCATTCTCATAATCTTCGATCTCAACTCTTCCTTTCCTGCCTGCCCCTGTAAATATCACAGGCATACGAGGCCGAAGTAACCCTTCAACCTGAGTGTTACTAGGCTGGCTTCTCGCCAGGAATGGGATTATGCTAGGATGTCCACGCTGCGACTCGGTTGAAGGTATTGGGTTAAGAACACAGGCCAACATAAGATCACTGTTGCCAGCAAGGATTGATGTGCGATCAATCTTCGCACGAAGTGATAAGGGAATGTGTTCGATTTGAACGTATGTGATGGTTGCTAGTAATAATTTGACAGCTGAATCTGCGAGAGGACCAGTCTCGTTGGAACTTCCGGCGCTTATTTTCGACTTATTCTGTAAGAATGCATCTGCATTGGTGGTTCCAGTTGAAGTTGATGTGCCCTTGGCACTTGAGGTCGTATTTCCAGTGACTATAGCAGAATCTTTAGGCGGTACTATATCACTGCATGAGGCCTGGAGGACTGGTACTAGCGACAGGACATCTGGTTTGGTCAGTGATGGGCCCAGAATCGTGAGAGATGCGATAAAGCATTTATATGCCGCTTCTCGGACAGACCGGGCAGGATTTGAAGACGTGAACATCCAGATAGCTTGTTCCAAGCAGCTTTGGGCAATCGAGGGGTTCTCTGTGCCAAAAGTTTCAAGGAGAGACTGTAGTACGCCCAAAGAGGCAGCATGCATGGGAGGTATTGCGCTCAGCAATGCTTCTCGTTCGTCTCTACTTATCTCGGGATTGATGGAGGCACCATGCTCTCCTGAGATTGAAGGAGGAGCGATAGACCCCAGTCGACATGTTAAATCAAGAATTGAGCCTACGGGTATGGAAACTGTTGAGTTCGATCTTGACTTGAGGAAACTTGACAAGAGCTCTAGTAGGCCAACTAACCGCCCGGTTCCTTGTTGTATTCCGGACCAGATGGGGAGCTCAAGAGGGCCAATTCCGAAGTCACCAACAATGGAGTGTGAAGGCCGATTACAAGTTCCCTGTGGCAATGTAGAATCAACTGATTGCCAGTGCTCTACTATAGATCTGAACAAGTGGTCCGTAGTTCGATGTGCAGATAGAATTGTGGCACGAATAGCCTTGGCCCATTCTTCATTTCCCGTATTCTTTGGAGCACACTGGTGAAGTGATATGAAGAGCTGCTGGGCAGCCCACCTGGTGGACTGGGGTATTACATTTTGTGTATTCGACGAAGCTACCAGTGGCAGAACAAGCGTTTGAAGTTGCATCAAGAAAGGCCGGAAAATGGTTGGATGGTTTGGAAGGAGCGTTAAGAAGGAGCACAATACAGTGTTGACTAAGGAGTTCCCGTACTTTAGTGTTCTGCAGTTTTTGGTGCCGCTGAGTGTGGATATGATGTTTAGACAAGCGGTTATGAACTGTGGTAGCATAGGCGTCGTTATTTCTCGAGTCAATGTCGGATATGGATGCGTGAGTTGAAATATCCGCGTAAGGCACAAGATACCCAGTTTTTTCAACGACAATGGGTCTGGTTTCTGTCAGTGCAGGTGTTGGTTAGCATTTCGCCAGTCTTCAACGTCTGCCTTAGGCAGGAGCTTTTGATCAAACATACACCTAGTATAGCTAGTATAGAGCGAGCCCAGGGCTCACAGCCACGTAGGATCTCCCATCTCCCAGACTCCACCGTTGCTTTCATAATAACCACGCCGGCCCATCGTCCTTCAACCGTCTTATCCTGTAACAGGCTGGTGATGCGGGCTTTCAATTTTTGGAGGAGAACTGCTTTGTCGGGTTCGCCGGCGGATTGACCCTGGTTAGCCGGTACAGACAGAATCGCACTGCTTTCGCTAATCGTTGTAGCAATATATTCAGCCGTTGAGGTCAGCTCCTTCACTGGGATGGTACAAAGATTGTGCACCGCGGCGCGCAAGGCCATAACTGCTGTCATTTTAAATTCCTCGACAACAGTCGCATAAACGGAAGTAGCTTAGAAGGTCCATATATCAATAGTTAAGGTTATATAAAACAATCTGAGCTCGAATGGGCGGAATATGCACAAGCTGGTGCTCATCAATAATTTTTTTTAAGGCATTCCGTAGGAGATTTTAGCTATGGACAATGAACAAAAGTTATTGGTCCGGCGGGGGCGTCTATCTCTCACGTGATGATAATATTTTTTCATAAGTGTATAAGCAATGCAGAGGAATAATCCAGATCGCCAAAGCCAGATGGCACTCCCATGCTCGCGGATATTAAGTATGTACTCTGTACGTGGTTTTATATGATCCACATAAGGATAGAGGCCATCGCCTGCATGACAGGCCCTTTTTACCAGAAAAGCATGTAACGCCTTGATGACTAATACATGAGTATCATGATGACTAATATTAAGCTTCGATAAGCTCCAATAAAACGCTCGGGACTTAAAACAGCTCAACCAATAGTATTTAAATATTCCTCCCGAGAAACTTTAAGTTTATTTTTAAAGTTACCGAATTTTGGGCTAAGCCAACGACAACGCGATTTATATTTGTGTTTTTCCTTCAACGCTCTTTACATGTACCCAAAAATCTGACACGCCACAAATCCCAAACATATCAATTGTCTTCCAGGGGTCTTTGTCTCGACTAACAACGTCAAAATCGAATTCCCGTAGTAACTGGCCATCCACACTGTTAGCAATATGGCTATGTCTGCTGACAATTTCGACACTCACCTCAAACACGGCCTTCGCTATTTCCATCTGAGCGATCACCTTTCCCATACATTGGTATTTCCCGTGGTTGAACATAAGTTCGTTTACACGAATCATATTTGCAAGCTTAGCGTCGTCAGCTTCAAACCAGCGCTCTGGACGGAATTTATCGGCGTCTTGGCCGTAAGTTTCTTTACAATGGAACATGCTATACACCGATCGTCCAATATATGCGCCTCCAGGCAGGAATATAGTCTTGCCCGCGACAGTGACAAAGTCTCCCCCAGGAGGAATGTCGCGAGGGAAAAGGCCAATTATAGGCGGCAGCATTCGCTGTGACTCACGAATCACGGCTTGCAGGTATGGAAGTTGCTTGGCTTGGGCAAAGCTGATAAGCCCCTCCCCTGTCCGGGGCGCCTTACCTGTAGCAACTGCCTCATTAATCTCGCACCGGAGTTTAGTGAGGACGTCCTGATTTGCTAAGGTGTGTAGAATCACTGAGCAGATAGAGTAGCAAGGTCCGAAGGACCCAATGACTAGAGCGTCAAGAACCTCGGACCGCAGGGCATCTCCTTTAACACCATGCCGAATAAATGAGTCGAGCATATCCTCTGGTTTTTCGCGAGGATTCGCCTCGCGCTCCTTTATAAGTTCGGTAGAGACTGCAAGTAGTTTTCCATATCCAGTCTCTTCGGTGGCTACAGGAGTTAGAGCTGGGCCGATGAGTGATGACTGAGAAATTTTCGCAAGCCCGAAGACAACCAGAATGTTGGCGGTTAGGAATCCTTCTTTTATGGATTTGATGTAATCATTTGTATCAGCGTCCTTTTGGACCATCTCGAAGGACTTGCCAAAAGTAATGGCAGTGATAACGTCATGGGTAAAATACTGAACCTTTGCTGCGATGTCCATGGGCACCACCTTCGAGTCGGAGGACAAGTATTTGGACCTGATAAGAAGAAGTAATTCCTCAAGACGCTCATTGATATATAATTCGTAGGAACATTCTGTTCCGTAGAACTAATCATGACAGTCAGTTTACTTATAAGACTCAATTGTTACAAGTTTCGGAAAATGATAAACATAAGAATAGAATGATTTACCCCAGGGCCTAGCAGTTTCCTTCTCCGGTCATGTTCGGCAGTATCTGTTAGTGAGAAAAGATGATCATGCTGGTAGTCGACACGCATGGCTCTGAAGAACCACTCGGAGCGAGGGTAGCCAGGCTTGGTGGTAACGTGCATCCATACTTCAGGCGAGGATGTAACGATGAGATTGGGTGCGATTTTGGCGACTGGTCCTGAAGGAGAACAAGACAACCCATTAGCTAGAGCTGCCTGAAGACAATACGTGTGCCCAGCAGCATCCCGGCGAGGTGAAAAGGACGATGCCAACCATATTTTTCAATGACATCGTGATACCATTGAGCTGGTGTATAACGTAAGATAGCTCTCCGATGCAGCCAGCTGGAGAGGTGGGCCAACGGCGGACCGGGTATATGGCGCAGTTTTATATAGGCGTGGAGCTTGGTAAAAATATGGTGAACAGCTATTAGGGAGAGAAAAAGGACAATAACTCCTGCCGCTGAAGTTGGTATCAGAAGAGACATAGCGGGGAAGAAACAGCTATCAAGCTATGTTTATCCCCTATATGTTATTAAAAAAAATTAATATCTAGATTCTACGTACCTAAGGCACCGAGGTAGTTAACTATGGCCTGCTTATCAATCAGCGGCAGAGCAGTGCCTGATATAACGGCAGTCAAGGAGTTAGAAATATTGGGCGCCGTCATACTCCGTAAGGAAGTAATATCACTAAACGATATCAATGGACTAGCTAGACGATCCACACGTGGATTGGAGGCGCAGCTCTAGAACTGCAGATCCTCTCCCCGGCCACGTCTTCACTCTCGCCAAACCTAAATCGCCAGCAGCACGCTCAATAATACTGTCAAACTCTAATTCAGTACGAGAATGAGTGTTGAGGCTTGCAATCATGTGTAGATCGAGCATGTCAATCAGACGAGTACCCTCCCCAACAGTTTTCGGAAGATCTACGAAGTCGTGGATCAAAAGCTTCGACTTAGCTGGGTCCATGACTTTCGCAATTTCTTGAATCATCTTGACACACTTTCTGTGAAAACAAGAAATACCAGATCAGAAATTGACACCAAAAACAGTGGCGGAACGGTTAAAAACGGAGAAAAACTTACTCATCATTGTTGTCCATCAAGACGTGGCTCAATAAGTAGATATCAGCTCCCTTCTGAGGCTGCTGGGCGTAGTAATCATGCGCCTCCCAAGTAATCCGGCCAACTATTTCCTCCCCATAACTTTCCTTGACCGTATTTTCAGCATTGGATATGACACTGACGTGGTCCTGTACAATGGCAGCGAGGTGAGGATATAACTTAACCAGACGGATCACATTCTGGCCATTGCCACCGCCGATATCGACGATCGTCGATCCATCAGGGAGATCGTCAAACGGGTAGATCAGCTCAATTGGCATGTCCAACGGCCCATCATAGTGGCCGGCCATTGCTCGGGAGAAGCGGCAGCCGCGTTCGGTGTCAACGGAGTGATAGTACTCGTAAAGGGGAAGTTTGGCTATTTAGAATTGCTCAGGTTAGCGCCTATGCTTCCCTTTCCCTCTTTCCTTTTTCCTTTTTCTTTTCTTTTCTTTCCTTCTTTTTTTTTATTTGCTCCTTCTTTATTGTTTTTTTTTTTTTTTTTTTTTTTTTTTTTTTTTTTTTTTTTTTTTTTTTTTTTTTTTTTTTTTTTTGGTCTTTTTTAGTTTAATGTAGTCTCCTCACTCACTTTGGAATGCCACACCGAAAGCAGCTTCCGTAGGATCATCTGATATTTTAAAGCCAGCGTCACGAGCGGTGCGAGTGAGATAGGCGCCACAGAGCAAGCCGTCGTCGACTCTTAAATCTAGTCAGACTCAAAAGCTACAGCCGGAGATGAATCTCCAGAGCAGTAAAGGACTTACAGGTAATGAACGAGGCTGCCAAAATTGGTATCGAGCAGCTGCAGAGAATTCTGGTTATGGTGATAATATCCGGCGCTGCACTCAGTAAATATGAACCTGTTAAGGCATATTCTCATGATTCTCTCTGTTATTATGTTAGTAAATTGCTTGAGAATGCCTAGAAGGGGCAGTAAATTTACTCACTAATCAGAGCAGGTGATGCGTTGGTACGGCCGGCAAGATAAGACAAAGTTACGCCTTTCCCCCCCGGTTTAATCAGCGTTGGAATGCCCATCTCGATGACAGCTGAAAGTGCAACGCTATCACAGTACGACCAGGCAGCTTGCACCATCCAGTCCTTGGGCTCTGAGACGAGTGCCTGGAGCTTTCTGCATTCCCGCGCTACTGCTTCGGCCTGATTCTGTAGCATCTGACCTTGTTGGGAGGTAAAGTCACTGGAACGGCCGTTGCAAGCCCGTTGCATATCTGCATACTTGCGAACTTGCTCCGTTATGCCATTTGACATGGCAAGAAGCATATCAGCATCTGGTGGGTATGAAGTAGACATGGCTAGGGTATATTTTCGCCAGCACAATTGTAGTGGATGGCAGGCAGGTTTCACAAATATTCAGACAGACTGTCACAGACCTTTGTTGACACAGTATAGGAAGGAAGATGCCATAAATAAACCAATCTGGGTATAGATGCGTATTCGTAAAGTTTACACCCTAGTTAAATGGCAGGTCTCAAAATATAGATAGTTCTGCTTCGCAATTCTGTATCTAGGCCCGAGTCTACGTGAAAGGGCGGTGTGCGAGATGTGGCAAGTTCGAAATATGCCGTGAGGATCTGTGCCTAAGGAGACGTTGGAGATCCAGGGTCAAACCAAGGAGTAGGAGCTACAACTGCTTTAAACAGTCCGAACCCCCAGAGCCCCCTATCCACACAGTTCAAACTGCAATACAATATCCAGATCAGCTATACTCATTTTCCCAAACCATCATTTGGAGTCAAATTCACAATGACAGTTATCACAAAACCTTCCATAACAGCAGAGGCATTGTTTGACCAGATATCTGAGACATACGAGGATGCGTATGGCGGCAACGATGGACTCAGTACCGCATTTGCCAGGTTAAATGATTATCACGAAGCTGGATCATCAGTTCTCGATATCGGTTGTGGCCCTGGAGGGCCTGCATCTCGTTTGATCAAAGCCGGCTTCCAAGTTACTGGTATCGACATCTCGCAAAAGATGGTCGACTTCTGTCAGAAGAGTTTCCCTGGAACCTTCCACAAGGCTGACATGACAAAATACGAACCATCTCAACAATTTGACGCTATCGTTTCACTCTTCAACTTATTTCAAGCGTCATATACGACGACATACTCCATGGTATTCAAAATGGCATCCTGGCTCCGGCCTGGCGGTACACTTATTCTGGGAACAATCGCGGCGGAGGACTATATCCAGGATGAAGCGGCTTTAGGCACTGCTCGGAAACACCAGTACATTGAGAACTACGACGCCAAATTCATGGGACGAGTCATCCCTGCCACGTTCCTCACTATGAGCAGGTGGCTGAACGTTGTGCAGCAGGCCGGCCTCTTCATCCAAGTTGTCGACCTCTGTGACTTCGAAATCAAGGGTTTCAAACACAAAGAGAACCATTTATTTATCACCGCGAGGAAGATGAACCTGGAACCACTGTTTGGGCCATACCCCTTGCCTACCTTCCGAAGACGCCCACATCTTCTGAGCGAGGGAGCATGGAAGCCATTTGCGGAGCGACTTACACGTCATGAATTCGACGCTGTTCTCAAGGCTGTCGAGTCAAATAAAGAGGTCCTTGATATTGGCAGTGGCCATGGCGGTGAGTCAATAGATACTTCCACCTCATTAAGAATATAGTAGTATCAATAGAGACTAATCTGCTTGCTCCAGAATTACCTGTAGCAATAGCCAAACAGCTAGGCAAAGCCTATGCCATCGAGCCAAACGGGGACAGAAACGAGGTCCTTACCAACAACAGTGCACAGTCAAGTGTCGAGATCCGCCAGGGAACAGCCGAAAAGCTGCCCTTCGAGGATAATAAGTTCGACGCCGCCGTAGCTCTCTGGATCCTGCACTATGTGGATGACCTGGAGCAGTCACTCACTGAAATGGCCCGTGTGGTAGATGCCGCAGCCCCTAACGCTCGCATTGTAATCGTCCAGGGAGCGCCAGACAACGAGGTGGTCAACCTCATTAATAAGGCTTGCGCTCCTATAGCACAGCAGGGAATGCTGCCCGGGGAGTCTGCCATCGACCACCAGGGCTTCCTGCTCGCCACTGCAGCCAGGGTCTTTGCTAGGCATGGCTTCGGTGATATTTCTGTTGCACGGGTCGATGCACACTGCAATTTCCCGGAAGAAGACCTCTCTGTCCGTTGCACCAAAGCGGCGGACGTCCTGACGGATTTCTGGTATAAGGATCATCCTAGGAACTGTGATATGAAGGAGGCATTCCAGCCCATCCTGAAGGAACATTTTGCGAGCAGGCCACTGGAGGTAGGTGACCAGGCAGTCATCTTAATCGCGAAGCCGACAGCCCGACAGTAGATAGGCCGAAGGCTGTCATGGATAGTTAAGCAACAACGATCCTGAGAAGCCCTTGTTTCTCTCGCATTCCACACAGTTGGTCAAGTATAATGAGATATAAATATAAATATGACATCTGATGGCTGGTAATCAGTAGTCGCTTGAACGATGAGGTTTGTCTGTCGGTAAATACAAAGCAGGACTTGTGTATGTAAGCGCTGCTGACTAACATGAAAATGACTAATATTTCAATGCTGACTAAGATATTTCGAGCTCGCTGCGTAAGGAGGTACGAACGAACCACACAGCGCAGGCTGAGCAAAAGGAGCCTTGGGGCGGCGGTCTTTGTGAAGTCGTGCAAGAGTTTACAGTCGTTCTTTTAGCCTGGCCATGCTGCGGGCCCAAGAGCTCTCCCTTTATCCCGAGAAACTATGACCGTGAGTGCACATGGGATGAGGTGGTCTCGTCCCCCTTGTCTCCGGATACTGACCGTATGATTTCTATAGCAAACCCAGCTTACGGAGAAGGCCCAGCGCTATATAAACTTGCTGAACACGGCGCGATGCAATCAGAATTGGCACGAAATACCTGGCTTGGTCCGGAAAATTGTCAAACACGCCCCTGGCCGGAAGTGTGTGTTTCCCCCCTCTCGATGCCGTCGAGCTCACAGGGATAATATTCAGAATGCTAATATATGGTAATATGTTACAGGTTTGGTCCAAACTGCTCAGGTTGAAGCCCAGATAGTAGAATACTGCAGGAAACGAACGTCCCTAGGCAGTGCTGCTAATGAGCAGGCTGCCAATTCCCTACGAGAGTGCATACCGGACCTCCAGTCCGTACAAGCAGATGAGCAGAATACTCCTGAGGACACCTTCCAGGCGCAGATATGCTTAGCGTGGCTATTCTGGGAGCTCTCTGACCCAGAGGAGGCGGCGGCAAACCTACCCCAGGAATTCGAGAGAACCGTACGGTCTTTGACTACCGGCGAGCAGTCATTGTCCCCATGGACACAAGTGTGTATTGTACAGGGGGGTTATTTGAAAGGTGAATATTCCGACATGGACAGCGACAAGTCTCTTTCAGACTACTAATTGTAATGTATAGGTGCTGCGGAGGAGCTGTCTTCAGGGAAAGAACACGCGTTGCAGACCTTCAAATCGACCTTTTCGTGGGCGGCCACCCCTGCATCTTCTGATATCTCGAATCCTCAACTTTTGTTCTGGTCCGAACAGTATCTGGCGAGGGCCTCAATGCTGGCCTATGAGCTGTTTATATCCAAAGCGCCAAATTACGACGAGGCAAACTTGGAATTCGGGCTACGGTCTCTTCGTCTTTGGGCGTCACATCCTGATATAAAAGGCAGTGACCCTGCGGTGGCTGCAGACATCACACCAACGAATTCAAGTTCAAAAACCTCATTATGGCGAGCATACTATGATCTCCTTTCTATTGTTTTACAAAATGACCTCCAATACCCACCCATGTCGGATGCACCAAAACGTGTTCAGCTCTCAACTGAGTTTCGAAGGATAGAGGCAACTTGCGAAAACGTTCTCCTCAGGCACTCCAAGTTCCCGAAGGCTAATGTTTCTAATCAAGAGGTTGAGCTATGGGTCAAGCAAGTTATTCACAATTGGGAAGTATTCTGTAGCGCGGAATGGTGCGATGATGATTTCGGAGAGGGAGGTCAAGGTGCCATCTCCCGCAATGTTTTGGATGTAAGTTCTTCTCTTTGCATGGAATATATGAAGAAACCGATAACTGACGCTATCGTAGATATTATATCGCGCTGCAACCAAGACGTTTCACTCCACGTTAATTCTCAGAGAACTTTTTCACGTGCATGCAGCTCTGGCCGAGTTTGACTTGGCTCTTCATGCCCTGGATACATATATTCATCTTGTGAAAGACGCAAAAGAGAGATCTGAACATTCCAGCCACATCAGGGAGGTCGAAGATCCGGCACTTTTCATCTATACCCTAGCCGAGGGATTGATTATGCTATGCTGCTTTGGGTCGCGAAGAGAGGCAGAGAAAGTTAAACGGTTTACTGACCTGTTAGATGAAGCACTGAGTGAACGAATACAAACAAATGGCCATGGTCCAGTTCAATCTAGTGCCCAACCCGGTGGCACCAGCATTCCTACTCAGTGGGTCTCATTTGCTTATAGGGCTATTGGCATTGGCCTCGCTACATGGGCAAGATGGACTCCTATCAGCGAATCCAGAGCCGAGCTCCAAGCCAATGCCATTTGTGCCTTGGAAAAAGCTCTGGTAGCCGAGGCTGAACAGGAACCCAATCCTGCTACTGTATTTGCTCTCGCTATGCTACGTGCAGAAACAAGAGATCTTGATGGTGCCATTGAACTTGTTCGTACGTCACTTAGCTCGTCCAATGTCGAAGATGACGCAGAGCAGGCGGACTCTCGCTCCATCATTAACTACGGGGAGAGAGATATTGTTCCACTATGGCACTTACTTGCACTCTTACTCAGCTCAAAGGAGGATTTTAAAACAGCGGCTAATGCCTGTGATGTTGTATTTGAAATGGTATCGACAGAAAAACTGCTCCATAAGCAAAGTTCTGTCCGACCCCTTCGAAGCCCAACTGGAAAGGAGGAGGCCTCCGTGGGTTTCGCAGGCGATGGACAACATTCGAGGTTTCCGGATATAGAGACACGCGAGCGGGAGAGCATGGTTGAGTTACGCATGACCCAACTTGCACTCATGGATGTCATGCGTGGCCCCGAGGCTGCTCTGAATTATAGCGATGAACTAATAAGTCTATTTGGCCGGCTTTTTGCTGGTGTTGGGCTAGTTGATATCGAGGGTAAAGTCAACTCAGACCGTCTAACTCCTCCTAAAAGCGCGTCTGGGACTGTTAGAACCGGGCGAGCTAGCATCTTTGGCTGGAAAAAGAACCAGCGGCCTCCAGTAGACCAAGCGGGTCTGCTCCACGGTGATACCGGTACAGCACCTGGAGCAGCGTCAGGATTGACTGACAAAGAAGCTGCCGTTATTGCACCCGCACCTGCTATCCAAGTTACAAATAATGATGAAAAAGGGTCTAGTCCAGTACAGCATCGCGGTCGGTCTCGTCAGGGTTCTCTTCTACGAAAAGAAAATAAGCTCACCCAGAAGATCCATCGCTTGGAAGGAAGCCTGACCAACACAGCCCCTGAAAAGAAGCTGGCTTCAAATGAACAGAGTGACTCTGCAAGGCAAGCCCTGCCACCTGTATACCATAATATGAAACACACGGAAGAACCAGCTCCTGCTGGTCATCCACACCAGCCACCAATACAGGACGTTAGGATGCCTACAGCTCGCCAATCCGGGCCCCTGAATAAAGCATTAACTAGGTTCCCAAGAATCCAGGAGCAAAAGCATTCCCTCAGCTTGCTTGTTAAAATATGGCTGTTCATCTCCGACCTTTACCGCAAGGCCTTACTACTTGAAGACGCTATGGAAGCTTGCAACGAGGCATCAACGCATGCTACTCGTATTGAAGGACTTGTTGCAGCTCAGGAGTCATCTACTCGGGCTTTTGCTGATGAAGGGTGGGGTGGCACAAAGTCCCCAGACGAAATATGGGGCGATATCTACGCCGAACGCGGTTACATCACCCAGGCGCAATCGAAACCATATGAAGCCATCAAACATTTCGAGGAAGCACTTATGCATTATCCAGACCACCCACGTGCAACGGTTGGTCTGGCTACTCTCCTACTTGATATCCACGGCCAGACACTGCCCGCAGAAGAGTCATCGTCGCCCCCATTACCCGATATTTCAAACATATCCCTTCATTCACCATCCTGCCAACAGGAAACAAATGCTCCAAACGGAATTAGTGCAAACGTTGAGCCTACAACTACATCACCTGACGACACGCCTGAGTCTCTTAATCGCCTTGCTGCGAGAGATAGGGCTTATGGGCTGCTTTCTACACTTACTAAACTCGGCACTGCTTGGGACAACTCAGAAGCATGGTTTGCCTTGTCTAGAGCGTACGAGCAAGGAGGCCAGATTGAAAAGGCAAAGGAGGTGTTATGGTGGTGTATTGACCTTGAGAACGGCCGGCCGGTTCGGCATTGGTGGAACGTTGGTTCCGGTGGCTATGTTCTTTAAAATTATTTTCGTTTTCTACGCATGAGCCCTATGTCGCTGCGTTTTGGTTACAAAAAATATAAATTATAATCTATGCTCCCTGCCAATGAAGAAAACCTTGCACACTCCCTATCTGAATGAAGCGTAAAGATGGTTTGGAACAAGGCCAGATTATCCGATAGTTCGTCTTATATACATATTTGCGCAAACAAGGCCCTAGCAGCAAGTCTAACTGGCATTTTTATCGAAAACAGATAGGGATCCTACTGCCAAGGCAGTCCGACGTGCTCTCTCCATTACCGGGGAGCAGCAACGGGTTCCCAGGCGGAGTATTTCGGTTTTACACTGTATATTCGGAAAATGTTAGTCTTGATGTTCTATAAGGAATAAAGGGCGTTAGGGGGGACTAACGTCGAGTATGGCTTGTATGCGGCCCGAGTAAGGGTCATGTTGGGTCTGTGTTCGGGGGTTTCCCATTTCCGTACCCCAGCTTGCATGATTGCATCCTGAGTGGGTGGCTTATCAACCATATAGGAGATCCAAGCGTGCCTATGTAATAAAGTCAGAGGCTTCCACGCGAATACATAGGGTTAGTGAGCTTACCAGCCGGGGTCAATATGCGAAGCATCATGGTCATGGTCTTTATAATCAACCCATCGAGTTCGGACTTCATTGCATGTCAACATCACTATTTCCCTTTTTACTCAAGAATTATATATGACGTACGAGGCAATTCTTCGTTGTTCTCAAAATATTTGTTTCCGTATCGGTCGATGGCTACGAGGGTACCGGCTTTGGTATCACCTGCATTCGACTCCGTTAGCAATTGGCCTCAAAACTTCCTAGGTCCATGAACGTACCAATATACTATAGCATGGAGCAGATGTAACTTAGCATCTGCATCTCCGCAGCATAGATTCGTTTGTAATTGCTGTCGCCGGTGGTTAACTTACGTGCATCTGGTGACCATAGTCCTGCAGAAATCGATTAGTCACGAACAAAGTAATGATTTCAGGTAAAGCCTACCTTGATCCCGATCTTCCACAAGTTCCGCAATGTCCTGGTGATGGTCGACATGGTGACAGCGGACGGTGTCGTTGCCCTACAGTTGATCTTCTGTCGTTGGAGGTCGAAGTTGTTCACGGCTTTCCGCTTGGTTTGTTCGGACTGCCGCGAGGATCCGAAAGCGGTTTAGCGCCGATTCAGCTGATCCGATAAGATAAAAAAATATGTTGAAGCTTCCAACAACATGACAACTAGAGATCTGACTGGTGGCATTCGTCACTTGGATTTTTACCATATTGTTCCTGAGATGCAATTTAGATTCGAGAGACGATGATGAAACGTACAGGAGGCCGCGCCCTCCTCAATTGCTGCCGGGGCTACTCCACACGGACCGCCAACTATATCTCCCCCATCCGCAAGTTCTCATCTACTTCGAGTCCGGCTGCGGGCTATACCAGTGCCTCTTCACCTATTGGCAGTCTCACAGTGGAATTAGACCGGATTGCACCCAAATTCGAAATACAAGCGTCCAATATTCAGATTTTGAACTCCCCCGCTGCCTTCTATGACACTTTGAAGGTACGGGTCAGTTTACATACTCTCAAGGATGACTGGCTAACGACTATCAGGATAAAATACGCAACGCGAAACGAAGGGTATATCTCTCAACCTTGTATATTGGGAAGACAGAACATGAGCTTCTTTCGGTCATTAATGAGAGCCTTCGCCGGAATCCAGACTTAAAGGTCTCCATTCTTACGGATGCACTGCGTGGATCTCGTGAATCCCCAAACCCGTCTTGTGCATCTCTACTAGCCTCCTTGGTGGAGGAACATGGACCAGAAAGGGTAGAAATAAGAATGTTCCATACCCCTAATCTCGTTGGAATGAAAAAGAAATATGTACCAAAGAGAATAAACGAAGGATGGGGGCTTCAACACATGAAACTTTACGGAGTAGACGACGAAATAATTCTCTCTGGGTATAGCGCTTTACATTTATCTTTATACGGTGCATTTTACTGATCCATTTTTCTTTGACAGGGCTAACCTTTCCAATGACTATTTTACAAACCGGCTCGATCGATATCACGTTTTCCAGTCAAAAGAACTGGCCGAATACTATTCCCAGATCCACCATGCTGTTTGCAGGTTCAGTTTTCAGGTTTTGCCAGATACAAAGAGCAAACAGGGCTATGTTATGAATTGGCCAGTTACGAATGCGGGGCCATCGCCTTTAGACGATCCCGAAGATTTCATATCCGCGGCGTCTATATCGCTTTCGAAACTAATACAGCCACCAGCAACCCAGGGAGTTTCAACATCCATGGCTGACAACCAGACATATGTATACCCTGTGGCTCAGTTTACCCCAATACTAAAACCAGATCAATCAACGGAGTTTCCGGCTGTTACAAGCATCCTAAGTACCTTAGCTAACAGCCCGATGTTGAAGAATTCTCGCTGGCTTTTCACTGCGGGCTACTTCAACATGCACCCGGTTCTCTCATCTCTTCTGATTTCAAGCACTACTCCATCGCCTGATTCTTCAAGCAGCCAGGGAACAGTTCTCACGGCATCTCCGTGGGCGAATGGATTTTATGGTTCCCCAGGCGTCTCTGGAATGTTACCAGCAGCATATACCCACTTGTCTGCTAGGTTCCTAGATCGGGTTGCGGAATCACAAAGAACTAATTCTATTGAATTGAAGGAATGGCGTAAGGGGACTGTGAATGAGCCTGGTGGATGGACATATCATGCCAAGGGGTTATGGGTGACACTCCCGAATGAGAAGTATCCAAGTCTCACGTTTGTTGGAAGCAGCAATTATACCAAACGAAGCTACGGGCTTGATTTAGAGGTGGGCGCTGTCGTAGTGACTACAGACAATAGCTTGAAAGAGAGATTGGGCCAGGAAACGGAGTGGCTGCAAGCGGATTCTAAACCCATCTCAAGGGAAGATCTAAGGAGAGTTGAGCGACGAGTCAGTTGGAATGTTCGTCTTGCTATGTGGATCGTAGAGCGGGTTGGCGGAGCTTTGTGAGCAATATACCCTGAATATGTACAACATGTAATATAATAGAAGCATATACCGATAAACTGCCATATTGGGCGTCAGGATTCATCGTTATTTAAGTGTAGATAATAGCACGCATATATCACACATATTGTCCTCTATTCCCCTTGAGTTAAAATAGGTCAGGTACTTTTTGATTCTAAACCAACGCTGAACTCCCGTATGAAAAAACCCATAATCGTAAATAGCTTCAAATGGGTATCTGCATCAGACTTTCCCAAAGGCATTTGTGGAAAGCTTGGGAGGCCCAAGACCTTGCCTGACTTCATCCAGCATCCTCATTCCAATAACTTCGTTCCCATTCTTTCCTCTACGGCCCTGGGCTCCCTTGCGCTTAGCATGGACACGTCGATCATCCCATTTATCTAAGAAGCCATCCATGACGTCGTTAAAATCAGACCGAAGAGGGGTATTTCTATCATTGGCAACAAGGCTCGGGGCTTGGGAGAGTTTGGAGAATCTAGAAAAGCGTGACACGCCGCTGGCAATAGACATATCATCCGCCATGCTAGAGCCTTCATATTCCTCTCCTTCATCCAAAGCATATAGGGCTTCCATTCTCTCGAAACGGTCATCCAAAAGTCTGTGGCCTTCGGTCCTAGCAAGTGAGGAGGATGTCATTGAGTACGCAGAAGGGTTTGTCTTTGCACCCTTGCGCTTCTTTTTCCTGACCGGGGTTCCCCCGAGAGTAAATAGTGTTGATGCCGTGGTACGGAGTTCTGATGCGCTATCGTCAACTTTAGCTGCGGCTTTACTTGCTTTCATGTCTTTCTTATATTTTGCAAAATCTTTGAGCCAGTCCCCTTCATGTTCCTCCATATCAGGTATCTGGTCATCATTGGGCGGCTGAGATGATTTATTGGAGCTTCCCTTGTCATCTGATGCGGTGGGTAGTTGGCTATCGGTAGAGGTATCATGTTGAACTGGTGCCTTTTCCGTTGCATCCGACTCCCAGCCCTCGTCATCGTCTTCAATGTATGTATCTCTCCACTCATCAGGGTCCACCTCTGCGTCATGTCCACCGGCAACGAGGTTGTCAAATATATCCTCATCGCACTCTTCGTCAACGTAGGCATCATCCTCCAGTGCCTCTAGGGCCTCTCTTAATCGTGGATCCATATCTGGCTGGAAACCCGCAATCGCATCCGGCACATCCTGTTGGTCCTGGTAAGTGGCCTTACGTATATATGATGAAGCGGTTGACAAGATATCATCATTAGCATCGCCATAAGTAAAGCTCTCCGCTCCGTCACCATCTAGCGAGATATCTTTCAGCGCATCCTCGAGTTTCATGCCCTTCTTTCCTTTACCCTTTGTCCTCGCCTCCACAAAGTGGGCGTCTCCAACTCCCTCCCCTAGTCCACGCAAATGTTGCATGTAATCATACTTGGTATCATCATAGAAGATACCATAGTTTGCCGCCTCTCCTTCATTTTTGCGAGTTGCCGATTTGAATTCCTCGTCAAGCTCCCGTAAAGTCCGTGTTTCTCTCTTTGATGATGACGACTTGACGCTAGAAGCTGGCCCAGGTCGTCCTACTACATGCAAAATCCGGTCTTCTGCCTCTGGGTCATGTATCAGTGGGTCATTTTGCGATCTGTGGAAGAGTTGATATTTGGTTGCGGATTTTTTATCACTAAGGGAATAATATAGCGGTTAGCACTCGGAGCTCCCCCAACGAAATGTCACATCAATTATCCGAAATTACATACATCCACTGTTTAGTTGGAGGCATTGTAACGTTTTAATATGGGGGAAAAGGTCCCTTCTGTGAATGGTTACAAGGGAGGGAAGTCTTGATGTTCGTCATTTTTGAGAAATGGTGGGCCACAGACAAAATATTTTAAAAGATAAGGTCACGTGAGATAAGCGATAAGCGATAAGCTTTCTTCCCTATGAAAAGGGGCCGATTTTATTCTCAACACACTGCACGTAAATACCTATTACAATGAAGATAAAAGTGCTTCTCACTTTTCACGAGTTCGTAGACCTGACACGGAAAATGACATGATATCTTTCTAAATGCTTAGGACCGTTGCATGAGAAACATACATTCATAACACTATCACTCTTCTTCCGCCAGGAAACTGTTCCCTTTTTTCTTTGTTTTGACCTTTCTATTCGCCTTGAAATGCTTCTTCCCTAGACCTCGAACCTCTGAAACATCTATATTTTTTTCCAATGCAATAAGAGCCCTTTGCTTGCGGCCAGTGATTGCTTTTTGTTTTCCCACTTCCGAATACTTATAGTTGAATGGCATCGTTAAATGGCCCGCCGACCCAGCGCCGCCAGGGCCGAAGAATCCCTTGTCAAGCTTCTTCGACCGTGCGCTCTGAGCAGGTATGGAGCTGTTTCCAGAAACATGGGATGGAGTCATGTCCGACTCCAAATCGATATCATCACTTATCCCATCTACCGAATCACCGCGAGTTGCGGCCGCGTGTTCCTTGAGCAAAGCCTCCTTCCGCCTAGCAGGGAGATGAGCCATATCATATAATCCCTCATTGAATTCTAATTCATAGTCCGAGCGCTCCTTTGGATCCGTGAATGGAGGGTCCTTGGGTGGTGGATGGCAGAATAGCAACTTTCCATTGACATAATCTTTCAACACATATCTCGCAGCACGGGATTCGTCTGGCTGTCCTAAACCAGTTGTGGCAAACCCACGGGCACGAGCATATGCGCGTAGGATTTCAGATGCAGTTGGGACTCCTGTACCTCCCTCTTCGATGCTGCGGATAGGTATCTTCATTCCATAAACTGCCTCAAGGAAGTGGAGCGGGATTCTTTGAGCCACGAGCCCTGCTGGACCAGTGTATTCACGTAGCTGGTCGATAGGGAGGACGCCATTAACGACAAGATCCGCTTTTGTTGTTGCAAAATTAGGGAAAACGAGACCGGGACAATCGCAAAGGACAATCTTTGGTGTGAGATAGAGAGTCTGGAAGTGTTTTGTTTTTCCAGGAGTTGCAGAGACGGAGACCTTCTTTGATCCGAGAAGGGCGTTAATAGTGCTGGATTTACCAACATTAGGATACCCAACAAGTCCGATGGTGGTGACATCTTTGCCTTTCTCATCATTAGGGTCGCGCGGAGGCGCCGCAGACATGAACAGTGCCTCCAGCTCGTCTACCGTGATAATTTCAGTTCTTTTTGACTCGGATTCTTGTGGAAGTGGTAAACCGCCACCATCGTCGTCTTCTTCCGAGTCTTCCTCCTCTTCACGAGCCTCTTCAGCCGCTTCCGAGTCCTCCTCTGAATCATGAATATGGGCATTGCTTGTTTGCTCAGCGAGTGCTGTATCAACATCATCGTCATCATCATCGCTTCCACTTCCTACCCCGTTCGCCTCATTCAGCTCCTTAGCTAGAGCAGCAGAGAAGAACTTGTAAGATATGTTGTGTTCTTCGAAATAATCCGCCCAAGCCTCCCGCTGTTTTAACGTCATCATATCCGCCTTGTTCACCAACAGCAAATTCCTCTTTGCTGGGTTCACTTCTTTGACATATTTTTCCAAATCCTCTGACCGGAAGAGAAGGGGGTTTCTGGCGTCCACAATCTGGACGACAAGGTCTGACCGTTCGATAACTCTCCAGAGCTGCCTCCAGACTTCCAAATTTCGCTCGAAAGGCGTCATCAATATATCCTGCACCTCCTGGAGTTCGGCAAGCCCTCTTCTCCAATCAAGAAAGCTCTCTCGTTCCATCGCATCTAGTTCGTTGCGAGTTGTTCGTTCATTCCACTTGGGACGTCGAGGGACGGTCAAGCGAGAGCGGTTCTTCTGGTGTTTCCGGATGGCATTCCTTTCATCCGCAGCAGAAAGGAGGTAAGGGTTCTTCTGGTCCTGGTGTATGATCTTGACATTGTTTAACTTCTCGGCTGTGAAGTCAGTTCCCGCGAGTTCGGCTGTGCTTAGGAACTCGTCGAGGGCCGCCTGCTCGGTAATACTGCGCATTTTCACCCATGATGCCTCTTCGGTCGGGTTTGTGATGTAGGTCTCGCCATCGGTGCCCTTCCGCTGAATAGCAGCAACGTTGTGAGATACTTTCTTTCGGTCTGAACGCTTTCCTTTGCCGAATCTATCATTCATCAAACTGTTCCCCAACCCCACGGAATTCTTCGACTTGGCCAACACCATGGTTGGCTAATATAGAAATCGACAGGTCTATACTCCAAATGAATAAAACACAATATTATCTGGATTCTGATGATAATCCGGGTGAATAGATGGCGGGGCAAAGATCTGAAGATATGAATTTTGATGGAGGGAAAAAAATATAAGCGATAAGATTGCTTATGAATCCGACCGGGCTCTTATCAGATTACGGCTTATAGTTAACGCGGTTCCGCATTAAGGTTTATCATATTAATAATCAAAGTCTATCTGCTGACTAATAAAGCTATTATCGTTTTGCGCTTGTAAACTTTTGACGCGGTTACCAGCTACTTCCAGCATCTCAGCTACTTCCTGTTTATTTTCTTCTAAACGCAAGATCCAGAGTAGTGGACTATTCAGAGCTACAGAATATGAGATGCCCAATTAATTAAAAGCACTCAACGCCAATGGGCTGAATAACAAACTATACATTACCAAAATCGTGCATATATACCCTACATCAGACCAGGCACTCACCGCTTCCTATCAGATCAGCCCAATAACGAGTTAACAGATTAACCCACCATGTCGAAACGCTCTCGTGACACTTCCCCAGAACCGCCAGATTCTCTATCATCAACATCAAAAATGATACCCTCATCTCCTTCACGGCATAAATATCCTCATATGGAGCATTCGCCTGAACAACCAAACACATTAATGCATTGCTCTCTGCCCCCGCATAAGGGCGATTTAACGTTCCCTACCTACGAGGCGTATGAATCACACTACCTGCAGACACATGTAAACCGGTGTTCGGAATGTGCGAAGAACTTCCCTTCTGACCTACTGCTTACCCGACACATTGAGGAGAATCATGATCCCGTCATGGAAGAAAGGAAGGAGAGGGGTGAGAAGACGGTATTCCCACCTGTTACGCTATAGTTGGTTTGAAGATTAATGGCATGGGCTGATGTTGTGTAGTTTGGTTGTTTTGTCGAGGGGTGTGAGAGGAGATGTTCGACGCCTCAGAAGCGGAGGAGACATTTGATTGATAAGCATTGTTTTCCGAAGGTAGGTGAGATCATGTTTGATATCGCCGTATTGTGGTATGCTTGCTAATTGGTTTATAGGGGTATAATTTCTATATTGTAAATGATGGAATAGACAAGTATAGTTCTATGCTGAGGTCGAGCGTGCCTATGCATCGACGTCGTTTCTCGCTGGAGACGGGCGGTGCGAGTTCGAGAGGGAATGGTGTTACCTCGCCTGGTGCAACGCCGTTAAGACGAAGGGATCATGTCCTGTATGATGATACGAACAGGAATGATGTATCCTCTGTGAATGGGCGGGTTGGTGTGCAAGAGGATGGGTTAGATAGTCTTACGAAGTCGATGTCTGCATTACGGTTTGTACCTCATAGTGTTGCGGTACGGAAGTCAGGGAAGAAATAGATGGGTTCTTCTTGTTTATTTCTAGTCGATATTACTTGGCGTTTGTTTGCATATGCTGGGGTAACTTGATAAGGTCAGTCACTAGGTCTATTATGGGGGGTATAATATAAATAACATGATAAAAGAAATTATTCATGACCATGCTAGGCCTCGCTATTCACGCTGGCTGTGACAAACAAAGTGGTATAAAGAACAGATAGCACAAGGTAGCAGTATATGTATGCTATATATCGAGTAAATCAGCGTATATTTCCAGGCTGGCGCCGATGAGATCTACGATAGGCCAGCTCGTATTCCCCTTGAAGGTCCTTGACCAGACACGTACAACGGCAACGCTAAGCCGTCTCATTAGGGCTGGGTCAGTAATGAGTTCTGCCTCCGTGGCTGCACTGACGGAGGAAGACATGTCTGTTTCATCTATCATGCCCTTGACCCAGAGAAGGAGTTTTCGCTCATGGTCTGACAGGCCCTGATCATGTTGGGTGGCAGGTATAGAGAGCAACCAGCGCGAGAGGAGGAATGCGCATTCAAGGGAACATATTGAGTGCTGTATTGACCAGAAAAAGGAGTGAGTACGAGCCACGAAGTCAATACCTAGCCGGACGGGGATGGAAAGGGCATGAGCGGAGTGTAAGAGGGCCATTATCAGACGGGAGCTGCGGGTCAGCGGTGGAGAGTCATTGAGTGCATGGGCGATTTGGACAGGGTCCTGGGTGACGAGGCGACGGCATGGTCCGAGGTCGAGGTGTAGGCGTATATACGCTAGACCAAGCAGAGCTGTGGAAGTGAAAGCTATGGGTCCAGCGGGGTTTTGTGGATCGATACTCGATTCGGGAGTCTGACGCCAGCCGCGTTTCCAGGCACTAAGGGAGTTGCCCATGACGGCTAGATCGTCGGGTCGTAGGCTGGTGCCAGCCATAGAAGGGGCAGAGAGACAGAGTTGGCGGGCGAAGAAGATTTGTTGGATGATGGCGTGGATGAGTACGTAGTTACCTAGTGGAGACACCGGGTTGGAAGGGGGTGGTGTGCTGCTAGTAGCAGCAGCAGCGGACTTGGTGAAGAGATTTGCGAGGGCGTCCTGGAAGGATGAGGGGGTAGGAGTGGTGTTGGTATCTGACGAGGGACGGCGAACACGGCGCCACTGGCTGGCGGTATTTGCTTTCCATTCATCAGCGGAACAGGGCATGTTGAGGTTGAGCTCGGAGTTTAGGATTAAGGGGGGAATATTGTACATGATAGAATGGAGGTTGAAGAAGCAATAGACGACAAGCTTTGTGCGCCTGTCTGCTTCCAGCCTGGACCAGTCTGGCCAGGAGAGCGACTCTGGCGGGGTGGTGGTTGCTGGAGACTCTTTAAGGCCATGGTCTCGGACTAGACGGGCGAGGGTACTTTGTAGGGCAAGCATGTCGCGAAGTATGTCTGGATGGCTCTCCCAGGAGGCAAAGATGGTAAGTAGTAAGAAAGTACGGATGATCTCCATCTGTCCCTCGGCATCCTCACCTGGCAGCGAGGTATTGTCCATGAAGGGTATGAACTGCTGCTGGGGGAATGGACTGTTACTTGGATTCGATACCACCGACGAAGACGCCCGAGGGGTACTGTTGGGTCCCCACTGGGTGTTCGGCGGGAGAGTAGTAGTAGTAGTGCGCCTGGAGTCCCGACGTCGTAGGCGTTCCAGTAGAATAGCCTTTGCAGCGTGGAAGAGCTCGATGCCTCTGCTATTTTCGAACCGGTAGTGGGAGCCAGCGGCAGCGAGAGCGAGGGTCAGCTCTGGCGGACATCTGGCCACGGACAGAGTTGGAACATGGATGAAGGGCAAGTGCTCGTTGAGACCACTGATGTAGCCAGCCATGTAGCGGGAAAGAGCATGTCTAGAAGGCCGCACAAAGTTCTTGGGGAGAACATGGGCAAAGTCTTCTAACCTGGCCGTGAAGAGCTGGTGTTCCTGGGTAGAGATGTCCCACGCCGGCCGGGGCTGGGAGTTGTGCTCTGAGGTACCGGCATCGGAGTCCTGTGCCTCTGGTTGGAGAGACGGTAGTCGAGAGCCAAAGTTTGAAAACGAAGGTGCTTCGTCTGCTGCGGCTGCTGCTGGAGCTGTTGGAGTGCCTGTTGTTTGAGCAAGCTGGGCTATGTTGCGGGAGTCTAACTCCTGAGTGAACCTGGGAGCTGTGCCAAAGGACTGCTGTTTTGTAGAGCCATCTAGTGCGGGTATAGGGGTCGAGAGCAGCGGCTCAGGCTCTACCGAGTTGAACAGTCCCGAATCCCAGTCGGAGGAGAGACCAACGCTCTCGAGAAAAGTGGTGAAGTCCTGTACGGGGTCACCAAGATCAGCGAGGTCGAGTATCGATGGCTCGACCCCGTAGTTCTCCGAGATGGGCCGCTCATACACAGGAGCGACCTTTCTGTCGTGCTGCTGCTGGACCTGGAGCTGTCCCTGTCCGTGAACCTGAAGCTGTGGCTGTCCATGACCATGACCATGACCATGACCATGGCCATGACCCTGACCTTCAAGAGCTACATGGCTGGCTGCATGGGAGAGCAGGTTCAAGTCGTAACCCCAAGACGGGTTCAGGTGGTCCGCCGTTCCTGTTCCCGTCCCCGTCCCTGTCCCTGGCCCCGTTGCAGCAGTTCCAGGAACAGGCACGGACACAGGCACAGCCGCGACAGTAGCAGCGGGAACAGGAGTAACAGTGGCCGTAGACGTCACAGAGGTGGAAACGGCCGAGGCTGCAGCAGCGCCGGCCGCTCGCCTGTCAGCCCTGGCGGCCGCCTCAGCCGGGTGCACAAGCCGCTCATGGCGGACAAGCAGGTCACTCCATCATTCAGTCAGTCAGCCTTGAGCGCAGCGTATTCAAGACGATGACGGGATAAGAGCTCACCTGCGGGCAAACGACTTGGAGCATATCTCACAGGTAAACGGCTTCTCCTTGGTATCTATAAGCTGCTGTTAGTATGGCGTCCTGTGTTAATGGATGTGTTGATGTCATGCGGCGGACAAGGACTAACGGGTGCGGAGATGCCGTTGGAGATGCTCGAGGCGGGCGAAGGGCCGGTTGCAGTGCTCGCAGGTGAGCGACTTGCGGGTGGCCGTCGCCCTCTTCTTGCGCGGCCGCTGGCCTGACGCAGCCGCAGCGTCATCGGCGTCCATCACGGCTCTTCTTCTTCTTCTTCTTCGTCGTCGTCGTCGTCGTCTTCGTCTTCTTCGTCTGCGTCTTCGTCTTTGTCGCGGCGATGCTGGAGTCGGAGTTTTGTGGCCGGTGAGGGGGGCAGCTTAGTCATGGAGGATGAGCAGGAGAAGCTGAAGCAGAAGCAGAAGCAGAAGCAGAAGCAGAAGCAGCAGCAGAAGCAGCAGAAGTAACTAGCAGTTAGTAGTAGATAGTAGACAGTAGTAGACGGTAGTAGACAGTGACAGTGGTAGATGGCGGAGATGGCGATGGAGAAGAGTATAGAGGATGGCAACTATAGAGCAGTGATGGACAGGGCATCCGCTCACCCAGTCCCCAATCAGCCGTTCGCCTGCTGCCAGCTGCCAGCTTCGAGCTGCCCCAACCGGCTCCATAATAAGCAGTCAAGTAAGTAGAGCCGTTCGCCTAGTTATAAGCCAGTTTTCAGGGCTCGCCGGTCTCCGGCTGCCCGACTGACGGAGCCCCTGGGAGGTTTCAGCTTGCCTGCCAGAAGAAAGAAAGCCATGACGGGAGCGCAGGCCGGAATCCAGCAGCACGCAGCCACTGCCAGCCCGTCCTATAAGTCCATCGCCTCGTCTCTATCTGTCTCTCTCCTGTCTCTTCTATCTGTCTATCTCTATCTAATGCCATCTTCTTCATCTTCGTCGCCGTCGTCGTTTGATATCAGCTTCTTTTCGTCTGATCTCGAGGTAGACGCCGCTAACCGCATCGGGCACTGAATCAGGCCGCTTCAACCGCCTCTTTTTCAAGCAGCCAAAGGAGAAACAAGCAACATCTTCGTTCTTCTTCTTCTTCTTCCTGCTCACCAACAGACGTCGATCTCTCGACCTCGACCGCGCTGCTGATATACCGGAGCAGGCCTCTGTCCCGGTCGAGCACTCCCAGATCTAGTGGCTGGCCCAGGGTAGATCCCTAGTCAGCTAACTAACGACTAACTAATCACCCAACTCACCCATCCCGGACCTCTGGACCATCATGAGCTTTTGACGGCACGATAAACGCATAGATAGCTCCCCCTCCCCCGGTACACCCACCACGGCACGGCACGGCCACGACGGCCATGATCTCTTCCCAGCCTGCTCTCTACGGCCAGAGCTTCCCAATGGCGCCTCAGCAGGCCGGGCTCCCTCCCTCTGCCTCCGCCGCCTCCTCGTCCTACACAAACCTCGCCCTCCAGAAGCCCGCCAACGGAGTCGCGTCCAGGGACGGGCTCTTCACCAGCCCGACCGAGTCCGAGTTCTCAGAGGGCGCAGACCAGCTAGATCCCGTCCGGTAGGCCTCCTGAACCTCGTCCTGTTGCTTGTCTCGGCTGTTAACTTTTTGACTCTCTGTGCAGGTCGTGGGATGAGAAAAAGGTCGGCGAGTGGCTGCATAGCATACGATGTGGGCAATATGAACCCCTCTTCAAAGGTAGCACCCTCTTATATATATATATACTGAATGTATATATCAATGGATGGTGCTGATTTTCATAGCAAACCATTTCACGGGTGACAATCTGCTCGACTGTGACCAGAAGATACTCCAGGAAATGGGCATCAAGAAGGTCGGAGACAGAGTCCGGATCTACGTTGCCGTCAAACAGCTACGAAACAGAGCCCTCACATACCGCAAAAAGAAGAACAGAGTGCGTCTGTCCTTGTTACTCTTTGGCCTCCTCCATATAACTAACCTCCCCGGATAGGATTCATTGGCTGCCTTGGACGCTTCAAGATACACACCACCCTCGTCAGAAACTTCCCGGCCGTCAAATAACAACAGCAGTCGATACCAACCTTCAGGCCGCCAGTGGTCTCGCAATGAACCTCCCCAGCACACTTACAACGCTACCAAACCATCATCGAGGCCTTCTTCCCCCTTAGCCGAGCCTGACCGCCAGCTCCGGCAGTACCGATATAATGGTGCCAGCCCAATGGAATCCATTCGCCGTGAACAGGGGTCAAACTACTTTGGTGGATACACTCATTCGAATTCCAGCACCTCCAGGCACACCACGACCTCCAATGACCCCCCTCAGCCTCCCCGGTCCGTGGCCCATATCCGCCAGAATCCCAGCAACGATGGACTCACCATAAGCTCGCTACCAACCCATTCCCCCGTCATCCGAGTCATACACACCGGTGGACAGACCAAGGCACTCAACATCAAGCAGTGCAAGACTGCTGACGATATCATGGTCTCGGTCCTGAAGAAGCTCCTCATCCCTGAGAGTCACTACAAAAACTACTGTTTCTACGTGCTGGATGGCCTCGATCCCAACCCGGCCAACTGCAGACGCATCTCTGATGTTGAACTGCTACAGATATGTGATGGATCTAACCGGTCTGAACGAGGTCGCCTCATTCTACGGAACATTCATGCTGGAGAGCCAGATCTGGATGAACTTGAACTTGCTGCCCGTCTGGCCACGGACGAGAGCCAGGTTGCCCACATGAACGCCATGAACACAACCAACCTACGGAACCAGATCAAACTGCAGAAGCTCACCGGGGAGTCCTGGGACCATCTGCGACAGCCCATGTCGCCCATCACCGATCGTTCACGCGAAGACCACAGGCGTCAACAGCACAACGATACCGCAGAGCGTGACCAGAGCACCAAGCTACGTTCCTTCTTTGGCGCACGGCCGCCAAGTGAGATGATCATCCACGAGCTCACATCTTACTTCCCCAGTCACCAGAAGGAAGACATCGAAAAGACCATGCGGCTGTCCGTTCGCCGATCACAGCGCATGAGCAGAGCCGCGAGCCGTCTGTCCGTCATGAGTGGTGTCAGCTTAGCCTCGAGCATGAAGGATGCTCCGCCTATCCCCAGCATCGCAGACACATGGCTATCCGCTGGAACACCCTCTAACCCTCCTTCCCGGGCCGGTGGTCGACCCTTGTCCGTCTCCAGGTTTAATATCCCCGCAGCATCTTTCCGAGACTCCATTGCTTCATCCGCTCTAGAACCCCTGCAGGAAGAGTCCCCAATCCAGGACAGCCGCAAGTCCTACGTCTCCTTCGATGACAATTCAGATAACCCTGCCATCGAAGAGCCGGAACGACAGACTTTCTTGGATGAGACGCTCAGCGTCACTGCAACTGATGGCGGCGGCTCCATGAACGAGCGTCTCAGCATGATTGTGGCCGAGGATGGGGACGAGGTAGACGACGGGCTGGCCGATTTCCTGGCCGGCAACAACTTCGGCAACAAGAACTGGATGAAGGGCTCCCTGATCGGTGAAGGTTCCTTTGGCAGCGTCTTCCTCGCCCTCCATGCCGTCACTGGAGAACTCATGGCAGTCAAACAAGTCGAACTACCCTCCGCTACCAAGGGTACCGAATTCGACCAGAAGAAAAACCTCATGGTCTCCGCTCTCAAGCACGAGATTGGCCTCCTTCAGGGACTCCGCCACGAAAACATCGTGCAGTACCTAGGCACCTCCACAGATGACCAATACCTGAACATTTTCCTCGAATACGTTCCCGGAGGCTCCATCGCAACCATGCTAAAACAGTACAACACCTTCCAAGAACCTCTGATCCGCAACTTTGTTCGCCAAATCCTCGCGGGCCTGGAATACCTTCATTCACGGGACATCATACACCGCGACATCAAGGGTGCCAACGTCCTCGTCGACAACAAAGGAGGCATCAAGATTTCCGATTTCGGTATTTCCAAACGCGTCGAAGCATCCACCATGCTTGGTTCCGGCGCAAAGGGCCCATCAAACCATCTGCACCGTCCTTCCCTTCAGGGAAGCGTGTACTGGATGGCTCCTGAAGTCGTGCGTCAAACCGCCCATACCAAAAAGGCCGACATATGGAGTCTAGGCTGTCTTGTCGTCGAGATGTTCATTGGTGTCCATCCGTTCCCGGATTGCAGTCAGTTACAAGCCATTTTCGCCATTGGTAACAACCAGGCTCGTCCGCCGCCGCCAGAGAATGCAAGCAAAGAGGCCATGGCCTTCCTGGACATGACCTTCGAAATTGACCATGAAAAACGGCCAAGTGCACACGAGTTGTTGAGCAACCCATTCTTGGAAACTATTGCTTGACGCGAGGTTTCCTAACAGCTCTTCAACTTACATATACCTATCTATTTCTTTACCAGCCTCGCTATCTCCCTATCTTTGCATCATACGTCGCGTCGATTCATCTGCACCCAAAATTTTTACCATTTTTGCACTTTTACTTATCACTCTGGACATATATTCTATATATATACACCTGGGTAATTCAAAAGTAGAAGAAATACCCCGGAAGATCGATTTGTCTTTTTTCTTTTTTCTTTTTTCTTTTTTCTTTTGGTTTCTATCTATTTTATCTATATTTTCTTTCGCATTTCTTTTAATCACCGTCGGGCAATTTCAACTTGTACAAAATAGAGCCGAGCTCACCTCATATCTTAGCCTTTTCTTTTTTCCTTCCCGATTTCATATCTCTCCTTGTCATGCCAGCTACGAATTTCCCGTCATTATGTGGTTGGCCCGGGTTTTAGTCTGATCATCTCGTTTCATGAGCGAATGCAAGTCATTTACATTGCGTTATTTGCCAACTTGTATTCGATAGAATGCGCTTATCTAACATGATTGAAAAGCATCCATATCCAAGGAAGTCACTTTATTCTTCTTCTATTGACGGTGTGTTATGGTACAGGTGCAAATAGCGCAAGTAGATGGCGTAAGGTAAAAAGAGTTGCTGGTACATGACCACAACAAGCAATGGTAGTAAGGGTACAAAGGCGTGTCTACACCGTGAGTTCCAACGCCGGCGATTGACATAATATACATCTCACACATACAAGAGAGAGTGTTTCTTTACTTCAGGAGCTTCCCATTGAATGGAACTCCCAAAGCGTTAAGCAATAATCTGGCATCTTTGTCGGTGCGAGCGGTGGTCTTGATGGTAATGTGGCAGCCGGGAATCATGCGGGGAGGATACCTTCACATTTCATTAGTTCAAAGAGCACTTTTCACCTTCCCCTCCATACCAGCATGGCACACTTACATATCGTAATTGACTTCGATTTCAGGGAACATGGCAACCATCGACGGCTCCAGACCAAGCGTGATATTCCCACTTCCGTCACCACTAGTAATCTTCACACCTTTCCAGTCCTTAAACTTAGGCATAACCACATCCACCAACTTGCTGAAAAAATGATACATGTCTTCTCCCTCCAGCTCAGCAGTGGCAGCAACGTGTTTGTGGCCCGGTATAAGGCCCCATTTAGGTACACCCGTCCTAACCTTGTGGGTCTTTACTCGCACGTTCGTGATAGCCTGTAGCGTCATACCAGCTACATGCAAGAACGAGGAGCTCGATACAGCTTCCTTAACGTAAGAGTGGACAGTCACGCCAGACAATTCAGGAATATTGTTGAACGTGATTGGTTTCCTGAGCAGGCGCAAAACGTCTCCTCCTCTAGGTCCACGAAGAGGTCTGTTCTTATGGTACGGCGAGCTATCGTCCCATTGCTGTAGACGGGGGGCGGGAGGGGGAGCCTTGAAGCCATGTGGTTTATGCACATAGCAGAGTGTAAGAATGTCGGAGGCTACGGTTGAATTGTACGTCTGCTCGACTCGGGTTAAGCTGAATGGGCCCGGAACGAAGAGACGTGAGGACGGATGTGATGTTGGCGGAGGTCTGTGAGGATTGAGAGGGCCACGGTCATATTTGGGAGAGCGGTATTGGTATCTAGAAGGTGGTTAGGGATGGAGTGTCTAGTTGATATGGGGGGTTAATTAGCGTTAACATACCGACTTCGTGGAAGCTGGTGTTTTCTAGCTTTGCTTCTGGCTACTGGGTCGAATTCTTTTATCTTTTCTTCGGGCAATGGAGGTGTGGAAAAGGATGAGGAGGGTTCGAGGTCGTCTAGGGGAGAGGGAGCTGATGATTCGGAAGAGGCATTGCGACGGTATGCCGGGAGCTGGGAGGAAAAGGCTGGTTGGAACCGCCGTGATAGAGCCCTGGGGAGCTGTGACATTGACTCGTGAAGAGCCATCTTGTGCTTCCTCCCGTCGTTGATGCTCTCGCGCGACTTGTTTCTTCGTCTGCTCGTCTGCTCGTCTGCTCTGCGTAGCTTTTTCCATCTCGAATTTTGCTTCCAATTAAGGTTCGTCACGTGTATTCAAATGACTAATAGCTGAGTAATATATGGATAAATGAATGATCCGGAACCTAATTAATAAGCTAAACTTTTAATGCAAACTTCACAAACAACACAAACAAAACAAACATTTCCATATGTTTACATAATCTACGGAGTAACTTTCCGGTACCAGGTCTACCAAATCCGAGGGATCAAGCAGGAGGAAAGGCTCGAGATGGACTTGCGAGTCCATTAGATCTAATGATAGACCATGGGTTACACTAGGAAAAGATTATAATGATTTACTCTGCCATTATTTTGCTTCTCAGATCCTTAAATTTAACTACCATGAGATTTACGGACAAGCTTTTATGCCAAGCTTGACGCTTGATAGAAAGGCTGCAGATGACGGAAAGCCGGTCATGGCTGAATACTCAGACATATTTATAACGGGGATAGTTACCTTCCTAGAAGTCAATATACTATGAAAGGAGTCTCCGCGAGGTGGTTTCAACTCCTTGAGCAAGGAAATGTTTAGCATTGTGAAGCGAGACAACGGAGCAAGATCGCCCGTCAAATGAAATTTGCTATTAGCACGGCGTGGAAGTCGGAAAACAAACACATCACAGTCATAACTTGATATATAAAAAATATTTTTTTATACAAAGTAGTCTACCGGGCTAGACGTTTCTATTCCCTCCGGGGATGCACTATTCAATTAACTATAACATGAGGAAGAAGGGAAAAAACATAGAAAAGTGATAATGCAAAGAATACAACCCTGGGAGCTTTCAATAGTATATAATCCTGAACAGTGGGAAGGTTGCATTAGAGATACAGAGGGTAGGGGATGGAAGGCTGCAGTTTGGCGAGAGTAATCATGCTTCAATTTAGACAAGGTCTCTCTTGACGAACTCAGCCAGGAGAGTCTTTCCGAGGGAAGCAGGGCTTCGCTCGACAATGACGCCGGCATCTTGGAGAGCAGCAATCTTAGAGTCGGCGCCTCCCTTGCCTCCACTGACAATGGCACCGGCGTGGCCCATTCGTCGGCCTGGAGGAGCACTGATACCAGCAATGAAGCTGACGGCAGGCTTGTTGGCCTTGTTCTCGCTCTTGAGGAAAGCAGCGGCGTCTTCCTCGGCGCTACCGCCGATTTCACCGATCATGATGATTCCGTCGGTCTCCTCGTCCTCAAGGAAGACACGGAGGCAGTCAATGAAGTTGGTTCCGGAGAAGGGGTCACCGCCGATACCGACAACAAGAGATTGGCCAAGGCCGGCTTGGGTGGTCTGGTTGACGGCTTCATAGGTGAGGGTACCGGATCGGGAAACAATACCGATGCGGCCTCTCTTGTGGATGAAGCCCGGCATGATACCGATTTTGCATTGTCCCTGTAGTCTGATCGTTAGTGTATGATGTGCAACTCGGGATGTGACAAGGTATGCGTACGGGGGCGATTATTCCAGGGCAGTTAGGTCCAACGAGACGGGTCTTGTTCTGGGATTTTAGCATATCGGTGATGCGGACCATATCTAGAGCGGATTAGCAAAGAGGATGCGGATAATCTTGTATTCATATAGCTCATACCATGCTGAGGAATTCCTTCAGTGATACTATGGAATGTATTAGTTTCTTTGAGGTTAATTCTTGATGACAGCTATATTGAGGCAACATACCAGACCACGAGAGGTACCTCAGCGGCAATAGACTCCTCGATACTCTTAGCAGCCACAGATGGTCTTTATCGATGCGTTAGCACCAAAACTCCAAGCTATACATGCAGAAGCAGACATGTACATACGGAACGAAGATGGCGGAAGCAGTAGCACCGGTCTCCTTGACGGCCTCTTCGACGCTCGCAAAGACGGGCTTGCCGAGGTGAGTCTCTCCGGCCTTCTTGGGGTTTGTTCCACCGACAACATTGGTTCCTATGCGGGCATTAATACTGTGTCTTGTTCGCCTGTTGATAAGAGAGCAGTACCGTAGTCGATTGCTTGTTGGGCATGGAAGCTAAAGGTCATCAGAAAAAGCGACGGTCAGCCAGCCTTATACAACCCAGAGCGAGGAGAAATGGACTCAATTGCAACGTACGTTCCCTGCTTTCCGGTGAAGCCCTGGAAAATGACCTTGGTGTCTGCGTTGATGCGGAGGTTCTTTACTGTCGAAGCATAGCCTGTGAGGCCTGCGAATCCGCGTCGCTGGACACGGGAAGCATTCTGCAACGCAGAGAGCGTAGAGCGTCTGAAGGACTGCATATCTGAAGAATTGCGACAAGCAGCAGCCTGTGTGAAAGAAGAGAAGAAGAAGAAAGGCTGGAAAGCGAGGGCGCGCGGAAGCTGGAAGGGCTGAAGTCGAGATGCAGTGCAGAGAAAGACGAAGGAGAGAGTCGGAAGTCGTCGATGTTTTTTTACAGTTTCAGTTTTCGCAGCGTGGCTCGTCCGGACCAAAAATCTTGACCCATGCAAGGGAAGAGACTCAACAACCACCACCACCACCAACCACTCCTACGACTACAACTACGAGTCTTTTTACGATACCCACGAAAGCGACCACGAAACAGCAGTGAATAGAAGTGTAGAGGTGGCTGGCGCGTCTTTTTTTCGCTTTTGGGGTTCTCTTTTTACCCGGCTTGTCTTGCCATTTCGTGCTCTGCCTACACCATGGCGACGAAGACGATGACCATGCCGAAGCACAAGCTTCCAAAGAATATCAAGCTCCCTCCGGAGAACGAGCGATACATGAGAGCCTGCTCCGATATAGCAAATGCGCTGATCCAGGACTACGAAGCGCAGCGAGATAATAGTAGGTCGAAGAAGGATATCAATTTGAACAAGCTGCGGGGCACTATCGCAAAAAAGCATTATCTGAGCAATCTGCCGCCCTTGACAGCTATTATTGCTGCTGTTCCGGAGCATTATAAGAAGTATATACTTCCAAAACTGATTGCCAAACCGATAAGTGAGTGGCGAACGTCTTTTATCTCTCTTATGTCGAGATTATCAGCTAACGCAACATTCTTCGCTATGAAGGAACCTCCTCTGGAATCGCTGTAGTTGCGGTTATGTGCAAGCCTCATCGATGTCCACACATTGCATACACTGGAAATATTTGTGTCTATTGTCCGGGTGGCCCAGATTCGGATTTTGAATATTCTACCCAATCTTATACTGGCTACGAGCCAACGTCCATGAGAGCTATCCGGGCCCGTTATGATCCTTTCGAGCAGGCGCGAGGTCGAGTCGACCAGATAAAATCACTGGGGCACAGTGTGGATAAAGTGGAATACATCATTATGGGTGGCACGTTCATGTCACTCCCTGAGGAGTACAGAGAGACATTTATATCACAGCTCCATAACGCACTTAGCGGTTACCAGACGGATAATGTGGACGAGGCTGTGCAGGCAGGAGAAATGAGCAATATCAAGTGTGTTGGAATCACGATCGAGACACGACCGGACTACTGCCTTGACACCCATCTTAGCAGCATGCTTCGGTATGGCTGCACCCGTTTGGAAATTGGAGTACAGAGTCTCTACGAAGACGTGGCGCGAGACACAAATAGAGGGCACACTGTAGCTGCTGTGGCGGAAACGTTTAAACTATCAAAGGATGCTGGATTCAAAGTGGTCAGCCATATGATGCCTGATCTCCCAAATGTCGGGATGGAGAGAGACTTGTTCCAGTTCCAGGAATACTTCGAGAACCCTGATTTCCGAACTGACGGTCTTAAAATATACCCAACCCTTGTTATCCGAGGAACCGGCCTTTATGAACTTTGGAGGACCGGTCGGTACAAGAACTATACCCCCAATGCTTTAATCGATATTGTGGCCAGAATTCTCGCCCTCGTTCCTCCATGGACCCGTATCTACCGTGTACAAAGAGATATCCCAATGCCACTCGTCACATCTGGCGTAGAGAACGGCAATCTACGTGAACTCGCGCTCAGCCGAATGAAAGATTTTGGCACCACCTGCCGTGACGTGCGTACCCGGGAAGTCGGCATCAATGAAGTAAAGAATAAAATCCGACCAAATCAGATTGAACTCGTTCGACGTGATTATACAGCAAACGGAGGATGGGAGACATTCCTTGCCTACGAGGACCCAAAACAAGATATCCTTATCGGCCTTCTTCGGCTACGAAAGTGTAGTTCCAAGTACACCTTCCGACCTGAGCTTACAGGCCAACCAACCAGTTTGGTACGAGAGTTACACGTTTATGGTTCCGCAGTCCCAGTCCATGGCCGTGACCCCCGCAAGTTCCAGCATCGCGGATTTGGAACCTTGTTAATGGAAGAAGCTGAGCGTATTGCTCGAGAGGAGCATGGAAGTCGCAAAATCAGCGTCATTTCTGGCGTGGGTGTACGAAGCTACTATGCCAAACTAGGATACCACCTTGATGGAGTATATATGAGCAAGATGCTCGATCCTCTTGATGATGCCGAGGATTCCGACTAGATCATTGACAGGGGTTGTTTCTTTGCGTTCTTGATGTCTATTATATGCTTTACCTAGTATCCGTCCATGCGTAACTTCGGCCTCTGGTTATATAACATGTTAACTAAGTTGCAGTAACCTTGGGTCTGTCGTGGGACGTTATTTATAAGCCTGTGACTTAGGTCAGAGGGGGTTATCCGGTGTCAGGGATGGCAAAGAGGGACATACATACTCCGTACAGGGGGCGGCTGCATTGGGTGTGCAACGGCGTAAGGTTGTTCGGCAGGCTTCAGACGGTACTGTATTGAAACACCCACGGGCTGCCTAACTACCACTGCTTCTGCATGTTGAAAAAAAGAATGAAGAGTAAAAAAAGCCATCACATGCGGCCACAGTCGGAGACGTCATACTGTCCTTCATCCGTTTCTCGTGGCTGAGATGAAGTATTGTGTATGCATGTCCACTGCAGAAAGTGTAAGGAGGGAGGGTGAGGAAGGCAGACCAGGAATAAGAAATAATAAAGAGACGAAAGTGAAAAAAAAGGAATGGAAATGAAAATTAAAAGAAAGATAAAAAAAAAGCCGCAGACGAAGCCATGGGTCTCATGCAACATTTAAACGCGAGACTTTGCCTTCAACGTAGAGCGAGACCCGGCCGTTGTCTCCTGGTAGTTGTCACTATACCTCATGTATAATTGCACACTCCTGCTAGTTGCCGCCGTTTGTGCTCATGGTTGCAACGAATACCGAGAGCAATGAAAATTTATTCAGCAAGAGTCCCATCATTGTTTGCCTTTATTTAAGCAGCCCGAACGTCGTGTGTTTGTTCTTCATAGATGCCTAGTTTCAGAGCCCATTTTCCAACCCCCCCTACAGGACAAGATATGCCTGTCAACATGGACATTCATTCCATCCTCCCCATGCATCTGTTTGCATTGATTGTTGTTTCGGTATTCGCATACGTCATTGGCAGTGTGGTATATCAACTGCACTTCTCACCATTGTCGAGGTTTCCTGGCCCAAAGATTGCCGCAGTGACATACCTCTATGAGTTTTATTATGATGCCATCCTCAAGGGTCGATACATCTTCAAAATCAAGGAGCTGCATGAGAAATATGGTACGTTTATCGAAAAGGAATATACCCAGTCAGGAAGACAGCAAAGAGAGAAATGCTGAATGGTTCCTTCATTCTTAGGGCCTATAATTCGCATCAGCCCTCGAGAACTTCATATCAATGATCCGCACTTCTACAATGTTCTCTACTCACACAGCAATCCCCGAGACAAGGAATATTATTACCTGAAGCCCTTTGACTTTCCTCTTTCGTCCTTTGGCACGGAGAGCCATCAGCTTCATCGCTTGAGGCGGGGTGCCATGAACCCGTTTTTTGCAAGAGGCCGGGTTCTCCAGCAGGAGAGCCTAATCCAAGGCCTTGTGAAAAAGTTATGCAGCCGGATCGAGAACTTTGGTGCAGGTGGCGGTACTGTGCCGCTGTCACTCGGTTATACCTGTCTGACCACAGATCTGATCGCCACGTTTACTATGGACAGATGTTACGGTTATCTTGAAGCTCCAGACTGGTACCCTAACTGGGGCCAGGTGCTTAGAGACGCATCCGAGATGTCAGTGGTTTCAAGACAGCTGACTTGGGTGCTGTCGTTGCTGAAGATGCTCCCAAAATCCCTCACAATGTCCCTGAATCCTGGCCTCAAACTGTTCTATACGTTGGCAGAACGTTGTAGGGAAAGGATAGACGAGGTCCAGTACGAACGTCAGAGGGAACAGAAGGGCTCTGAAGAAACTGTTGGGCGCAAAAAGACCGTATTCGACCAGATATTCGACTCCCGGCTCAGTGGCGAGGAGAAACGTCCGGCAAGGTTGACCCAGGAAGTCCGTTCCATCATTGGTGCAGGAACAGAGACAACCTCAAATTGCCTGTCCGTTATCTCCTTCCATCTCTTGCGGAACCCAGAGAAGCTTCGGAGGCTCAGGGAAGAGCTTCGGGAGGCTGAACCAGACCCGACCGCCGAAATCAGGCTGTGCCAGCTTGAGAGTCTCCCGTACCTGGTAAGTTGGGTTGCCCACGCGACAAAAACCAAACAGCAGAACAAAGCTAACCATTTAAAATCCCGCAGTCTTCGGTTGTCCTCGAAGGTTTAAGGTACGGCATGTGCTTCATCCATCCGGCTATTCGTGCAATGCTAACCAACTATATTGGCGCTTGAGCAGGCTCTCATATGGTGTCAGCACTCGTCTGCAACGAAAATCGCCCCGAGACGTTATTGAATATGGCAAATATGCTATCCCACCGGGGGTGAGAATACATCCATGCCAAGGGTTCTAGGTCCACCTTTCTCCTGAGGAAGGCTAACACATTGGATTCTGAAACAGACACCGGTGGGGATGTCTTCTGTGATCATGCATCATAGCGAAGAAATATTCCCCGACTCGTATAACTTCGTCCCCGAACGGTGGCTTGACCTTCAAGAGCGGAAATATCTGGAAAAGTATATGGTCTCCTTTAGCTCCGGATCTAGGAGATGTCTTGGGATGAAGTAAGTAGACCAATCGTGATAAATGGTTATATGTAGCACCTATCGTTGGTGTACCCAACAAAATCACCTGGTTGCTGATGGCTTTGTTCACTGACGGATTAACAGTCTTGCAAGGGCAGAAATATTCATTGCTGCCAGCACAATATTCCGACGATTTGACTTTGAAATGTGTGACACCACACTGGATGATATCCAAATCCACCACGACCTATTCATTCCCCGGCCGAAGAACCTGAAGACCATTGGTGTCCAGGCAAGGTTGAAGGGTAAGCTAGTGGCCAGCAAGATTAGTGGGAAGTGATGAGTTGGGTATTGTTGGTATCTTCGTTTTTCTGTTCGTTTCTTTGTTATATTGAGCATAGGGTTTCCTTCGGTTTATATACGGACGAATTATCAGGGTGTGGGTGTATAAAAAGGTACCATGACTGGCAAGAACCTTTTGTTTTTCAGGGTACCATAACGGCTGCTGAGAGGTAGTTGAGATAAGAGGCAGGGCCTTTCTCCCACCCTTTCTTATGATATTGTAATTAGTCATTTCACTTAAAAGGGGTCAATCCCTTCAATTAAAGCAGTGGTAATGTTTAACCTTCTTTGATCAGGGGCGACATACGCTTTTCAAATCCATGGTATCCCGGAATTTTTGTTATGCGGAGTAGACGAGCCACCAAAGTACTAACCCCGGACGTGCGGTTTCTGGTTCAAGTACTGCCACTCCAAGGTTGGAGGAGGCGAGGTCGACGGTTCTTCAATTTGGCGCGAGGGAAGCATTCCGACAGCCCGGTCATTGTTGAAAATATCAAAGAGACTAATAACTTTTCCAATTTGCCACTTGTATTCTATATCTTTAGGTTTCTGCTATGCCAAACTGTGGTTCATGGATTTAAAAAAGGCAGAAGGTAATCCGTGGATAAAGAGCCAGCAGGCGCTTTTTAGATATTAGTTCTTTCTAACATCCTGCAAGCCACTTTTATACGGGATGTAAGATCATCAAGCTGGATGAAGATAGGATCAGTAACATATTCATTCAGACTTAATCGGGAATTCTTTTTCTTCTTCTTTTTCTTCTTTTTTTTTTTTTTCAGGGACTTACATATTCATCAGAAAATATATTGAAATGATGACCAGGGATCTGGAGGACGGCTGAGATAAAGTCGTAGCCGTACTGTTCCCAGCCGAGCTTCTCCGAGTCGCGAGCCACGTCAACGCGACACATAGCAGTAGGGTCTTCTGGTGTAGAAACCGGAACCGTCTCATTGCAACGGAGGAGAATTGCCTGTGGTAAGGCGGCAAGATCCCTCATCGGGATTTCGTTGTGCTCCTCAGACTCCGGGTGTTTCGTCTTCATCTTCCGAGACAGCTCCTTTTCAAAAGCCGCTCGACGATTATACTCCGTTTCGTCAGAGCAGCCCCGCCAGACGGGCATCTTCCAGGTTTGCGCCATTTCAACGGCTTGGGCCATACAGTTGGAAGACAACCGTTGTGTCTCTGGCTTTGTATATTTCCCGAACTGCAGCTTGTGCGGGACCATCGTTCGGCCTGCTGGCTTCGGGGCAAGAGGATACACGCTATCAATCATCACGATGCCGAGCACCCGCAGCTCGGAGGACTGTCTCGAGAATATGCTGGCGATTTCCAGGGAGATCATGCCGCCCAGAGACCAGCCTGCTCGGCCCTCGCAGAGGACGAATCAGTATATGCGATGCCTCTCGCGCGACGGAACTGAAATCTCACCTCCTAGCAATATTGGGCCAGCCGGGACATGAGATCGGATGAGACGCGCGTAGGTCGCTCCCATCTCGGGGATGCCGTCCTCCCAGGGCTCGCCGGAGTAGAAACTGGGGTTTTGGATGGCGTAGACAGCGCGGTCGAGGGAGTGCAGGTAGTAGTAGTTGACGCTTGTCCCGCCGCCGTCGTGGATCAGGACCAAGGGAACAGCAGACTCGTAGCCGTCGGGCGCCGGCTGAACGACGGTAAAGCAGAGATCAAGGTCCATCCCGTCTCGAGCTATGCGCGTAGCTATGCTATGTACCCGGTGAGCGTGGTCGATGGCTGGATATATGTCTGCGATGGTGGTTGACTGTGAGAGCATGACTTTGGTGGGCTGAACTTCGTATAACTAGTTATCGCCCGGAACTAGTTAATGCCAGGCTTTCGAAATATCGGGCGCCAGATAACTAGACGTTAGCAACCCAGGAGGGCGTCGACACGGGTCCCAGTCAGACACAGAATGCTAGAAGACAGGAAATAGGCCGGCCGGAGGTGTGGTATGTGTAGGTAGTCAGGTTGGTACTTACGGGGGGCGATGTTCTCCCATCGTCACTGTAGATCTATCTATCTATGCGCCGAGTCTACTCAATGTCCATCTATAGCGCCAACTATGCCGGGCCAACATCTGATATAGGGTGCTTCGATGGTTGCAGCTTATGCAAAGCAAATGAAAGAGCCGAAGAAGACATGTAAGCCGTCTGATGCATGCATGAGAGTCTGTGTTTCAGGGGGTAGAGGCACAGGATGTCAACCCTGTACGGAGTATCAGATCACACTTCCTTAGCCAGAGAGCTCTGCGTAGGTAACGATGAAAGGTCTGCAGGTATCAAGCGGTTAAACTACATGGATTCGTCTGTGTAAAGCTCTGCTCTTCCGGAGATGGCTAAAAGAGCCTGATATCATACATCTAAGGATACACATGCTTCAACTGACACGAGCCCCTTTTCCTCTCTCCTCCAACTGCACATCAAGAAAGGGTATAATGCTTCACATGAATTATTCAAATGGACTCGCTGGATCTTCCTGCTCAATGTTCTTTTATTCCCTGGCCACATGCTCTAGTCTGTCACTACACAGCTCAGATAGCCGGTGAACTAGGTTTCCCAAACATATTCCTGGTAGACTTGCCCTTGAGGAGGCGTTTAAGTCCATTGCTGCTGCGCTCTGGGTTCGACCCCGTGGGCGTTGATTGGGGCCTGGTGCCGTTAGCCACTGCTGATGAGCGCCTGGTTGCAGTTGGCGCAGGCTGGGAGAAGGTGATAAATTCCGGTCTGTTCGACTTGTCCTCCACAAGCGGAGAGCTGGCTGGATTCGTCTTGTTGTGAGCCGAGTCTTGCCATGGCTGGAATGGCCTATGTAGCGGCGTCTGAGATCGTTTCAACACATGCACCTTTTTTTTGCGAGGCGTTGGAGCAGTTGGCAATTTGTTTTGCATGTCTTGTTCGGTAGCGGGCTGCTGTGCCGCCTCAGTGCCATCGTCCTTGGGTTTTGGCTTGCGGTATTGGATATCTGATCCTTCTGAGGCAGAAGAGGACTCGGAGCTAGAGCCAGAGTCAGAGTCTTCAAACACAGTGACCTGCTTCTTTGCTGCTGGAATTTTTGATGCATCCGCATTGGGTGCGGCTGCTTCTTCACCTGCCGAGTCGGATTCTTCGTCGGATTCAGAGCCTTCTTTCGCATCCTCAAATTTTTCATCTTTGCCTTCTTCACCATCTTCATCGCTCTCGCTTGCCTCTTTTTCCTCGGAACTTCTGCCAGATTTCTCCGTTTCTTCCCTTTCTACCTTATCTTGCCGGGTCCCGTTGGGTTTAATATCAGTATCTTTCTCTGATGGAGTTGTAGCTATCGATTCAGAAGCATTTCCTTTGCCAACGGACTCCAATTCATTAGACTCGGAAGCAGCAGATGATTCCTGGCTGGGGGTCTTCTTCGAGACTACTTTGGCACGAGGTGTGCTTTCATCATCCTCCTCGTCTCCTTCACTGCCACTCTTACTGCCGCTTTCAGATTTATCTGACTCGGGATCAGGGGCTTCAGATCCGGACAAAGGAACCGAGTAGACAGATGGGGATTTATCACGGACAGTCCCCTTAGAAGATCGTCGAGGCCCAGTGGCGGACAGTCTCTCATCGCCAACATCTGAGAGAGAGGGAGATACACACACTCGAAGCCTCGTACGATCTTGCTTCTCTTCCTCGTCCTCCTCATCGTCTTTCTCCGAACCATCTTCACTATCACTTCTCCCCTCGTCGTTCTCTTCGTTACTGTGCACACGCTCGCTCTCGCTCCCATTACCGTCACTTGCATCTTTCTTCTTGTCTGTATTGACTGCTGTTGACTTAGCGGCTGTAGATTTTTCATCTACTTCTTTCTCTGAATCGTTCTTGGTAGAGGAGGAACGCCCAGATCGGGGTTCATTCTCTTCCCCACTGGACTCTTCATCCACCTCATCTTCATGATGTTGAGGTTCCTCCCGGCTAAGCCTTGGTTGACCCATAACCTCGAGAGTCTCCAATAACCGATTGATTCGTCTGTGTGCGTTCTTCCTAACCTGTATGGCCTCCGTACCCTTACCGGCGTAGTTTGGAAGCTTCTTTAATTCCTTAGCCATTTTCTCCAATCTTCGTATCTGGCCTTGAGAGTCATCAGCTTCCTTTGCAGCTTGGACTAAGTCATTCAAATGGGAAATAGCTCGTTCCCTGTTATAGCCGGCTACCCGACAATCAAATTTATCAGTCCATTTCCCGTGCACGGCTGTGCCTGAGTTGAAATCGCGGCTATAAGCCTTGCCCGACTGCATGGTTGTCTTCTTTCTTGCATCAGCCTTAGCATCTCTACTCGACACGGCTTTCTTGTTATTAGCTAGTCTTGCCGAAGAGGGCGCGTCTTGAGTGAGATCGGGGAATATCTGGTGTGGGTCAGACGAGCGAGGGCGGTTAGGGCGTCCAGACGCCTTGGGGGTTAGGAGTGCGCCGGAGTTGTCTTTATGGATATCTAATTTGTCAACTGTGCGCTTCTTAGGGGGGCTGGCGGTTATGCCTAAACCTATCTGATTTGATTTCGGCTTACTGTTGCTTTCTGTTGTGCATAACGTGCAAGTTAGATCAATGACAGCAGGTGCCCCATTAGGATCTTCCCTTAGAGCCTTCTGAGAATTCTGTCGAGCGTCTGTTTTTCCTTTATGGACATACGGGAGGACTTGGGACTTCCCTGTACTAGCTCTCGGCGGGTGAGCATCGAGCATCTCATCATCTTCAGGTTCTAGCTCTGAAGCAGGTGTCTCGGCGATCTTTTGTCGTTTTGCGTGTTTTGGATGTCTCTGACTAGTAGCCAGGGATGAAGTGTTTCCGGACAGCTCTTCACTATCGGCAGTCCTTGGTCTCTTTGGTTGGCGGGCAGCAGTTGGAGATGGACGACCGCTAATGGCTAATTGCGAGGGTTTGGCCTCTTTCGAGTTCCGTAGGGCAGCTTGATCTGTGAATTTTAGAAGTCAGTGAAAGGCAGGACAAAGTATACCCAGCGGCCACTCACTAGAAAGCAGTGAAGTATGAACCCCTGGAATGAGCATGTCACCATCCTTTCCTAGCTGAGCACGGTGATGCCTGGGAAGGCGTGTGGAGCTAGGAAAAGCATCCAGAGGGGATGACCGTAGATTCGAGGCGTTGGTGTCTGTAGTTTCCTGCGTCAATTCTCGTTCCGCAAGAGCCGGCGAGGGTTCTCTGCGCTGGTGTGACGCCGTAGCTGCTGGTTCTTCTTCGATAGAGCCAAGCGGATAGACTGATTCCGCGACTTCGAACGGAATGCCACCCCCATTGACGGCAGCAAGATGGTTCTTGACGGGAGAAGCTGAAGCTAGACCACTGGCCACGGGGAAATGCGCTAGCTGCCGTCTCGAGAGCCTCGGGGCCCTTCGGGAGTGGTGGTTTGTGATGGCGTCCCAGTCCTGGACGACGGAGCCGTAGCGGACTGACCGAGTGCTCGTCGGCTGCTGGATGACTCGCAGGGCCCCCCGCTGGTCCAACCCGTCTGCACGCGCCTTGCCATAGTCTATAAACACGTCTGCCACGGTCAAATCGGCGTCCAGCTCGTCCGTATCGTGGTTGTCATCCAGGAGTTTCTTGATCACCAGCGGCCTGTAAAATCCCAGGTTAGCACCCGCAGCTCAGCGAAAACAGAGAAAGAGAACAGGCAGGCCTACTCAGCGTCTGGCCGGAGCTTCTTCCACTGCTCTGAGACTCTCCAGGCCAGCTCTCCGAGGCTCATCTGGTCCGGCCGGTGCACGACCATGAGGAAGCTGGTGCTCTTCAGCCCGTCCGCGTCCTTTGCCTCCTCGCCCTCCACCGCGCGAGGGACGACCTTGACGGTCAGGCGGAGCAGCACCATCCTGCCGTCCTCTCTCTCTCTCTCTCTCTCTCTCTCACTCACTCTCTCTCTCCTTGTCTGCTGGTGTGGTGGTGTGTGCAGCAGTGAATGTCCTCTCGTCGCGGGCGCGGTGTTGTGTTGTCTGTCGGTGACAGCTCAGATTTTTATTTTTTTATTTATTTTTTTTTTTATTTTATTTTTTTTTATTTTCCATTTTACTTTCACGACTCCTCAAAGGCGGCCAAATTCAGCATCGCCAGAAACATCCCACGGCCAACGTCAGCCAGCAGCCAGCAGCCAGCAGCAGCTTCAACGGCGTCGACTTGCGCACCGTGTACTCCGTAGGTGGAAAAAGAAAGCCCCCCTGCCCCGAACTTGAAACTGCGGCCCCATGGCCAGGGCCAACTAGAAGGAAAAAGAAGGAAAAAGGAAGAAAATCCCCCGATCTAACGCTCCAAAGCTAGGAAAAACCACAAGCCACTCACTCCCTCGCCAACCGCCGTTCCTCGACTGTGTGTTTCCCTCGCTTTCTCTCGACTTCGCCCGCCCGCTCGTTCCGCCGTTCTTGAAGCAAGGGAGGACGGGGAGCACACTGCATCTCGACCGCCGCTGCGTTTTGCCTGCATCCTGATGGCCCCCGGAGCGCCGCTGGATGCTGTCGTATATGTGTCGTCTCCCTCCAGCACCCGCAGCGTCATCATCACCAACGACCGCCAGGAACGCCAGGACCGCCACGATCGAGAGGGCTGTCTGATGGTGGTGTCCTGATACTCGATCTTCCCCCCTTCGTTCCTCGCGTCTATCTCGCCGTCGTTGTCCCTCGCGGACGCAAATCTCTGCTGGCAAGCCCTCCTCGATACCGCCGCCGGCTGTCGAACGCCCATACCACAAGAGACGATGATCTGGCGGCTTCGAGGGTCTCGCGCATCAGTCCCCGCGAGCCTCGCCATTCTCTTCCCTCTCCTAGCAGCTCAGCAGCAGTTGCTTCTCTCCCAGGCCGGTGATGTGCCTCTGGCAGCCTCCTTTCGCGGTGCTCCTGCCGATGCCGGCCTGCCCATACCACACTCGATATCTGATCCCATCCGTCCGCCCGTGAGGTCTGATGAGAGCGCCCTTGAAACACTGGCTCTGGCGGCCTCTGGCTCCGCCGTTCGAGCACCTCCTGTCCAGATCAGCAGTCGGAACGACCCGACTCCGCAGCTCCAAGCGCGATCTATACAGGACTGGGAAGTGGAGGACTTTGTCCTGTTGGCGACCGTCGATGGCACAATTCACGCAAGAGACCGGAAGACTGGTGCTCCCCGCTGGGCGCTGGAAGTGCCCAGCAGCCCCATGGTAGAGACCGTCTACCACCGAGCAAATCGCTCGCACTCGGCCAAGGACGCACAGATCGAAGACGATTTTCTCTGGATCGTCGAGCCTAGCCGTGATGGCAATCTATTCATATACAACAAGGCCCAGAACGGTGGCCTGCAACGGCTGGGGCTGACCGTTAAGATGCTCGTTGACGAGACTCCTTACTCCGGCGTTGACCCTCCTGTTACCTACACTGCTAGGAAGGAGACTACCCTCTACACCGTTGATGCCAGGACCGGCTCAATCCTCCACATGTTCAGTTCCCGCGGGCTCGTGGACCCAGACCAGACCTGCCGGCGGCTCAATGACTTCAAGCCAGCCGGGCATGAATGCAAGTCCGGCGGTAAGCTCACCCTTGGGCGTGTTGAATATACGGTCTCCATTCAGAACACACACACCGGCCAGCCCATCTGTACGATCAAGTATGCGGAGTGGACTCCAAACAACCGTGATGTCGACCTCCAGAGCCAGTACTTTAAAACTATGGACGAACGCCACATATACAGCATGCATGACGGGGTCATCTTTGGGTTCGATCATTCGAAGATAGACGGTCGCCGTTACACCCAACGGCTCAGCTCGCCGGTAGCCCGCGTGTTCGATGTTGCTCGTCCCATGTCTTCCGATGAGCCTGACACCCCACTGGCTATCCTTGCGCAGCCTCCGTCCACCAACGACTACGGATCGGCGGGTCTTGATAACAGGGAGTCTCGCGTTTTTATAAATTGCACGGAAACAGGTGGCTGGTACGCCATGTCCGAGCTTCAATACCCGCTTGTCACTGGTCGAGCACGTATAGCAGATTGCTACGATAGGGATTTCCTGTCTCAGGACAGACCGATCACCTCTCTCGATCTTGCACAACAGAAAGCTGTCCTTGTCGGCGTACATTCTCTCTCTGAACCATCAGACCGCTTTCATCCCAATATTCCCAGCATTTCTGGCCCTCCTGCAGAATCCTCCAATGACACTCCCAAAGACATCTCAAGAGAGCCTGAAAAGCTCCCTGCCCCGGCCGGTCCAGGCAGGAACAGCGTCATTATTCGCAAGGGCTGGGACAATGCATTAGATATATTCGTCACTCTCGTTCTGCTATTCATTGGCACTTTTATTTATTACAATACCCAGAATATTCAGGAGCTGATGAAGCACCGTCTTGACCTGAAGAATATAATATCTATACCCGACAATTCGGTTACAACAAGCTCCAAGACAATTGACCAGAAACCCACGGATGAACAGACTGAATATCCTGCCCTTGTCATCCATCCACCCCCTGAGCAGGAAGAGCAGAAAGAGACGGATGAAACGCTCACAGAGTCCAAAGTTGAACCAGTATCAGCCGATTTAAAGTCTTCCTCCAACCTCCTGACTTCAGAGTCAAACCAAGAAACGCCCTCAAGGGAGTCCCAGACACCAACTGCGGACGAACCCGCTGAAGCGGAAGATCCCGCTGCAAAGACGCCACGAAAGAAAGCCCGTCGCGGGAGAAGAGGTGGTCAGGCACATAAGCGTGGCAAGAAGAACACCCAGGAAAGTGCTGATCCGGATAATCCTCCCAGCCAATCTGGAGGATCACAGGGTGCTAGGCTCAATTCACAGTCTGATCTACACTTAGCTCGCACCCCATCTAACACTGAGGTTATCGACGCCGACGGAGCCATTCGCATTGGCCAGCTGAAAGTATACACCGACAAGGTCTTGGGCCATGGCAGCCATGGTACAGTTGTCTACAAGGGCAGCTTTGATGGCAGAAACGTCGCCGTTAAACGCTTGTTAGTCGAATTCTACGATATTGCGGCCCATGAGGTGGGCCTGCTTCAAGAAAGTGACGACCATAGCAATGTCATCCGTTACTTCTGCAGGGAACAAACCGCAGGTTTCCTTTACATTGCCTTGGAGCTGTGCCCAGCATCGCTACAGGATATTGTTGAGCGTCCTCATAACTTCCCCGAGCTCCTTCGGCACGGTTTAGTCCTACCAGACATCCTTCGCCAGGTTACGGCTGGTGTTCGCTATCTCCATTCCCTCAAGATTGTCCATCGAGACCTGAAGCCCCAAAATATCCTTGTTGCTGCTCAGAAATCCGCGCGGGGAGTGAACAATCTACGCCTCCTTATATCTGACTTTGGTCTCTGCAAGAAGCTTGAAGACAACCAAAGCTCCTTCAGGGCCACAACGGCACATGCTGCAGGAACATCTGGCTGGCGTGCCCCTGAACTGCTTGTCGATGAGGATCAATCTAATGTCAACCCGGCTTCGTGGGCTAATAACGGCACTTTGGACTCCTCTGAGCCAGCTGTGGTTGATCCGCAGACCAACCGTAGGGCCACAAGAGCCATTGACATCTTTTCCCTTGGCTGTGTGTTCTATTATGTCCTCACTCACGGATGTCATCCATTCGATAAAGATGGCAAATTCATGCGTGAAGCCAACATTGTCAAAGGCCATTACAACCTCGACGAACTCCAGCGGCTTGGGAACTACGCTTTCGAAGCAGAAGATCTGATCAGTCGCATGTTATCTGTAGATCCGCGTCTAAGGTAAATTACCCTTTCATCCAAAGATAATCCAAACAGGTACATCCTGCTAACATTCACTACTCAAGGCCTGACGCCACGTCAGTCTTAATTCACCCCTTTTTCTGGTCCCCGGCCGAACGGCTTAGTTTCCTCTGCGATGTCTCAGATCATTTCGAGTTCGAACCAAGGGACCCGCCCTCACCAGCTTTGCAATGTCTTGAATCCGTTGCTGAAAATGTCATGTACCCGGACATGGATTTCCTAAAGTTGTTACCCAAGGAATTCAAAGACAGTCTCGGCAAGCAACGCAAATATACCGGCTCGAAGATGCTTGATTTACTGCGTGCACTACGGAATAAGCGTAACCACTATAACGATATGTCGGAACATCTCAAAACTCATATCGGCGGCCTTCCAGATGGATACTTGAACTTTTGGACGATTCGGTTCCCAGGATTGCTAATCAACTGCCACTGGGTCATCAGAAAACTCGGTTTGGTTGATTTAGAGAGATTCAAACGATACTTCACCCCGCCATGAACGGCGCAGCTATACCCTATTCTTCGCTCGGGAATTATATATGGATTTGACTTGGCATGTACTTGTAGTTTGGCTTGTGGATCCCTGAAATGAATTGATGAAATGTGAAATAAAGTTGCTTCTCTTAATAAATAACGGCCTTTGAAGACTTGTTTTGTTCAGTCCAAATCTACCATATATTTCGTTTAATGTTACAAGAGCTAATGAAATTGTGTCACTTAGCTGATACTAATGCTGACAATCTTTACATCTTCTTCAGGTTTCTCCTTATGTGTCTTGACGTTCTCGATCTTATGTATCACGTCCATGCCCTTGACGGCCCGACCGAAAATGGTATGATTCCCATCTAACCAAGGCGCCTTCTCCGTTGTGATGAAAAACTGGCTTGCATTGGTGTTTGGCCCTGCATTGGCCATGGAAAGTGTATATGGCTTGTCATGCTTGAGAGATGAAAATTCATCTTCGAACTCCCCTCCCCAGATGGATTCTCCTCCAGTCCCATCCCCAAGAGGATCACCCGCTTGTATCATAAACTTGCGGATGACACGGTGGAATATGGTGTTGTTATAGTACCCATTCCTCGAATGGGTAACGAAATTCTCGACTGTCTTTGGAGCAACAGAAGGGAAGAGCCGAAGATGGATATCTCCAAGGGTGGTATGTAAAATTGCGGACGTTCCTGTTTCTGCAGGCTTTGCGGCCGGCGTCGTGTCCGCACCACCTTTGTCATGTATCGGCTTCTCGTTCTGGACATCTCGCGTTGTTTTTGATATCTCTGTTTCATTGGTATAGAGATAGAACCTGACTTTGGCGAACCCGGTGGTTATTAGGATCGGGTCGCGCTCTTCAGCTTCTTGAAGGAGCGGATTTGAACTAGCAGCCATAGAAACAGTCACAACTCCTTTCTTCTGCGGCTGGCCTTGATATATTCCGAGATTCAGTGCTCGGAAAGGCTCGTCTTTTCCAAACACCCGGATGACCCTGTTCGTAAATGTATTTATACATTTTACACCCAAGATCGAACCATATAATATAAAATGCCCAGACTCATCGAATATCACATTTACCTTTGGGGCTGTAGTAGGGTTCCCAAGTTCGCGTTCTGTAGCCAACCGGCGGCCAAACTCGACTTCCTCTAGTTTTTGAAGCGCAGTCCCTGCCTGCTGCATCTCTGTCACAGTTTGAATGGATTCATCGTACGATCGGTATAGCTTTCCAGAGGCAAAATCGAAGACTCGAACTTGCCTATCCGGGAACGAGAATGTTGCAAATTGGTGGCCCGATGGAGATATTGAGATTGACGATGGCAACGATTTTGACTTTTTGAATATGAAGAGATCTGTCGATGATTTCAAATCGAATACGCCTTCCGGTTTGTCAAATGGGTCATCTGGACGCCAGTATTCTACCATTCCTTTATTATCAACAGATATAACGCAATTAAATGCATTGTTAAAGGCCATGGAAATAACGGGCGCTCTGTGTACTGAGTTCAGTTTGTGAAGAGGTGTTGTCTTCTCACATCGACCGTCGAAAATTAATATGGTATTATCTTCCTCGCTTGTCACCGCTAATAAAGGCAAAGACGCTCCTCGCTGGTGTACCCAACATACGCAACTAGGAATAAACTCGAGGTTAAGGACTGCTAAAAGGTCTACATTACCTGGTTAGCCAAGAGTATCTTGCAAGTGATGAAGATGACACTATACCGAATGTTATCACATCAAATACTTTCATAGTCTTGTCGCCCCCGATGGTTGCAAAACTTCGTCCGTCTGATGTCACGCTGACCCCCTTGATCTCTCCCATGTGGGCACGGAACTCCTTCACAAACTCCATACCAACAGCCATTTTCTTCCAAAACTTGACCACGCCATCTATTGAGCTTGTGATGATGAAATCGGTATGTGGTGTCACAGTCACATACGCGAGTTGATCCCGGTGCATCAACGATTTAGAGTATCGTGGAGAAGCTGGCAGGGCCTTGATATAGAGTTTCTCATAGGGTAGTTCTCTCCGCTTTTTCTTCTTCAATGGACCGGAAGGAAGAGCAGGGCCGTAGTCATCGTCAGAGGATGAGTTGTCAGCTAGAAATTATCAAGTCAGTATTAATTCCTCGAGGTAGCATGGTCAACAAGTGAAACTGACCTTCCCGTTCATCCTCTTCCACCTGCGAGTGTAGCCTCACATTGGCTGCTTTCTCCGAGGGTCCCGCAGCTTCAGACATATCTCTAGCTTTAGCTACCAATTCCCAGGCCCGTAAATGAATTGGCACTGGTTAACCTCCTTCCTTTCATGTGTTGTCTGAAGCTTCGTCGGCCAAAACTAAACTGTCGCAACTTTGAGGCTCCCCAAAAAATAGCTTTAGCATCACGTGATATCCACAACAACGAGGGCTTATCGCCTGATAACTAAGAAATATAATATTTTGCAGGCACAAGCAGTTGTAGAAAGCCAACCAGCTCCGTTACGCCCCTCAACCTCGCCGGAGACCATATTTGACCTTGTACTAGCGCAAGATATTGTCGTCCAAGTGTTGCCATGGTATAGATACACCCATTTTCCCTGTATATTTCCTACTTATATGCTAACCCCACCAGGCGAATTCTTTCAATAACCCGACACAGATCTTTGGGGAGGATGTCACCGAGGAAAAGGGCGAAAATGCGCGATTGTCAGCCTTCGTGGGTGCCATTGCCGTTGGAGATTTGGTTAAAAGCACTTTAGGTCCAAAGGGCATGGATAAGATCTTGCAATCTGCGTGAGTTGAAAATTAGGCAGAGCTCCTAAGAGGCGCAGCGAGAATCAGGGGGTGCTAATTTATATCACAGCTCAACAGGAGAGATCATGGTGACAAACGACGGAGCTACTATCCTCAAGGCTATTGCGCTTGATAATGCCGCTGCCAAAGTTTTAGTCAATATATCCAAAGTCCAGGATGACGTCGTGGGGGACGGAACAACATCGGTCACAGTTCTGGCTGCAGAACTGCTACGGGAAGCCGAGAAACTTGTTGAGAAAAAAATTCATCCTCAGCTCATCATTGATGGATACCGGATAGCGAGCCGTGCTGCCCTAGAAGCCTTGGAAGCGAGCGCAGTTGACAACAGTGCCGACCCTGTTGCGTTCCGAAAAGACCTCCACGCTATTGCGCGGACCACCCTGAGCTCCAAAGTTCTAAGCCAGGATCGAGACCAGTTTGCCGATCTTGCCTGCGACGCAGTGTTGAGGTTAAAGGGGTCTACTGATCTCAGCCATATACAGATCATTAAAAAGGCCGGCGGAAAGCTCTCTGATTCGTACCTCGATGAAGGATTCATTTTGGATAAGAGCATTGGAGTGAATCAGCCCAAGAGACTGGAAAAGGCAAAGATTCTGGTTGCAAATACTGGTATGGATACCGACAAAGTCAAGATCTTCGGCGCCAGAGTCAAGGTCGACTCGACAGGGAAATTGGCCGAGCTTGAAAAAGCGGAGAAGGAGAAGATGCGGGCAAAGGTTGAGAGAATCAAGGCCCACGGAATTAACTGCTTTGTCAACCGTCAGCTTATCTACAACTGGCCTGAGCAGCTCTTCACGGACGCTGGCATCGTCTCTATCGAGCATGCTGATTTCGACGGCATTGAGCGCCTCGCTTTGGTCACTGGAGGTGAAATCGCCTCCACCTTTGACCATCCTGACCAAGTCAAGCTCGGTCACTGTGATTTGATCGAAGAAGTGATTATTGGAGAAGATACCCTTATTAAGTTCTCTGGTGTTGCTGCTGGCCAGGCTTGCACCATCGTTCTTCGTGGAGCTACTGGACAACTCCTGGACGAAGCTGACCGGTCTCTACACGACGCCCTTGCCGTTCTGTCCCAGACTGTCAAAGAGCCCAAAGTTACCCTAGGTGGAGGATGCGCCGAAATGGTTATGGCCAAGGCAGTTGAGCATGCTGCCCAAAACACCACTGGAAAGAAGCAGCTAGCAGTGGACGCTTTCGCACAGGCTCTAAAACAACTACCCATTATCCTTGCCGACAACGCCGGCCTTGACTCAAGTGACCTTGTTACAAGACTTCGACAAGCCATCAACAAGGGTCTGACCAGCTCCGGTCTAGACCTTCTCACTCCCGGGGGAGGTATTGCCAACATGCGCGAACTCGGTGTTGTGGAGAGTTACAAACTCAAGCACGCCGTTGTCTCGTCGGCTTCTGAAGCTGCTGAGGTTAGTTAAATCCCACCCTTTGCCATACCTAACATTGTTTTGTTCATTTCTAACTGAGATCTCCCTTTAGCTACTTTTACGGGTCGATAACATTATTCGCAGTGCTCCTCGCAGGAGAGACCGTCACTGAGCGGCTATAGGAATGGAAAAGTTAACTTCTCGAGCCCAATGTAGTTAAAAATTTTACTTCCATGGAATACACACACCTGTCTGAAAAGAATAATAGGCAGCGGTTAAACCATTAGCAGTTGAAACTAATGCATACAGTTAATATCACCTCGTCGTATGCGTGTAGATAAACGTACTAGTTATCTGTCGTATGAAATTAACGTTAAATCTCCAGCACTTTTGAGCAAGCTTCAGCTTTTCAGCCAGATTCAAGTCCCGTGTAAGGAACTCCAAACGTCTGCAACCCCAAGCTAGAGCAGACGAGAAAAGGGCCAGATAGCATGAGCTCAAGTCGCTGCTTAGCATCTAGCATATTCAAAGCCCTTGCCACCGACTCTCGACCATGGAAGCTCACTCGCAGGCTCAAAAGCGATAACCAGCTGGACATGCAAGGGGAGCTGGAGGGGACGGCAACGTTCAGGCCGGCTCGCAATGGAGGGTCCGGCCTCTCAAATGACCTTGTATATGAGGAGCAAGGAGAGATGCGAGACCCATCAGGCCGTAACTCGACGGGGATGAAATGGTCACGCAAATATATGTGGCGGCTATCAGATTCCGGCCTGAGCGTCTGGTTCGTCAAGGTCAACATGGAATCCAGCAAGGAAAGTGCACAAGACTGTCAGACTGAGGAATTGCCGGACTATATCTTTCATCAGCTACAGTTTATGGATGACGATGAAGGGGAAAAGGGTCACCTCGAGGCGACAGACCTGGTCCCGCCGCGAGCAACCGCCTCAGACGGAGGAGAGACCGCGGTCCTTTTTGCCCGTGGAAGCCATCTCTGCATCAACGACAGCTACGAGACCACTTATGCCTTTCGAGTTTCAAATGGCTGCCTCAGCTGTATACATAGCTGGTCAAGTAGCCATGTGGTCGAAGGCCCAAAAAAGAGCCAGCGAATTGTGAATATGTATACCAGGGCAGCCTGAATAGCACTCAAACATGCCCTTTATCATATTTAAAAAGGACTAGATGAAAGCGTGTCTACCATATTTTCATATCATATGGCCCTGTGGGTTCTGATTTGGCATTTGGCAGATATCCTTCTGATCTTTCAATTTATATACCATTGCGCCTCCCATTTGACATCACCCAGAAGCAACCTCAGCCTGACCTATCCTTTACTTTTCAGCGTCTCCTATATTCCAAACGAGAGAAGAAGAATTCAAGCATAGTAGCTTCGTCTATATAGTACTGAAAAAAAGAAGAGGCTGGGAGCTTCTTCGCTTTCAGTGTTGTTTGACTGCCCGCCTCCCTTTTTTCTCTCTCTCTGCTTGCCTTGAGCTTCACCTCTTTCTTCTTCTTCTTCCTTGCTCCCAGCATCAACCTCCTTCAGCTGCTTTACTCGCTCAGACCTTGCAAATACTTCAGATTTCACGGATTTGCGTTTGCTATCGCTTTCTTGTCTGGCTCGGATTTCCCCAGAGCAGTGGATCTCTGTACAAAGAGCGGCCATAATGTGGAAGCCAAGTCTCTTTGGCGGCTCTGACGGCGAAGCCACTGCAGTCCGCACTGATGATGCCAACTCTCCTTACCTTCTCGATGACTTGGATGCCTTCGAGTCGTGTCTCAGCAGCATGGGCAGCATGGGGAGCACCAAAGAGAACGCAGTTACGCCTCTGACTCCTGTTACCATGACTCCTGTTACCAGCAAGTCATCCTTCGACCTCAACGAGACCTTGGTAGACGGAGTAGGCTCGGTGGATGACCTTGTTCACCATCGTGGAAAAGGCAACAGCTTGGATAATACTGATTCTGACGACGACGAGGTATGTGGCATCCTCAGCACTGGAATTGCACTCTATTGTTAACACTGTCTGTAGTTCTTCACCTCGAGCTCCTCTCCTCCTACGCCTGCAAGAGCTCTGCCCTGGGACGGTTATATCTCTTGGACTGATACGCTGGCCAATACTGATTTCAGCAAGTTGGAAGGAAGATTTTCAGGATTCGGGTCCCGTGCAGAACTCATCGCTCATGGCCTAGTTTATACCCCCCGCTTTGATGATAAAGATGCCTATCGAACTGTCTTCCTCACTAAACTCCCTCTGGATGTGGATATGAGGACCTTGCTCTCTGCTATCCGAGGAGGGGCTGTGTACTCAGCTCATATCATGAACATGCAGGAGTATGCAGGGCACCACATGGGAGTTGTGACCTTTGTTCGAGGCAAGGATGCCTCCGCCTACGTTAACTTTGCGACCAACCACGGTGTATACTTCAATGACGCCAGAGTTGATGTCTACCTCTCCAAGACTCCTACATACCCAATCCCCAAGACAATGCATCAAAATATCACAGACCAGCTCTATTCCCGTTGCTTGGTGATCCGAGGGGACCGGGACCCCAAACGCTACAGCTACATCGCAAAAAATCTAAAGAACAAAATGCGCCTTGACTTTGAGATGGGAGACAGAATGACTGAGAATGCTGACGAAACCGAGGTCAAAGTCCAGTTCAGCTCAATTCGAGCTGCTGATGCTGCCTATGGAATTCTTAGGTCCCTCTTGAGGGAATGTACCGTTGGATTTTCTCCGGACCCGTGTGCCCGACCTCTTCCTGGCGCCAGGGAGGATGACGAGTCTTCGGATGGATGTAGCATTGGGTTTGCTTGTGCCGACCCTTGAATGTAAGGCAGGGGGAAAAAATCACTTTCAGGGAGGACTAATAATGGAGGGCGATGCACGGGGAAAGTTGCGTTTAACCAAGTACAATGAAATAGGCAATTATCAAGATTGTTTCTTCCAAGGAGTGTAATAAGGCACCCTGTAGCTTGTAAAAGAATGGAATTATTCCGGTACAATAAGTGTGGAGCGGGGAAGTGGCCAATAGTTAAAGATTATACAGATTGTGCCCACTCTTCCTAATGGGGGCCTGCAAGGGCTCAAATACATGTGTGAAGGTAAATAAAAAATGATAATTGGTGCATATAAGGGAGATATTGAGCCAAACCATAATAATGATAGCACAGGTAGGTTATAACTAGTCTGGTAGCCTAAACAAATCTTCGCTTTTTCCGGTTATACGCCCGTTGGTCTTTAAGCCACTGTCGGTATCCCTGGACACTGCCGATTTTCTCACCGTAGTAGTCTGGCACAGGGTTAGCGAACGAATTGGCGGAGGGGTCAACGCGGAAGCGTTTTATTCTGTCGTAAAACTCTTTCTCCTTCTGTTTTATTGATTAGCTAAATCACTGTAAAGGAATAGTTCCATGGAAAGAGAGTATCGGGACGTACAACAGCAACTGCACTCTTGTACTTCCTGTAAACCAGCCCCCAAAGGCCATTGCCCAAGAATGGGCCGGCCAACCAGCCTAATGCGCCCGAGGCAGCGGTCGCCAGGCCAAGTACAATCAATGGGTCAAAGCCCATAATTTGTGCGCCTAAACTCTCCAGATTTTGCGTCGCTAGGATCTGGCCCCCAGCCGCAGTGGTTGTGAACGCGGCGAGAACGGAAGAAATTAGAGAGTACTTCCGGCGGGAGGCACGGAGTTGAAAGAATGTGTTCCAGTCAAGCTTCACTGGGGTATTGGAAGTGCTGGTGGGATGGCTACTGGACGAGGCCGCTTGAGTAGATGTGGAGGAATTTCGTCGTGATCCGAGGCATGGCTGTGAGTTCCGGATAATCGATTGGAGGGTAGGGCTGTTGGCAGAGGATGAGCTATAGTTTCCCCTGCATGTGTTTGAGGACGAATTTGCGGGATAAATTGAAGATTTGCATGCTGTAGCGTAGCTTGAAGCTCGTATGGGCTGTTGCTTGAGTGGTGATGATTTTGGTGCTGACCGGCGGCATAGTTGATGCTGGTAGCCTGTCATTGACAATGGGGCGCTTGCGCCGCCGGTGGCCAAGGGCGACCAGGCATTTGAAAGTCTGCCACCCAGGACAGCCGTGCGGATTGGCGTATTCATGGCTATGTGATGGTTCAAATTGCTGGTGGTGAAGTTGATGCTCGCGAAGTTCTCGACGTCTTTTTGCCCAAAAGCAGCATTTCAACTTGCCAAGATTTTCGCTGAGCTAAGCCGTCCGGGAGGCGTTAAAGTCACATGATATATGTCTGGAGAATATACGCCCAGTGAATATATATTGATTACTAAGTAAACCACATTTCCTCATAACACAAAACGCAGACCACAAGCTGGGTGACTACGGAGTACTTATGCAGTATCATTCTACTATATCGCAGGCAGCTAGTTGAACATTAGATTAGTGTACTTGTATTCTTGCTGCGCGAATCGATTACTGGACTCTCATTACTAATAGCTTTTCCCGCTACTTTCTCCACTCAGTGGACCTGAATGTATCACGTGATATAAAAAGCAAGGGTGGGCGGGAAACCGTGACAAAGACAGAAGCTGGATACGAAAAGGACCCAAGCCTTCGATTGACACCAGGCTGTGCCCTTCAGACGGTTACGGGCCTTTCAATCCACATATATTCTGGCTACAATCTCACTGAACACCAAGTTTCTACTTTTGCATGCGCCGACAAGGCCCCTCCGCTGCCTCGGTGACTCATTTACTTTCTGCGCCAGACATCCCCTCCTTTTGTACCCAGAATCTGGGACTAGGAGAAGCTGGAAAATATATCAGCCTTAGGGCGGCTGATGTCCCTCATGACAATGATGATTTGTTTCGTTATTACATATACCACTGCTCAACTACCATCACTTATCAACCTGTGCCGGGCTAGGCAATGATGCATCTAGTACTGTGCTCTTCTCCTTATATTAGGCGGACGGCTGAGCTTCCATGAAATTGATTCTACAGGCACTAAGACTGGAAAGAAAAGTTATCATTCAAGCCGGAACACCCGGGTTGATTACGTCGATTGAAGAATACAAAGGTGACAAAGCAAACAAATAAAGGAAGATGCCTCGCCCGAAGAAGCCAGGTGCTCCGGAGCCCAAGAGGAGAAGTAGGAAAGGCTGTTGGTATGTCACTCTCTATATCTAGGTTATATTATTAAACTCAAAATGTAATCTGATTATCTAGATAATAGGCCATGCAAAGCTCGGAAGGTTAAGTGGTAAGTTCGGACTTGTTTCATGAAAGCCTAGCATACAAATCAACTCTTATTGTATCAGGCTGTCGCATATATACTTGAATGCTGACTAAATGCAATAAAGTGGTGAGGAAAAACCATCTTGTATCAATTGCAAAAGGCAAGGTGACAAGTGCGATTATAGCATCCGGTTAAACTGGGAAGGACGTGCAAGGAAACGAGCCGCTGCAGAAGATACTGGACTCAATAGAGAGTCGATACCATCACCATCATCACCGGCCACACCCAACTCAGCAAGGGATCGGGCAAGCGGCTCCCCAGCATCCTCTGTAAAGCACATATTCATGCCTATACAACAATATCTAGGACCGCATTTGGATACTAAACAGCAGTCAGATCATGGCGAGGCCCTTTCAGAACCATTTGGTAGCCCTATAATCTCAGTTAATGATAGTCAGTCACTATCTGGGCTAAGTGCTTGCCTACCTAGAACATCAGCGGACCTAGCGTGGTTGCCGTACACACCAAATTCTAGTTCGTATGCTTCACCAGGGCAGTCTACCTCTCCATCACATTATCAGAAAATCACTGCAGGGGAGAGTAGTGAGGTTACCTCACCCAGTTCCTCTACCCTTGCCCAGCATATTGACCCTCAACGTCTATCAACGACGGCTCATACCAACTATATACCCACATCTAATACCGGCATGTTTCGTGCTTCTGAACTGGCCATAACAGAGTCTCCAGCATCTTGCATGGCGGAGGAGACATTACTGCAGTTTCCATTAGCTTCAAACACAAGTGGTGTAAACACGCCTGCAGACATGCATCGTGTTTCGGTCAACTCTTTGCTATCAGTACCTTCCGGACCGGACTCAAGCGATGGAAGGAGTTATGGATTAGACTGTGGTCAACCAGATCTAGACGTGTATAGAGATGCTGAACTTTTAGCTAGTTTGCGTGATACACCCACGAGTGGTATAAACAGCCTCAAAGCCATTCAATATCAAAAAGCTTCTAGCGGTACGGCCACACCATCCTCTTCGCAAGAAGATATATCCGCCGGACTTCATCGAAGCGTGACTACTGTTTTTTCTAAAGGAGGCTATTATGCCAAACCTGTCCCTATACTTATACCACGCTTATTATCCCCATTACCTCCCACATTACTTGAAAGCCCAATAAATATGCTGTACTTCCACCATTTCATAAATCATACAGCGCGGATTCTGGTGCCTCATGACTGCCATTTAAATCCGTTCGCCACGGTCCTACCTGCAAGTATGCTTAGTTTCTTTCATACCTTTCATTTTCTTACAAAATGGTAGCACTAATAAGCATATGCAGTGGCAATTGCAGACGAGAATATTCTAAACCTCTTGCTGGCGTACTCAGCGAGCCATAGGTCCCGACTTTTGGGCCATGCCGAACCATATACACGAATAGCCCGATGGACTAGCGGCGTCTTCCCATCACTCCGCCATGCACTCGGTGATCCGCGAAGAAGGACCTCTGCTGCCACATTAGCTACAGCGATCATGCTTGTCTCCCTGAAAGTTATATCGCCTAGCACATTCGAAGTCCCCATCCGGTGGGAGAGCCACTTGATGACGGCTCGGGAGATATTTTTAACACGTCAAAAGACCGACCCGGGCCATTTTACTGGGAAGGTGAATACGTTTCTGCATCGCTGGCTTGTATATCTTGATCTCTTCGGTAGCCTTTCATCCAGACGCGCTGAAGCACCATTATTTAACGGCACATATTGGCCCCTTGATACCGCAACGGAATATCCAAAGAACTCCATTGACCAGGAGTTTGAGGTAGACTGCTTTACTGGCTTTACTCCCCGATGTTGTTCATTACTAGCGCGGCTAAGTGCACTCACGCATCAATGCGACAACGTACGAGTAGATCCAGCCGGACGACTCTTTACGAGCTGGAACCCACCCGCGTCTGTGCTAGCGAAAGCCGAACGGCTACTTCAAGACATGGAAGATGCAGGTCCTGAACGTAGGTCGATGCCCATGACACACCATGGGAAGCTGGTAGATCATGGCATGGCTGCAATGGATGAGGCGTATCGACTTGCCGGGATGATCCACCTCCATCGAAGGGTATTGGGGCGTGAAACCTCAGATCCCATCGTTAAAGGTTTAGTAGATGCACTCTTTGACTCTCTAGATCAAGTGTCTCGTGGTGGACAAGAAGAAGTGTGCATATTGTTCCCGCTGTTCACTGCTGGGTGTGAGAGCCAAAATGAGGACCAGCGACGGCAAGTGAGCGAGCGCGTCCAGGGATTTGAGAGTGTTGGCATGAAGCAGGTGAGTCCCGGCGAACTTACTATCCATCACTGAGCGCTTCTAACTGCCCCTAACTATAGATACGAGGAGCAAGAAAGCTCATGCAAAAGTCCTGGCGGGTAGGCCTGCCGTGGAATGTCCTTGCCGACGGCGAGTTCCTAGCATGATGCCACGTAACCTCAGCTGTACATATATTTTATTATTATCTGTTTTACATAATTTGCGTTCACTCATCAGATATGCATCTATTGGATAGATGAGGCTGCACCTAGCCGCCGGTGTGCATTTCGTCTGGATGCTCCCGTCTGGATGGCGCGCTATTATTAGATCCGTGGCGGCTAATGCAGCGCATCTCGCGTCTTTTCGCCCCGCCAGCCGCGCTAAATAAAGGCTTCTCCGGCTGCTTCATCCGGTCAACTACATCATTTTCCCATCCTCCTGGTTCTGCTCTAAAGTCCACCCTTCATCCTGTTCTCTCGCATACAACAGCGCTTGCTTGCGTCTCTTAGCTTTGTCCATATACTTTCATAGATACTCTGCGTGTCTTGTCTTTCTTTGCTACTGCGCAGTGCCTCTCATTGAGCATTGTCAACATGGAATGTGAGAGCTCTTTCTCTTACCTTATTGCGGTTGAAAGGATTGATTATACGAGCTAAAAACTTTTACCCTGGTTTCCTAAATATAGTGTCACCCGATGTGAAAGCATCTTATACTACCATAATTGATTCTATTCTGGCTAGCAGCGATCTTACAACCATATCAGAAAAGCGAATTCGCAGGGGCTTGCAGGAAACTACCGGTCATGACCTAACACCTTATAAGGTCGGTGGTTACCCCAGATTCCAGGCCCTCCATCCTTCCCTGTATTACTGCCAAACTAGCACGCCGGTATTGACAGCTACACAGGCTACTCTCAAGGAACTGATCATGGAGCGTTTCGACATGTTTGCCGAACAGTCCAACGCTGTCGCAGTCCAACCACCGCCCGTCACCTCCTCCGTACCTGTCGCTAACGGTAACTCCCTGCCTTCGCCGCCGCAGAAGCGCAGCGCGGACCCGGAAGGCATACCAGATGTAACAGATTCCTCGCCCCCTCCAGTAAAGAAGCGGAAAGACGACGTGGTAGACTCGGACGCTGCCTATGCAGCGAAATTACAGGCAGAGGAGAATCTACGTGCTCGGACAACACGTGGCGCCAACTCAAGGAAGACCGGAGTAGTCAAGAAGAAACGAAAGAACACCTCCAAAACTGCGAAAAAAGTGAAAGCTTCCGATGATTCAGACGTAGATGGTTCTGCTGCGGAAAGTAAAAAGGAAGTGAATCGCACGGGTGGTTTCCATGTATGCAACTTCGTACCATGTCGTCTACCCCATATATTTCGGGCTGCTATTGACAATTTCATCTACAGAAACCACTGGCACTCTCACCTGCGCTATCCGCTTTACTTGGAGGCGAAGTGACTGTCAGTACTTATATCTGCTGTTTAACCCTCCCGATACTAACCTGGGCGCATAGCTGTCGAGACCTCAGACGGTGAAAAAGGTCTGGGAGTACATCCGTGAACATGAGCTTCAGGATCCAAATGACCGTCGCCAGATCCGATGCGATGACCTCATGCGCCCCGTTTTCAAACAGGATCGCATACACATGTTTACCATGACAAAGGTACTCAATCAAAATCTCTATGACCTAGAGGAGTGATTTGTCGGCCCCACCATCCTACTATCCCCGTTACATTTGCCCTCTCAGCGTTATAACCATTCACGATAACGACCCTGTACTTTCCCTGGAGGTCTGCTTACTCCCTCCTCTCCCTTCTCCTCTCTTCTTTTCTCCCTTTTTCTTTTGTTATTGCTCGCATCAGCAGTCTAGCGACGGCCTATCCAAATTCTGGGAAATTTCCGTCCCATCGATCTTTCTATCTTTTTAACCGGGCGTCAGTGGTGCATTTTATAGGAGATATCTTGTAACTAGCTTGGAGTTTGCGGTAACCTCAATGAAACAGAACAACTTCTTCTTAGACCCAGCACTGCTAGTTATCGCCCTTCAAATTTGCTCTCCGTCTCCAGCTTCTCTACTCCGTACTATCTGCCGTCTTCGTCAATGCCCTCATCGTCGCCGTCTGTCTGTGTTGCTGGCTCTTTATATGCTGCGAGTCGACTGCATCGACGGAACTTGCAGTTACCGTGCTGCGCTAGTCCCGATGTGGAATGGCCCACACAACGTTCTTTTGCAGCTTTTTTTCGTCCACATAAAAAAAAATACCAGATTTCTTCCTCCACCACGAACTTCGCCGTCGCCTTGCTTTGCCAGTCAACTTGTCCCGCTGCCGCTTGCGAGACGCCAGATCGCCACGATGTCGACGTTCGATACCTTGACCGAGCAGGACCTGCAGCAGGATGAAGTCGAGATCGATTTCTCAGGCATGCCCGCACACATCCCACCCCCAAAAAAGACCCTAGTGGAAGAAGCTGAACTAACAGCTGTTGGTGTGCAGATTTAAAGGCTGAATTCGAAGTCCGACTGGAAGAAGGACTCGATACCTTCGTCGTTTTCGACGGACTCCCAATCGTCTCCGAAGATAATAAGGCGAAGTTGATTAAGTTTTTGTTGAAGAAAATAAAGAAGGATGGCCCCTCATCCAGCAATATCGACCCGAACCGCCAGATTTTTCTACCCATGAATGAGAATGGAATGTCCGAAGGGTAAGGCTCGGTGTATGGGTTGAACAATGGAGAGGTTGTATGGTACATAGCTAACTGGGGTTATTTTTTCCCTTGCTTACAGTTTCGCTTTTGTTGAATATGACACCCCCGAGGAAGCCTTTGCCGCCATAAAGAGTCTTCACGGAACCCCTCTAGATAAGAAGCACACCCTAGCAGTCAACAAGCTCACTGATATAGACCGATATGGACGTGAAGGCCGGATAGACGACGAATACAAACCTCCCAAGATCGAACCGTTCCAGGAAAAGGAGCACCTTCGATCATGGCTGGGCGATCCCAATGCCCGCGATCAGTTCGCAATGTACCGCGGTGACAAAGTTGGTGTGTTTTGGAATATGAAGAAGGACCCTCCAGAGAATGTTGTCGACCGAGATCACTGGACCCAGCTTTTTGTACAGTGGTCTCCTATGGGTACATACCTCGCTTCCGTACATCCACAAGGTATCCAACTCTGGGGAGGTCCCCAATTCAGCAAACAAAAACAGTTCCCTCATCCTTTCGTCCAGCTTGTGGAGTTCTCTCCCCAGGAAAACTACCTTACCACATGGTCTAGCCGCCCGATACAAATAGAGGGAGCACCTGGTGTTTTGTCATATGATGAAGACGGCAAGAATATAATCATCTGGGATATTACCACCGGAAAGCCTCTCCGATCCTTCGTCAGCCATGACCTGACTGCCCCCGCCGGCGCCGATGACGCTGCTGCTCAAAAGAAGAAAGTACAGTGGCCTGCGTTTAAATGGTCAGCGGATGAGAAATATGTTGCTCGTATGCTTCAGCACCAGTCCATATCTGTCTACGAGCTACCTCGTATGAACCTTCTTGACAAGACCGTAGTCAAGATTGAAGGTGTTATGGATTTCGAATGGTCCCCTGCTACTGTACAAAGGGAAGGTGTCAAACGCTATGAGCAGCTTTTCAGCTTTTGGACTCCTGAAATTGGAAGCAACCCTGCTAAGGTTGGTTTGATGAGCATACCCTCAAAGGAGATCGTTCGTACACGAAATCTTTTCAATGTCTCCGATGTGAAGCTACACTGGCAATCCCAGGGTGCCTACGTTTGCGTCAAAGTTGACAGGCACTCCAAGTCCAAGAAATCCATGGCTACTAACCTGGAGATCTTCCGAGTGAAAGAAAAGGGCGTGCCAGTCGAGGTTGTCGACTCACTAAAGGATACCGTCATAAATTTTGCTTGGGAACCCAAGGGTGATCGATTTGTCCTCATCACAACTGGCGAGGCCATCGCGGGCTCTGCTGTTGCTCCAAAGACTGCCGTCTCTTTCTTTTGCCCCGAGAAAGTTAAAGGTGGCGCTATCGGTAACTTCAAACTCATCCGCACCATTGAGAAGAAGACAAGCAATGGAATCTACTGGTCTCCCAAGGGCCGATTCGTTGTCGTCGCTACCGTGCATTCACAGCAAAACTTTGACCTTGATTTCTGGGACCTGGACTTTGAGGGTGAGAAGCCAGAGAGTGAGAAAGATCTTTCGGCCAATCTACAGCTCATGAAGACTGTCGACCACTTTGGTGTGACTGATGTCGACTGGGACCCAACTGGTAGATACGTTGTCTCCAGCGCCTCTGCCTGGACGCACTCGGTATGTATACGTTGACGAAAAGCATTTTCAATTCATCTCGATCAATGCCATAGCTAACCCATAAATAGCTTGAAAACGGCTACAATATTCACACCTTCTCCGGTACAACATTAGCAGAACACCCCACTGAGAAGTTCAAGCAACTCCTCTGGCGCCCGCGACCTCCAACATTCCTTTCAAAGGAAGAGCAAAAACAAGTCCGCAAGAACCTCCGCGAATACTCTCGCGAATTTGACGAAGAAGACAAGTACGCCGTCGATATTGCCAACACCGCCATAGTCGAGATGAGAAAGAGAGTCCTCAGTGAATGGACCGCCTGGCTCAGAAAGGAGAAGCAAATGATTCTCGAGGAAAGAGAAGATCTCGGTCTGTCTCCGAACCCAGATGATGACATCGTTGCTCAACCCAATATCACTGCCGCTGAGGGCGATACAGTGGTAGAGGAGATTGTCGAGGAGATCATCGAAGAAACTGAAGAGATCATTAGCTAATTGCATGCATTTGCTGTTTTTGTGTTTTCCATCGCGTTTTACATTTTACTTTTCTTCTCATTTCGACACTAATCCTTTTCTATCATATCATGTCATGTCATGTCTTTTTGTACGGTTACGTCGAAATGAGAGGCGCAGGAAGGACAGAAAAGGGCGGAATACCTTTGAAGGTTTCTGATACATTTGTTTATTCGGCCAGATACATCTATGGTTGCAATGAATCATCATAGAGATTTCACCCCCTTTTTCTTGTTTACTTATATCATTCAGTTACGACATTCACGGTCGATAACCCGTCACAGGTATTGGCCAAACCATGCCAGTGCCTGAGCCAGGGCCTGCTCCTTTGCAAACATGATATCCGGTTTAGACAGGTCACCACGAACAGCAAATCCATGAGACACTCCCCCATAGAGAGTGATCTGGTATGGCTGCTTTGTTTTTGCTAGGATCTCCTCAGACTCATGACGCAATGCGGTGGTTAGGATCTCGTCAATTTCTAGACAACCAAATATTTATCTGTCAGAAGCGACCTATGCGTGCAACTCAGAACTGGAAAACGTACCTGCTGCTGCGATGGATAGTGGCCCTTCGATAGCAGATAGCTCGTCCCTCGAGACGAAAGATGGGTGTGCCGTGAATCCAGCGTCTAGCTTTCCATCTTTCAAAAATCGGCATACATACTATAGAAACAACGTTAGGATCACTAGATTCATACTCAAAGCCATACAATCATTTTCATACCTTTCCACCGAAGCAATACCCAACACCCCCAAGCCTCTCAACTCCATGTTCCTCTCGCAGCATCTTGATAGTAGACTCAATGACGGGGTCAACAGCATTGGTACCATGCTTTGCAAACCACGCCTGACGATCAAATCCAGAATTTGGCTCGAACACAGCAGGCTTGAGACTGTCACCACGGAAAAGGTCTGGAATCACCGTGAGATAGCCTTGGGACGCCATGTAATCAGCAAGGAGCTGGGCATTGATGCGAATGCCCATGACATCTGAGAGAATGACTATCGCCTTGCCGGCCTTCTTGCAAGATTCCTTGGGATGAGCGAAGTAGACGTCGACTATGGTCTGGTTAGTTCGCTTTCGTCCATTACGAATAGTGAAATGGAGGTATAAGAGGTATAGAATAGACGAAGTGCTTACGGTCTCCCATCTTCTTTATCTCCCCCGTGGCAGTGCCCTCATGGATAAAGCCCCTGATACAGCATTCTCCTGGGGGGTTGGACGCCATTTTGAACAGCTCGAATGGTCAATCTTGAATAACTGTGTCAGCTATGAAATGGATGAAAGAAATCGAAACCAGTTGCTCCCTTTCTCCTGTATATATACCTAGACTTGTTGGCTCTATAATCCTCTTCGTCGGGCGAAACCACCGGAGATAACTACAAGTATTTAACTCCATCCACGGGCCGGCCTTAGGCTGCCACCGAGGAACACGCACATCCTCTGCGAGAGCGCTGACGGCATAGCACGTCCCGCCTTGAATACGAGATTCAGGAACATTCCTTTGCCCTCTTTCCCTAAGCTCCCATGGTGGACAGGGGGTTCGCGTGCTAGTTAAGCTCTTCGAGTCTTCCTCGATCCTTCGAGTCCTTCGGAAGGCATCAAAAAGTTGGCCCGACTCGGCAACTTTTTCGGGCCCCAAGAACTAGTCGAAACTCCCTGCCCGACAGCCGGAACACTGACAACCAACTGCGAAATGTCTCCGAGGCTTTGAAATCCAAGGTCCAGTGTTCACAGTGGCCATGGAGCAACTTACATGTCCGCTACGGCGACATTTCATGGACAGTCATTGCTGTGCCTGCAATATCTGCCATGGAGGAAGCTGCTATAAAAGATAACCACCATGCTGCCCACCAACAGCTGCCAGCATCAATCAGCAGTTGAACTTCATTGACTGTGCTATTATTCTTCACTCTCGATCAAAACCAAGATACCCAGCTCGATATACGATGAACAGCCCAGTCAAATACCTGGTGACCGGCGCGTCCAGCGGTCTGGGGGGTTCTGTTCTAGCCACGCTATATAAAAACGTCTCTGACCCATCACAGATTGCAGCTGCATCCTCCAGGCTCGAGACGGGCCAAAGACTCCAGCAGGATTATCCTGGGATCCAATTTCGACGACTCGACTACAATGATCCAAAGTCGCTTGTGGAGTCGCTGACTGGTGTCGAACGTTTCTTCTTCGTCTCCAGCCCTGAAGTGAACACCGAGAAAAGGAACAAGCAGCATGAACGAGTAGTTAAGGCTTCTGTTGGAGCAAAGGTCGGCCATGTATGTCATTTACATCTTTGGATAATTATTCTCTCCCTTTGTGCTAATAGGTTTTCTATGCTAGGTATATTACTCCAGTCTTGCATTTGGGGGTTATGGTTCCGAATCCAAGGCTTCCGTCCAACAAGCCCACTTGGTGACTGAAAGGCTTTTAGAAGAGTATGTACTCTATTAACTACTCTGGGCCCTTTTATACTGAGTAAAATGAATGTTCTGACCGTAGCTACATCTAGGTCTGGGTTACCTTATACCTCCGTCCGTGAAGGAGTGTATATCGATGCCTTTCCTGTCTTTGTGTTCTGGTATCCAAATACAACTACTATATATCTCTCTGGCGACGGCCTTGTTGCCTTTGCTTGTCGAGATGAACTGGGTGAAGCCACTGCTCAACTCATGCTGCGTCATCCAGAGGGCTTGAACCTGAAGAATAACATTGCCTTACTCACCGGGCCACGAACTTACAAGCTAACGGATGTCATCAATGCTGTGTCTGAGGCTACCGGCAGGCAACTTGAGATCGAACACGTGTCAAAGGATGAATTCCCTCGCATTATGGCCTTGGAGGATGCCAGAGAAGGTAGAGGGCGGAAATCAGAAGCCTTCTTCAGGAGCTGGCAAAGCCTGGTGGAGTCTATGGAAAAAGGGGATACTGCAACTGTGGACTCCTTGATGGGTGAGTTATTGGGAAGACAGCCGCGAGATGCTCTGGAGTATGTGAAGAAACTGGTAAAGGATGGAGCAGATAAGGGGGGATATACATGGCATCAAAATTATTAAATAAGAATGGGAGTAATCTCCCGATTTGTTATAGAAGTACAAGAAGATAAAAATTAGATTATAATTCCCCCCTCGGGCCAAAGTTATTGTGAACTACGCAAAAGGGTTCAGCTCAATTCCTCCGAGTGACTATGTATTGAAGTCGATGTTGAGTACTGGAAGCCTATGGAGTCCACTCCCCAGCAAGCCAGCGGTTGAAAAAGTCCAAAGCGTTCTCGGGCTGGTCATATGGAACCCTGTGGCCAGCCTTAAAGACCTGGAGAAAAGCAAGGCCATTATGATACTTGACCCGACCCAGCGGCCACTTGTTAACGCTATGATAAACAACGCTGAGGTTCTTTCGTCTGAAGATATGGCGGCCAGGCCACTGGAGAGCCTCTGTCCATTCCTTGACGCCGAGCCAGTTGCAGATATAGTCAGCATCACCAGCATAGACGAGAACATTGACATCCTTCAAGATTCCGGGGATCTTGCGGTGGAAGGGCTGGTTGTAGTCTCCGTGGGCGAAGAACTGGCTGCTTATATGATTGCTGCACCCTTTGAAATGTGAGACTTCAGCACCGATAGCTTTCTGAACATGGCGCTGGTTGAGGTACTTGGCGATCCAGCCCAGGATAGGGTAGCAGAGGTCTTTAGGGTCTTCGCAGCGACCACGGATATCGTAGATGCTCTGACCAGTCCGGGAATATGGACGGACGAGAGCGTCCTTGCAGAATTTGGCACCCTTAACACAAGTAGCAACATCTGTAGGCTTGTCATAGCAGCGCTTGATTTCTTTCTGGCATTGTGGAACGGCGGCCTCCATAGCTTTGCAAGTAGGCTGATCCAAGACAGCACTGTACCCGCCCTTTCCACAGGCCATGGGCGGATAAGATGCGAACTGGGTGTAAGGGTCGGTCATGCCGTTTCCAATAAGGACAGACTTGAACTTGATATTGGACCTTTGTTTCAGGATGTCTGCGCAAGTACTGGAATGTAGTGACCAGCGTAAGATTCTCCTGCGATATGGAAGTCCTGGAGGGCATATTGAGGAAATTTCTTGAAGAACAGGGTCAAGAAAGCAAAGACATCCTTCGAGGCCGATGGAGTGTTGAAGGCACCTGATTTACCGTAAGAGAATCCAACGTTGACGGGCTGGTCCAAGAAAATTATAGAAGCCCTGTTATTCCAAGAGTTAGGATTACGAGTGAGCTTGAGGTCCTGACCAACTCTGGCTGGCCCCAACTCCATGAATAAGCTGGTCATAGATGAGCATCCTGGGCCACCGTTCAACCAGAGAATAACAGGGTCATATTGTGGATCACGTCGAGACTCAAAGAACCCTGGACACCAGAAGGTTAGTAGCTATTCTACCATAAAGGAGGCATGCGTGAACGATGACATACAGAAGAAAAGGTGCTGGCCATTCTTTTTATTGTCTAGATAGCCACTGTATTGCGTAACGTTGTCGACACCGAGAGAGCTGGGGTCCACAGTCTTGAATCTCATTCCGTACTCCTCGATACCTGAGGGCTTGTCTTTTCCTTCTTCAACCCAAAGAGTATTGACGGATTTTCCCTCAAGCTTACCGTCCCACTTCTCATCAGGTTCGCGTTGATGAGCTGTAGGAGGGTTGAAGTAATCGTCCAATTGTGCACCGGGTATCTCCCCCTTAATAGCGTCCCAGACCTCCTTCTCCTTGCCTTGCAGCATATCCTCCGTGAGGGAGCGAGGTTCATAGGAGGCCGCCAAAGCGTTAGCAGCTCCCACAAGGAGCAGTGAGAGAAGCCCCTTCATAGCTGGTTGATCAATGCGGCAAGTAAAGATAAGGGTGAAGAGGAAGGATGATATGTCAGAGGAGTTTGCTATGAACTACTTGGATAGCTGCATGGTATTTATCGAGGGAGAGAACCATTCTTATATTCTTGGGCTTGGATGCTCTGAGTAATGGCTGTAGGAATGTCTTAGGGATACCATATCCACAACAAAAAGATATCGGGAGTTGAGCTGTCGATCAACAGACAAGCTATGGGATAATGGAGCCAAAAGGATTGCGCTCTCACTAGCAGATGCTTGTTCAATCCGCATCAAAGGGTATGACCAGATTGGTTGGAGCTTCCACGGCCCGAATATAAAATTCTGGAATCCATATCACGATGACGTTCGGGGCGTATATGCAGCACCAAAGGATAGAAATCTCCGGCATTGCCTCCCTAGTAACAATGGTATATATTATGGTAGAGAGTGGTAAAGTCTTCCGCAGTAAGAGTGAGGATATGACTTAGATGAACGAAGCAGCTCAGTGAGCGTCTGCTTCACGCTCTCCGCAGAGTAAAAGGAAGAAAGAGTACTTGCAGCTCAGGATGACAGCGTGGGCTCTCGTATGCAGAGTAACCCGAACGCTTCCCCTGCCCCTATCCTTCTTCTGGAGAGTAAGGAGGTCCAGGGCATGCCTGGTATGCGGAACTCAAGGCGAACCAACACCAGCTCAATCGCAGTAGTATCTGACGTACACGCCCACAGAGCATGTAACTGAGGGCCTAGGTGAGAGGAAAGTAGAGATTCGCCTCCCACAGGGCTGACTAGTCAGTCAGTTAGCTTGCTGCTCCGAGTCTGTTCGCATAAAAGGAGGCTGGATATCTGGATGGATGAGATGGGGATGTGAAGAGTGGACGTCGAATTTGGCTGGAGAATAGTCAACTTGGGAGCCATCGAGGGAGTAGCTTAGGCAGTTAGCTAGTTGGCTACCATATTCCAGTGCAGTGCATTCAAAACACGCGCCAGCCGCCGGACAGGCCAGGTAACTAACTAGTTAACTAGTTAGTTAGCCTAGTCAAGGATGCAACCGTGGTTCAGCCGTACAATTAGACAGCCAGTCAGCGACACTCACGCATGCTCTGTGTTACTGCGAGACCTTCACAGCCAGAAGAGTTGGATAACTGGCTAACTTACTTGACTGCTTGGCTAGTTAGTTAGTTGGTTCACTGCATTGATTGTCGATCTGATGATTGACGGTGTACGCTATGGTTAGGTGCATCCGGGGAGCCACTGGCTCTCTGGTTAGCACTCGCAGCATCCGTATCGCCGTTATGATCTGCGTTAGTGTTCGGAGAGCTTGGTGGCTGCCGCCGTGAAAAGGAGCATTGAAAATAGCCAGGGAACGCCGCTGGAGAGGAATAGAAGACCGGTCATCAAGATCAGCCTGATGGCCATACAATTCTCTCTTGTGCATAATGATAGCTACTAGTTAACTACTCTGTGAGTCTGTTGGCAGCAGTGTTATCGATACATGAAAGATCACGGCCCGACCTTAAAATTATAAACTAGCATACTCGTCGCAAGTCTCGGTCAGTTTGCTGCGGGTTCCGGGTTCCTGGTCACAGACTGGTTAGTTAACTCCGTAGTGGAATGCTTGAACTCGGTGCGGAACAGGGGTCTCACCATTGCACTGTGTCCGGCATCCGGAATCCAGAAGAGCCTGGACTCAGGGAATGCCTTGTGCAGCTCATAGGCTGTCTGGGGAGGGCACACGATGTCATAACGCCCCTGAACCATAGTTGCTTCAAAGCAGGTCAGCGGCGGTAGTTCCCTAGTTAACCCATCCCCCCTGAAGATACAGAGAGAAAAAAAAAAAAAAAAAAAAAAAAAAAAAAAAAAAAAAAAAAAAAAAAAAAAAAAAAAAAGGTCAGAAAGTCAGGGCTTACTAGGGATGTGTCTGATCCGGTCGATATTCTCCTTTTTCAAGAGAGCACCATGCTCAAGCCAGGCATCGTTCATAGCATAGTGGAGTTCCATCGAGGCGTGTGCCAGCGTCCAGTCATCGTCCTCGAGCTTCTTCAGGCTCTGAGGGTTCTGGCGCAGCTCGCTGATGGACAGCTCCCACTTGTTCCATGCCTTGGAAGCGCTGATGCGTGTCTCTCTGTTGTCGGACAGGAGCAGCTGGTAGTACGAGCCTACGATGTCAGCTCTGGCCGGCTCTGGCAGGTAATTGACGAACTCCTCGTAGGCGTCTGGGTATAAACGGCCGGCCACGATGCTTCGAGACCACTCCAGCTCTTCTCTGCGGAAGGTGAAGATGCCTCGCAGGACGAGAGAGCCAACGACCTCTGGATGGGCCTGCGCATACACCAGCGCCAGGGTCGACCCCCACGAGCCGCCGAAGACCATGTGCCACTTCTCGACGCCCATATGCTTGCGGATGGCTTCGATGTCCTCGACCAGGTGGTGCGTGGTGTTCTCCCGCAGCTCCGAGTTTGGCAGAGACTTGCCGGAGCCACGCTGGTCGAACAGGACGACGCGGTAGACCTCTGGATCGAAGAAGGTCGTGTTGATCTTGGTGCAGTGGCCGCCGGGCCCGCCGTGAAGGAAGATGACTATAGGCATCAATTCGTTCAGTAACTGACTAGCCAGGGAGCGAGCAGGTGCTGGTTATCTGTTGACTCTCACCTGGCTTGCCGTCTTTCTTCCCATACTGCTCGTAATGGATCTTGTGGATGGATCCCACCGAGAGGAAGCCCTCGTCGAAGGCGTCCGCATGGGAGTATCCCGGGTGAAGGGCCGGCGAGCTCATCGTGGCTATGCTTGTGTGAGCAGGTGGTCCTCTTGTTGTTGGTTACAGCAGTTGGATATGCAGCCCGAGCAGCGTCAATTGCCTGGACTCTCAGCAAAGCAGTTGTCAGTTGTCGAGCAGCGATGGCGTCTGATATTTCGCGAGACAGATCGATACCTGTCAAACCAACTAGTTTTATCGGCTTCCCCGCCCCCGCGGCCGTCGTTTCTTGGGTAACTATTAGTTGGCTGGTTATTATAGCTGGCGTGTTATGCGTATAAACGGACCAGGGGGTGCCTGGTGGGCGGGCTGGCGGCAAGCCAAGGGTATTTACACAACGCCGTGTTTGATATTAACTATTAGTTACTCAGGGCAAGGGGCAAGAGGACTCTGTTTGATTTCTTGTACTTTATTATGTACTTGGTAGCAGTAGCATTTGGCTGTCCTTGACTTCCTTTGAGTTCCTTCGCTGATGGCAGGGCAGGCATAGCAGCGAGCCGGCCAGGGGCTGGATAGATGCAACTTGATACAGTAGAAACCACAGCAGATTCACACAGAGACAGGCTGTGAATGAAGCATGTCAGCCTCTTAACTACATCTTTATCTCTCCAGAGCTGCAGACTTCCCTTGTTTCTTCTCTGTTGTGTCGCGTCTGCTGCTCTGTGTAGCCCCCCCTGTTACCTCATATCTCGTATCTTGCAGCAGGATGCACACATCAGATGGCTGGGGAGAATGAATAGGACAAGTCCCTTGCATTCCTTCTTATGGCATGGAAGTATACGGGCTGCTCCTAGATGGCCGCAGGCATATTTCGGAGTGGTCTTGCTGCACATTCTGTGAGCGTAGTGCGAGGCGTAGTAGTACTAGGAGAGCATTCGATTAGGAGCTGTTTATATCGATTATACCACTAAAGTCATACCTCTGTACTGCAGATAGATTATAGCAGCAGTGTGAGGATAAAAGAGACGTTGAATATGCGTTGACTGGCTATATGTGTAGATGTTGGTAGAGTGCAAGGAGGATGTTATTGTCTGCTGCACATCTAAACACTCTAAGCAAAGGCAAGGGTTTATGCTGGCAACACAAGAAAGGAAAGGAAAGAAATACAGATAGGTTCATGCTAACTTCAATGGACACCATAAAGAAATAGGTATAGGGAGCCATGGGAATCATGTATTGAAAGGGTATCTGCCTGTCCAATGTTGATACTGGCAAGAAGACCATCCTCTTCTTGAGTACCAAATATACATGTGTGTATATAATAGAGAGATAGGAGCAATCTTAATAGTACATCTACTTGGTTGAAAAAATAACCGAACAGGCGGGTATTGGGGGAGTATGTCGAAGGGGTGAATGAGTCGAATCTCCTCATACTGCTCCAAAACTAGCCTTGCCATAGATGTCATTCACGGGAAGCCTGTAGAAGAGAGCTCGCCCTTCTATGGTAGTTCAGCCCTTCCCTCTCAACTAAGGAGGTTAAGATCCTAGCCGCCTCATGAGCTGTACCAATACCAGGTTAGAAATAGAAACAAACAGTAGGAAAAAAAAAAAAAAGGCCGCTGGAAGAATCTAACTTACATATCTCCCATGAGCTGGCCGAGAGCCGGTCACTAACGGTGCCGATCAATTCTCTCAGCTCGCTTTTAAGCACCTGGACTTCTACCGAGGCGGCTGAGAACTGAGCCTGCTCCCTGTGGTGCATGTTGGCCAAGATGGTTGCAGCAGTTGAAGGAATTGCCTGCAGTGAGAACTGCCGTAGCCCTATCCTCGATGCGTTGCGAGACTGCTCCTTGTTTTCTAGACCGAGGGCTCGAGCCCAGAGGACGAGAAGGCCAAGGAACGCACAATACGTCTGCCATAACGGTCGAGGCTGGGATATGGGCTGGGACAATAACACTCCAAGGCCGGGCTTGACGCTACCGTTGCTGGTGCCTTCCTCTATACATAGACCAACCACTTCGAGGGCGTGCAGGTAGGAATCGTGGCAGACAGGGTCCGTGGACACCAGCCGCGTGTACGCCGCCTGTGCTACTTGAGGTGTAACTGTGCGTCCCGATGAAAAGGCACTTCCAGCTGCCATCTGAATGTCGGACAGGTTGTTCCGCAGTAGCACTGCAGAGAAGTCATACATGACCAGGGCACACCACGATAGCTGACATCGCTGATCAGGGCCCGACAGCTGGTCGAACTGGTCTCGCCAGTACGCTAGTGCGCTGTCAAACTCCAGTCTCTGCAGCTCGCGAATAACCAAACTACTTGAAGACGAGACGGATCGGTACTTTGCATCCCCTATCGCCGACGTTATGCCATGGATAAGGATGTGCAGTGATAGCGGGCTGGGAGTGCTGTGCCAGTGGAGAACCTCACGCATGTGTTCTGCGTCTTTCATGGATAGTATTGATTGCACGGCAGAGTCCAGACTGAAGTACCTTGATCGGGTTGTCTTCTTTAGCTGGCGCATTTCATCCTCCCATTTGACGGCTGACGGTGCATCCCATAGTGACTGCCGGCTCGGAAGGGGTATTTTCATCATGCCCACAGAGAGCAAGGCATGATGGGAGAAGTAGACCATATACTGTACGTCGTTGACAAAGATTGTATGCGCTATCCTACTTCCCTGTAAGCATTGATTCAACTTGGGATTTGATGCATCTCAATGTATCCATACCTGATGACGGATTCGCGCTGTGCCCATTCCCTCCACCTGACATCTGGGGATTGTCGTGAGCCTCCCTCTCGGTTGGGGCCTTCTGTCATAAGATTGTTTCGTCGTGCGAGCTTGCTACCTAGTCAGAAGCAGTTTCTTTTTAGACATGGATCCTTATGGCAAGCTTACCGTGACGATTATCCCGTGCACTATCTCCGACATTTCATGTTCATGACGTGCCATGGCATACGTACAGATGTGTTCGAGGACAACCCTAAATAGTAGTTAGTTTTAATTGACGTCTATATATATATATATATATATATATGTATATTATAGCAGTCCAAGAAAGCCGGGTCCATGAACGAACAATGTCTGTATAAAAGGCATCTCGACCCTTGCACTCATAAGAGGTTTCTATTGATAGATTGTAAGCCTGGTGTATTCAGGGATAGGTTCGGTAGAGTGAAGACAGGTCTGGTTTTCCCACCTCGATAGTCTGAGACCACACATGTCTGTGAAGCAGTTTACCCACTTCATAGTACTCCTGCGTTTTGCTGAGAAACGCTCCGAGACTGCACAATGCGAGGAGCAAAACAGGGGGGGATCGGGACAAATTGAGAGTTGGCCGGTGGAAGAAGGGCATGTATATATCGCAATAATCCAATGCCCAGCGGAGAATCTGGTTCATTCTGATATGGTCCTTTAAAGGGGTATTCAATAGATCCTAAGTTGACGTCAGCTCCGATGCCGCAGACAAATAGATATATATAGAGATGATGAGTCCATATAATACTAATACGTACGGGGCAATGGTTCAGTATCCTCTCATGGTCGAGAGCCGTGATCTGGGGAGCCTCATGCTGGGGGGAGTTCGAACCGATAGACGGAAGGTATATGTCCTGGGCGCAATTGCAATGTATTTTTTAGTAAAGAACAGGCTCATGATATTTCTTGGATATATAAAACGCTCAGCATGGCCATTCGTGTCAGACAACATACAGGAGGCGATGTATGGTCAGCAGTATCCCCGAAATGAAGATTCAGATAGTCGTCCGAGGGCAGATCGAAGAGGCTGGTACTGTGGAACAGCCACGGGTAGTCGTCGAACGGCGAGGGCATGGCCAGGTACGGCTGGTGGGAGTGATGCTGGTGCTGGTGCTGGTGCTGGTGCTGGTGCTGCTGCTGGCTGAGCAGGTGCGGCAGATGGCTCAGGGAGCCCATTGAGCCCTGCAGCGGAGCATGGGGGTGCAGGCCGTGACTGTTACTGTTACTGGTACTGTTGCTGCTGCCACTGCCGCTGCTGCTGGTGCTGCTGCTGTTGTATATATGGATATGGCTGGCGGGATCGGATCGCGGCGAGGGCGACGGGAGCGTGAGAGGCGCCATGGGCGGGAAATGGGCCACGGGAGGACGCCCGACGTTGCTGTAGGCTGCGGGCGCCTGGCTCTGCTGCTGCTCGAGATGCCATTCTGCGGTGGCCGGCGAGGACCTGGCATCCGCCGGGGAGCTGCTGGCGACGACGGGCAGGCTGCTGCTGTTGGCGTTGCTGCTGTTGGCGTTGCCGGCGGAGGGCGAGGGCGAGAGCGGCGCGAGGGCAGCGTCTGAGCCCTCGGAGGCAGACTTGCGCTTCTCATGGCGCCGCAGATGGGCGTTGAGCAGGTCGCTGTCGCCGGCATCGCGAGGTCAGCCTTCGGTCTCTTGTCTCCCCAGCGGTTCTCTGCTCTTCTCTCTCATCGGCCGGGCGGTTACCTACTTGCGGGTGAAGCGTCTCTGGCACAGGTAGCAGAGAAAGGCGCCCTTCTTGTCTGTCCGTCCGGTTAGCTCGCCGCTCGCTCGCACACAGAAGCAGAAGAGAGGAAAAAGGACAGGGAGGAGAAGAGATCACACACGAATCAGCGCATGGCGGTTGAGATGCTCGCTCCTCAGGTACGAGCGGCTGCAGCCCTCGAACTGGCAGTGGAACTTGGCCGGCTTCTGCTGGCTCTGCTGCTGGCTCTGCTGCTGGCTCTGCTGCTGCTGCTCCATCGTTGCGGCGGACAAAAGGGAACTGGGGGGCGGTCAGCTACCTATCTCCCAGGCATGTTTTGTCCGGCCGCCCAAGCCATCCGGGGAGGAATACGAGAGGATAATCTGATGCTCGCTGCTGTGCCTGGGGGCCCGTTGAGATGGCGATGCGAAAAAACAAAAAGACGGACGGCTTCGATGCGAGGATCCAGGGCGAGAGCTGCCTACGGTGCAGACGGCCGGGCTTTTCGTTCCCGTCTTCTCGCTGATTCTCTGCCTCGCTGCATCTCTCGCTCAGCTTCTTCTTCTTCCTCCTCCTCCTCCTCCTTCTTGCTGCCGCCGTGCAGTAGCTACCGAAACGCCGGCCGTCTTCTCCATGGTGGTGCTGGAGTGCTCGATGTCGGCTCTGGGGGAACGTTGTTGATATAATGTTGATATAGGGTTGTCCCGGCTGGAGGCACAACGGGGGACAACGCGGCGAAGACGACGGCGAGGTGGCATGGCTGGCCTGGTGTCCCCATCGTCTGGGGCCTCGACTATTGCCTGACGGTTCTCTAACTACATGGCTGGCAGAGCCGTCTTTTAGAGATACAGGCGGTCCGGCAACTGCATGGATGGCTACGCACATCTACTACGGCGGTGACACTGGGCGGATGACATCCCCCCCCCCGGGCGTGAGACGGCCTCAATCCGCGAGAGATGCGATGGACGCTTGCATGAGCTGAGGGAAAAGCCCGAGTTATCCAAGATTACTGCTGTGCAACGAGCTGCGTACGCATTTTCGTCTTGTGGTGGTGGGTTTTGCTGTGCTGGCCGACTTTTATATGCATCATCATCATCATCATCCCACGGAGCCATCTCGGACACCGTCTATCGAAAAAAAAAAAAGGGCCTCACCCCCGAGAATTGACCATACGATACGACTGATGTGCTATATTCGTTCTGGCAGTCGCTGCTCTTGCGAGATCCAGAGAACGGCGGATGGATATACAGGATATCCAGCACTCGGCCGGTCTATCAAACATACAGCTTTGGCTATCAACGAGGACCGCACCCCCCGGCCGCAGGCAATAATAGCAGCAGCATTATTGTTATTATTATAATAACTAGTTATCATATTCACATTCACGGCTCTGCTTCGGCCTGTGACATGCAGGCCACACATCAGCCGCCTCTTGCCATTCGCCCAGATAACGCAACCCCGTCCAGGCCCTTCCCACCCCCACGATCGGTTGATGGCTCGAACTTCCCTGGATACGTCCTCCACCGGGGGGAGGGTCGAGGTCCCTTTATTTTGTCTCGCCCGCCGCCGTGCTCTCCGCCTAGACGTGTCGAGCTCTCCACGGGTTCTAGTCCTTCGCTTTTGGCCACCTGCCCTGCGCAAGCGAGGAACGCTGGGGCTGTCAATCGCTCGCCGCAGAGCCAGTAGTGTAGGGAGGCCAATGGTGTCGGCCCCGGGTGTCCCTGTCCCACACTGCTTATTCTTTTTGGCTTTGGCTCTGGTTTCTTTTTTACCGTGCGGCACAGCGCCATGGAGCAGCCGATCGAGCGTTTCATTCGCTCTCGCATATCAGCAGCGGGCTGGAGCGTTGCCTATCATCCAATAGCTGGTTGTCCCTCACTCCTCGGGGGTTTCCCTTGCTGGGTCCTTTGATGAGGAGGGAAAAAATGGCTTGCTGGAGCCAAAAAAGCGAGCCCATCACTTAATTATATATGACAGCTCATAGAAGCCAGCCAGAGTCGAAGCCATTCTTCCACTCTCTCAGAGACACACAATGACATTCTTCTTCCCCAGACTCTTCAATGTCACTGCTTTGCTTCATAAGACCGAACGGTTGTGTCTCCCCTCCCGTTACCCCCTCATCAGTGATGTTTGACTGCACCGTCCGGGGACTGTAGGCAGATTAAAAATATGATGACATAGGAGGCACTCTCACCGGAGAATGTGCTGAGTTTTCGAATAATCTGTCGCATCTGCAAAGGCAACAGCCTCTCAAGCGAAGATGGAGTGGTCTTCAGAGCATCTCGTCGCAATGAGTACCCTCATAGGCAGAGGTGTGCTGGTATGACTTCCTTCTACTCTCCTGCAACCCCCTCCCACTTCCTCCTCCCTCCCTCCCTCCTCTCTCTCTCTATATATATATATATTCATAACTTGGGTGGACATGCAGCTAATGACTTACCATCAAAAGGATCCAAGCAATGATCCAAATATTGGATCGGCACGAGGAAGTAACAAATCCTCCACGTCGGATGCACTCCAGACTGTGGGGATAACGGCGTCTACGTCCGGAATGGCATTGCTTTCCACTTTCCTTCCCGCATTCATCCTGGCTGTTGTTTGTTTCCTGATATTCCTCGTCTGCCGTCGAACCCAACGCCGATTTTACTCCCCGAGGTCATACCTCGGGCATATGCATGACCAGTACGTTGTGATTGATTCTTCACATCAGGGGACGTGCAGAATGAAATGTTATATCTAATGCATGAATTGTTGAACAGTGAACGAAGCCCGGAACTTCCCTATGGGTTTATTAACTGGATAGGGGATTTTATCCGCCTTTCAGATAGCCACGTTCTCCGACACTCATCCTTAGATGGCTATTTCTTCCTTCGGTTTCTCAAGAAAATGTCCCTACTGAGCTTTATTGGATGTTGCATCACTTGGCCCATCTTGATGCCGGTAAATATCACAGGAGGCGCGGGAAATACCCAGCTGGATCTCCTCACCTTCAGCAATGTTGTTAATCCCAAGCGGTACTATGCACACACAATTGTCTCTTGGATATTTTTTGGTGAGCGAACACTAGTCCCCCTTGTTTAGATACTCCGTGACCGACTACGAGGGGTCGCCAATTACTCTTTCTAACTTGTTGGTAGGGGTTGTCTTCCTCATGGTATGTCGTGAAAGCATCTTTTACGCCGCTCTCCGACAAGCCTACCTGCTCTCGCCGCTATATGCTGACCGGATCTCCTCCCGGACCGTGTTGTTCATGTCTGTTCCACAGTCTTACCAGAACAAGGCGAAGCTATCCAAAATATTCGGTGACTCAGTCAAGCGTGTCTGGACATCAGAAGATACCTCAAAGCTGGCGAGGCTTGTTCGTAGGCGAGATAGACTTGCATATAGCCTCGAAGATGCCGAAACTAGATACGTTAAAGCTGCGCATGCTGCTCGCCTGAAGGCGCTGAAGAAACAAGGCCGAGACCCAGAAGTCTCGTTGGAACAAGCTGCGGTTAAGCAGAACAGTAACGAATCCGATCTCGACCAGGCTCCTTGGCTATTGAATGTTAAGCGCCCTTCAAGACTAGCCCACTACTTCTTTGGCGAAAAGGTCGATATAATTGAAGACCTGCGTTCTCGTCTTGCTACACTTATCCCAAGGGTCAAGGATTTGCAACAAGAACATCGAGTCGGCGAAGCAAAGACTGTAGGTGGAGTGTTTGTGGAATTCACCACCCAGCGAGAAGCCCAAATCGCATACCAAACGCTCTCACATCACCATCCCTCCCAGATGACGCCTCGATTCATCGGAATACCACCACATCAGGTACTCTGGCCTGCACTACGCTATTCATGGTACCAAAGAATCGTCAGAAAATTTGCCATGCAGGGTTTTATTACCGTCATGATTATCTTCTGGTCCATTCCATCCGCCTTGATTGGATCAATTTCCAACATCACCTATCTCACCAACCTTCTCAAATTTCTCAAGTTCGTGAATGAACTGCCTTCTTTCATCAAGGGAATAATAAGTGGCCTTCTTCCTGCAGCAGGACTAGCTATATTGATGGCAGCAGTTCCCTGGATTATGAGATGTATGAAACTCCTGAACCTGAGCTTGTAAACCGACCTCGTCCTAACGTTGTTGATCTAGGGTGTGCCAGGCAGTCGGGTGTCCCCTCAACGGCTAAAGCAGAGCTGTTCACGCAGAATGCACATTTTTGCTTCCAGGTGGTGCAAGTATTCCTGGTAACTACCATTACATCCGCGGCGTCTGCAGCTACAAGTCAAATTATCAAAAACCCACTCTCGGCCAAGGACCTACTGGCAAAGAACCTACCAAAGGCTACGAATTTCTACATCTCGTACTTCCTTTTCCAAGGATTGATGCTGAGCTCGGGGGCTGTGGTACAAGTCATCGCATTCCTGATTTTCAAGTTCTTTCGGACCTTCTTTGACTCTACGCCTCGAAAGTTATACTCACGCTGGGCTGCCCTTACTGGAGTATGGTGGGGGACAGTTTTCCCGGTGTTCACAAATATGACTGTTATAGGTAGGCAGAGCTGTCATCCTTCCTTGATATATTTTGGTAATCTAACATAAAGAAACGTTCTAGCAATCACCTACAGCTGTATAGCTCCCTTGGTCCTTGGCTTTTCTGCTCTTGGGCTTTATCTGGTATACCAGGCCTATCGATATAACCTGCTATTCGTGTACGAACCTGTTATCGACACAAAGGGCCTGGTATATCCCCGCGCACTTCAACAAGTGTTAACGGGTGTTTACCTAGCAGAAGTATGCATGTTTGGACTTTTTGCCATCCGTGCGGCGATTGGCCCCATGGTCTTGATGGGCATGTTTACGGCGTTTACAGCACTATGTCACATCTCTCTAAATGAAGCACTGGCACCTTTGCTCTCCGCATTACCTCACACCCTCAACAACGAAGACGACTGGACGTGTACAACGCCAAGCGATCTTGAAAAGCCTGAGTTCTTGTCCCGAAGCATGACCAGTGGCAAGGAATTCTTACCTCGACGCCAGAGCACATTGACTCTAGCTGAGATTACTACTGCGCCTGACTCGATATGGGACAAGCTCAAAAATTTCCGCTGGTGGCTTTTCCATCCCAGCATATATGCTAACTACGCGGCGCTGCGGGAGAAGATACGACAGGATCCATCTATCCCCTACGACGAACATATCTCGGACAATGCGTATTACCCGAGTTGTGTATACAGCCCGCCGCCCCTTCTCTGGATCCCACGAGATGCCGGGGGTGTAAGTCGACAGGAGGTCGAGCTTACCAGCACCATTATACCCATGACCGACAACGAAGCCCATCTTGACGAGAAGAACAAGGTGGTGTGGGATAAGGTCGGCATGAAACCACCTATATGGGAGGAAAAAGTGTTTTACTAGGCACTTTTGGCCCTGCAGAGCCCACCCTCTCCGCCCCTTTTTTTTATTTACATATTTTGATGATCAACGGCAGATCAAATGTCCATTTTTATACGATGAACAGTATTTACATATCTTCTAACGATAAATAATAGGCGACAAGCTCCATCTATGCTTGATGCAGCCAAGGCAGCAGCTATTTTATTTCAACCAAGCATCAGGCTTTGCTTAGATGGGACAGGCTATAACAGAACATTTCTAACCAACCAACTAGTTACTAGTTATTTTAATTCTACTGCCTTTTTCCTACCTTTTTTTTCGCCTCAATGTAGCACCTGACGCATTCTATGACTATGTCCTTCTCTCCTTTCCGTTCGTAGGGGCCGTTTCTGACTGTTTCTGACCCCCTCCAGCCCTCAAAAGCCTCTCTGCAAGAGTCACAATGAATCATGGCAAGCCCGAGTTGATGAGTCAGCGGGAAGCGCCCGAACAGCGCCTGGAGAAACAGCTGGCTAACCAACTAGTTAAACTAAATAAATATAACTGCAAAATTGAACGCTGCATCCCAGGGCGCCGCGCACCTTTTCTCTGCTTTCTCTCCCCATAGAAACGAAGATTTTCCTCGATCGTTATATACTCTCCTTCTTCCGGACTCATATCATACCCGTGTTTTGCGATAATGGCAGACCAAGCTACAACAAACCCATCGGGCACCCCTCAATCAAGAGAAGCAACCAGAGGCAGAGGCAATCGAGGCAGCAGAGGCAATCGACGAGGCGGTACCACAGCTACTGGAGGTGGTTCTTCTCACGTTGACCCTAGCCAGCAGCAGCGTCGACATAACCAGGGAGGGAGTGGCGGAAGAGGTCGCGGCAGAGGCGGCGGCGCACACAGCGAGGGACGCGGGGGGAGGAATCCACGACGTGGAGGAAATCGAACGCAGGATGGAGACGGCAGACATGACGACGGCAGTGAGCCGCCAGGAGCGGGTGCTGAGGGCACTGGCACCTCCGGTGTTCGCCTGACCGGAGATGCCAAACGTTCGCAGGGCGAAGAGAAGCCGGCGCAGAAAGCTGGAGGTTCTGCGGCCGGAGAAGAGGAAGAGGCTGACGAGAACGAGATATGCTTCATTTGTGCCTCAAAGATTGACCATATGTCAGTGGCGCCTTGTAACCATAGGACTTGTCATATCTGCTCCCTTAGGCTGAGAGCACTTTACAAGACCAAGGCCTGTGCTCATTGTCGAGTAAGTCTGCATACAGCCCTTCGGTTTTGATGGCGGAGTATTGACAGTATTATGATCATAGACCGAGTCCGATTTTGTTATATTCACCAACAGTCCCACAAAGAGATACGAGGAATTTACCAACTCTGACTTTGATCGTTCTGACGATAACCTGGGGATAAAATATGAGCACTTCGACATCTTTGAGGACACCGTCTTGTTGCTCCGATACAATTGCCCGGACAGTGATTGTGATGTCGCATGTCTTGGGTGGCCAGACTTGCATCGCCATGTCAAAAGTAAACATGCTAAGGTGATGTGGTAAGTTCTGTCATCTATCTAGTCAAAGAAACGTGGAGCACGTCCGTACTAATTAGATTAATAGTGATCTGTGTACACGGAATAAGAAAGTTTTCACCCACGAGCATGAGTTATTTACACCTGCGTTGTTGCGAAAACACGAAAGATATGGTGATGATAACCCTGGTGCCGTTGATCAAAGTGGGTTTAAGGGGCATCCGGAATGCGGATTCTGTCGCCAACGCTTCTACGGAGACGATGAGCTCTACTCACATTGCAGAGACAAACACGAGAGATGCCACATCTGTGATCGGAGGTCTGGAGGCAGCAACCCGCAATACTATGTTGATTACGATGCACTGGAGAAACACTTCAGCAAGGACCACTTCTTGTGCCTTGATAAAGAATGCTTGGATAAGAAGTTTGTTGTTTTTGACTCGCAAATGGACCTCAAAGCACACCAACTTGAAGCTCATCCCTCTGGGTTATCAAAAGATGCAAGGAGAGATGCCAGACTGGTGGACATGTCAACATTTGATTATAGATCTCCTTACCAACCAACCCGCCAGCGTCGTGATGGTCGTGACGGTCGTGACGGTAGGGGAGCTGGCAGAGGCCGTGACCCTAATTCTGAACCAATTCCGCAATCGAGTGCCCAGCCATTACGGAGAGACGAACTTGCTTACCAGCGCCAGATGGCTATTCAAAGTTCCCAGTCAGTTTCTACAAGAACATTTGGTGGGCAACTTACCTCTTCGCGACCTACAGCAACTTCATCCGCTCCCACTACCCAGAGGTCTACTCCCGCAGCTACACCCGCAGCGAGAGCAACACAAAATTCAGGGCTACCTTCTATAGAAGCGCTTGATCTTGGACAGCCGACAGCCCCAGTAACACCGCAGGACCATGCTAGACAGGCAGCACACTCAGCCGTTATGGACCGCGCATGCTCTCTTCTCCAAAATGACAAAAGGAAAATTAACGATTTCCGAGGAAAGGTCTCACAGTACCGAAGCAACGCCATTGGAGCCAACGAGCTCATAGAAGCATTCTTTTCGCTCTTCGATACGTCTTCAGTAGAATTGGGAAAACTAATAAAGGAGCTTGCTCATATCTATGAAGACGAGAATAAACGTACGGGCCTTCTAAAAGCATGGAATGACTGGCGTGCGATCAATGAAGACTATCCAGCACTTCCAGGGCCCAGTGGAACAACCCCTTACACTGGAACTGCCAGCGGATTTGGCTCAGGTAAAAGAGTATTACGTTTAAAATCATCTACAACGCAGTCCTCCAGATCAGCCTCCGGCCAGAACTCCAGACTCTCTGGAATACTTCCTTCTAACACCACTTCTAACCCATTTCCTCCACTTTCTAGCAATACTACCGGTCGAAAAGCCACTCCAGGAGGCAATGCATGGGGAACAACGCCTGCCATATCTTCTGGCCCAAGCAGCTCTGGCTCTAGGCCCTCGGCTTCTGCTTCACGGCCAAAAGTTGCTAGAGATGCCAATGCATTCCCTGCCCTTCCAGCAGCTCCTAAGCCGAATACCCTTATGGCCGGTCTCACTCGTGGAACTGTGAGATGGGATGATCGAAATGCTGCCAGTGCTAGGCCTTCTGCTTGGGGCTTATCAAGTGACCCAACACCTGCAGAATCAGATTTGTCCGCTTCTCAAGATAAAAAAGGGAAGGGTAAAAAAGGGAAACAAGTTCTCTACCATTTTGGCTAAATGGGTTCATTGGAAATGCAGCTGCATCAGAAAATGTATTCTTATCTTATGCTGCGTTTGTTGAGCGTGTCGCTTCGGAAATCAGGTGCATCCAGTGAGATTTTTATTCCCTTTACTTTCTCTTCTTTGTTCACGAGTACTTAAGAAGCAAGCAATTTCCCTGACATAGCTTTGAAAAGTGTACATATCCCATGTTTTAGCTGCCTAGCTCATAATCTCGCACCATAGCAAATACAAACTCGAGTATTAAAAATAATATACATATCATACACCCGTAATACAGTAACATCCCGAGGAACATATTACCATGCTTTTCGATGAACTAGTTACTCGTTTGAAGTACAAGAGTGAGTAGTGTCTAACTTCCCGCTGTCAATATTTAGGAGCAGCTCACTATTGCCGAAAGAATAGCTGGCTGAACCTCTAGGTCGTTTGAGGTTTGATGTTGGATCTATGGGTATGATGGGAAGCGATTCTCTGGAAACCTGAGACACGGCTTCCATATGCTCGTGGTCTTCTTGGGACTCTTCAGTTTCTCTGGGTTCCGGTGAAGTTTCGCCGTCGCCTATGTTAGATTCTGTTTCGGCTTCGATATCCGTCATCCGTAAAGTGAACTCCCTTTGGAGCCTGAGAAGCCATTCTCTAAGTGCTTCATCTTCCATGGTCCCTTTGTGAGCATGCATCAGCTGTTCTCCTAATGTCAAGAGGAGTCTGCGCCGTTTGGCCAGAGAAATAATTGCAGGAGACTTTGCTCTATTTTGTGCCGCCAGAGCAAGATGACTTGACACTTCCTCGGCTACCTGTATAAGGTATGGAGGTAAAGAGAAAATTCTGGCGAGTGCGAGGCCATAATGCTGTTCCTGTACATATCCATCAACTATTTTATATAGCATAGTGATTTTGGACCTCGGGTCGGACATATCAACAGCAAGATGCAAATTTATAACTCCGCTGCGATGCTCCATAATCCTTGGTAAATCATGGAAATGGGTAGTGAACCAAACTAAGGCATGAGTTTCCAGTAGAGCTTCCGCAATAGCAATTGAGATGGCAAGCCCATCAGCTGAAGCGGTTCCACGACCTAGTTCGTCTATTATAACCATACTCTTTGAGTCAACGTTCCGTAAAATAAATGCCACTTCTCTCATCTCAGTGGAAAAGGTCGACACGTTGGTAGCCTGGTTATCATCTGTTGATACGCGAGCGAACAGTTGATGTACAATCGCGAATGAGGCATACTGCGCAGGAACAGAGCTTCCAATTTGCGCCATTACTGCCATCAGGGCAAGCGACCGGATATATGTACTTTTTCCACTCATATTGCAGCCAGTTATTATCTGAAACCGGGACTGTGATGAGGCGTAAACATCATTGGGTATATATTTTGTTGAGTGGATTTTCTCTCGAATCGGATGCCTTCCGGCCTTGATGGCGAGAGTATCTGTGATTTCAGGGCGCACATAATCCTGCATTGTATGTAGGTAGGAAAAGGCTGCAATCATATCTAGTAGAGCAACTGCCTCGCTGATACGGAACAAGCTAGATATTTGAGACCTAGCGTTATCTATAAGCTCTTGGATGCTCCGATCACTCATGCTAACCACCTCGTTATGGGAGTCTGTTATTTTTTGATTCATCTTGACAAGGTCCAGGGTTTGAAATTCCACATATGCTTTTTTCCGATAAACATTGATAAAAATATCTGGCAGTACCACACCTGGGAGATCGGTGGATTTTACACGGAAATAATAGTGACGGCCAGATTCAAACCTCAAGTCCAATGGGATATTGTACTCCTCTATGCAAGTTAGTCGCAATCTTTGATAGCAACGACGAATATATACATTACCAGTAAGACGAGAACATAGCTCTGAAACATCGTCATTGGCCTCCTTGTAGGTTTGTCTTGCAACGTCGAGAAGATTGTTAACTCCAGCCTATACTGTTAGGACCTGAAAGAAGTTCATATATACCTAATCACTCACTTTGACGGCGTAAGTTCTGTGATTGCGTAAATCGAGGGCACTTGTTTGGTATCTAACATCGTCGTTTAGCGTTTCCTTGAGAATAGTTTGAACAGGGTCATAGTTCCTGGGAGAGCATAGCTGTGTTCATTGTTAGAGGGGTCAAATATCAAGAACATTGGCTATAAGCTCATCTACTTGCATCACGTATTGTCTCTAAGAGGCTGGATTTTGCTCCAGCTAACGCTTCATGGATGGGCCGTATACAAGATACGAATGTTTTCAGCATGATGACGTTGTTAATAGACTGTTCAGCAAATAAAAAGCTTGGCTTCGTTGGAATAACCGTCAACTAACGGTTGAATATTAGTATCACTACGCCTCTAGTCTTTGGGCAAGGGTGATTATAGCATACAGCCGTGAGTACTCGGTCGGAGTCAACAAATGGCTTGAGGGCTATATAGTATATTTCTTAGTTTCCTGCAGATGCTCGGGATTGGAGACCAACCTTGTCTAACAGCAAAAAACATTCCCTCGTTTGATGACAACTCTTCGACAGCATCATATCTGGTGTTTAGTTTAGAAACTTCAGTAGAAGGCTGTAGGATGTTGCTTCTCAGTAGCCTGGCACCCATGGGTGTGAGAGTTTCATTCAGTATGCCGAAAAGACAGTCCTTTGACTTTGCATTTTGCAAGTTTTGAATAAGTTCCAATGAGACAATAGTAGCTAAATCAATCATCATAGACCCTTCAGATGGTTCATATCTTAGTCTGAGAGAGTGGGGTGCAAAAGTCACTGAAAGTTCTAGCTCGATATATGATAAGACCTTGAGGGTTCGTCAGCCGGTGCTTGCGTCTAGAGGTACTCAGAGAGGGTGTATACAGCTGCGAAACAGCAGGCAGAGAAATAACTGCCCTCTAAAGCCATTTTGATGGTTTCCGTGTCTTCTTTGAAGGCTAATCGCTCAACATAGTCATGACAGTTCTGCTCAGACCAGTGTTTCCTATCGAATGTAATGATCCGGATATGGGGGAGGTTCTCCTCAAAAATAGCATATAATTTTGAAAGAGGTTCTTTGGAAGTGTTCATAAAGAGCACCTCCGAAGGTTCAAATACGGCAAGCTTGTGGACTGTTCTAGCATAGGTCTGGGTATCACAAATCTGTGAAAGAACAGCTTCTGATGTAGACAAGTTGATAAAAGCCAATCCAACGGCTGGAGAGATGCCCCTGGATTCACTTATAGCACATATAATCTCCCGGGATGCTGCAGTAGTTGCTGCTGTTGCGGGTCGAGTTACTCGATGTCCTCCGACAGCCGTCCTGCTGGTACTTGGGCGGGTGGACCTGGTATCCGGTGTAAACGGGTATAAAGGGGTAGACGAAGTGCGACTAGGCATTTCGACAGTAATATTAATTCCACGCCTTCAAGATAACGAGATACGCCAGCTTCTCCCCAATGTTTCTCGCCATTGAATGAGGTTAACGTCTTGTCGAGGCGTCGCGACGTTCCTTTTCCCATTTTTTGACGTTGTATGATATTACATAATCAGATACAAAGTCTATTTTAATGGTAATCCTAGATTCAAGGGTTCCCATTGGACAGAAAACTGTGCAGAGACTTTCACGTTAGAATCGGATCTTATCTACACGTGACAAGCAACCGCCGATAAGATTAGCTCGAGATAAACCATTTTTTTCCCTTCATTGCTCTCTCGACGTTTATTTGGAGTGCGATTGATCAAGATTCCATCAGAGGGGGCAGAGAAACACAATAACGAAATGGCAACAGTGTTACCTCCCCCTAGTAAACGCCAACGGCGCGAAATCGATGAAAAAGCACGACAACAACAGGAGATTGATTCAATCCCAGAGGATTTGGGAAGTGTTCGAGTCCAATTTTTTGACCAGTCTACTGGGACTGCTTCCGGCCCGGCCGTGGCCGTTCCTTTGGGCGATGCAACGGTGAAGAATTTAGAGATCCTACTGAATACGCTTCAAGGACATGTATGTTGCCCCGCAATACCTTCGGGACTCTGAGTTTACTAATGCTTTAACAGGATGATCACGAAAGGATTCCGTATAGATTCACATACAAGCAAGAAGATAAGGATGGGAATGTAATTGATATTTCATCCGACCTGTACCACTCTCTTCTTCAACCTGGTATAAAGACAGCTGAGGACATCATCCATTTACAATATACTCCACAAGCTGTATTCCGCGTCAAAGTTGCATCAAGATGCTCTGCTTCAATATCAGGACATGGAGAAGCTATATTAGCAACATCTTTTGCCTCATCATCGTCTTCGCGGATGGTGTCAGGCAGTGGTGATTCCACTGCGCGAGTATGGGATTGTGATACGGGAACCCCCCTCCATACGCTTAAAGGCCATACCAGCTGGGTTCTGGCCGTAAGTTGGTCACCTAACGACAACATAATAGCTACAGGAAGCATGGATAATACCGTCAGGCTCTGGAACCCTCGTACGGGTCAAGCCCTAGGAGCACCCATGAAAGGGCACACAAAGTGGATTATGGGTCTTGCCTGGGAGCCATATCATCTACAAAGTCCTGGGAAACCCAGACTAGCTTCTGCATCTAAAGATTCAACGGTCCGAATATGGGATGTCGTGTCCAGACGAATTGAAACTGTATTAACGGGCCACAAGGGATCCGTATCATGTGTGAAATGGGGTGGCCTTGGTAAAATATATACCTCTTCTCACGACAAGACCATCAAAATATGGAATTCAGAGAGCGGGAGTCTAATACAAACGCTATCTTCCCATACTCACCGTGTCAACCATCTAGCACTATCAACGGATTTCGTCCTTCGTACGTCCTTCAATGAACACAACCAAAAGCCACCAGATAAAGAAGAGGAAAAGATAAAACTAGCAAAGGAGAGGTTTGAAAAAGCCGCCACGGTCAATAATAAGATATCCGAAAAATTGGTCTCTGCAAGTGATGATTTCACTATGTTTCTATGGGACCCAGAGGCATCAAGCAAACCGGTTGCTCGAATGTTAGGCCACCAAAAGGAGGTCAATCATGTCACATTCTCCCCAGACGGAATATATATTGCTTCTGCCAGTTTTGATAACCATGTGAAATTGTGGAATGCTCGAGATGGGAAGTAAGTATAAGGTATCGACCCTACTCTATGAAGCAGATAGGCCTAACCGTGATCTCGCAGGTTTATATTTTCTCTTCGCGGCCATGTTGGACCTGTATATCAATGTTGCTTTTCTGCAGACTCTAGGCTTCTAGTCTCTTCCTCTAAGGACACTACTTTGAAGATCTGGGATGTCCGAACAGGGAAGCTGACTATGGACTTACCTGGCCATCAAGATGAGGTATATGCAGTTGACTGGAGCCCAGATGGAGAGAGAGTCGGAAGTGGAGGAAGAGACAAAGCAGTACGAATATGGAGGCATTAGTAACTTGCTGGAAAACCTGTAGATACAATTGTTCCTGTGGCCGAAAAGAGCACCAGCCGAGTCGGGCGATCAGTTAGTCACATTAACAACTATTAAGATACTAGTTACTTTCATCTCATGATTATGCAGTAACTGGAGCTATCTGGATAATACTGTATATCAATTACCTCGGGGTGGATTCACACTTTAGGCAATTGTTGTTCAGTTGCGGCAGATGGAATATTTAGACGCTTCAAAAACCTGTCATGTAGGCTCCCATAACTTGGATACGAGAAGTATATAGTGCAGAAGTTCTTCTCAAACATAGCACAGCTTTGAAACATGAGGTAAATCTTAGAAGAAGAACACGAAGCTGAAGATTTAACCCGGAGATCAAGAGAGGGCGTCACATCACAGAGCATCCAACGCCATACATGGCTTTCTCAACGCTATTTTTGACTTGGTACCAGTCAGCTCGTCGTTCAGCAAATTCATAGGCTTCTTCAGCACGGAAGATCCCATGAAAACGGCTGGCATCTGAGATAATAGAAGCTATCTCCTTCGAGTCTGAGGTATCAATTAGGTAAACCTGAGATAGTTCTCTTAGGGCCTTGAAATAAAGGAGTAGCTGTTCGTTTCTCATGGACTGGATGAGTCCGAAGTAATGGTTCATATCACTGTTTAAGTATTAGTGTCTTCCTTTGTTAAACCACTCCGAAGTTAGGGTATTCAAACCTTATAAGTTTGACAGCACCTTCTATGCTGATTCGATGCCGCTTTATGTGTTTGCAAAGTGCATTAAAAAGACGAAGACCGATTTCCTGGTTGAACACATCCAATGTGCTTTTGTCCGTTCCACCAATAAGCATTCTCGTGTGGGACGAAATGACCTGTACGATGGCTTTGGCAGCCTCACTTGGACCAATATCGGCTGTTCTCTGTGATGGATCAACTGCTTCAGGATGGAAATCCCCAATCGATTGTTTGGTGGCCAGAAGATGTTCCACCTCCTCCACTAACACATCGATTCCCTTATTTAGCCCTGCAGCAACTCGCTCATCAAGTTTCTGTTCAAATTTCCGTTTTCCCTTCACAGCCGGGTCAAGAAAATCATTCCGGTCAGTCAAGCCAGCAGCAACCAGTTCCTGTTCATAAAATACGTCTAACATCTGGAGGATCAAGTCTCCCACGTTGACTAACTCCAGAAAAGTAACAAGGGGCTCAACACCGGATTTTTCTTCAGCCTGTTTGCGAGGACGATACTCCGATAGATGATTGACAGCTCTGTCGAAACCGGCAATGACATGGCGATGTCCCAGACTATCAAGAAGTGAGACAAAGATAGCCTCGCACTGAGCTTGTGCAGCTTTTCCCAACCCCCCTTTAAGACCCACAAATTGTGCGGTCCTTTCCAAGCTTGACTTCGCAGCGTGAACTAGGTTCAGTGCGACTTCAATGCTGAATAGGCTCCGGATGCCCTCTAGTTTAGAATTCATAATCGCTGCCTTAGCTGCGAATTCCGTCGTTGGAAGTTCAGCTGGAGTGGGAGGAGTAGGCGGAGCAAGGATGACAGATGAACGGCTAGACGACTGTGTAGCCTTAGCCATTGCCTTGTTAGCTCCGCCCTTTTTTGGCTCCGTGCTTTTATATAGACCTGGGATCATATTCACTGGGGCCATTATCACTTTAGTAAACGAGCTTAGGAAGTCACGTTTATCAGCCTGTCGGTTATGTATATTGGACATGTATAGTGATTCCGTGCTGGCGGCTTGTTCAGACAGCTGTCTATCCCAATCGCCAACGATTGATTCTGAGTGTAGCCGAAATTGGTCCAATTCCTCTGCAAGGTACAGGTCAACATGAGGCTCAAAAGTTCGTTCGATAGCTTCCCGAGCCAGTTCCTTGAACTTATCACTAGATACCTGGATTGGGTTCAGCTCTCGGATAAAGTTCAATGATTGGGTGAATGTTCCCGGCAGTGTCTGGATGTAAGCTGCCTTATTCGTAGATTGAAGAAGGTCAAGCAAAGGAAGAAAGTATGGAGAAAGTATGTCTTTACATATCTTTTCCAGAAATAAGGATGATACGTTTGGACCATTCGGAAAACATCGATTTATGTAAGTTGCCTCCTCGTTGAAGGCCACACTGAGCCTAGTCAAAAACGCATGAGTGTGATTGAGGGACACTGTGCCTGTATCTGCATCGAACCCATCCATGGGGCTTCCAAAATCTGCTTTCTGTTTGATTATATGATTTTGATAAATCAATAACTCAACAGCTGCCGCGCCTCCATTAAGGGTGGTTAAAACCTGCGCATAACGCGGCATTATATCATCAGAATTCCCATTCTCATAACCGTTCTTGAACTCTCGTAAAGCAGCCCTCTCAAATACGGATATAACATTAGTCAGCTTCTTTCTGCGCGCTGTAGACCCAAGGCCCATATCAACATTCGAGAAACGGTTGAGCTCTGACAATAGCAAGGCTTGCTGTTCAGGCTTATCATAGGACTTGAAAACCGAGGAATCAGTCGGGTTCTCCATTTTTATGATATCCTGGTAGTAGGGGTTTAGAGACTCGTGAATTTTCCCGTACTCCTCCCTTGCTCTACCTCGAGTCGAGCGAGCATCTCGGAGCGCAGCCAAGGGGCCTGTGATTTCAGCTTCAACCTCGGCATTGAATTCGACGATATCAAATCCACCGGTATCAGTAATGTTACCATTAGACTTGTGGGAATCCAATTCAGTTGTTGTAGGCTTGGAGCGTGTTTTCCCGCCATGTGGGCGGTCAGCATCCTTTTCTGAGCCCTCTGCCGCACTCCTTGCTTCCGCCTCATTCCAACATCCTATCTGCTTTAGGAATCTGACCCATCTTGTGTCATCGTACACCATCTCGTGCATTTTCTTTGACGTTCTTGCAACGGTTATAAGGTCGGTGGGGGAAAGATAGTCAAGGATTGAGGCCATGATTTCTATAACTATCACGTTAGTATTATGACTATAAAGCAGATCAATAAAACATGCTGTCCATGGCATACCAGCAGGAAGCAAGGGCTTCACCACTTCAATCTGAGCTAGCTTCAATGGTGCAAGTACATCCCTTCTTGGTGTCCGAGGCACCTTTGAAGTTGGTCTTTGCTTGATGGAACTTGTCATGGTGGCCGCGAAATACTATAATCAGGAAAGTAGGAGGGGACTTCGGATATATATATATGTATAGGTGTATTTCCGCTTTCACATTGACCTAAATTGCAAATAACGAGTATCATCCACGATCACCAGTCATAGGACACGGGGGTAGGCTTGAGAATTCCCCTAGAAAGTTAGCGACAACGATCAAGTGGAGGCAAAAGGAGGAGACCATATTATCATGATAGTATGATATTTATAGCTAGCTCTCCACTTATTAGTTGTAAGTGTTGGAATGTATCGTAGCTTCTTGATCATCAAGCTACAAATCAATTTTATCAAAGATATCATGATGCATCGACTACTGAGCAACTATCTAACTAACAAGTTAACTAACTCATTGATCCGCGATCTTCCACGTGATTTGAGGCTCGGCCTTGCTTACTTCTGGGGCGATAATGCAATCAACAGGACGGAATCTCTCTAGCAATATATGACCGAAGATTATATGTTATTGTACAAGTATCTCGATAATATATACACATGGCCTGTGATGATGTAAGTGTGTGACGAGAAAAAGAGAAATGACGTTGAAGGCGGTAACAGAAGTGTTCATGGCAGTATAAGCACTTCGTCCCTTTTGGGAGTATCAAAGTCGCGTTTGAAGACTTCATCAACGACTCTTTACTATAACAATCTCCAGTTATTTGTCCATTATTTATTTACGCTGAGCTTTACGAATAGTTGTTAGTTCTTCAATAGGCAGGATAATGGGGCAGTCGGTTGTAAGGGCAATAAATACCCCAATACTTCACGTCGAGGCAAGGCTGAGCACCACTGATGGTGGGACTATCACGAGAACCGATATTGTAGGCACCACCTGAGCAACATATATAGCTTTTCCGGCTCGCTGACTGAGGATTCTGGGCTGTTTTAGGTACGCGACGAAGTCGCGCGATGGCTTATCGACAACTTTGCTGTGCTAAGTATAGGGCAGGAGATACGAACCTTTGGTACCGACATTCATCAATTAGCCATTTGTGGTGGAACTAATAGAATGAGCCATACAGGCGGTTTCAAAGGGCCTCATTCAACGTATCTTGACTCAGTCAGGGTGATAGAGTGCTCCGGAATGCAATGTGAAAGCGAGACGATTCGTTTAGATGTTGTCAACCTAGACATCCAAGCGTATCAACTCCGTGCCTCTGAACCCGAGAATTTATCGCAGGACCATGACGGTGAGAAACAAGATGAATACTCTCCCCAAGCACGGGTGATGCCATTGCCAAACAAGGAACTAGATGGTATCTGGGAATCGTACGACATACCAGGCGTTTTGTAAAGCGTGGTTACATGGGTTGACTTTCTAGACTCTTGTTTGACCAGCAGATACATACAAATCTGCTTCATGCAGTCAGTCGAATGCGTCAGTATCTTCTCCATACCAAAAATAATTAGCAACAAAAGCTAATGACGGAGTATTAGTCGGATTTTCGTGGCGCAAGCTTGATCCCAGAACGATCACCTGGAACCGCCTTATTCTTCTATATGGCCCCCCTGGAACAGGGAAAACAAGCCTGTGGTATGTAGTAACTGTGGAACAACCCAGGAAACCATTAACTCTAACGATTTGTAGCCGTTCATTAGCCCAAAAGCTAGCAATTCGCCTAGGGAGACAGTTCCCTCAGAGTAAATTAGTCGAGATCAACGCTTATTCTCTAGGTAGTAAATATTTCAGCGAGAGTGGTAAGTTGGTGGCCAAAATGTTTAGCATGGTGGAAAGCATGCTAGAGGACGAGCCTGATACGCTGGTCTGTGTCTTCATGGACGAGGTTGAGACCATGACGGCCCAGAGAGAACAAACATTAAGTGGAAATGATCCCCTTGATGCAATGAGAGCTGTTAATTCTCTTCTCATGTCCTTGGATCGGTTAAGACAGCACCCGAATGTAATCGTGCTCTGCACAAGCAATCTCCTTTCTGCCTTAGTGAGTAATCCGATACCACAAGGCAGGATAAAAAGGTTTATAATGTCATATTAACATCAATGCAGGACTCAGCGTTCCTTGACAGGGTTGATATCAAACAATTCGTTCCACCACCTTCAGAAATTGGGGTATATGAGATCTTCAGGGGCTGTTTAGAGAGCCTGAGTAAATGTGGTCTGATAGAAGGATCAAGATTCGACGTTGCCCCAGTTGATCCAACTGACACAGCCACGGAGCTCAAGTACATTATCGAGCCTGCCGAGTGCCTCGTACTACCTACTTATGGAGAGATGCAGTTATGGTATCAACTGTTTCCATCATCCATCCCAAAACAACTAGCTGACATTGCACAAGTGAGCGTCGTAAGTGACATGAATATACATCACTCTCAGCGCATTCGTGTCCTCTTTTAATTCATTTCCTAGGGCCTCAGCGGGCGGTCTCTTCGGCGCATTCCTGCACTATCTCTTGTCCTTTATACAAGCTATGAAGTCTGTACGATCCACCAGGCGTTGGTAGCGTTGAGGCGTGGAGTCCAAGAGGAATGGAAAGCGAAGCGGGAGGCGGGAGGGAAGTACCCAAGCCAGGGTCAAACGTCAAAATAGGCAGCATAGCATAACTACCATATATACCAATCGTGTAGTTATCTACCTAGGTCGTTATATCGCTGTCAACGCATAAGGTCTACCTCTAATTTTGTCCTCGCATCGGAACAGCCAGGGAGCCAGGGCATATCACATGACCACAGCTGGCCAATGAAAGGGCCGCTGATTCGACCCGACGCCGCGAGCCAATCACGGGACCGCTCACCAAAGATTGTTTCGAACGACCAGGAAGAAAGTCTGACCTGCCTTCAAGAGCGAACCGCACTCCCATACATCGGATTCATCGCAACCGCTCGCCCCATCTACGCTCATCGTCTCGTCCATCGGGGTATTCTCCTTTCCTCAGGATGTTGGCCCGATCTGTCTTGCGGAGTGTGCCGTCGAAGGCCATCTCCAGGCAATGCTTCCAGCAGGCTGCAAAGGTACATTGCACCACCTCACCCATTCCTCGAACAGAGAGCCATTGCGCCTGTTGTCGAAGCATACAGTTCTCTATATGACGGCCTCTTCATGGAATTTTGTAGATCACCGCTGACTCTTCCTCCCAGAGATCGTCCTCCACCGCTTCCGGCTCGCAAACACAGTCTCCATTTTACCTGACCTTAACCGCATCGGCAGCTACGGCCACTGCCATCGGCTCTATGGCCTGGTATTATCATCTCTATGGAGATGAAGCCTTTGCCATGACTCCTGCTGAGGAGGGGTATGTCACACTGTCTACTTGCTTCAATTGACCTTGAAACGTTCGATATTTCAATGTAGCATCACTAACAGGCGTGATATCAAAAATAGTCTCCACGCTACCCAGTACCCTTGGGAACACAGCAAGTGGCTCAAGACCTTCGATCATGCAGCGTGAGTTCTTCAATTCCTCTGGCTGCAACTTATCTCGCCCAGGTCTTGTCTAATTTGATCTTTTCATTATCTGAACAGCCTTCGCCGTGGTTTCCTCGTTTACCGTGAAGTTTGTGCTCAGTGCCATTCTCTCAGCCGTGTCCCATGGCGATCATTTGTTGGTGTCATGCACACTGTCGACGAGATGAAGGCAATGGCTGAGGAACACGAGTACGACACCGAGCCCAACGACGAGGGTGAGATTGAGAAGCGTCCTGGAAAGCTATCCGATTACATCCCGGCTCCCTACAAGAACGACGAAGCCGCCAGAGCTGCCAATAACGGTGCCTTGCCCCCAGATCTCAGCTTGATTGTCAAGGGCAGACACGGTGGCTGCGACTACATCTTCTCGCTCTTGACCGGCTATCCTGAGGAGCCCCCAGCTGGCGCCAGCGTTCAGGAAGGATTGAACTTCAACCCCTACTTCCCCGGTACAGGTATGAATATCAAACAAATTATTGACGTTAACGCCGTAACATGCTATATACTCACATGAAGAATACAGGAATCGCTATGGCCCGTGTTCTTTTCGATGGTCTTGTCGAATATGAAGATGGAACCCCTGCTACCACCTCCCAAATGGCCAAGGATGTTACTGAGTTCCTCAACTGGGCTGCCGAACCCGAGATGGATGATCGAAAGAAGATGGGCATGAAGGCTGTAGTCCTTCTCAGCACTCTCTTTGCCATCAGTGTCTGGGTCAAGCGATACAAGTGGGCCACTATAAAAACGAGAAAGATTGTCTACAACCCACCAATTGGCCCTCGGCGATAAATAGGATACGAGTCCAGGGCTAACTACCGAAATAAAGCCAATGCCGACCATCTCTGAATACTTTGTGATTGTACCCTAACCCCCCATACCACACATGCTTCATACTTTTTTTCAAATTTTTCTCCGCATCTTTAGAGAGTGGGAGGACTGGGGAGTGACCATAAAATCAGGGCTAAGTTTTGTGAAATTATCAATCTTATGTATTTATAAACTGTGCTCTTCCTTTCCTTTTCCACGTCTAGAACCACAATTGCTCTTTTCCTTTGTCCCTTCCAGTGCTCCTCTCAGTCATAGGCGCATCGACTCCTTACTGTATTGAGTATTCATTCAGTTCGAGGGAATACTGGCATCCAGTTAACCGTCGGTTATACAGACTCATTCCACTCGGCTTTGAGTGAAGCGTTTTATCTCTCTTACTACTTAACAGTTGAATGCCTCAGAGTATAATAGCCCTGGGCCAGTGAAGGTTTTATGTTAACCAAACTAATAATGTGGGAAGGTGTAACTGGTAAATAAACAGTATTGCATACAAGACAAGTCTATCGCTACTGGTCTATTATTATTATGCTACAATCGCGGTGATCATTCTACTTTCACGCCTGTGCGCTGAGGAATGGTCCTTTCGCCGTCTCCAAATATATACTTAAAAGCATAATCATAAGTCACCCATGCTCCTGCAAAGATATATCGCTGGAATACAGCTAGCCATCCTGGCGCTTTCCCATCCTCGTTGGCAAAAATTGCATTGAGCCTCAGGTTAAGCAAAAGCGGCGGCACCCAAACGACACCGAATATAAATTGGCCTACACGCTGCCTGGAGGTAGTAGGTCGATACGGCTCGACAGATGCAAGGTATTGTCGATATTCTGCTGGTAGATCATGCTCCTCTGCACCCGTGATTAGAAGCTTCATATAACGTGGCGAAGGGCGGGCATAATTAGGTCGGCTTCTATTAAATCTGGCGTTAAATAGTGACGATTTCTTTTCAGTACCTTTGTGATGGCTCTTTCCAGCAGTAGCGGGCGAGAGAAGAGTATGTGCTTTAAAAGGTTCCGTATCCGGTATATCAGGTACCGGCTTTGCAGGATCATAATCTTCAGGGAATGGATGGCAATCAATGACAACATCAACATAGGACGCTCCGCCGCCCTCTGTAGCTATTATGCGCGCATAATCCTTCATGGTGACCTCATATACAACTCCAACAAGTGGTTTATGCCAGAGACCCTCTCCATCACTTGGGTTCTGCGGTTTTCCAGGGTAAATCGGCATGCCGGTCTTTTGGTCACGATATTGTGTTCCTGCAAAGCATGGCTCGAGATATGCAACTCCAGGGAGATCGAAGGTAAGACAGAGGTTCGGGACGTAGACATTCGCTTGTGAAAGAGGAGTGACTTTGCGGGTCTTGCGGAATGTCTGGGCGCACATGTTTGATCCATATGCGAGGTATAGGATGGTCTTCTGGGTTTCCTCCTCCTCCAGGAGGGCCTTTTTGTCAGGCTCTTCGGAAATGAGCTCTCGCTCTGCTTCCAAGGCATGGATGCTAATTGCTTCGTCATGGGCAGCAGCATGTTGTCTGTCGGTGGATGTATGCGGTATTATCGAAATCTCTGGCTGTTGCGGTTGGTTGATGGACAGCCGCCGTTTGATAGCAGACGAATCCCATGCCGCACCAATCGAAGCTTGTGTCTCGAGCTCGGCTCGTTTGTCCTCTGGGGCTTCTTTCATTGTCATAATGCAGCAGACCGTGTTTCTGATTGAGTGTACTTCTATCAAGAGTTATGCGTATATGTAGAAAGCCGACTGAGGCCCAATATTTATAGACATCTGCTGCGCCATAACTAGGTGTTGGGGACGAGGCAAGGCTCCCATGCCAGCTCGTAAGCAAAAAGATGATGTTTAATTGTTGGTGTTTGACTCTAGATTCGTCCGAAATTTTAGCCCGTCTGACCGGCATGGATGGAGATTCAGATCCGTCGGACTCGGGCCAACAGTCAACAACGTTTATACTCCGTACACCGGAAGTAAATAACATCACACATATATTATTGAGCCTTGGCTAGTTTCGTCGCTCCGTCTTGATTGCTTGTCCAGACGGAGTTGCGAAACGCCCCGGTTACTCCGGATGTTGTCTAATTTGGTGTCCCTTCTTTTCGATCCATCGACAGGGGCCGAGCTGAAAAGTCATTCGTATCCGCCACAATTGCAGTGTCAGTAACTAACTAGTCCAACATCCAGCACGAACTCTGGAAAGTCACCTAATGCTTCCACACATTGTTGGACGGTCTGGGAAACTCAGCAGACCCTTCCAACATTTGGCGCTCGCCGGCCTCAGGGATGGTCATCCTGCTAGTTACTCTGTTTTAATATCAAAACCTCTGACTTGTGAGAAAGAAGAATGGTTGACCTACCTACCTGGGCGACTGCCTTGCTCCCTTGCTGACGACCGTCTGCCAAATCACCCTCCCCAGGATTATTATCCTCTTTTATCCCGCCAAATCTGTGCTATCGATCGCGTAAGATAGCATGGTACCTCTGGCTTCATCTGCAGGCGATGACAGGGAGGATGTTCGATAGCTGGTGTTGTCTCTCGAGATGGTTGCTCGACATAGAATACAGATGACACCGCCTGCCGCTTTGGGGCCGAGGGTTATTCTGCCACACGGGCGTCCTTACGACTTCCAAGATTGACTGCGTAAGATGTAGTTTGTGGCCCCTTTGTCCTTCTTTGCTTTCGAGCATCCAGAGTAGATCGTCTACTCGATCTAGTTTTCTTAAAGGTTTCCTTCGTGTGCTGTTTAAAAAGACTCAAAGGAAGCCTACTGCATGGCTATGAGACCGCAGGCACACTTGGGTGTGCCAAAACAACCTCCAGCTGTCAGCAGGCTAATTACGTACCTTCAACTAGCAGTCCGACGCGCAACGAGGAGTGATATCGTGATGTTAGTTGATACAAGCCTGTTCTGTGACCATATTATTGTTTTCCCTGGGCCGGATCTGATGATTTACCCATAGAATACCTATTAGCATTGTCAACGATATCCTTCAGTCTACTCCGTGTCTGCGCCAAGATGACCTCTACACGCTCGTCCAGATACTTGCAGAGTCTCCAAGCCGGAGACACTGTTCCAGACTTGACATTGTATCTTTCCAGTGCATCTTTCTTCTTTTCCTACATGCTCCAGCATGTGTGCACCGGGAAAGGGGTCTTTATCTACTTCTTGTAGGTATCTAAATTTCTGTCAGGTTACCCCCCTCTAATAATTATTACAGGACTCAATGGCTGAATTGTCAGATATCCTGCGCCAGAAATTGAGTCAAGAGGCTATTTCAACGGCTCATCGACGTAAAACAGTTCTTTGCCAGAAGATTTGTTTTCAGCTTGTGCAGTGCTTTACACGCGCAAAGCACCCGGCGCCGAGGAAATGGGTATACGCTCCCATGAATCGCATATACTAAAGCAAGCCGTCTAATGCAATATAGGCTGGGCAATTCATAATGGAAATGATCCTTCAATTTGACAAAAACAAACATTTTCTTATATCTATGCCGGATGGGATACGGTAGGATGTCCCTATAAGCTAGCCCTTCTATGAGATTTAGGTCCTAACAGCCGAGTTAGGGGGATACTAGACGTTCTTTTCGAGGATGACGATCAATGCCTCAGGATTATTGCTGCAGCCATTATGAGAGAAGTAGCTATTTGTGAACCTAAGCTTTCAGAACTATCTGCGATTGATAGCCGGATCAATTTACTCAAGAAGAGCCTAGGGTTTCTTCTACCGAACCGGAACTCCCAATGGCTCAAGGAAGCTACGAAGATTATATCCGACCGCATTAAACCACGTCAGCACTCATTTTGCGCCCTGGCTGTTTCCATTGAAGGATTAGAGGGATATACTATCCCAGCGGATTGCCTTTTTTTTACGGTGTCCCAATGTAGCGTTATTGTCCTGAGCATGGATAAATACCGATTTAACCTCATAGATATCCCCCTGGCCTCTATAAAGGGCACAGAAGCAAAGGGCAATAAACTGAGAATCATCCTTAGGCAAAGGTGTTACTTGGTGGTGAATGGAGTCGAACAATATTCGAATAACATCCTCGTTGGGATGGAAACTCCTCATCATGTGGAAGCAGCAATAAAGGCTGTCAGAAATATAATAGGTAAGGAAATCATTATAATAGCATATATTTACACGATACTAAATATTATACGCCTTTAGAGTTAACCACCAGAGACAATGAGACACCCCTATATAAACGGGCGAAGGAAGGGGCAATGGCGATTATTGCTTTCCAGGATTGTGTTAATGACTTTGAACCAGAAGCTCCTATCGGCCTCCATATATCTATCCATGCGGACAGCGACCATGATGCTGGATGCATGCGGTGGCAAGAATCCCAGCGACAACCCTCTTCTTCTGCCATAATTGAACTTCCAACCGGCGAGGAGGTTCTATCCGCGTCACAATTATCCTTGCAATCCAGCCATCGTCTACAATCTCAGCCGCTCCATCAGCAACCACGAGAACAGTGCGTTTCTAATCAGACTGGAGGCACACCCGCAACTGGAGGTGTGTCTCCTACAAATGAGAACCAGCTGCAAACACTGAGCGCTTCGCCACATTCTGTAAACCAGCCTTCCAAGCAAGTAACTTCTCAAGCTCCTACTACTGCAAATCATGTCGAAGTCTTGCAAACTTCACCAATCTCGTCGATTTCGCCAACTTCAAATGTTGAGGAGGTCGGAGAGGTGGACCGTGCGGCGGGGGTGTCGAATGACTTGCCTAATCTGGCAAAACAGGCACTTCTACTTCAACCTCAACTTCTGAACCCCAGCTTGCAAACAACACAGAAGGAGACGAGAGATACACCGTGTCTCGAAGACGCAGCATGCGGAAAGTTGACATTGGCAGCTGAGAAGCTCACGGCAATCGTACCTGACTCGCAACCTGTGGCTGAAGCGGTAGATACCATGGCAGGTTCCGGGCCCTTCAAATCACCCCAGGAGACTGAAAAGGCCACAGGCGAATCCGGTTCGGCTAATAACTCTCGTTTAAAGCGACCTACACATAAGCTATGCGGTTCATCTTCGAAGAAAGCAGACCTCGACTGGGATGAAGGCCTTCGCGTGGAACCAGATATTTCCCTACCACATCCAGAGGCTTCTGCGACCGCAAAGAATGCTAAAGAGGCGCCACAAGATATTGAGAAAACAGGAACCAAGGGGAGGAAGAAACCAAATCCTAGGGCCAAACAAAAGATCAAACCGCTAGAATTGACGTCCCAGACTGGCAACGCCCTAAAAGAAAACAAAAGAAACAGCCAGGTTACTAAGACCTTGACCTCTGCCCGCCCACCCCGGAATGCTGCTGAAGTGGCCAACAAAAAGATGGCCCTTGCGGCTGAGCGGGAAACTGCTGTATATGACCCTGACGACCCTATTGAATCAAGCTACCCTGGGTCCACCAGCTTGAAGATCTTGCAGAACATATTCAAATTGATGATCAATCCATACCACAAGCAGGCCCACCTCCGCCAAAGCGTGACTCTATCGCTACGGCAAAGCCGTTAACTAATGACTCGAGTGATCTTTCAGGAGTAGCTTTACACTGCGGTAAAGATGCTGTGGTGGAAACTCCATGTGTGGCTCCAGAACCTTTAGGAAAGCAAGTCACACAAGCTCAGAAAACCAAGGCAACTGGACTTGATACCAGAAATGACTCTGTGATAGATCTATGCAGTGATAGCTCTCAGGATGAGGATACCGGCCAAACAAGACAAAGTAACACCAAAGCAACGTCAGGGGTGGACTTACCGACAAAAGCAGCAGATTGCGTTTCAGAAGCAGCTGCCCTGCGTAATAAGCCTCAGTCTATAGCAAAGAAGCATGCGACTACCAGAGCATGCATAGGACCTGCGCCTGTTAAGGAAAGACGAACAACCAAACTTTCGGAAAACAAAGAAGGTGCAGGCACTACACTAAACCTAGTAAGTCAGAGGAAGCGAGAAACTGGTAATCCTTCTCAAGTTTCCAAAAATGTGTGTGAGTTCATGTCTCGCAACCAATTGTCAGCGCAGAAACCGATTATCGCATCGAACGCTCGCAAATCGGGTCTAGAGAAGTCGAAGAATCAAGGAAAACCGACCTCAAAGTACGATGAGGTTAATTCCAGTACTTTACCTTTGCAAAAGGGTAATCGAACTGCAAATGTAGTGCAGACAAGAATACCTCCAATGACAATAACAAGGCATGAACAGCAAAAACCCACACGGTCCGTTAAGTTTGACTTGGGAGTAAACCATACTCCTACATCTAGCACTGGGCCATCAGATAATGCGAATGCTATCGATGGTAAAGCCGTACTGCCTTCAACAACAAGGAAGGACGGTGGCTCGTCACTGTCACGCTTAACAAATTATGATGCTCCTATGGCCTCAGAAAATACTGAGGATGAAGACGAAGAGCAGACCTCCAGTTCGTTGGATGAGTTCCCGAAGTACACTTCAGTACGCCCGAAACAGATTGGCTGGCAGTCTCGAACGGTTGACGAAAACGGAAGCCCAATACCACGGCTGCAACATGCCAGAAAAAATTATAGCCAGCGTGTCCTTGGAGTGCTAGATGAAACAGATAAACCAAAAGTGCCCCCTCACGCAGATATGCCACCTGCAATCTCGGAGCACTCTCAACTTCAAAGAATGACTACCTTCAATCCATCTGCCTATAGTAATTCGAAGACGAGCACCAACAGAGACATAGCTGGCAGGCATTCATTTCAATCATCAAATATGTTTGCACCGGGGGAGAGGCATGGCCACCGGTATCGTTATATGAAAGCAAATGATCTATGCGATGATCAGAAGGAACCCTGTGGAAAATTTGGGGGCCGGAATAAATCCGCTACATCATCGTATAAGAAGTCATTTGATTCGATGCAGCGGTTGAAGGCTCATCAAACCAATTCAATACCACGAACCATGGGTAAGAGACACCATATGATAGATGTGAGAGACTCGAAGCCATTCAAGGTCATAGAGCATAACGAAGATGCCGTAAACACAGGGGCAGAGACTGATGACGAATGTTCTCCCCCGCGATATCCACCGGAGTCCTCGGAATATGTAGAATCCCAAGGGCATGAGTGGGAGAAACAATTGCGGGACAACTACAAAGGGGGGAGAGATATTCTGAGTGATACGAGTAAAGTAAGTACCAAAGCAACTCCTACGTATTCTCTTTTTATCCCCCGTATGTTGATGATCCTTCTCAATGCTAACCGACTTTTTCAATAGCAACTCTCCCGCAAGTTATGGGAGAGTGAAAATAGATTATACAAATCGGTGGACATTTACCGAGTTGGCTGTACTAGGATGATCGATCAGCTGAAGGAAATCCAGTCAGAAAAGCTTGACCAAAGTGAAAACGCTCTCAGGCCAATCAAGAAAAGGGTTTTAAGGGTATTTGAGAATTTCTCTAAAAGATTAGAGAATGATCTTGAGTCTATTCACAAGGCATCCTCAACTCTCCCTACCACTGCTAACAGAGGTCAACGGCTTAACAACGATATTAATTCGGCGATTGATGAATACAAGTCAAGACTAATTAGGTCAACAAACGTTTAGGTAGGTGATTTCTAACAGAAGGCAAGAACGACATGAGAGCTTTTAAACTATCCATCGATTGTATCTGAGCAAATATCAATTATAGATATAGATAACTGTACGTAACTACTTATCTTCAACTGACTTACCTGTATTTACAAGGTAGTGCACGTCTTATCAATTTTATCAAGTTATCATACATTAACGAACTTTACAGAAAAAATGCTGGTATACTAGGGTAAAATTTCATTTCGAGGTCTTCCCCCAAATGAATCTAACGTTGCTCAGAGGGGTGGGGGGGAGCAGTTAGAAAGAGAAATGAGAGAGTACAAGGATGTGCGGTCGGAACGTTATAGACGGAACATTAGATAGAACAACACAATACAACTAAAAGCTAAAGTTGATTGGATAGTTATCTAAATATATAATAGATATTTTAGACCAATAGAAAAGAATTTACTCCGTATTAAATAATCATTTTCTAATAACTACTCCGTACTACGGTAAGTCTGGAGTAGTTAATATTAATTATAATTATTCAGCCAACAGGCATCCTGAGTCACTGCTAGCGCCCACAGGTTATATAAGGCGACTCCATCTGCCAAATGTGCATTACTAACTAGCTAACGAGAATACGCAGGTTTCATAACTAGCGGGCCGAGGTCGGGACCCGAAGAGCTTCAGCGGCAGGATCCCTGCTAGGGAGTCCGATCTTGTGACAGGGAGAATGACCTTCGTGCTTCACCCAACGAGACGTGTGTTGAATCTATACAAAGGAAACAAGCAATTGAATGGCCTGCAAAGTAGGGCAAAGCCATTAGTTAGCTATATGGTTACAGCTGCCTACCGCCGTTATTCATGCGGGAGCCTGGCCTTGAAGAAATAGTGCCTGCTCCGCGCTGCGTGTGGTGGGTGGCATTAGTTATGACGTTCAAATAGCAACCAGTTAACTAGTCAAGGCTGTTCGTTCCAACAGCTCGACAAACTCGACCACCAAATAATTTTCTCTTCGCATATTCCGCCATATCTTTCGCAATAGACCTGACATCCCGAGAAGGAGTCAGATACACTGAATATTCCTAATTAAACACAAGCAGTCACCTCATCACTCTCTGCTTTGCCTTCCGTTTCTCCTACATACACCAACAGGATAGCTGCGATGTCGGTGAGTCATCCCACCATGGCTGCTAAAACTTCCCCACGATCAAGATATCCATGAGCTGACGGCCAGCAGTCACAGTGGTACATAGAAAACCCCAACGTTGGTAAAAAGAACCAGGTTGAGGACTGGAGAGGTAAGTTGCTCGAATACACCTGGGCATAGTGAGCCTGAAATTGACGCTTCACTCTGTCATTGATAGTTCTGGGGTACAACCCTCTCACACCACCGAATCTCCTGCAACATGAGATTTCGCAAACAAATGAGTCCAAGGGCACAGTCGTCACCTCGCGAGAAGAAGCTGCGGCCATTGTTAGGGGAGAGGATGCCAAAGGCCGTCTCCTCGTCATCATCGGACCATGCTCTATCCATGACCCGCAAGCTGCTCTGGATTACTGCGACCGCCTGGTGAAAATGAAAGAAAAGCACAAGGACCAGCTCATGATTGTTATGCGTTCCTATCTTGAAAAGCCACGAACCACTGTTGGTTGGAAGGGACTCATCAATGACCCGGATATCGACAACTCCTTCCAGATCAACAAGGGGCTGAGAACTGCTCGCCGTTTGTTTGTTGACTTGACCGAGAAAGGAATGCCTCTTGCCAGTGAAATGCTGGACACTATCTCCCCTCAATTCCTTGCTGATCTGCTTTCTGTCGGCGCAATTGGTGCCCGAACCACTGAGTCTCAGCTCCACCGTGAATTGGCTAGTGGACTGTCTTTCCCCGTTGGTTTCAAGAACGGCACAGATGGCTCTCTGGATGTTGCCGTTGATGCAATTGGAGCTGTTAAACACCCCCATCACTTCCTCTCTGTCACAAAGCCAGGTGTGGTCTCCATCGTCGGCACAGTTGGTAATGAGGACTGCTTCGTCATTCTTCGTGGAGGCAAGAGTGGAACTAATTTCGACGCAAAGAGCATAAAAGAGGCCAAGGCAAAGCTGGCAGAGAAGGGCCTATCTCAACGGCTCATGGTTGACTGCAGCCACGGAAACTCACAGAAGAACCACAAGAACCAGCCCAAGGTGGCTGCCGTCCTTGCGGAGCAGATAGCTGCTGGCGAGGAAGGGATCATGGGAGTCATGATTGAAAGTAACATCAACGAAGGTACGTTATCGACATCTAAAGATCCTGAGCTATGTCTCCTCTAGCAACGGTCTGGCTGATAGTCTTCGTTCTGTGTAGGCAACCAGAAGGTCCCACCGGAGGGCAAAGCAGGACTCAAATATGGTGTCAGCATTACAGACGCTTGTATCAACTGGGAGGACTCAGAGGCTGTGCTTGACTTACTCGCTAATGCAGTTAAGCAGAGACAGTCCTTGCAAAATGTTAATGGCGCTGAGTAATTGCTGTTTCGCTAACCATTGACTCTTCAAAATTTTGTTTTTACGGCCACTTCAATATTTCGGTTTCAATGAAATTGGAAAAGCAAGAAAAAAAAAAGTGGTCTGATGGAGGGATTAGACCACGAATAGAATAACGGCGATACTGGAATTTAGTTCTTCGATTCTGCTGGCTGCTCAAAAGATACCTAGATACTTCCTTGCTACTCATTTAATCAACTTTTACTCTCGGGGTTCTTATTTCTAACCTTCTCTATAAGCCATCTTCATTCTAAATAACTAACATAGAAGTGAAAGTAGACGTACCTAGGAAAAAATCTGCCCTTGGTAATAAAAAGAGATATATGGTTATGGGCATCTGCGTAGGGCGCAGCTGCAATGAATCCTTCTAAAGTAACTCGTTACATGCCAGGGTTAATCTCAGCCGCTTAACCGGCCAAGGCAGCAACATATATTTAATAACTCTTCGAGCTAGTAAAGGCATCTCAACTGGAGTCAATGACAAGTTAATGGTACTTCTTTGGGTGCAAAGGCCGTTTATTTATTTATTTTTGCATGAACATTTTAAGGCGAACTTTTGGCATCTTGTTAACCTTTCAACTATCATGGATGAGCGAACAAGATTGCTACAATCTTCAGTCGGCACTACAACGAATTACAATGCCTCTTCCACAGAAAATAACCAGAAAGCGTGGTACTTTTCTCACAGTACCAGAAAATGGATAGCAGAAGTATATAGTATATGGAAAATTCCTTTCCTTTGCTATGTCTTTGCGTTGGCCGTGGACATGGCAGATGTCGTGCGTCTGACACCGAAGACACAGCTGTTCGAGACAATAATATGCAATGGATACTACCATGGCAATGGACACGATAGCATGATACCCTTGGGTATCACAACTAACCCGTGCAAGGGTTGCGAAGTTCAGAGCCGGCTAGCAACTATAAAAGCTCGCCTGAAAGTCATTGAAAATATATTTGGTACAGTGATGCCCTTTAGTTGCACAATCTGTCCCTTGAGCAGTTACTGAAAACCTGCCTGATAGCATTAATGCTTGCAATACCATTTGGGAACCTCGCGAACAAAAGGGGCAGAGTCTTTGTCCTTGCTCTGGGAACTATAGGGCAGATGTTGTCCGAAATTTGGGTCTTGATCGTGAGTTTGGCGGGGGGTTCAATTCCCTATGAATCGATATATATATCGTCTATCCTCAAATCAGCCGGGGGTGGAGGGATCGTTATTGCAGCCGTCGCACATACAATTCTTTCTGATGTTGTTCCGGCAGACCGGCGAGCACAAGCTTTCTTATACCTGGCGTCTGCCCTTCTCATCACAGAAATGGTTGCCCCTGTTCTGGCCTCTCTCCTGATGCAGAATTGGAACGTATACGCTCCTCTAGTCCTTGGCTTGGTATTCGAACTGTTCGGAAGTGCCGTGCTTTTTATGATCCCTGAGACAGCAAAACGGGTACAGGATGGTGGAGATCTCTCGATAGACGACGGTTCCTTTGAATCCAGGAGTGAGGAAAGAGAAAGATATAGCTTTTGGTCAGGTGTGAAGACAACAACCAAGCATATTATTGCCCCCTTTGCTCTTGTCTGGAAGATGATCAGGGCCGACCGCAACATCCCCTTCGTGGCCACTTCGTTCTTGGTCCTGTCACTGGGGCGGAACACCCTGGAGTTCCTGATCCAGTATACATCTAAACGCTTTGGTTGGACTCTTGCTGAGGTACGCCAATCTGATAGATCCTGCCTGAAATGATGGGCACTTGACTGACAAGGGACAGGCAAACTATCTGATATCTTTCAGAGCGGCAATCAATCTCATCCTCTTTCTCATTATTCTTCCTGCATTAACTAGGTTTCTCACCAGCAGGGGCATGCAGTCTGCGCAGATGGACTTATGGATTGCTCGAGTAAGCTCCATATTCAGCATTGTAGGTCCGATAATGATGGGCATTTCACCGTCTCCTGGACTCCTAATCTTGTGTCTGTCACCTCCTCTTGCCAGCCTACGATCTCTTATATATAGCTTGCTAACGTCCTCAATTGCCTTAGCTCTTCTGTTGTTTACCTTCTCGTTTGGTTTTCATCCTGCAATAAAGTCGTATGCCACTTCACTGGTATTGCCGAACGATGTGGCAACTCTGTATGCATCATTTGCCGTTATTAGCATCATAGGAGAACTAGCTGCTTCTCCTTTAATTGCAGCAACTTTCACCCTGGGCTTAAGTATTGGAGGGGCTGCTCTGGGTCTCCCGTTTTTCGTGACGGCAGTACTTTTTCTTGTCTGTGGAATCGGTTCTTTTTGTGCCCAGATGCCAAACTTGGATGATGAGTTGTAGGTTACAGCTCTTGTGGTACCGGGGAACACTTGTTACGAACAAAGGAAATATTGTAAATAAATATTGGGCGAGTAAACAAAAAATTTGATGAGCAAAATAAGAGCCTAAGAGGTAATACTATGGTTTCTATGGGCAAAAGAGGAACATATGGACAGAGTTAAGGTGTCGTTGGGGTATCAAAAATATTAAAATAGAAGTAGGTCTTCCTGGAAGGAGGTAAAAGTAAAAGAAAGGCGTAGCTCTAAACTGTTTCTTGAGTGGGGACGGAGATGCCGTTTTGTGAAAATGAGGCAAGGTCATTATCGTAATTCTCAGGCTGGCCCGGAATCCACGCAGGATCAAGTGGAATAATCAAGTTAGGGTTGATGTATTTTCTCAACCTAGGAGCAATATCCCGACCGCGTAACCGAAGAGGTATGGCGTCCCTATCCCACTGTGAGGGCGGGGAGAAGTTCGAGCTAGGAGTCGGTGATAGGTTGCTGTCAGCATCACGGCTACGATCGATACTTCGAAGTGCGATGAATTTCATCAGAGGCTCGTAAGTTCGTGTGAAAAAGTAGGAAAACCAGACTGTTGCGGCGAGGAGAGGAACAATCAGGATGGACCGCGTAATAGCTGATCGAAGCGCAAGACTACCAATAATAGTCAATTGAAACACCACCAAGCCGAGTATGATTCGGCTACATATCATCGGCCATGCTCGGCCAGTGGAATGCTGTTGGTGGTCCATGGCGTATAGAAGTTGGTATTTGTAAATGAACTGGCCAATGCTGAAGTATATCAATCCAAACAGGCAGACAAGCCATGAGCTGGGGAAAACACTGTACACGAGACAGACTATGAATATAAGGATAGTCGGAGGCAGAGCAAAGCCATAGCTAAAGATGGGAGGTTTTCGTAGATCGGCATAGTCGCGAGGGGTGACTGCGAACATTCGTTGGAATGGATATAAGAATACACTTCCAAACTCCAAAAGGCGGAATGGAAACAGTCCCAGGCCCTGTAGGACGATTAGGTTGGTGTAGAAGGGGGCAAGTTTCTCAAGGGATCGAGCAAGAGCAAATGCAATGGTTGTTGTATCTTTGAAGACATCGCGAAGATTTTCCCAAAGACCGTAAAAATTTGAAGCCGTAGCAAAGACGGTAAAGACCAGGAACAGGTTAAAGAACGTAAAAAAGAAATTCTTTGAGATGACCGAAAGTTCAACATCTCCTTGAGAGGTCATTCCTTGCACATTGGCCAACCCTAATATAACAAGGTGGTTAGCTAAGGCCCCGGGATGAGAATATATTTTAAGGGAAAAAGGAAGTCAACGTACAGTCGTATATATATGGAACTGCCAGCGAGAGCAAAGATAGCGTCAATGTAGGAAGGCCAGTTTGCATCAGGGATCTGAGCAGTGGGTGTTCCGACAATATCTCTGCAAGCCGGGGAATTACCTTCTCCAGGGTCTCCAAGTTGAGAAGGTAAGCAAGCGGAATGAGTAATAGGGACCAGAATACAGTCAGAACACAAATTACGGTTGTAATGGTCCAACCTCGTATCATCCTTTCGGCCCGGGATAGATAGGTATGTTGCCAAACAACATCTGCTGGAGCGGGTGCTAGATTGGCAACAAGCTGCATTGGCCAAGGGTCAAGGATAGCTTGGACCGCCATTTGACAAGCTGCAATGGATTCCATAGTAACAAATGCTAGTGCTCCGGGCGTACACTCCTGCTGGCGAGCAATTTCGATCTTTTCATCCAATTGCCGTAGCTTCTCCTCGTAGTAGTCGATCGCATCGATAGATTTGAACTGGATCTTAAGCGGGCCAAACCATATCCTGGTTCTAGGGCGAACTCCTGGATTCTCCAATATATAATTCTGATGCGTATTAGGCTCATCCGAGAGCAAACGAGAATCCTCTGCAGTATCACCTGTATTAATCTGTGGAGCTATCCGGTTCGTCCGACTGGCCAACCCACCGGGCTTGCTCTTCCGATAACGGAGATATTTGGCCCATGATTCTTCAAGACGTTGAAGAGTGCGCTTTCTTTCTTCCATCAGTCTATCCAACTCTCTCCAATCGCGGCAAAGCATGACGCTTTCAACATTTCCAATCTCTAGTCCCTCGATGAAACCCCGTATTTTCTCCTCGGATCGTAAATCAACAGGTATTCCAGATAGCCTAATTGTCCTATCTGCCATGGTGGTTTGTCCTCCTAAACATTTCTGCCGTATCTGTATGACCCTGTTCGTGTAGCGGATAAGGAGGTGTACCGCCACTCCGGTAAACACGTATGAGAATACCACATATAGCCAGAGGAAAGTAGGGTCTGTTTTCTGCTTCTTATCGGAGTCACCACCAGGCTTATCTCCTCGGTCACCATCCCAGGGGTAACCTCTTTCCCCCGTATATGAATACCGCACAGGGAGAATCACGACGACGGAGAAGAAAAAGACGATAGAAAGGAAGTGGATGGAGTATTTGTAGAACAATAGAAACTATATTTTTGTAATAGATAGCAAGCAATGTCAGTTTTCAAGGTAAATTCCAACCTCCAATGATAAGGAAGTAGACGTACCACGAATGCATCGAGCCCCCCTGAAGCAAGGACTTCCTCATCGGATATCTTACATAGCACAGGAATCCACCCGAACAAGGAATCAGGGAGGTCGGGTAGCCTTGATGCAGCGGTCCTCATCTTCCGCCTCGCAGCATAGAGAGCGCTCCATTTTGGACGTAGGAACTGTTCGAAGGTTGAGAGTCTATGGTCAGCTATCCTAGTTCACACAATTGATCCCAGCCTGATATGATAAACATACGCAAAATGTGATGAATGCGCTGAGCCCAAAGCTGACGCTGATCACGATCTGGGTGAGCAGATCGCGCTGGCCCCGGGTCTGGTCCTGGTATCTTGGTCCATCGGGCTGGTCACTTGCAAAAGTATATATCAGCGCGCTTGTGGTGGTGGCTGCGAGTGAAGACGGCGGCCGGGACGTCATCGGGCGGACGGACGACTACCAGCGCCAGGAGAAGCGAAAGCAAAGCAAATCAGAGCAAGGAGCCGTATATCGGTGCTATATACACCTGTGAGCACAGTCCTGGCTGCGTCTTCCGCATCGATGCGTCTTGTCTATGTGGTTTTTATATGCAGCTTCGATCTTGTTTTCCTGCCCAAATATTTTGTCCCAACCTTAAAGATAACCAGTCATGTGACCCATCGGAGTTGCCAGGCGATCTACAAGGCGATGACGTCGTTTTGCATGAGCAAGGATGACGATGAAGAATAGGCAACGACTCTTGTGATTATCCTACGCTAGATACTCCGTAACGCTGAGAACATTTCTCTAGTTTATTTATCATTCCAGCTTCCTCAACTGCGATGCATCGTAGTAGAGGTCAATCAAGCACGAGGCAGACCATGCTTGGGTTGGAGACTAGGTGTTTAATCAGATCAGTTAGTGCTATTAACCCGGGAGAGAAAAGGGGCTAATCAGGGGGAGAGAAAGCAACAGCTCACCGAGTCTGCACACAACTCGCCATTCTTATTTGTTAGTTCGGTCAGCCCCCTCCAAGGGCTAGTGCGAAGTGCCTTTTTGCATTCTTCCAGCCGATTTGTAAGTTGCTGGAATATATCCGTGCGGTCCTGGGGACTGTCCCGTCGCATCAGGACAAACTTCATCAAGGCCCTCAGGAAATACCCAGTGGGCCACAGCCATTCTGGTCCTTGGTGGTAGTTTCTTCCCTTTGAAGTTGCGAAGTTGGTGGAATCTTCAGAATTCACATAGTATGGGTTGTAGTTGAGATCCTTGGGATCCAGCGTCGCCATACCCATGGGTCCACGGAGGACGCTATCGGCCAATTCGAGCGTACGGAGTGCTTTCTCCAGCGTGAATAATTCGGGGGCAACAGTCATGGCAACAGCAAAGTTGGGTCGGAACTGATAATCCTCATACGGCTTACCGGATCGATAGAGATCTTTATAAATACCGCGTCGATGAACGATCTTGCTATCGATGTCGTATTTGCTATCGTCAACCTGGTTTTCGGGGATGTAATAGCACCTCTCAAAGTTGGACTTAATCTTCGCAGCCCATTCTGCATAAGAAATTGATTCTCCAGAGCCAACTTCAACGCCTTTGAATGGGAATTTCCCCTGGTCTGCGAGACTCGACAACCATGAGAGAGTGCTATAGAGCAGTCCACTGATTTCAACAGCTGCACCGTCCCGAGGAGTTCCTGGATGACCCTTATTTCCGCTCTTGGTACTTTCGCCCATCTTATCCATCCATGTACCACAATTCCATTGGTTTCCTCCGAATACCAGACCAGTTTCCCAGTCAACACGAATATCAATCTGGAAACCCTCATCCTTCATCTGCATATCAAGGTTAGGACCTGCGTTGTACTCACGGAATGAGATACCCGAAGCATGGCGTTGAAATATCTCCTGGATGATCTCAGCCACAGTTGAGGTTTCACTATATGCACGGCTATCGTCATGGGAGAACCATGTATCGTCATATGGCAAGAATCGACGACGGACTTTCTCATTCAATACCTGGATTCCATCTGGCACAATCTTGGTATAGTCTTGGATAGCCTGCAGGAAGAACCATACCGCATCACGGGCATTATATCGCGGTGCCTTTCCATCTGAAAGCAGGTTAGGCATGAGCCCATGCTTCAACACGCTCGCGAATGCAAGGATATGCTCTTTCGCTTCGTCAAATCTCCCAGTACACAAGAGGAGACCACGCAAAGAGATAAAAACATCCCTCCCCCAGCATCTCGCCCAGTCTGTTGAGAAATGAGGCAGACCAGCGGCGAGACAAGGTACACGCTTGGTTGGGTACAGTGATGCGGAATTGACGAAGCCTACTTGCTGTATGCTAACCATTGCAAGTTCATGAATGATATCCTTACCATGCTCAATAGTAACACCAAGGAGCTGGATACCTCGGGCTAAAGCAGCTTCATACGCCGTTTTGACAACGATGGCGAAATAGCGTGGCAACAAAAAGGAAGGTAGCTTTCTGATGGCATCAAAACGACCCTGAAGCCATTCCGCCGGTTCCTTCAGTCGTCCGTATCCTTCATTGGAAGCCGCTTTGTGCATTCTGCGGACGATAAAGTCGAGAGCCCACTGTCCATTCCGAAGGTTATCGCATATAGGATGACCCACGTCGTTATTTCGAATAACTCCCTCAAGAACACTCCACCATCCCTGGAGCCCGGCGTATACTAGTGGGCCAAAGTTTGGAATGTCATACACTCCATCCGACCCATGGCTAATGTCTCTTTCTTCAGGATTGCATTTGTACAGAACGAAGTTTAAATCGACAGGATCTAGGGATTTGAACGCAGCTTCGGCATCAGACGTGATGAAAGTACTCAGATCTTTCAGCAGATTTGTTTCTGGCAACCAGGTCTCCAGGAGTGCAATAGACCCAGGGACAAGGCCTGCTGGTACACGAATAATAGTGTTATTACCATCGTTCTCAATGCTGACTTCTTCAATATCGGAAACCTTGCTATGAAGTCCGTTTATGAACCTTGTATTCGTATTTGCATCGCGGTTGGAGGAGATTATCTCCAATTTCCAGGCACCTATCATCTTAGCATTAGTTCCGGACAGAACAATCGGATCCAGGTTGTGTTCATCCTTGGAGCCAGAGAAAGCGGTATGGGCAATGAGCAAAACACCCTTCCTTGTGTGTGGCTGGACACGATGGACCGTTATATACTGGCCCTCATGGTGAATATGGGTTTCATCATAGCAATTCACAGCCATGCTGGTGTGAAGGTCGTTCAGTAACCTTTTTATTCCACCGATACCTCCTTGGCCTGTCCTAGACTTCACTTCACCGTCAGAGGAAGCAGACGAATACAGGCGTGTCTCGTTAACCAAGTCGACGTGTTTGGGGTAAATCTCATCATATCCCATCACACTACCGATTGCAGATGAACACATGGCAACCAATGCAGCGTTAGGGAGGGTATCTCTCGCTTCACGTTTCTGAGCAGGCATTTGATTGTCGTGCGTACAGTCCATGAAAAGGGCATTTAGAGGCGTATATTGCAGCTGCCTAACGATCTGGTTGGATTCCCGATGGTCACCGTGAGATAACAGATCTGCCTCAAAGCTACCAATCGGCCGTCCTCCATGACGATGAACGAGTCGACTAAGTTCGCCAGCACTCCAAGCCTGCATAGCCTCGCGAATCAACCCTGTCAGACCAAGTCTTTTAGCAAATATATAATCGGTTTTCTCAGATCCGGTAAAGAGCTCTGCGAAGACAACTAGATTGGGCCGCACTCTTCTAGCTTCGTCAAGGAGATATTCGGCTACCGGAATGGGGGTTGAATGGCAGTTATCAATGCGGAAGCCCATGAAGTACTTGGCCATTAACTTGGAGTAATCCGCCATATAGTCCCATAAAAAAGGATTATCGTCTCGGGATGCTCCATAGTTTAACTTGACACAGTCGCCCCAGACAATAACCTCTCGCAACAGATATGCACGAGAGTCCGGACCTGCATTGTCTTTCATTGCATCCGCATTCCATACCCACCCGTTGTTCGCCAGAGCAAGCAACCTGGGGTCTCTCTTGCCACTCGAAGAAAGCCTGGTGAAATAAGTCTCTATAAGCGGGCTTTCATTGCTCACAGGCCCCATTTTTGGACCATGTTCATCAACTCGAAGGTATTTTATCCGGCCAAAGAGCTGGTCAAGAATAGTTATGACATCCTTGTCATATTCCTTGAACAAGGGAAGGTTAACAGCATCAAGAAGCTTTCGGAGTTCAGCCTTGACAGTCGATGCATCAGCCTTGGACTCAGCATGTCTTCCAAACATGGCTGCAAGGAAAGAAGCGGTTATATTTGGGTCCGCTTTCCGATCATATCGTCCTAGAACTCGGTTGGCATTTGTTACCCCTTTCTGACGAAGGAACTTTGCCTTCTTCTCCATTGACCATCCTCGAATCTCTTCTGCATTTCCAAGCTCAGCATCCTCATAATTGTCTGATTCCCATGATTTTAGTGCTGCCGCAGCGTCTCTTTCAACATCAATAGCATAAAACTCCCAGAGCTTTATCTTGTCAATGACGTTTTCCCGTGCTCTGCGTAGCACTACCAAGATATCATCCTCTGTCTTGAATTCTGTAGGCAATCCCAGCTTCGCAAGGTCATTTCCATACTGCAATAAAGCCGTGTCTAGTTCTAATGCAGCTTCAAGCCATGGAGCATTCTTGATATTATACCCTACCTCTGGGTGGTCTTCAAGGAGTTGGCTGTTATGTGCAACATGATTCCAAACAACATCCGTCAGTGCCAGAAGCCCATAGTCCTTCTCCATCTTCGCCGTCATGTCAGCCACATCCTTCTGTCCATTGGAGAAACATTCTTCAAACTCGAGTTGGTCGTAAAGGCTATACGGCGAGTTTGAAGCCCCTCGCTTCACGAGAGGAGTAAAATGGACAACATTGTACCCCCTCTCTCCAATCCCACGCAAGTGTTTGTTCCAGTCTGTTGGATACTCTCCCATGAACTTGGACACCACAGAAAATATAGATAGCGATTCTAGCGGCAGGGCTTTGCCCTTGAGAGTGATGGCCGGGCGGACATTGAGATAGTACGTCTCAGACCGGGTCTCCTTCCCAGTATCAGAGCCAGACCCCGGCCCAAAGAGCTTGGGTAGCTGACGGTAAGTGAAGTAGTAATCGAAAGCACCGGAGATAGCGATGGGAATATCAACGTGGATGTCTTTGTTGAAGTCCGGCTTCAGCCTGTCAACCAGCTGTTAGTATCTAGTACTCCGTAACTAGTTATGTATGGCATAAGTTAGCAACGTACTTGTACTCGCGGTACTTGTCCCGCTGAAACTCCTCGCCTGCAGAAGGGATATTCACCCATAGGCTCCCATATCGACACAGCGGACTGCTGCCCTCGAACTGCAGGCGGAGACTGTACGCCGGAGTCGTCGGCGGGGGCAGGTTGACGTAGCTGTGATGGGCGTCCGGGGAGCCATTGTCGTTCAGGTGCACCACGTACACCAGCTCTTGGTTATTCGAGTCCATGGCTGTCGGTATAACCCAGCGAGTTAAACTTGTTAGCGAACTACCGCAGTCGACGCATGCTTGGAGCAGCTTCCAGCAGCGTATTTATATCTGTATGCCGTTGTCCACGCCTGCGGCATTTCGGGTTGGACAAGGAGCTGGGAGGAAGCGAGGGAGTGAGATGTTCCAAGGTTGGCCGCTGCCATGCACGCTGATGTCATTCCTTTCTTCCAAGGCAAAGGCAAGCAGTGGGGGCAGCGAAGCGGCGAGGCGAGCTGGCGACGGCAAGGATGCGTTATATATATATATTAGGTAGACCGTGGACGTTTATTAGATGTCTATATTAGCTGTTATTTAACTACTTGGCTGTTTTTATTCGGATCTCATTTCGTTCACAGGATCGTAAGTAACTATTGCATATATGTATATCAACTAGTTTATCCCCCCAAGCTCCGTTGACCACCGGATAGTAGTATGCAGAATCGAGATGTAAGGTATGGTAAATAGATAGGGATTGCTCTTCCCTGCCTCCTCGATGGAAGATATACTCTTAATCTTTTTCGTCTTCTGACGCAAGTTAAAAAGGTAGTGGTAGTGGGTGTTGAATAGAATGCCAAAGGCGTCTATTTCGGTTCGATGAGACCAGGGATATCTTCAACTTTGGCCTCTCCCTTCAAGATATCTGTTCAAGAGTTAGCAAAGAACAACATGGTTACCAGGGGATTGGCTTTAGAGTATCATACGGTAGACAGCAGTGAACAGAGGATATTCATCCTCGAGTCCCTGTTTCTTCAGAAAGTTGTTGACTTCCACGGCTGTCAAAGTGCCCTGCAGCTTCTGTCCGTTCAACTCCTGCTTCTCTACCTCCTCAATAGGCAGCTTGCGTTCGACACTGTACTTGGCGCATCTGAAGTTACGGCCTCCGCTGCAGGAGGTGATCAGGTCGGCAACACCGGCGGATTCAACTGTGAAGGTCTCAGCGTTGACAGAGTGTTTGAAAAAGGTAGTGCCGAACTTCACCATCTCCAGCAAACCGACTCTCATGACAGCTGCTTTGGCATTGTCTCCCCAACCGAGACCGTCGACGTATCCAGCAGCGAGAGCGACTATGTTCTTCAATGCACCACCGAGGGAGACACCGGCAACATCATGGACGACTCGGACATGGAAGTAAGGCCGGTGGAAGAGGGTCTTCAACAGAGAATGGTCTACCGGTGGGAAGTCAGAAGGCATGGGGCGTAGGTTGACTTTGGAAAGCTTCCCCGAGCTATCCTTGTGCTTGAACTCGGCCAGGTCGACGGCAGAAGAAGACGGCGACCCGTTGAGCGGCGTGGGAGCCTTGGAGTCCATGTGAGGGGGGTCATAGGCAACTGTGGTCTCGGAGTAGAGCTCCTTTGCAACCTCGGAGGCGATATTGGCTCCCGACAAGGCACCGCAGTAGATGCCCAGCTGCTTGCCAATGCTCTCCGAGAACAGGCTGACGCCCTCCTCGTCGACATGCACCCCCTTTATGCAGGATATTCCACGGGCGTAGGGAAGGATATGGCCCTTGAGGCTCTTGCAGACCCCGTTGATAAACTGATGGGGCAGATTGAAGACCAGTATGGAGGAATCCTTGACCGAGTCGACCAGGGACGGGTTGGCGCGCAGGTTGTCGGGCAGAGTGATGTCTGGCAGGTACTTGATGTTCTCGTGCAGTTGGTTGATGACCTCCGTCAGGTTCTGCTCGCCCTTGCACAGAGGCGAGGACTCGCTGTAGTGCCTCGACGACTTGGGGATCTCGATCTTCTCCTCGTACACCCACATATTCACCTCCTTCTCGAACAGATCTGGGTTAGCGGCCGTGTTTTCGGCGACCATCTTCGAGATCGAGGAGCCCCTAGAGCCATCGTTGGTCAGTCTGCGTGTGAGTGAGATATCGCGTGCCTCCAGCAGGGGAGGACGACAGGGACAGCGACGCACCAGTTCCCCGACCCGATGACGGTCACCTTGTGCTTCTTTGCGTACGGAGAGAGTCTTGTCATCGTGTATCTGCGAGTCGATGCTGGAATCTGCGTGAGGACGAGAGTGCTGGCTGCTGGGACAAAGGCGACTTGGGGGCGGCGGTGGTGGGGGGTTAAGAGGCGCCTGGGAGCAGCAGAAGTCAGGATGCACCGCAAGCTGCACGTCATCAGGGAGAGGGAGAGGGAGAGGGAGAGGCAGGCAGACAGCGATAACTAACGGCCAGCAGAAGGGGAAAAAACTGCGCAGAGAAAAAAGCCAGCTGCCGCTCTTTGCGCTTCTTTGCTCCCCGCGACCTCGGCCGGCCTCTCCCTCTCGGGCTCTAGCTGGCGGCCGTGGGGTCTATATGGGGCGTCAGAAGTCTTAGTTAGGGGGTCTAGGGGGTCTTAGGAGGTCTTAGGGGCTACCGACATCCTACAGGGTACCTGCAAGGAGGACCCCATCTACGAGTGTGTTCTGATGCCTTACATTCTGTTGTCTGGCCCTGAACTGGAGTTGCTACTTGTGCTGCACACCGGGAGGTTCTCTATCCCACGCCATCAACTGTGTCGCTGAGGCAACCCAGAGACCTCGGGTGCAGCGATGGCTCACTGTTTTGACTGTGCATTGATTGACTTGACTGTGACGGGGCCGAGGCGGCCGGCTAGGCATTCAATATTAAAGCAATATCAACATTTCACCGGCTTAAGACTCTGCTCAGCATCGACAGCCTCGACCTTCGGCCGGCCCGTCTTCCTTGTCTCCCTGCCTTGTGCGCCTGTCCCTGGCAGAGCCCGATGCCTCGGATACCCGACCTCCAAGCTTCTCGTGGCGTCGCCTTGATTGCCCCTTGCTTGCAGGGCACCGTCTCTCAGCCCCTTCAGCTCTCTTCCATCTCGGCTAGATCCGTGGCCGCCGTCTGCAAGACAATAATATGATGGGTGGATGTGATGTTTACCACCTGACCGGATAGAATATTTCTTCTTTTTAGCCCTCTTCCCGTTTCATTCTACAACTTGAGCCAAATTTCACGATTTGACGCCCTTGAATTCCGGGTTCTGGTCCATGGTCTGGGAAATGAAGCTTCGTAGGGCAGCCCAGCGAGCCGATGTAGAGCTGGAGTCTCCTCCTGTAGCAGCAGAAGCATCAACGCCACTCTCGACAGGCGGCTGAGCATCCATGGCCGTATTATCCGTGTCAGTGGTCTTGATTCCCGCAGCCAGCTGTCCCATGTTCTTCGCAAACCGGTCACGCTCCATCCGATCAAGCTTCTCCTTCCTCTTCATGGCCCCGGGCCGATGCTTCAGACTCTTGTGCCTAATCACGTTAACCTGAGTGTTTCCATCGATAGTATGTGTCGAGACGGGTTCGTCACCGTCTCCGGCGTCAGGGAGCGCATTGGCAAGAGAGTCTAGGTTGGCGATCAGTTTCTTCGACGGCCGTCGTCGCTTCAGTGGCTTCTTGCGAGACTTTTCGATCTTTGAGATGAACGAAGAGTGCTTTATCAGCCGTTTGTCCTTTTTAGAGCTGGGGAACTCGGAGGCTAGGCTGTCGTTCAAGCTGCTCGTTGGTTTGGTCTTTGCGTCTGCTGGAAGCGACTTGGTCTTGACGGCCTTTTTGGCCTTGGAACTGGGACGGACAGGAGCCTAGTAGACAGGTAGACGCATTATATATTAGCTTGCACGCCCATTTTCCCAGGGAATAGCCTAGAATGGCCTACCATAATAATGAGATCTGGTATCCGGCTTGTTCAGTCGTAGAATTCAATGTATTCAATTCCTCAATTTTTTTTTTTTTTTTTTTTTTTTTTTTTTTTTTTTTTTTTTGAGCACCAAAAATATTTCGGGTGTCGATGTTTGCTCTGTTTGCACCGTGAAGTGGGATAATCTTCGTCTGCCCGTAGTTTTTACACAGACGAACGACAAGATAGCCGTCTAGCACGCTGTTTACCGAGTATCTAGATTGCATTTCCCCGTCATGGAGGAGAGAGAGAAGCTGCGCCGACAGCTTGAGGCGCAGATAGCTGCTACAGAGCGACAGCTCAGCCAGCTGAAGCAGGAGCTTGCAGATCTAGAGACGAAGCAGCCCGCACCGCAGCAGCCAGAAGCAACAAGAGAGAGACCAGCCGACTGGCCGCTACTCCAGGATGAATATAGAAGATACGGAAGACAGATGATAGTCGAGCAGGTCGGGCTGCCGGGTAAGTTTGAGTAAAATCTATCCACGCCAGATCCAGGTGAGCAGATCTAACCAGGCGACTGCGACGATATAATTATAGGCCAGCTTCGACTGCGGAACTCAGCCGTGCTCATCGTCGGAGCAGGCGGGCTAGGCTGTCCAGCAGCTTTATATCTTGCCGGCGCAGGAGTTGGAAGGCTGGGTATCATCGACGGCGACCAGGTTGAGAGCTCAAATCTGCACCGCCAGGTCCTACACCGGACGAGAAACACAGGCAAGTATAAGGTTGATAGTGCAATCGAGTATCTACAAGAGTAAGTTGTTTGATACTGTATACCTGTCTGCTATTCTTCATGAGACCCATAACTGACATACTCCGGCGTGCCTGTGCTAGACTGAACCCTCACCCGACCTACATACCCTATCGAACTCAGCTCTCACCGCAAAACGCACCAGATATCTTCGCCCTGTTCGATGTCATACTAGACTGCACCGATAACCCAGCAACTCGATACCTTATCTCAGACACTGCAGTAGTCCTTGGGAAACCGGTCGTGTCTGCTTCGGCGTTGCGAACAGAAGGACAGCTGATGATACTCAACTATCCTCCCCGTTTGCCGGGGGATAAATCAGGAGGTCCATGTTACCGGTGTGTGTTTCCAACTCCGCCTCCAGCAGATAGCGTCACGAGCTGTGCAGATGGCGGGATTATCGGGCCAGTGGTGGGTGTCATGGGAGTTATGCAAGCACTTGAAACGATACGGGTGATAACCAGCATGTCTGAGAACACCACGCCGAGCACTGGAGCCATTGTTCCGTCTCTCCATCTGTTCTCCGCCTATTCCACTCCTCCATTTCGTACTATTCGGCTGCGTCCCCGGCGGCAGAACTGTGCTGTGTGCGGAACAGAGCCATCGATATCCATCAAGTCCCTCAAGAACGGATCCATGGATTATGTCCAATTCTGTGGCTCGCTCAACACAGTATCTAGTCTGATGCCAAATGAGCGGCTCAGTGCTAGAGATTACAAGATATGGCTTGACAGTCACAGCAACAATGACAAGGGTATCCTGCTCGATGTGCGCGAACGGATCCAGTATGATATATGTGCATTGCCTGGAAGCGTCTGCGTACCCATATCGGAAGTTTTGAGATCATCTAGATCATCTGAAGCAACAAATGGGGAGCTTCCGGCATGGGTTCCTTCCAGTATCATCAACACTGATACCGCAACCCCTATCCACGTAGTTTGCCGCCAGGGCAACGACTCTCAGACTGCAGTGAAAATACTCAAGCAGCTCGGCCTCGGTCAAGGTGGCAAACGTTTCATTGGCGATATCCAGGGCGGTTTGGACTCATGGAGAAGAGATGTCGACCCCCAGTTTCCAGACTATTAACAGAACAATGGAAAGTAATCCTGGAAGCTGTTCATATACATCTAAGGGTTCACCGGCGTCTTGTCAAGCCAGGCCCATTCAACGTCGACTCTTCCTTGATCAACAAGGGCAAGCTGTTCAAATACAGCTATAGAAACGTCGATATCTGTCGGTTTACACCCAACGCCTGGCCAATACCCGTATCTGGTTAGCAATTTGGCCGTGAATACCAAGGATAGCTCTAACAAACTCACATCTATCGACGACGGTAACGTCTACAGATTTGTTATTGCGCCTGAGCCGAATCTTCAGCCCACATAATGGGTTGGCGTTCGGATTTGGTCCAACACTAGCGGCATCATATAGGTTTTTGGAAACTGCACACACAGCTTGAGACGGTGAACTGGCTATACCACAAGCGCCCAGCGCCGCATCGTAGTATGTAAGGTCGCCCCGATAAGGCCCTCCATTATTCGTTGGCAGCGGTAGATTGGCACTCCTTCATGTATAAAAGCAGTGTATATATATGTTAGACTTGAAGTGGTGAGAAATAGACGATGGACGGCTATTATACGAACTTGTGCCTGGTCAGCCCAACGGCCAACCCAATGATCAACCCCAGCAACAAAACAGCTACCACCGCAGCGACGGTGAGCACCATCCTCCGCTTAAAGAGCCAGAGGTCTCTTATCTTCCCCTTCAGCCCGCCGCCACTCTGGCCAGCTGGTGGAGCTTCGACATGAGGCTCTGTCTGATCGGCAAACACAGCTTTCGGCGGTGGTACGGGTTTGCGCCTTGGCACTTCTATGAGCGAGAGATGCGGTGCTGTTGGTTTGGGATGAGCAGCGGTCTCAATGGCTTTCTCAGAGAGGTCGAGTCCCAGCTCATAGCGTTTGAGGCTTGAAGGAGATGAAGGAGAGGACGGAGGCTGCGAGATTGGCGAGACGGGGTGTGAGGAAATAAAAGTTGTCCATTTTTTTTTTTTTTTTTTTTTTTTTTTCCGGCTCCTCTGCCGCTTTCCTCTGGATACTATGATTTTTACGAGTGAATGAAGTTGGATAAGTAAACCAAAAAGAGAAAAAGCGAGGGACTAAACGAATGACTGCATTGCTAGTAGTATATTAAGAAAGGCAAACAAGAAGCGCGAGAAGGGAGAGGAGTTGACGAGGATGAAACAAACATCGCGAGCTCGAGGCCCCTTTTTCTCTCCCCGGCTCCTCTGCCAAGGCGGGGACACGAGGAAAAGTCCGGGGAAGCGCATCATCGAGACGGGAACATCCACAGCACCAACAGCAACAGAAAAGATTGTCAAGAAAACATCGGCCCTCTGTTACTCTGAGACACTCTCTTTACTCTACGGGCTTCTTCTGCTGCTACTCCAGCCTTCCGCATAGCCCAGCAACCCCTTCGGCAACAACAAAAGCAATGTCCATCCACAGTCGTATGATTCAAGAAGCATGAATACCATCTATCAAGTATCATCAGAACAGAAAAAGAGAGCGTATATCGTGTGTTGATTGTGCATATGTGCGCGTGTTGTGTACGGGTATCCGTGAATCTGGCTTTGAACACTGCAGTTGCTAATGATCGCAGCAAGACCCTGCTGCTAGGCCCTAGGCTGTGCCAGCAGCAGCTTTGCGGCGTTGCATCCTGCGGTAGAGGTATGTGGACAGCACGCCGACTGCGATAACGAAGATGATGCAGAAAACCAGGACAACACCGGGTTCTCTGGCTGCCCAGTTCTTTCGCTTGGCTAGCTGGTGAGATGCGGCGTGTACATCCCTGAGAGATATGATAGCAGCCATTATAAAGGTAGAGTAAGGTACTCTGTATGCAACACTGCGAGCCATGTCAGCCAAGTCAAAGCCATGTAAAAGACAAGGTCCCTGGATGAATAAATAACATACGAATCGAGACTTGCGCTACTGGGAAACCACCAGTCCGACGACTTGATCTATAGCTAGCAGAGGATAAGGATACTATCAATGCGCTCGTCAGTATATTGTCCGTGTGTTTCTGCTGGCATAGAATGAAGTTGAATGGCTGGACGGTGTCCAATTGAAGCACCACAGCAACGCGTGAAGGCTGTTCCTCGCATCCGGAATCTGGCGGATACGTCATCGGAAGACACAGCGCTGGGGAGCTTACTTACCAAGCCGACAACAAGAGCAACGCGAGCAACGCGCGCGAGAGAGAGACGGAGGGGCAGAGAGGTGCAAGCAGGAGAGCCGAAGGTGATGGCGAAGGCGAGGTAGAGAGACCGAAGCAGCAGCAAGAAGCAGGAGGAGGAGGAGAAGCAGAAGATAAGCCGCGGAAGAGGCGGGCAGCAGAAGCCGCCTGCGCCGTCCGCTTTGCTGCAAGCTTCTTCCCAGATTCCCGCCGGCCTTTCCCTTTTGGGCCGAGAGGCGCTGGGCAGGCTCGCTCACGTGAACCAGCCAGGGAAAGACGACGGACAGAGAGTGCCAGAGGAGAGCCAGAGGAGAGCCAGAGTGATGATGGCTGGGACGGCTGGGACGGCGAGGCCAGCCAGGGACATGGACATGGACGCCCTGCAGTGTCCACGCTGCTCTGCTCCGGCCCGAAGAGCAAGGCGGGCACAACGCAAGTCGAGTTCCAGCGCAAGATGCCTCCTCGGAAGAAGGCTCCCAGCGTACGGAGTACGGAGTAGTGACACTGTGTACGCAGTACGTCTCTAGCAACCTCTGGCTGGGAAGACCTGGGAAAGCCAGCCTAGTTGCCCTCTAGTCGCGCCACCAGCCCATCCTTCCATCACGCCATTATTATTGTTATTGTTCTTCGCATTCCCAACTCGACGGGCCAGCAATTTGTGGTGCCAATGTTAGTTATCTAGATAGGCTGGTAACAAGAGATCGGCTCCTGTACCGGTCGATCATGCTATCCTCGTAGTTAGCGGCATGCGTTATATACTTCACCAATCCCTGGGAGACAGCGTTGGCGAAAGTCGATAGTCTCGGGCCTAACTCGATTGCTCGCCAGGGTCCTCAACAATACTCCGGGTGGGATATGTATACTTCTTCATCTCAGCCGTCTTCCTTTCCCCGTCGCTTTTCTTCTTTTTATTCAGTTTTCTCTCGGTTGGTTTGCATGTTTTGATAAAGTGATTAAGGTTAGGGTAGATCTCCTCCGAAAGCTACTTAGTAATCTATTATTAAGGTTATATTGTTGCTTACCTAAGCGTGCAAGTAATACATTGTGGGAGTTGGCGTTTGGTTAGCGTATTTGTGGCGGCACGTGCGCCACTTCCTGACGATATGACAACACTCGTCGTCGGGGCTTGTTAGCTAACAATCAACCAATCTTACTTATCATAACGTCACTACGTTAGCTGCGTACCACATACGTAGTATCTGGTAGTATAGTTTTGGTTAACTTAGTTAGTACTAATATTACTAGTTAGTTTTAATTACCACTATTCAGATGTTTAATAGCTTCTAATAGAGGCTTTAGTATTTAGTAGATCGATATTACTTAGAGTAAATAAGCTTATAGTTAATATAATATTAATTTATTTATTTCTTTTTTTATATAACGTTTATTAAATAATCTAGTTAATAATTATATTATTCTATTAGTTATAGTACTACTTGCTTTATTTTATAATTAATTTATTATTATATCTATATTATATTAATAATATAGAT